ACCATACCTTCTCATCACAAATGGTCAAGTGGATCCCCATCCACTCTACACACCATAACTAGTATTACTTCAGAAGCATAAGTACTCATTGTCAGGGGTCTCGCGCCTGAAACCCAGGTCGGTCTGTCGAGATACTCGGTGACTATCAAACTGTGCGACAGCTATTGTCTCGGTATCAGTGACTATCAAGTTGTGCAGTAACAGCAGGTGGCATTCGTTGTATATACTATCGTAGGTTTCGGCTGACCTCTGTGGACACTCCGTTCAGGGGTAGCTCGGCACAATCAATATCAATGCATAGGTTATGATGACACCAAGGTCTGGTGTGAGTGTGGATGATGATGAGGTTGATGGTGTTGGTGATAAGGTTGGTGAATGTTGATGATAAGGAGGTTGATGGTGTTGGTGATAAGGTTGGTGGCGTCAACATGAGTGTCCAGTGTGTTGACTTGATGCTTGAAGTGACCCCTGGACCACAGTGGACTACTGCCTTCGGTTCTATCTTGATCCAGACCGCTAACCTGCTATGGGCACCTTCAGATGTCAGGTAGTGGTGATACAACACACACACTACGATGAGGAGCAACCTTGATAGATTGCTGCTATGCTGACTGTAACTAATGAGTACTTATGTTTCTAAAGTATTGACTAGTTGTATGGTGAGTAGAGTGGATGAGGATCCACTCGACCTATGATGATGAGAAAGCATGGTTATATACCTCTTCACAGCATTGCCAGCGATGCTGCTCCTGCTCTCTCTCCAGAGAGTACCTTCTTCATCGAGTACTGCTCAGGGGCCTCTCCTGCTTGGCACCCCTGTGCCTCTTGAGCTGTGTCGACTCCTTCAACACTGCTCCTCCTCCTTGCTATCCTGCTGCTTGTTTGGCACCCCTGTGCCTCCTGAGTGGTGTCGACTCCTTCGACACTGCTCCTCCTCCTCATGACCTGGTGTCGACTCCTTCGACACTGCTCCTTCTCCTTTGACCAGTGACAGTTCCTTTGACTCTTGTCTCTCGAGCCCCTGAGTGGTAACCATCTGAGCTTGGTCCTCTTTGTGGCTGTGCCTGCTCCTTGAGCTTGGTCCTCCTCATGGCTGTGCCTGGCCCTCCTCGCATATGGCTCAGTCCTCCTTTGCATGTGAGTCTGTAGGAGTCCATGGTCTCCATGGAGACTGCACTACGACCATGCTCTCTACTGGTATCGACTAGATCTTCGATACCTATGCTCCTTCCATATGAACCAGTGGCCCTCCTGCTTCTTGAGCATCCAGGCCCATGACAACACGGTTCTATTACAGATATCAGGTTTTGGGTGCACGACCGCTGACAGAGTCCTACTTGTCCTGTGACATCGCTTCTGTCCTTTCTGAGCTGGGTGTCGACCTCTTCGACACTGCTCTTCCTCCTCATGACCTATATGCTGGTGTCCTCGACACAGCTCTCCTTCCTCCTAAATGGTGACTGTTTTCCCAACTCCTGTCTTGTGAACCCCTGAGTGGTGACCAGCTGCATGCTTCTGAGCTTGGTCCCCATCTTGGCAGAGCTTGGTCCTCCTTGCATGTGAGTTCATTGTATGATCATCCTTGCCACTGATCTCTGCAGAATCTGCTACATGATCTCTTCTACTACTGCTCTCGGCAGGGTTCGTGGTACCATCCTTGTTCATGCCAATCTTGATGAGATCTGTCATAAAGCCATTTCTACTACAGATCTCAATGAACTCTGCTGCTAATTCCATGATCTGCCCGATTCCTTGATTCCTGTGCTCCCTTCATATGAGCTGATGGATCTTCTAACTTCTTGCACATCCAGGCCCATGACAGGTGTACATGCAAATGAGGCCTGCCAAAAGAGGTGTTGGGCCATTGTCAGTGTCAGGGCTGCTATCATAATCATCTGCATCAAAGTGCAGGTCTTGCAACCCTTTGTCAGAGGTCGTGCACCCAAAGCCTGATATCTGTGACAGGGACGTGTCTATTACAAATCCTGTTGAGATATGTGGTAATGTCTTGTGTATTACAATTTTTGATGAGATATGCAATAGAGATGCCTCTATTACTTTTCTCGCCTGAAGATGTAGTAATGGTTTTGCTATTGCAGGTTTTGACTAACTGCTGTGGACACTCCATCCAGAGGTAGCTCAGCACAATCAATAACTGCTATGAACTGATATTAACACCAAGGTCTGGTGTGCTTGTGATTGCTGTTGTCGACACAAGTGTCCAGTGTGTCAACTGAGTGCTTGAGTGATCCCTGGACTGCAGCAGATGACTGCCTTCAGTTCTATCTTTATCTGGACCACTGGTTTGCTAGGTGTCAGGGGTCTCGCGCCTGAAACCCAGGTCGGTCTGTCGAGATACTCGGTGACTATCAAACTGTGTGACAGCTATTGTCTCGGTATCGGTGACTATCAAGTTGTGCAGTGACAGCAGGTGGCGTTCGTTGTATATACTATCGTAGGTTTCGGCTGACCTCTGTGGACACTCCGTTCAGGGGTAGCTCGGCACGATCAATATCAATGTTATGATGACACCAAGGTCTGGTGTGAGTGTTGATGATGATGAGGTTGATGGTGTTGGTGATGAGATTGGTGATGTCGATGATAATGAGGTTGATGGTGTTGGTGATAAGGTTGGTGGCGTCGATGATAATGAGGTTGATGGTGTTGGTGATAAGGTTGGTGGCGTCAACACGAGTGTCCAGTGTGTTGACTTGATGCTTTGAAGTGATCCCCGGACCGCAGTGGACTACTGCCTTCGGTTCTATCTATATCCGGACCGCTAACCTGCTATGGGCGCCTTCGGACGTCAGGTAGTGGTGATACAACACACACACTACGATGAGGAGCAACCTTGATAGATTGCTGCTATGCTGACTGTAACTAATGAGTACTTATGTTTCTAAAGTATTGACTAGTTGTATGGTGAGTAGAGTGGATGAGGATCCACTCGACCTATGATGATGAGAAAGCATGGTTATATACCTCTTCACAGCATTGCCAGCGATGCTGCTCCTGCTCTCTCTCCAGAGAGTACCTTCTTCATCGAGTGCTGCTCAGGGGCCTCTCCTGCTTGGCACCCCTGTGCCTCTTGTCGACACTGCTCCTCTTCCTCATGACCTGGTGTCGACTCCTTCGACACTGCTCCTCCTCCTTTGATCAGTGACAGTTCCTTTGGCTCTTGTCTCTCGAGCCCCTGAGTGGTAACCATCTGCATGCTCCTTGAGCTTGGTCCTCTTCGTGGCCGTGCTTGGCCCTCCTTTGCATGTGAGTCCATAGGAGTCCATGGTCTCCATGGAGACTGCACTACGACCATGCTCTCTACTGGTGTCGACTAGGTCTTCGATACCTGTGCTCCTTCCATATGAACCCATGACCCTCCTGCTTCTTGAGCATCCAGGCCCATGACACTAGGAACTGCCTTCAGGCATCAGTGAGTGGTGATACAACACATGCACTATGATGGAAGCAATCTACTTGATTGCAACTTTGCTAACTGTAACTAATGTATACTTAAGTGAAGTGATAACTAGTTGTGTATGGTGTAGAGTGGATGGCAATCCACTTACTTGCTGTGGTAGGGGACATGGTTATATACCTTTCATGTAGCATTGCCCATGACACTGCTCCTCCTCCTTGTCCCCCTTATGCTCCCCATCCACCTTGCAATGCTCCTCATTGGCACTGCTTCCTTGTCCCTTGTGGATGGATGGGCCTCCCATTGCCTCCTCTCCATCAGGGGTCAGTCCCACTTCATCTGGGTGGCAACTCACCCCTTCTCATTACTCCCTGTTGTCAGTGCCCACTTGCTGTTGCCACTTCAATGCCATGTAAGGCCCCTGCTTCATCCGGTGGTGACCCCAGCTGTCCTTGCCACTACTCTGCTTATCGTGCGATCCTCTGTGCCATTGATCTCCACAGAATATGTCCTATGATCTGGTGTACTGCAGATTCTGGTGGGATTTGTGATACCATTATGGCTTGTGCTGATCTAGCTGGGGTCTGCCCTAGAGCCATTCCTCCTGCAGATCTTGGTGAACTCTACTGCAAGTCCCACAATCTGCCTGATTCTTCGATTCCCATGCTCCCTTCATATGACTTGCCAGATCTTCCTGCTTTCTGCGCATCCAGGCCCATGAAACCCTTCTGCATACTGAACAAGTTCAGCGGGCAATGATACTTCCAGAGTTTGAATGATTCTATTGAGCTGGTCCTGTTTGGTGCTGAAGCGCACCATGCAGATGAAGTGGGAGTGGCCCCTGTCAGTGATGAAGCAGCACGTGGCCAGTCCATCCACAGGAAGTGAGAGAAGCAGTGTCAACGAGCAGCATCGCCAGGAGGATGGAAAGGATAGGAGGGGTGAGGAGGAGGAACAGTGTGGAAGAGGCCTCCCAGAGCAGGAGCAGTGTCACAGGCAATGTTGCAAAAAGGGTTATATAACCATGCTCCTTGCCATAGCAATTGAGTGGATCCCCATCCACTCTACACCATATCTACTAGTTATAGCTTTCACATAAGTATACATTAGTATTCCATCAACAGTTGCAATTGCAGAGCATTGCTTCTATGTAGTGTGTGTGTTGCATCACCACTCATTGACATCATCCAAAGGTGGTTCAGTCTGTGGTCCAGATATAGATCAACACTGAAGGTGGTTCATACTGTGGTCCAGCTCTCTTGATCATAGAACCAAAGGCAGTTGTCCACTGTGGTCTGGGGATCATCAAGCACTCAGTCAACACACTGGACACTCATGTTGGTGTCAACAACATTACTCACACCAGACCTTGGTGTTACCTTGAGTATCTATCAACTAGCAATCATGTCAAGCTACCTCTGAGTGGAGTGTCCCCAGTGGTCAGTCAAAATCTGCAATAGATATCAACTATAACATATTTGAGTGAGAGAAGTCATAGAGGGCTTTTATGACAGATTTCAGCAAGAATAAATATAAGGGGCTTTTACCACAGATCTTGATAGGATCAGTAGTAGTTATCTTTCTACTACAGATATCGGGTTTCAGGCACACAACCTCTGACATGTACCTTGAACTTGATGTGAGAGGGATCAACAGACCTGGCAGGGAAGAGTGACCTGCTGAGGTCAGGATAGACCATATCCTTGCAAAGCTTGTTGGTGGGCTTGTTGGCTTTGTTGCAACAAGAAGGGAGAATTGTGCACTGGTACAACTTGTTGATGTAGATTGTGTCTACAAGGTGCTTGATGTCCTGAGCCTGCCAGACAAAGTTCTTCTTTGCCCCATTGTTGGTGGGCCTTGTGGATTGGGAAGAAGGTGTATCAGACATCTGATTGATTGGGGGAGTGACAGGAGAAGGGCAAGGGAGGATTGTGCTGCTGCCCATTGCAAGCAAAAGTGCAGGAGGCACACCTTGTTCTTGCTCTGTGTTGGATGGGGGAGTTGGAGAGGGGGAAGAGAAACATCCCAGCTTCCAGCTTCAAATACTTTGTCAATGAAGGACATGGTGCACCAGTGTGATGAAGTAGTAGAGTTGAGGAGGAGAAGCAAGCAGATGCACATCCATCTGCACATCATTTTGGAGAGACCAAGAAGTGAGTCCATTTTACCAGGTCTGGAGGTGTGTTTTCAGAAACATGTGTTTTTTCAATTTTGGGTGAGCTTACATAAGGTTTTTATGTGGAATAAAAACACATCAAAATTGAGAAACATGTGTTTCTAAAAACACTCGAAGTTTGATATCCCCTATGTCGCCTGCGCATGTAAGAAGCAGCCTCTTCCGGATTCCGAGCTTTTTTTTTTTTGCCTTTCCTCCAAAAATCAATTTCCTTTGCTGCGCTTCGACACCGTTTTCTTCTGAAAACGCACAGTGGAGGTCCTTTCCTTGCCATCACCACCACCAGTCTCGGGCTCAACTCTTGCCATACATCCCGCACTTCATCTTCACAGCACGCCTGCGACGATGGAGACCACGCAACCGGTGGATGCGTCCACCGATAACCTCCCACTCACCACCCTCCAACCGTCTACCCACCGTTCGCGCTTTCTCTATTTCAAAACAACCGCTCGCCATGCAGGCTCTTCAGATCCAACAACACGCACCAACAACATCCTCGCCCTTCTTGAAGCATATCACAAAACAACTGAGCACACAACACTTCTCCCGCACGACTGGGATCTCTTTCTCTCCCTCCAGACACGGTTAGCCGCTGCGACGAGTCCTCTCACACCAGAATCGCTGCACTCCCTCTTTGAATTGCACAATAATGCGACAGCTCACTATGCCTCATCGAGACTGATCAAGCGGTACATTAGCTTTGTTCTGGCGAACTTCGCTCAGCTGCACGGTGTTGAGTTTCAAGTCTTTGCGAGAGAGGGGAAGGTTGAGGATCCAGCGTTGAACTGGACAAGTCTTGATTCGTGTCCCACGTTCAACGGCGCTAGTTCGATATACCATCCTTCATCGCTTCCTTCTCTTGCGGTGATCGATGCAAGTGCATGGGAGCCAGTGCTGGGAGTAGAAGCGGTCAGATGGCGCATCCGCGAAGCATACACACGCTGTGCCTACCAATTACAGGATAGCCAAGATGTGTGGAAGCTCTATCTCGCATTCGAAGAGTCTCTCCTCTCTTCACCGCAGACCGCACGAGAACAGCAACTCGAGACAATACGACACGTCTACCTTGCACGCCTGCGAGTACCACACGCCGCGATCGAAGACACCTTCCAAGCGTTCTCTGGCTTCGTCACCCACAACCTTCCCCCACAGCAGTACGAGAGCGAAATGACAGCTGCTAACACTATCGTAGCTGAATCACGGACGATTTTGAGGCAGAGAGAGCAGTACGAAGATACATTAACCTCGCTCTTTCGGGCTGGTCCTACGCACGTTGCTGGTTCAAGGCAGGACTTGGACAACTTCGCTGCCTATGTCAAACCGTATGTGCGATGGCAAAGCGGTCGAGCCACACGAGCGTTAAGGGGAAAAGATAAAGCTGCAGCGCAAACCGAACTTGATCTTACATGCGCACTCTACGAACACTTGATACCCTGCTTCGGACTGCATCCACCCAGCACTCATCGTGAAGAGTTGGTGTACTACGCAGGAGACGTGGAAGGCTCCTTGCACTCCTCTCGACAATTCAAACGACTCGCTCCAGCTGAAAAGGGGGCCAGAACGCAACAAGAACAGCAGCTACACTCAGAACGGCTTTCTCTCGCAACCGAACTTTGGCTCGATTACATCTCAATTCTCACTTCAGCTCCTAAACCTGATGCGTCACTCATCATGGATGTTCTGACCCGGTCTGTTCACTGTCTACCAACTGCAGCAAGCCTGTATTGCGGGCTGATGAGGGGTATGGCACGTTTTCGTCGGTCAAAGCCATCCGTCGAAGGGGTATTTGAGAAGGCTATCTCACCGGGATCTCTCACTCTTAGTGCCACCGACCTCACCGATCTCTGCCTTGCACGCATAGACTGCGAACGAGAACTGGCGACCTACGAACGAACTCTTTCCTCCGGCGAACAAGTAGTGGATCTAGCAGCTGATATGGAAAAGTTCACCGAGATATACGCTTTGCTCAGCTACTCCCTTTCCAAAGCTTCCGAACTTGGGGAGGCAACTAGAGGGTGGGATCCCACCTTGCGATTGGAGAAATGTACGGTCGGCTGGGTTGAGCGCGCAGTGCTGTCTCTCGGCGGGCCGAGTTCGGAAGGTGGGCAGAGTCTCAACGAGCTAGCGGAGGCAGTTTGGGTGACAGGAGTGAAGCAGCAGCCAGATAACGCGCTGGTATATCGTGAAGCTGCGGGATACTGGGTGAGGAGAGGGGAGGGAAAGAAAGCACGTGGGTGGTATAAGAGTGGAGTGAGTAGGTTAGAGAGGAAACAGCAGGTGGGGGACAGTGGAGAGTATGGGAGGTTGTTGGAGGATTGGGTTGGGTTTGAGCATGGATGGGGTAGTGTTGAGGAGGTGGAGACTGCGGAGAGGAAGGAAAGGGAGGAGAGGAAGAGGGTTGTGGATGCTTGGTATGCGCAGTATGCGCAGTATCAGGAGCAGGGACAGACAGTGGCAGCAACGAATGGGCAGGAGGCAGCTATGCAAGTTGAGTCATCGACCTACGCCAAGGCTAACGCTGAAAAGAGAAAAGCTGAAGACGATGAGGGAGAGGAGGGTGACACATCTATGGCAGTTGCTGAAACGGCTACTCTAGCCGCAGTGCCGGATGCTGCCGGAGATTCTAGTGTAGAGCAAGCGAAAAAGACCCGCACAGCCGACAGTGAAGGCTCCAACACAAGGGACAGAGAACATTGTTCAGTCCTAATCTCTTCCCTCCCACCCACTACAGACGCCGCTTCTATCCGCACCCTCCTCCGCGGTTGCGGTCGAATTGTTGAGCTCTCCGGCCCCATCACCCTAGGCACAGAATCCGCAGCACTAGTCGAATTCTCCGACCCAGCCAGTGCAGCCTCTGCTCTGACTCGACACTCCAAACCTCTCCCCACCTCCTCCTCACCCGTATCGATCTTCATCGGGTGGAAATGCACACTTTTCGTCACCAACTTCCCTGAAGAATGGGACGATTCTTCCATTCGCTCCACTTTCTCTCCCTATGGCCTCATTTTCAATGTTCGATGGCCAAGTAAACGGTTCTCCTCCAGCCGTCGATTCTGTTATGTCCAATTCACAACGCCTTCTTCTGCCTCTGCTGCTATCGAAGCGCTCAATGGTAAAGAGGTGGCGGAAGGTAGAACGCTAAATGTTGCTTTATCCGACCCATCCCGCAGAAAGCAGAGAAGTGATGCGAACGAAAACGCAAAAGAACTCTTCGTCTCCGGTCTCCCGCGCAACATTACCGACGAAGAACTGAAGACATACTTTGAAGCGTACGGTAAAGTCACTGGAGTTCGCCTCCTTCGCAACGCGGAAGGGGGTTTGAGGGGAATTGGGTTTGTTGATTTTGAAAATGCATTGGACGCTACGAGAGCGATGAAAGAGCTCAATTCTACCAAATGGAGAGCTAAAACTATCTCAGTAACACTCGCGGATAGTCGCTCTTCCAACTCAAAGCAAAGTGGAGTTGGCGGGGGAGAAGAGAGGAGAAAGAGAAGTGCAAGGGTGATAGGTTTGCCAGTGGACGCACAAGAAGCGTTGATTCAACAAGCTCTAGAAAAGGAATTGGGGAGGGGGAGTGTTAAGCAGGTGTTGTGGAAACCTGATGGGAGTAGGACTAGAGCGACGGTGGAATTCAGGGAGGAGAAAGATGCGGGGAGAGCGGTGTTGGTGGGTGGAGCAGGGGGGTTGAGGTATGCGGTTGGGGGAGAGGAGGGGGTTGTGTTGGGGGTTATGGCGATGGATGATGAGGCGGTGCAGGTTGGGAGTCCGACAAGGGAGCAAAACACCGGCGGAGGTGGAGGAGCACAGGTGTTAGGGTTCGTTCCGAGGTCATCGAGAGGAGGAAGGGGAAGAGGGAGGGGGAGGGCTTTTGCAACAAGTGGGTTTACGCATGCTACAACTGCTCCCACACCAGCACCAGCAGAATCGAGTGCAACTACGGGAGCGGGAGACGATATGGAAGTTGAACCACCTTCCGCCGCCGAAACAAGCACAAAGACCAGCGGTCAAGATAGGTTCCGAGCAATGCTTGCACAGTCTTCACAGCCGCGCTAACCCGCCTTTCTCTCATCTCATCGATCACAAGCAATAATAACCTTGAAATCCAAAAGCAGAATCTGCAATGTCCTTATCCACATCAATCTACGAAACCAGCTTGAGTTCGGGCTTAAATCGCAACAGCAACTCCACCCTTCCTACTATCACTAGCAGCCCAAACCCTTCTCCTCCTACCCTTCCCTCCTCCCACCGCAATGGCTTGCACCTCCGCAATCCCTAAATCAATATCAATCCAACTCACCTCATGTCCTCTCCCCTTCAAGCCAGCTAACGTCTTATTACTGTAGCCCGTCTCAACACTCAACTGTTTCGGTAACAACTGATGATGCACTCTAGGAGCTTCAATCGCTTCGCTTAGATCCATCCGCCACAGAACCCAGTTGAAGATGGTTTGCAACACTGAACTAAAGATCCTGCTCCCACCGCTGCCGCCTAGAACCATCTCTACCTCTCCATCGCGCTCGATGATTGTTGGGCAGGTTGAACTTAAAGGTCTTTTCCCAGCTTCGGGGTAGTTGTATGGAGATGGGGCGAGGCCAAACGCATTGGGTACGCCAGGGGTAGATGTGTCATCCATCTCATCGTTAAGGATGACGCCGGTATGGGGATCCATAACATGGCTACCGAAGATGAGGTTGACGGTGGAGGTGAGGGCGATGGCTTGACCGTGCGAGTCGAGGATAGAGAGATGCATAGTTCCATGATCGTTGATGATGTCGAATTTTGGATTGTAGTATTCTAGCGGATGCGTTCTGTCGTCTGTGATGTTGGGTACGATGCTCTGAGCTTCTTCTATAGTCGAGATCTCTGCTATCCTTTCGACATCTTCAGGTGCGAGATAAGCGGGATCGGCAAGCTCGGTTCGTTGACCAAACCCGAATTTGAGTGTCTCGATGAACCTGTGCATGTTCAAACTTGTCGGTTCTCCCGTAATGAAGTCTGGGATAAGACTGAGCTGGTTTAGGATCGACAGCAGGATAGGTCCAGAAGTGGGTGCGTCCGTAGTGTAGACCTTCCTACCAAGCCAAGAACCTGAAATAGCGGGTTTCACTACCACTTTATACGTTGCCATATCTTCCATTGTCAGAATCCCACCGTGCGATTGAGTCGTATTAACGAGATGTTCCGCAATCGGACCCGAATAGAAAGCGTCCGGACCATGATCTGCAATCGTCTGCAGCGTTTTAGCATATGCTTTTCTCTCCAGGATATCGCCTTCTTTCTTAACCTCACCCGTGGATTCATCAACGAAAATCTGCCTCCAGACCGGATCATCCAACATAAAGCCACCAAAATACCCTAACCTCCTCGCCAATTCCTTCGACACACGTGAACCTTTGGCCAACTCAACACTGGGTTGCACCAATCTCTTCCACGGTAACTTTCCAAATCGTTTATGCGCTTCTTCCAAACCTCGGAGTTCGCCGGGAATTCCTACAGCAAGACCTCCGAATTGAGCTTTTGGTACGCGCCCAACGTACATGGTCTTATTCGCTGCTGCTGGTGCAGTTTCTCTAAAATCGATGGTCAGTCTCTCCACACAATCGCCACCTCCTTCCCCACCCTTACCGCTGCGGTCAAAACAAGGTGTTGCATCACGAACAATCATAAACCCACCTCCACCAATTCCACTACTGAACATATTCAACACTCCTATGCACAAGGTACCAGCAATAGCTGCATCCACTGCTGTTCCCTTTTCCCGCAACACATCCATTCCGATTTTGCTACAGATTAGATTTTCAGTTGCAACTCCAGCTTTGCGCCCCGTGGCTAGGATCGCTGGATGTCGACGTCCGCGTGGGTCTGTACCGGGGAAAGGTGAGGTGGGGGAGGTTGGGTCGTCAAACTCACCTAGAAGGTTCTTGAGAATGATGGAAGCGGTGATAGCGAAGAAGAAGATGGAGAGGAGGATGAGGATGGAGTTCCATACCGACCGCGGTTTTGCTTGAGGTTGAGATTTGGGAGAGTGGAGGTACTTGTCGTAGAGGTTGCGACGAGATTTGGGGGATGGGAGGAGAGGGGATGTTTCGGTGAGTGGAGCGGCAGCGGTGATGGAGCCATCAGCAGAGATGGTTTCTTCGGCGATAGGGTTGATGGGTGAGGAGGCAGAGTCGGTGGAGCGGAGACTGGATGGGCGGTGGGTTGGGGTTCTTGTGGATGCCATCTTGAGCAAGGAGGCTAGCAGTGCCAGTTACGATGCTCGCGCGAGATCCTCGAGCGGCGGCGAACAAAGGTCAATGGCGAGACGCAGCAATATGAAAGACCCAACTTTGATGGCAGTGATGTTGGAGATGGTGATGAGGAGAGAAGGTAGGGAGGAAGGATGGGAAAGCGATGGTTGAGAATGCGCTTCCACCGAAGTTCCGAATCCCGAAAAAAAAAGAAAAAAAAAAAGTTAAGTCCGCCCACGGCTGCATTTATTTGTTTTCGCCAATATGTTAGACCCTATCATCCCACAATGCGATACTCGAACCAAATCAAGAATGGCGGAAATCGGGACTTGTCTCGTCTCTGTGCGACTTGGCATGCGAAGAATTTCTCCCAACGCTTGTGCCATTTACCTCTCGCTTTCCTCACCCTACCCTCCCAATCTCCCCTCTGCATCAAGTTGGCCCAGGATGATCGCCTTGCGCACAACCTCGCGCATCGCAACCCGCGCTATGCGCACCACCACCCCTACCCGCTTCGCCTCAACCCAAGCCACCATTAAAGAAGAAGCCGCCTCCGCCCGCGGTGCAGCCAAAGAAACGCTCGGAGAAGCCAAAGGAGCGGTAAAATCCGTCCAAGGATCAATCAAATCCACCGCTCAATCCGCCAAATCCTCTCTCCCTTCCCCACCCTCTCCTCCTTCAGGCCCTATCGTCGTTGGTAAACCCACGATCCGTCGACCTGTAGGATCTGTTCGAGGTGGTGTACTGGGTTTCTTGTTCGGTTTCGGCATTGCTTCCGCCTATGGATACTACTACCTCTTGAAAGAGTATAACGCTGCGAGCAACTTGATGTTGGCTTCTGTTGAGGAGCTGCAGACTTCGACTGAAAAGGTAAGCGCTCAGAATACCCAAGGTTAGATGACGAGAGGAAGCTGACAATCATGATTCTTTACACTGGGCGGCATGGGTAGATTACGGGACATTTGCAGCGACTGAACAAGTTGGAAGCAGATTTGAAATCCTTGTCGAACCAAGCTGCGAGTAAGGCAGAGTACGAGAAGAATAGGGTGGAGATGAAGAAGATCGTTGATGGGATCCATGATGAAGTTTTGGATGTCAAGAAGCAGGTTCTTGGTATGTATCACCTCCACCGCCTCGCAGATCGAGAAGCGTTCGCAACTCAGTAAACTCGAGACTGACCCTGATCTTCATCTCGTTATCTTTGCCGCCAAGGGCAGACCTTCCGAGACCAACGAAATACATGCAGTGACCGCTTCTCACCCTGTCCCAAACCAGCCGTAGATTGCACACGCACAGAGAATGCAATTGGTCAAACGCATTCTTCTTGGGCTGCATGACCGTGTTGTTCATACGAATGGCCTGCCTACGCTATCTATTTGCTGATTGAAGGAGCTCAGAACAGAACAACACCAACCATAGACCCATCCCTTGCAACTTCCAAAACCATGCTTTGCCTCCCCACCAACCTCGTACTGAGATCCAGAATCACTTGACTCGCAGGATTAACCTCCTCTCCACGCTCGGGACTATTTGCACTCTCTCCACTCGCATCTCTTCTCTTTCCCATTGCTTGCTGCCTCGCTCCTCCCTTCCTATCGCTCTTATTCTCTGATCCACTTGCTGCTGCACCTCTAAACTCGGCACAGGTACCGCGATCGAGTTCCATGCCACGATCGTCTTGCCCTGCATTTAGGGTGCTATCAAAGTGATCTTGGAATGAGAATCCACCCTCGCCCGCACCCCTCTGATCAGTGGAAGTTGTGGGTACAACACGCCAAGGACACCTACAATATCTCTGAAACAGTGCATCGCCCAACACATTGGTATGACAAATCACCTTTTCCAATCTCGCCTGACCCATGGCAGCAGCACCAAATGCTTCCGCCACCGACGGCATCCTATTTATCTCTTTCGAAAAAAGCAGATCTATCCCCAGGTCAAAATAGTTGTAAAAAAATGCTGAATCGTCGTTATCCGCTGCGCTGTTTCCCGAACCATGATCGGCGATGGTCGAATTACTATTCTCTGAAGTACGATCTCTGGTAGGCCGCGGACCATGAATTCGCATCCGATCATCTTCTTTATAAAACACCTTTTGCGGTGTGCCGAGATCAGAAATCGCATCTTGAGGAGTCGTGACACCTAGCACAAGCTCCACCGCATAAGAGTTGCTTGCCACGGGCAACGGTGTTGACATCGGACTCCCTTCTGACACAGGTGAAGGTTGGCTCAACATGCCGGCCACCGCACAATGCAGAACAACACCTCGACCAGGTATGAGATCAGCTTCGAGTAAAGGACATCGAACATAAATCGCTTCTGTGTCGAGCGCTGCACGATCACGCTCAGTGTTGAGCTCTTGATAGTCGTTGACCGCAGCAGTGGGGGAGAGTGTGCCTTTGTGGGTGCGGGTGGGGAAGGTGATGGTGTCGAGAGGAGAAGGGGTGGCGGAAATGGGTGCAATGACGTCTTGAGGGTTGTTCGGATCGGTGCCGGAGAAGATGTGGATGGTGGATACAGGTTGCAACTTGTCGACGTCCATATCTTTGGAAGCTTTGGATTTGAGTGCGAAACAAAAGGCAAGACCGGGATAGGTGAGGAGAAATTCGTTGGGACCCTTGCTCGCTCCTTGATCTTTACTCGCGTATGCAGTTGCGACTAGACTGTCAGGCGAGATGGACGATGGTTCAGGATGACCGGGATAAGTGGGGCCCAGGATCTGGTGCAGAGTGGATCGGTTGAGAGCTACTGCTGGTGATCGGGATGAACCTTTGGAATAGATCAGTTTGCCGTTGTAGATGAGGTTTACCGGTCGATGACTCGGTTCAGCCGCGATGCTGGAGGATGAAGAGGCTCGGATCTGAGCTGCACTATGTGTCGAGCCATCGAGGTTCTCGAGGGTGATCATGACTAACCGCTGTGTAGTGCCGTTAAAGATGAGATGCAGGTTGGGCTGAATTACCACTGCGACAGGCGATAAGCGAGGATTCGTCTCATCATAAGTGATGTTGATCTGCGGGAAGAGGGACTGCTGTGATCTTAAGTAGTTGAGGATGTGCCAAAGAGAGTGTCCAAGCTTGAAAGGACCAAGTGCTTGAGATGGGCGCAGGACAAGATCGAGGCTGGGTCCGGCAAAGGATGAAGAGCGATGGCGCACATCTCTTACATGCGGCAATGGAGACGAGGCATAGATAGGGCTTGACATGGTGTCAGGGGGATGCTCAAGTGCTCAAGGGCTCAAGGGCTCAAGGGCTCAAGGGCTCAAGGGCTCAATAGGGTGGATGGTAAGGTGGGTGGAATATATGCTGGGAACTGATAGTGGATGCTGATGCCGTTGATGGTGATGATGGTGGTGGTACGGACAGTGCACTCGATTCAGGGTCCAACGGGCAAAGCCAACGACAGCGGAAAGCGGATGTGGAGCAGAGCAACACAGTAAGATAATAAAAGTTGAAGTCGTTTGGGTCCCGATACAGATGATCGGGGATAGTCTAAGTACGATGTCACTACTCGTTATAGCAGAAACATATACTCAATTGACCTAGAGAATATGGCGAGAGCCTAGTGCTTTCTGTGAGATATATATACATGTGAGCGGCACATGTTGAAGGTGGGAGTACTCCTACTCAATGATCTAGCCTGACAACGGGCGGGACTTGGTTGTACCCGATCCTTAACTAAATCGGTTCGACTCGATCTTCAATCAGATCTGATCGGCTCCGCTTGACCTTCGATCAGATCGGTTCGTGTCGTCATGTTGGATTGCCAGTCTTTTCAACATAAGAGCCCACTTGACGCGTCTCGTGCCTTGGTCTGAGCGAGTCTTTGCTCGGAAACAGGCAAGGCAACACAATTCCTCCTCACCATACCAACACCTCGAAACGATACGATACGATACGATACGATACGATACGATACGATACGCTCGGCTACGTCTATAGTCGATCCGCCTCGGCGCCTCCGATGTGATCAAGATGAAGGTCAAAGTCAAATCTTGGAATGCTGTAGCTTATTGGCGTGAGTCGAGGATGGCAAGGCTCTTGCTCGAATCACGCAACACGCTGACATGTCCCTTTTCCTTGCTCTTGACAACATCCCATCCATCCTCTTCCGGCTTCAGTATGGGACGTTAAAGACCCAGACGACATTTGCGGTATCTGCCAAAGCAACTTTGATGGATGTTGCGCCAGTTGCAAGGAACCCGGTGACAGTTGTCCGCTCCGTAAGTCTTGTCAGCAAAACCAGGCTAACATGCGACGCTTGCAAGCTTCGTCCAAGCTGTTACTCATCCGATCTCTCTTGATCTTCATCCCGGCTTCTCCGTCGACAGTATTCGGCAAATGCAGCCACGAGTTCCACCTTCACTGCATCATGAAGTGGCTTCAAGACAATGATGGTTGTCCGTCTTGCCGTCGTCCTTGGGGTGAGTACCACGGATCAAGGTGCGCCTCTATGATACGATTTCCCTGCTGAAAAGCTTTCACTCTTGGCTTTCTCTCGCCCCATCTTGCTTTCTACATGTTCCACCGACAATCTGTCTCGGCGATTGCAGAGCAAGTCGAGGGTACAACCATCCGTACAGCCGCTAACACAGGTGCGGCTACGGCGGCAACCTAGCCGGCGATCTGCATTCCTACGCGGCCAAAGCAGGCTTACATACATTCCAACATGTTTGCTTTCCAACATGTTTGCTTTCCAACATGTTTGCTTTCCAACATGTTTGCTCCACCCAGACCACTCCTAGCACGCAGCATGTTTGCAGTCCGTGTAATGAGCTCTGGACTTTTCCAAGCTGAAGCTGTGAGATCGCGGATAGGCACACGTGAGGCTAAATTCGAAATTGTTCAACGTTTGCTTCGGCAAAAGCTGCTGCTGTATGCTGTACCACCAGAGGCAATCTTCGCTGGCCTACCATAGGAAAGCAAGTGAGTCAGCTTGCAAGCGGAACAAGTGCAAGGCCGATGATGCTCAGCATGGAACAAGGGCCCAGAATGACGTCGTTGACAGTCAGCCAGCCCGGCTCAGCAGCTGTGGCGTTGAATCACCTTTTTTTAGCAACTTTCCACCTCCACTTTGGCATGTCGAATACTGCAAACACAAAGTGGTCATTGTGCAGGATTCGCTAGCTCAGTCGCACTGTTGGGCTGCTGACCCTGCTTTGTATGCTTTGCAATGCTCTTGCCCTTGCTTGCCTGGCTTGCCTGGCTTGTGACGGAATTGCAAGCTGCCGCAAGAACAGACAAGACGTTCCGAAGTCATCGTTCAAAGTACCCCAGAGCTCCACGTTTCCCCTTGGTGGCTATAGCAACTTAAAAATCGCCCCTCTTCTCTCCTCATCACCACCACCATCATCATCCTACCACAGACTACCGTAACTTCTTTGCCACCACCATCGTTCAGTATACCCTCTTCTTGAACACCAACTTAGCTCCATCGTACCTTTGCCACTATGGTCAAGCCTAGCTTCATCTCTGCCGGCTTGCTGGCACTATGCATTGCCCTTGCTACCGCTCCTCAGCCTGTAGCCGGCGACTGGCTGCAGGACTTTACCAAGGGCGGAAGCAAGGCCTTTGACTCTGCTTTCACCACCTGGTCCGAGTAAGTACCCTTGGAAATTCCCTAAAGCATTCATCGCCTCTTCCACACCAGACTCTAACTTTGTTTTCTCCCTCTCTCTTTCTCTTCCTTGGTGATCTCAGGTCCGACCTCCGAACCTACCTCCTCGACCGAGGCATCATTGCCCCCTACAGCACCGGCGAGCAACTCCGTCAGATGGCTAAGCAGGATTACGACAAACTCGTCTCTTCCGCTAGCTCTGGTTCCGGTGCTGCCAAGGCGGCTGCCTCTTCGCAGTTCAACTCAGCCTCAAGTGCAGCCGCCTCTGTTCAGTCTGCTGTAAGCTCGTACGCCGCTCAACCTGGCAACTCGGCTTCGAGCCTTGCGCTCACCAATCTTTACTATCCTCTTTGCAAATCCGCCGCTTTGCTCGGTTCACAGGCTTCCGCATACGCCGCCAACGCTTCCGCCTCCGCTTACAGCCTTTCCAAGAATGCACCCGGCGCTTCCGATGTCAGCAAGAGCGCCAAGAGTGCTGCTACCCAGGCCAGCAAGAGTGGCAACTCGATCTACAATGCCGCCTCCAAGAGCGGCTCTTCGGCTTACGCTCAAGCTTCGCACGCCGTCAACAAGGCCATCGACGACAGTACCGATTACGTCTACTCGACTTGGAACGATAACGACTTGCGCTCATTCTTGGAGTCCAAGGGTATTATCACGTCCAACACCCAAGCTACTCGAGATGAGTTGCTCGCCAAGATGAAGGATGCATACAGCACCACTGTTGATGCTCCTTATGAGACTTTCAGTGATAGCTACCTTCACAACTGGCTCGTTGATCACGGTGTTATCAAGAGCCCAGCTCAGAAGACACGAGATGAATACCTCGCTCTCGCCAAAGACTACTACACTACCGGAACCGAAAACGTCTACGACACCTGGAAGGAGAGCGATATGCGCGATTGGCTCATCAAGAACAACTACATCAAGTCTGACTACCAAGCCAAACGTGACGATTATCTCGACTTGATTCGAAAGAACTACAACTCGGCCGAATCTGAAATCTGGTCTTCCTGGACCGACAGCGATCTGCGTAACTGGCTGATTAACAACGGATACATGAAGTCCGACGCTCAGGCTAAGCGCGACGAACTCTTGAAGCTGGCTCAAAAGCATGGGAAGGAGGCGAACAAGGAGGCAAAGGAGTACATCTCTTGGAGCGATGCTCGTCTGCGTGAGTATCTCAGGAGCAGCGGTATGCCACTGGAAGCGATCCCCAAGAAGAGGGACGAGTTGTTGAGGCAGATGAGGGCTAGATACACCGGTCACAGGGGCATTTTCAGTTATATCAAGGATGGTGTCAGACAGGCCTACTTTGGTGTACAGGATATTTTGGGTAGTGGACAACAGACGGCGGCTCATGCCAGCATCAGTGCTAGTGGAGCAGCTAGTCAGGCTAGTGCCAGTGCTGCCAGCGCTACTGCTAGGGTTAAGGACGAGTTCTAAGCCAAGCACCACCTCGCTGGTCTCGTTCAAATCCTGGTCTTTGAAACAATGCTAAGCAGAAAATCATGTAGCCGCCTCGACAGAATGTATATCCTCCGGATCTTCACTTCCTTCTTTGGGGGTTGCAGTGAGAGCAAAGGCGAGCCTGCATCTCTCCAAATGTATCCAAGACAATCGTCGTAGTGCAAATTCAGTCTCTACTTTGTAAGCATGCTGAGGAGATAAATAAGGCGCAAAAACTGACGTGGTGATGTAGAAATATAAAGAAGTTTGGTCCCGATAACTGGCGATCGGGGAGAGTCTGAGTACGATGTCACTGCTGCTTTAAGACAGAAACATGTATACTCGATTGACTAAGAAGCATGGTGAGAGCCTAGCGCTCCCAGCTTGATATATATACATCTGGATGGTACATGCCGATTGTGGGTGTATCCTCCTTAATGACGAAGCCTGACAACGAGCGGGACCATGTTGTACCCGATCTTTGATCAGATCGGCTTCTCCCGATCCCTCCCGTATCGTCTTATGTCATCTTACATCATCGTATTGGATTGCTATTTTCAACAGGTGAAAGTACCAAAAACGCGGAAATCGGCCTTGAAACCCGCTGTCGCACAGACGCTAAGAACTGCACTGACCACTCTAGACCCCTTGTTCCTCTTCTCATCTTCAACCCCATCAGGCACAGTATCTCGCACACCATCACCGCGAACTTTCCCTTGCTCAAAACCGACCAGCAACCTCCGAACAGAGCTGCGAAAGTAAAACAGAGATGCCTCCTAAACCACGTCAAACACTCGCTCGCCCCTCTCAACCACCCCGGCCTTCCACCAACCCCACCTCCTCCTACCCCTCTTCAGCCTCACCCGCTCCACCACAAGTTAAGCGTCGTAGATGGTTTCACTCCAAACCAACCCTAATCCTTCTCCTGCTCCTCCAACCCTCGATCCTCCTATTCGCATTCATCCTCCTAACCGAACCATGTTTGAACCCTTCATTCAAGCCTTCGTTGTGGGATAAACGCAATTATCTCTCCCTACTCTCTACTCCTGGTGCTATACCCCAGGGGGAATGGAAGGCAAGGTTTCGTAAGGCCGGGCTGAGGGCTTTGTTCGGGAGTGGGGTCGTGCAATGTTGGTTTGTTGCTAGGTTAAATGGGTATGTGCAACGGGCTAGTTTGGAACATGAACGAATCCTTACTGCTTTAAGACAGGGCGGAAAAGTAAAGACGGACGAAGGGAATGTGAAGGGGAAGGGGGTGCAAGTAGGATCTTTCATCCGGCAGTTAGAAAGTGTATCCCTAACACTTCTAGGTCTTCCATTCATAATCGCAGCATTTTACCTAGCGATAGTTCTAGCTGGAGCACCATTATGGGAGGATGCAAAGGCAACTTTGATTGTTGCTACTCAACTATCTCTTCTTATCGGTCTTCCTTTGGTTCACGTTCTCGGTCTACCCGCTCTCGAATCCGACCCACTCTCTTCCAACACCAACCCCACCGCACCCACCTCAAACACTAAAAATGCGTCAACAATCGCAACAGAACCAGCTGAAGCAGCCAAGTCCAACTTCTACTCAGTAACCTCTCCAACACCAGCAAGTTCGACATCAAACACATCCATCCCCAACACATCCAGATACTGGATTTCACTACTCACCCTCAAACCCAACCCGACTTTCCTTCTACCCCTCTACTACCCATTCATCTTTACTGTGATAGGAACGATAGCAAGCACGGCCGTATTGGCTTTGGATTGGCAAGTCAGTTATCAAACCTTCCCTTACCCTCTCCTCGTAGGCAGTCTTTTAGGGTTGGCAATCGGCAATCTCTACACAATTTGCATCGTTCTGCTCGGCTAGAAACGACACCTCTTTCGCTCATTGGGAATAGTACAAGGTTGCTGCGAATTGTTGTAGCCTTTGTTTTCCGTGTGTACGGATACAGTATTGTGTTTTAGGGTTGCGTCGAGGATCGAGGAGGACCAGGAGAAACAGGATTTTCTTCATTGGGAAGATCCAACATCACTCTACCCCCACTCCTCTCCTTCCCACTCGCGATGCTCGCCGGAGGCAAACTCAGAGACTCCATCTCTTCGCCTCTCTCCCTAGTAATCTCTCTCCTCAACCCGCTCCCCTGCGTTGGACTCCTTCTCGCACTCCCTTGCTCACCATTGTGACTGGGGAACAAATGAGGATGAGAGCTAGGCCCAGGATTACCCATCCCCTCCCCCTTCGGCGCAGTAAAGTTGCTGAAGAATGCACCAATCTTGTTCATTCCATTCCTAATCCCCATTCCTCCATGCCTTCGCTTTCCCTCGCTCTCCTCATCACTATCCGCTTCCTCATCATCAGTTTCATCGAGCGAGTATACTCTGGCGTCGCGAGTGAGTTCTTTCCCACTGGAAGAGGAGCCGTTGAAGGTGCGAGATCGACGAGAGAAAGCGTCTGCTCCAGCAGCGTTGATCGGTCCACCCCTACGAAGATGGTCGTGGGAGTGATCGGCAACGTCTGACCATTGCACCGAAGAGTTTCTGCTCATATCTTTTTCCTCTGCGCCAGCTGCTCCGCTAAAGCCTAGACGGGAGGAAGAAGGAGCGGCGGTAGCTTTGAGGATGGGTGAATTGGATGCTTCAGATCGGAAAGAGGGAGCTAATCCTGCCCCGGCTGAGGAGGATCGAGGGAAGAATTTCTCCCCTTTCTTGCCGTTCCCACCTGCGTTGCGGAAGGAAGAAGGCGGACTCATCCGCTTCGAAGAGGAAGAAGAAGAAGCAGGTTCGGAGATCATGACTCTCGGTGTCGTATACCCCTGCTCCCCTACTTCGGACGCTGGATCATCGTCGAGAACTTGTTCATCAGATCCTTCCTTACTAGCTGTAGACTTGCGTCTACCCGACAACCCAATTTGACCACGAAGCACCTTCTTTCTCAAATCCCCCCTTCTAGTCACCCCACTACCTCGCCTACTTGCAGCTTGTAATAATCTTGGTGCACTCCCTGAAGGTGCCGCATTCGGCATCTTCCTCTCCCCCTCTGTAACCTGAGCACTAGTACTTGCAACCGGAACACTCGAATCCCCCACCTGAACACCTTCTCCTCCCGGCACATCATCATGTATAGCCCGAAACACAACTGGAGCCATCGCATCCATCTCGCTCTCCTCTTCCGTCCTATCTCTCCTCTCCATAGCCTCCTTCCCCTCCCTCCCCTCCCTACCCTCTTCCTCACCCCTACCGGTCCAGTTCATAGCACCGAACATCAAATTCATTCTCTCATTTCTCTCTTGCTCCGTCTCCTCCTTCGGTTGTTCGGCCTTTACATAGTGTTTCTTATTTTTGGTAGGCCACCATTTATGTACTTTATTCTCCAACAACTTGCTGATCGACTCGGTTGCGTCCCAACCAGCATGATCGTTGTGTCCGAAAAAGGCAGCTAACTCGTGGTGGTTTTGTTTGACCCAATCCTGCGCCGGTGCATCGGATCCTTCGAGGGAATCACGCTCATCATCGGTGAGCGGGATCACTTGTACTTCCGGATCATCGGAATAACTCTTCTGATACTCGAGAACGAGGTTATGCCCTTCGACCCAAGATCGGAGTTGAGGCCAATTGTGGCTATTTTTTTCGCTCGTAGAGTCGCGGGCACAGGAGGTATGCGCTTGACCCTGGCGATCGTCTGGAACAGCAGGATCTTGTTCGTCAGAGTGAACTCGGCCAAGGATGATGTCGCGATCCATAGGCGCCTCACCGAGGTCTTGCTCTTCTTCGCGGGAAGCACCAAGTCGACCAGCTTCTTCTGCAGAGTGACGTTTCGCTCGTGCGTTTGCCAACTTTGCTTCCCTGTTCGCCTGCATTCGCTCTCTGTAGCGACGCATCTCGCAACAGTTGTCGCCGAGATAGTCGGATGCTGGATTGAAGTCTTCCTCGTCAGCTTCCCAGTCTTCGATCCCATCCATGTCCTTACACGCCCTCTGTCTCCCCTCCGCACTAGGATCCCCATCCTTTGCATCGACCTTCTCATTGAAATGCTGCCCAACTGCATACCCCTCAGCCTTCTCCAAATCCCTCTCAATGCTCCTATTCAAGAACCCGACCAACCCTCTCCCCCCCTCACCTACCTCCTGACTACTACTACTACTCTGCCCGCCCTCCCTCTCCTCCTCCTCCGCATCCTCCTCACTTCTTGTCTGGCCCCTCAACTCATCCTCCCTATACCCGCCAATCGCGCCTCTTCCGATCAACGCCAAGTGCTGAGCACTCATCTTCTCAGCACTAATATCATCGGTATTAATCACAATATCATCCCCCTCCTTGACCCTTCTCACCCTACTCATCCAACTGGGTTCATCATCCCTTATGGACGGATTCCTACTCCAGGTCCTAGTCAACGTATGCGCTCTCCTCCTTGCATTCTTGCCAAACGCAAAGAACGGGATGGTGAAACCATGAACGATGATCGAACACAGAACGAAGAAGTATACGATCGGCTGAATTGTCAAGGCTAGCACGTCGTTACTCGTCTCTGGCGGATCGGGGATGTCGTGAGGCATAAGGGTGCGGCCGAGGGTAGCGATAAAGATGGCTCCAACGCCCATGGGGCCGAAATGGCCACAGAAGATGGCCTCGCGGAAAGTTTTGATGTCCGGGATGAACTTCCATAGGGCTAGGATGATCGGGATTCGTTTTGTGAGAAGTACGCATATCGTCAAAACAATGAGTCTCCAGATGGATAGTCCGATGCTCGCATCGACAAAGTCATGCCACGGTATGAGCGCACCGATGTAGATGAAAGTGGCAATGTTGAACAACAGATCAACAATGTTGGAAAAGTTGGAATCTTCGGTCTGCTTTGTAAACCATCCATCCCAGGCAAACGCCGTTCCACAAGCAAAGGCGGCCAACAGATCATCCGATCCCAGCAACACGTTGACACCCATACTAGCAATCGCCAAGGAAATATACTGGGCAACGAAGGATTCTCGATCTATCAGCTTGTTCCTTTCGGAGAAGCGCATGAACTTGCGTGCTGCATATCCTATCAACGCTCCTAACAAGGTGCCGAGGATGATTTCGTATGCCCAAGTCTCATAGAACCATTTGCCAATCGCATAACCCGTATCCTCCCTGTTTTGCGTCAGGTAGAGGGCAAGGTAAAGGAAGGGGAACGCCGCACCATCATTGCAACCCGATTCGCACATCAACATATGCCTGACGTGCGCCGGGACATGTTTCTCGGCCCAAGGACCACCCACGACGGCCTGAGCCAGAATGGGATCTGTGGGTGAAACGCAGGCGGCGACAACCAAGGAATTCAAGAAATCTAACCCAGGAATCAAAGCATAGATCAAGCCGGCGGTCACCAACCACCCCCATGCCATAACGGGACCCAACAAGATGGCAATCGACTTGAAATGTCTCAGCAAATACTTCCTGGGCAACTCCACCCCGATAGCAAAGACGGACAGTGCGATGGTAACACGCATGATCTCGAGGGTGATTTCATCGGTAGCAACGCCTCCCGGGGTAATGCCATCTTCGTGCATCCATGCTGCAGGATTGAAAAGACCAATGGCGATAGGGCCGACGATGATGCCGAATGCAGCTGCAATGGGTGCCTCGCCAAGATAGAGACGTTCTTTGATGAAGAGGGAAAGATAGGAGAAGATGCAAATGAAAAGACCCAGACCGACATAGACGAGATGAACGGGGGTGACTTCGAATGGACGGAAGCCTTTGTGTTCGCCTACGGCCATTCTTGTCGATGTGGCCTCCCTAGGCAGGCGTCTGGCTTCAAGTGCGGTGGTGTTGGGCGTTGCTCGACTGTAGGAGTAGCACGAGTTTATGGTAAGGTGGGAGGTGACGATGAAGATGGTGACGACATTCGCAAAAGTGAAGGCTGATCCGCCAGCGATAAGGCGAGAGAGAGAGATTACAGATGGGTGCCGAGCGGGAAGCTGAAGCGGTGTATGCGAACAAAGGTGATGTAAGCTGTCTGAACGAGCGGCGATGTCGGTGTTGATAGCAGAGCGGTGATGAAGATAAAATAAAGCAACGTCGAGAGCAAAGTCGTGGACAAGAAGCTTTTCGACTGAAGCTGCGTGATGGTGTATAGCCGGCAGCCTGGTCAACGAATCGCAAAGGTGTATGCTAGGTAACGGTGATGATGGTCAAGAGGAACGCTTGCGAGGGCTGCCCAACACCTGGCTCAGCAAGATTCGAGTGGCACAGCCAGCCCCGATAAATTCGCTTCCTTCCGGACTTGAACTGCAAACGGCGATAACATCATCCTCATTTTATCAAGCTCGGTCAATTCGGTCGTTTGACAGACGATTCTTTCGATTCTGTTTGCGATCGAAGCAAGGTTCCTTGTTTCGAACCGAGGTGGCAGTGCTTCTTGTTGGTGGGGGTTGAGCTCTTTCCGCCTTGTTGTGTTTGGAAGCATCCTCGTCACTTAATGCTTGGTTACACGGCGTGACAAAACTTTCCATGCCAAAAATAAAACGACTTGGCAGGCAATTGAAGATTGCAGGTAAAACGCGACCGATCGGAGCCACTAGCAAGCTCTCGTATGCAGTCGTATTACTTCTTGAATGCTTATCTTATATTAATGTGATGCTGCATACATGGTCATATATATACTTAGCAATCTCCTTCAGCCTGTGCCAATGTGCTGATGTGTCACTTCTCATGTTACTCCTGAGTTGTTGTCTCTTGTGCATTATCGTAACAACTCCTATGCATCCCACATGTGTCGCCACCTATATGCACCTTTACTTAATTATTAGATTGCTTAAATTCTGTGGACCCTGTATGGTTCTGTGGACCCTGTGAATCCCATTGGGATGCTGATGCATCTTCAACTCCCCCCTTTGACAGCACTACCAACCCTAACAACTGAGATAGCCATGATGTTGCTAAACCCTTCAATGGTTTTGTTAAAATGTCTGTGACATTGTCTGCCATTCCAACAAATTCTATCTCTATCTCCCCATCCTGAATGTGATCCCTAATGAAATGATATCTGGTGTCTATGTGTTTCAACTTCCAGTGCTTTGCTGGTTCCTTACTCACCTGTATACATCCCTGACTATCTGAACATAAGACTGGACAAGCAATGTCAATTTCTAAGTCCCTGAGGAGGTATGAAAAGAAGAGTGCCTCTCTCACCTCACTGCTTCTGAGGCAGCAATGAACTCAGCTTCCACTGCTGATAGCACCACACATTTTTGGACATGTGACTTCCAGCTAACTGGGCACCCATATATATACATCATTGCTCCCAATGTACTTCTCCATCCATTCATTGGGTCCGAAGCCCAATTGGCATCACTATACATGACAATCAGCTGCTTCAAGTGTTTGCTTGATCTGCTCCCAAGATTCAGTCGGTAGTTACTGGTTTGGTTGAGATACTTCATCAAGTGTATAGCAGCCTTCCATGTGCTGTTGGTTGGGGTTGACATATATCTTGCCAGTATTCCCACTGTGAACGATTTGTCGGGTTGTGTGGTATTTGCTACCCATAACAATTGTCCCACCAGTTCCTGGTATTGTTTTGCCTCTAGGGAATCACATTTATCATTTCCTATGGTATTAGGTATTTCTGGCATTGGTACCCATGATTTCTGATCCATCAACTGTAGCCACTTACTCACCATGGCCTTGGTGTAAGCAGTCAAATCAATTGACATCTCCCTTCTTGTCCTGTCTCATTTGATGTTGATGCTGAGGAACTCTTTCACTGGGCTGTTATCCTCTGTTCCCCACTTGGACATTATCTCCCTTTTGGTGTGATCCACCTCCTTATGACTGGGCAAGGCTATAAGCATGTCATTGACATAGGCTGTAATAATGGTTAGGTTACTTCTGGTCCCTCTTGAATACAGACAGGGTGCACTCAGCATGCAGTGAAAGTCTATGCTCTGCAGGTATGAATCCAACTCTATGTTCCATTCTTGCCCTGATTGTTTCAGTCTGTACAGTCCTTTTATTAGCTTCAAAGCCTTTCCAGGTGGAATTTTCATTCCAAATGGTGGTTTCAAGAATACATCATGATGTAGTGTTGAGTTTAGATATGCTTGCTTGACATCAATACTATCTACTTCCCAGTCATGAACCACTGCTATGGCTAAGACTCCTCAGATTGACTGAATGGGTGTGACAGGCACAAACACTTCAGTGTAGTCTATGCCTTCTCTTTGTGTGAAACCTCTTGCCACCAGTCTTGCCTTAAACTTCATCAGAATGAGATTTGCATCTGTTTTGATTTTTAATACCCAATGTGTGTTGATGGCATGCATACCTTTGGGAAGATCAACAATTTCCCATGTATCCATGGCTTTCAAACCATCCAGCTCTTTATGCATTGCTTCCTCCCAATGCTTCCTGTCCTCTCCTGACAATGCTTCGCTGACTGTTGGGTCTAGATTCCTTCCCTTTTGATTGTTTATTGCCATGAGTCCATAGTGATTGCTATCAGTCCATGTGTTGTCAAACATGTTGGTGTCAGTATTGGCCCCACATTCTATTGCCTTTGTTGCATCTTCACCCAGGTCTTTTTCGTTGTTCAATCCATCTGTTTCTTTCATATTTGTGTACTCATTCAGTGGCTCCTCCTCTTGTTTGTCAAAGAGGTTCATATCTGTGTATCCAAGATCATCTATGTCTCCTTTGTCTGCTAGTGCTGGTGGTGGGTGCATGTTTACTGGTTTTCACTCTGTTTTGTTGGACCAGCATTTTGTCTCCATGAATCTAGCTGAGTTGCTCCAAAAGATGTTTGGGCTGTAGTCTGGGCTGTAGAAGAGCCATCCTTTTCTTTCCAGACTATACCCCAAGAAGATAGATGCTACTGCTCATTGATCTAACTTTTTATTATCTCTTTTAACCTTGGGGACATTTACCCATGCTAAACATCCAAAGACACATAGGAGTCTCATGAGTCGCTCTGGCAACTTCCCAAACATGACTTGGTATGGGAAGGCATGAGCAGCATTCGCATCTTCTCACCCAAGCTTCTGTTCATTCTCTCCACACATCCATTCTGTCTGCTATTGTACCCTACCATCATTTGCCATTCAATGCCCTTTTCATATGCCCACTGAAGTGCATCATTGCTTCTCCATTCTGTACCTTGGTCAGATCATATTGCTTTCAGATTCCTTCCCATCTGTGTCTCAAGATATGATATGATTGTCTTGAGCTTGGGAAACATGTGACTCTTTCATAGCAAAGGCTGCGCATATACATACTTGCTGTGGTTATCAACCAGTACCAGCATGCATGTGTATTCTGTCACATGCAACAAATTGACTATCAAGTTGATGTGGATGAGATCAAGTGGAGAGACAGATTTCTCTCCACTACCTTGCCCCATTCGGGCTGCCATGCTTTTGGATCAGATGCATGGCTCACATATCATAGCAGTCCCTGGGTTTAGGTTTGCTGTGTCATTTCCTCCTAAGCAGTTGATGATGGCCCTCATCTTATCTCAACCTGGGTGTCCCAGATGTTCATGCCATAGTTGTTGTTCAGATATTTTGGCTTTGTTCTCAATATGCTCGAAATCTTCATCAACACCTTCAAATAATGGTGTTGATGTGATCATTGCATTTTCCTTCCATGTGTCACCTTGGAACTCCAAAAGTCCTCGCTCACAATTCTTGGTTATTTTGAGTAGCATACTGTTTGCTAAGTGTGTCTGCCCTCCAGTTGAGTCTAGCATCACTCGTGCTCCTTCATCTGTCAGGGAATTTGTGACAATAGGTTAACATTGAGATGCTGAACATACAATACATTTTGGAGAAAAACATCTCTGTGACTTGTTGATATGCTAGCATCCCCTATAGCAGTTGCTTCCAGAACCTCGCTTCCAGTGGTGAATATGCGCTTTTGGCAGGTTCTCGGACTAATGAGCATGCTATAGTTGTTTACCATGTGATAGCTGGCACCTGAATCTAGGATCCCATGATGGTTCCCTTTTGAATCTGGGGGGCTCTGCCAACTCAGTGCGAAGGAGCACCAGGCTTCCTATTTGGGCCTGGCGAGGGGGGAATTCTCTGGTATGGTCACTGATGCATCACATTGACTGATCCTGTGTCCAGGCCTCTTGCAGATCCAACATCAGAGCCTTCGAGGTCTAGTGGCGACTTTGGCACTGGTGCTGTCAGCATCCTTTTTGTCTTTCTCCTCCTTTCTGGGTGTCTCATCCTGGTCGTCACTGCTGGTGACTCTGGCACTTGCTTGATGGGGGTCAACTCTCGGAGTGGGGTTGTTCTCGATTGCCAACTGCTGGATGGATAGGGTGGTGGTGAGAGCATTAAAGCTAAGCTGGCTGATGGTGGCAATGGTCTCCTTGTACATTGGGTGTCAGATAGTGCACTTTTGTAGATTAGAAAACAGGGTGTCATCAGTGAATGGCTTTCCCAGTAAGCTGCTCTCTGTTTGGATGGTCCTTATTTCCTGGATAAGCTTTCATACATCTGAGTTGTACATCCTGAGTTCACCTAGCTGAGCAATTAATGCAATATGATGAGATATGGCAGTGGCCTCATTGGTGAGTCCATTTTCAATCTTCTTCCATACATGATGGAACATATGGTGCTCCCTGATGATGTCAAGAATCAAGTAATTGATATTGTATTCTCCAGTGGTGTCAATGGTACTGCATAATGCATTTGTCAAAGCATCATCAAATGTGTGGTTCCATTTGGGATGTTTCTTGTCATATGCTCCATCGAGATGCTTCATAGCATGAGGAACACATCATAGAAAGGACTTGATATGGGCATTCCAACTATAATAGTTGTGTGATGTGAGTTTTGGGATGGGCTCAAGTAGTTTTGCTAGGGTACAAAAATTGTATTGCTTTCTATTGTTGTCATGATCCAAGTCAGAGTCAGTTTCTTCCTCAGTGTCATCATCGATCACCTTGGTGTCTGATTCATTGGTGGCCTCATTGTCAATGGCTTGCAGTTGCATTGCCTTTCCCTTTCTTCCTCCTTTGGCCTTGCTTGTGACAGCTTGAGCTTTGGCCTCTTGTACCATGTTGTCGATGATCCCGGTTGGCTTAGTCGGTAGAGCCTCAGACTCTTAATCAATTGAAGATTGCAGGTAAAACACGACTGATTGGAGCCACTAGCAAGCTCTCATATGCAGTCATATTACTTCTTGAATGCTTATCTTATATTAATGTGATGCTGCATACATGGTCATATATATACTTAGCAATCTCCTTCAGCCTGTGCCAATGTGCTGATGTGTCACTTCTCATGTTACTCCTGAGTTGTTGTCTCTTGTGCATTATCATAACAACTCCTATGCATCCCACATGTGTCACCACCTATATGCACCTTTACTTAATTATTAGATTGCTTAAATTCTGTGGACCCTGTATGGTTCTGTGGACCCCGTGAATCCCGTTGGGATGCTGACGCATCTTCAACTCAGGCACTGTGTCATCTGTTCTAGCGCGCTAAGTGCGCATTTGTAAATGGCATGTTAGACCTACTTTCGACTCACATCCCGCGTCCCGCACTTTGTTTGTGTAGCTTCTAATGCAGGGTCCAACACTTGTTCCTACTAACCTCACCACCCTCCTCCTCACCACCATCCACGCCTCCCCACCGCACACATCATAGAATAGCGGCAAGATGATAGATCGCACCTCCTACTCCTCCTCCTCCCTCCTCTTCACCATCCGCACAGCCCTGTCCTCCACCCCGCCTTCGGTGTCCGCCGGAGGCAAACTCCGAATCCACACCCTCTTTTCCATCCCACGTCAAGTTCAATCCCTTTACCCCCTCGCTCATATCCACCCAACCGATCTGGAATACAATAAGCGGGCACAATCCATTGTGGCACTCGAAGAACAGGTTTTTGTCACTGCTACCTACACTCCCCACCCGCACCCCTCCTCCACAACGCCTTCCGACGCGAAAGATGCTCCGCTATTGGTGCTAGCAATGGAGCTCTATCTGTATACAATCCCCGAATTCTCCTCTGCAGTCCTCTACATCTCCAAGCTCGATACTACCGGATATGGCCCAAACTCCATCCCTTTGTCGCTTCGATCTCGTTTATCTGACCAGGTATTCGGTAACGTCGAAGGGGGAAGGAGATTCGGGGGTACACTTACCGCCACATTAACAGCAGCGGTAACCGAGCATTTTACGAGCTTTAAACACTGGGATGGAAAACAGTACCCCGTTTTTCATCTCTCGGTGTATATACTTGCGAGGAGTCAGAGGGCCTATTTGTTTCCTTCGAGCCCCGAGAACAGGGATAAAAGGGTATTGAGTGATGGAGGATTGATTAAATGGTGGAGAGGCGTGATGAGCCATGTCGTTGTTTCCACTCGCAATACTTCTTCCCGTATGAGGCGGAATAATACGGGTGAGGGGGAGGGGGAGATTGATGCAAGAGCGTACTATCTTATCCCGGGGTACAATCAACTCGAATCACATCCGCTTGTGCCTCTTATCCGAGACAGCTCCAACTCGGCCTCTTCAACATCCAACCATCGCACCGCAGAGCATATACCAAGGGAAGCAAGATGGACATACGGACATCCATACAGCCCCCTGGGAGCACATTGTGCGCAATCGGATCTTCCGCCTTTGCCGCTGCATTGGAGAAACAGCAAGTTTGTGATAAGCAAGAGTGCAGGGGACAGGGAAGGCGAGGATAAAGTGCAACAAGATCCAGAAGGGCAACGTTACGATCCGAAGAAAGCTCGAACGGTCCCAACTTTGATGCCGCACTTTTCAGACGATCCAAAGACGAGGTTTTTAGACGAAATGGCTCGTGATGCTCATGAACACTCTGGTTGGAAGAAGAAAGGCACTGGGAACAACAGCAACAACGTTGCGCAAGAAGGCCTGGTGGCATCGGGCCTGACGGAACGGAACGGCATCGAAAACCAAATCGAAATCGATATTGCCAGCCTAGAGGGAGAAAATGGCGCCGAGGAACACACAAGAAGTGGTGAGGAGGGGGAAAAGGCCGAAGAAGGTAGCAAAAAGCGATCAGCCTCAAATGAGAGAACCGCAGGAAGAGAGGCCAAGAGATCGAAAACGACAGAAGCGAGTTCAGCAGACAAACCAACATCCACGACTTGGGGCATACCCCTCACCACCCTCCGTGCATTGATGAGAGAGAGACAGGCCATGGACGATCTGCCCATCGACGAGTTCTGGGAACGGATGGCGTTTCGACAAGAATGCTGTTCTGGAAATGCTGTTGGCGTCATTGTCGTTCTGTTTACCCGCGTACCACCCAACTGGCCGACGGATGTGGAGAAAAGGTTAAACTTGGAGCGTCAACCGCTCTCACTACCCTACAAAGTCCTGGGAGACCTGGCATTCAAATGTCTGATGAAGGATAGCTGTGAGTGGAACAAGCCCGCTCTGGCTCGTACACTGACCGAAGCTTGGTCTCAAGGGGTAGATAGGCAGGTTAGACGCAAGGGAGGGTTGAAGCAGTTTCTCGGAGAAGAAGGAAGAGCGGAGGAGGCAGAGGCGGAGGCGGAGGCAGGGTTGGTGGGTGAGGGAGTGATTTGGGGGGATTTCGAATTGGTGGCTCCGAGTGAGGAGCAGTTGGAGGCGGCGAAGAAGGAATTACAAGGGGGAGCTGTGGGAGCGAATGGGCAAGGGGTGGCGAATACGTTGAGTGTTAAACGGAAGAAGAAGCCTCAAGCCTAAACACACACACACTGTAATCAGAAAGAAATGGTTTTTGAGTATCGAAATGTGTGGTATTGCAATGTATGTGTAGAACGAGGGTGTATCGATTATGATCTGTGAGAAGGGGAAGCAGGGGGAGGGGGAGGTTGGGAACGATGCGATTGTGAAGCGTGAAGATAAGCTGGGAACAGGGGGGATGCTATCCTTCCTCCCCTCTGACTCTCTCCCTTTGGCTCTTCTCGCTCCACCTTACCATTCTCTCCTTCTCCACTGCGTACTGTGTTCACTGTTGAGGGCTTCGCTTGGGGTACAACCAGACCCACCTTCTTCTCCCCTCCACCAGTAATCGTTCCTCCCAGCCCCCCCTCTGCCACCGGCACGGCGACTAAGCTCAACAAGTTTGCCGCTTCCCAAACTCTGCCAAACCGGTCGGCATCCCCTACAGCCATCTCCATCTCCACCCATCTTTGCATCAAGTTATTCTTTATCCCTTCTTTCCTCGCTCGCTCCCCCACGATACATGCCCACGGCGGCGGAGTTGCATTCCACCCACCGTCGTTGTTGCGCATATGGCTCCTATCACTGGCAAAGCAACTCGAATACTCGCTTGCGGCGACCGTTCTGAACATGGGTTGGAAGTGCTCTGGAATGCGACGCATCTGTATTGCATCTGGTCGGAAAGTTTGCTCTTTGTACATTTCCCACGGAACCACCGTCAACTGCTGCGTTCGGGTGGGTTGGGAAAGGCGCGAGTCGGGATCGTATACCCAGCTCCTCCCCCACTCCAAGCGCGACATCTTGAAGCAAGCGGGTGTTGAGAGCTGGCCAGAAGAGTCGAGGCAGAGGTGGGTGATGGGAATAAGATGACAGGTTGCAAGCGCAACGACGTGGTAATCCCAAATCACAGGCCAGCCTGCGTTTGGTAGTTTAGACGCCTTTTGTTGATACAGTAGCACGCTTTTGTTAGAGTTGCTGATGAAGGTCGGTTCGAGGTCCCATACTGGAACGAATAGCGTTGGCGTTGGGCTTGGACCTCGACTCTTGCGATCGCGCTTAGACTGTGTGAGGGCGATATTGACCGCTGCACGATTAACTTTGGCAAATTGAGCGCCAAGTTGCTGGACGAGGAGATAGATATTCTCCTCGCAGTAGCAAGATGCGTATTGGAGGGGGTCGGGAAAGGGCGGCGGAGTGATGGTCGACCATGCTGCGTTGAGGTCTTCTGCCGATATCGCATCCTTAGCCGCCGGATGGGAAATTGGAAGCGGGCGGTCGAGGGTGCAGTAAGAAGCAGCAACACTCGGCACAGGAGGCTCTGCACTATCTCGAAAGTCTGTAGGTGAGAGTCGGGCTCGTATTGATTGCGTGAGAGACTTGCGCCGTTTGAGTTTGGGAGTGGGATTGGAACTGCTGCTACACCTAGCTGAAGTCGCTTCGTGAAAGGCGTTGGTGGTCATTGCTTCGAAGCGTGCTTTGACCTTGACCGGGCTAAAAGCTGGGTTGCTTTGCTGGTTACGAGTGTAGGTGCGTCATGGTGGAGATAAAAGCTGAGTCGGTGCGAATGAGGGTTGTGACAGTGTTGCAACCAGATGGAGTTGTGATGGAAACAAAGGCACGATTGCATTTAAAAGTTAAGTGCTTGCATGGAAAGGGCCCTTGTCAGCAGGCCTGAACTCAACCATCTCATCTCATCTCTTCTGTGTCGCACAAGCTCGATTCAGATTGCCAATCCCGGACCTCCAACTGATATCAGCACTTCTCTTCACAGCGCGATAGGGCACAGCGGGTTCTACCAAAGTGCTCGCAAATATCGATATACTACAAGTAGACAAGGTCGTTGGCACCAAAAGAAGCCAGGATCGCCAGTGGTGAGGCAATCAAGACTAACAACAGCCGCTTAATAGATCGAGAGCTTGTGCTACAGCAACATATGCCCCGACAGTACTGGTTTAGTTGGCCTTCCCTCGTTTCGCCTTTCCCTTCTGGGTCCTAAACTTGGTGACCAAGATGCCCACCTCGTTCTTCAGCTCCTTCTGCAATTCCCGTCTGTAACCAAAATGAAAGATTACTTCCAAGAACACAAAAAAGGGCGCTAGCACCACCGCTCCCAACAAATTGTCCAACAACGCAGGCGCCCTACGCTCGTGTACACCATGACCATAAAACTGGCTGATCCATCCCAGCGCTTTGATTCCGATTGCAATCTTGGTTGCATCCGGGCGGGTTCGGGCGAGGAAAGTCGAGCCGTACCACAAGCCGTACCAAATCGGAGCCAGCATGAAGGCGGCGGTGGTGTCAAGGATCGAGTAATAGAGCCAGTAGCTGCCCATGAAGAGTGCGGAAAGGTTGAGCTGTGCATATTGGAAGATGGAGGAGGGGAGGAGCGAGGAGAGAATGGAGCCGAGTTGGGAGAGGTATGCGGCGAGAAGGGGGGAGTGCTCTTGGATCAAGGGCAAGATTGAACCTTGTTTGGCCAGGAGTGCTGATGTTGCGCTTTTGCACGCAAGTAGGTAGGCGAGGAAATGCACGAGTTTGTGTGAGAGAGAAAGAGAGATAAGTGGTTATTGTCAGCATATCGTTGGATTGTGAAAAGCAAAGGTGAGAAAAGGGTGTTGAGATTGGAATGACACTTACAAAATGATTGAAGGGACACCGATGATGTGGATCCCTACATTGACCGGGTTGGTGTGGTAAGCGCCATAGAAGGCGAGTTGTTTCTTGAGGTTGAATGGGTTTGCTGTGGCCGACATGTTTGCTTTTTGGCTAGATGCTTTCGCTAAGGCATGTCGAGATGATGATGGTCGTGGTTGTTGGATGGAAGGAAACAAGAAGGTGTCATCAGACCATCCGGTGGTGAACTGAACAGTGCGCGATACGCTCTTCCGGCTAAATGCTCGGGAATTGCCATTCCCATCTGGTCAAATCGGGCATCAAACATCGGGTATCTCAAATCGGGCATCCCACAAATATCGGGCATCCCACAAATATCGGGCATCCCACAAATATCGGGCATCCCACAAATATCGGGCATCGGGAATGGACTCGATCTCGATCTCGATTTGTTCCAAACCCTCCACGTCGAGACCGTCTTGCACTGAGCCTCGTCAACTGCTTCACCACCACCTCATAGCAGAGGTCATCGGTGACCACACCATCCCTCCTCGACTCACCTCCTGCAGCTACAATGGACCTAGAATCAATCCCGCCAATAACCCTGATCTGGACCTCCTCCATCCTCATCATCGCCCTTCTGGAACACACGCACACCATCTCTTCCTTCCAACTCTTCTACACCCCCTCACTCGTCTTCCGCAAATATCAATTCTGGCGACTCCTCACGACCTTCCTCTATTTCGGACCATTGGGGCTCGACTTTATCTTCCATCTTTTCTTCTTTGTGCGATATTCACGAATGCTCGAAGAAAATTCTTTTGGCGGCCGAACTGGTGGTAGAGCCTCGTACGTCGTTCTCCTCTTCTTCGCCACAGTTTGCCTGTTAGTCCTGTCGCCGTTAACAGCACAGCCGTTTTTGGGCAGCCCGTTGGCGTTTGTACTCGTGTATATCTGGGCGAGAAGGAATAGACATGTAAGATTGAGTTTGTTCGGATTGCTGGTGATAACGGCGCCTTATTTGCCTTGGAGTTTGGTGGGGTTTGGGTGGTTACTACATGGAAGTCTCAAGGCGGTGGTGGGAGATCTGAGCGGGATTGCTGTTGGTCATCTTTGTAAGTATATCGCAATCGCACACGGGAGAGATGTAGGGTTGAGGTTCAAGCTGACCTTTTCAAGTTGCAACGGGTAACGGAACAGATTACTTCCTGGTCGATGTCTGGCCAAGAGAGTTCAGGTCGGGAGGTGGAAGCCTGTTGGCTACTCCGAACTTTCTGTAAGTGTCCACATAACCGCATTCTGCTGGCATTTCAATGAGGGACAAGCTGATTCGAAGATTCTCTTTTGCGTGGTGGCACACAACAGAATCAGACTGCTTGACGGCCAAGTTGAAGAGCAGTGAGGTCTTTTTTGGCATTACCCTTTTGCTTCCGCTCTCTTGCAACGCATTTGTACTGTACTACCATTTCAGCATCGGCATATCACTCCTCCCTCGCATACTAGCTTTCGTTCCTGGTCTGCTCTGTCTGCGTGTAGCTGTGTATTGGTCTCCCGCACGCTATGTCGAAGCCTTGGCCGTGAAAGAAGAGCAAGGTGGAGCCTGAGCCTTGTCCAGCTGGAAATTTTCATGTGGCGAAGAACAGAAAGCGGAAAATTGCAACCTTGACCTTGAGCTCTTCTTGTAACACCACCACCACCACCACCACCACCACCACCACCACCACCCTCTCCCTCTCCCTCTCCCTCTCCCTCACCAAACACCGTCTCGCATCCTTGCAGCGTGCCTCGTGACATTGCCCATCATGGCGGATAGACCAAACAAACTCGCCTTCCTCTCAATGCCAGCACCCCCCGGTTACGTCGCCGGTCTAGGTCGAGGTGCATCAGGATTCACCACTCGAGCCGATATAGGTCCTGCTCGACTCCCCGCCTCTACCTCCTCCAAGCCTTCTGACGATGCTGCTGGATCCGATGCTGGATCAGACGAGGGCAACGGTGAAGAAGAGTCTGGTAGATTTGACGATCCGGAAAACGAAACAAACCTATTCGCCGGCACCATCTACGAAAAAGATGACGAAGAAGCAGATCGAATCTGGGAGTCTGTCGATGAGCGAATGTCTCAACGTCGACGAAAATTTCGTGAAGCACGCCAACGAGAAGAGCGAGAGAAGGCTCGTTCAGAGAAGCCCAAGATCGGAGCACAGTTTGCTGATTTAAAGCGAGGATTGAGTGCGGTTACGCAAGATGAATGGGCCCGTCTTACAGACAGTGGCAGTGTGACGGGGAAGAAAAGAAAGGCAGCGGCGAAGAGGGAAGCGAGGAATACGAGGAGTTTTGCGATCTCGGATACAATTTTGGTCGGGAATAGGGATCGAAATGCCGTTCAATCTGCACTAACGGAGGATCAAATGGGGGAAGGGGAGGGCGAAGGAGGTATGCTAACCAGTCTAACCGAGATAGGAGAGGCAAGGAATAAGATCCTCTCCCACCAACTTGATGCTGCCTCTTGGAGCACCTCTGGTACGGCGACTTCGATTGATCCTACGGGCTATCTTACTCAACTTTCCTCGTCTAACATCAAGACCTCTGCTGAGATTGGCGACATCAAAAAAGCACGCTCTTTGCTGGATTCGGTGATCAAAACCAACCCCAAGCACGCTTCAGGATGGATTGCAGCAGCACGAGTCGAAGAAGTCGCTGGAAAAATATCCAAGGCCCGTAAGATCATCACGCAAGGTTGCCAACATTGTCCTCGCTCCGAAGATATCTGGTTGGAAGCAGCTCGACTGAACACGAAAGAAAACGCCAAAGTCATCCTCGCCCGCTCCATCCAACACGTCTCGCAATCGGTCAACATCTGGCTTAAAGCCGTCCAACTCGAATCCGACCGGGAAAGCCAAAAACGAGTGCTGCGTAAAAGTCTCGAATACATCCCCAACTCGGTGCAACTTTGGAAAGAACTCGTGAATCTCGAAGAAAATGCGCAAGACGCACGGATTCTCCTCTCTGGAGCTGTATCTGCTGTGCCTCTAAGCATCGATCTCTGGCTAGCCCTAGCAAGGCTATCCCCAGCGGAGCAAGCGAAAAAAGTGTTGAACGAGGCGAGGAAGACGATCCCTACCTCGCACGAGATTTGGCTTGCAGCCGCACGACTATTGGAGCAAGTGGAGGGAGATGGTGGTAAAGTGGACAAGACTCTTGCTGCTGCGGTGAAGGCGTTGAGGAAAGCAGGGGTTGAGTTGTCAAGAGACCAATGGTTGCAGGAAGCGGAAAGGATGGAGAAGCAAGCAAGCCCGATGGTTTGTAGTGCGATTGTCAAGGCGACTGTTGAGTTGGATATTGAAGAGCAGGATAGGAGCGCAGTGTGGGTTGAGGATGCACAGTGTGCTTTGCAGAGAGGTTGTGTGGAGACGAGTAGGAGTATCTTAGCTTATACCTTGAACATTTTCCCGCATCGGCCCGCGATTTGGACTCAGGCTGCCATGTTGGAGAAGCAGCACGGTACACGACCAAAGCTGGAGGCCTTATTGGAAAGCGCGGTTAGTCATTGTCCCAAGGCAGAGCAACTTTGGCTTATGTACGCTGGGGAGAAGGCCGATGCAGGGGATATTGGAGGAGCGAGAAGTGTACTCATTAGAGCCTTTGATGCGAATATCGGATCAGAGAAAATCTCGCTTGCTGCAGCGAAGCTAGAATCGGAGAATGGACAATTGATTGCAGCAGGCAAACTGTTGGAGAGAGCAAGGGTGGAAGTGGGAAGCGAAAGGGTATGGATGAAAAGTGTTGTGTTTGAACGAGATCATGGATCCCCCCAACGAGCGATGGAGTTGGTGCAAGAGGCGATGACCAAATTCGCATCTTTTGACAAACTCTATATGATTGCTGGTCAACTGCAACCCCTTCTCCACCCATCTGATCCAACGCAAGCGGTACAATCTGCCAGGGAACACTACTCCCGCGGGATAAAAGCATGTCGACACTCCATCCCACTCTACCTACTCGCTAGCCGACTTGAACACCAAGCTGGATCGACAATCCGCTCCCGAGCGATCCTCGAAAAAGCGCGTTTCCACAACCCGACCTCTGAAGAAATATGGTACGAATCGATTCAACTGGAACATCGAACATGCTCCTCGTCAACCCAAGCCTTCACGCTGCTCTCGCGTGCTCTTCAAATACTACCCACATCTGGACTACTATGGACGTTAGCCATAGCATTTGAACATGGATGCGGACGAAGAAGGAAATTGGCTGATGCACTGCGAAAAACGAGCGACGATTCGAAAGTTGTCTGCGCTGTAGCACAGCAGTTCTGGCTGGAAAGCAAATACACACAGGCAAGGAAATGGTTTCAGAGAAGTACACAGGTAGATGCAGATAACGGCGATGCATGGGCAATGTGGTATCGATTTGAACTCGAACAAGGCGACCAATCGAGCACAATGGCCCTCAAGGAACAAGTGCAAACAGCGAATCCCAGACATGGCATCGTTTGGCAGAGTGTAGCGAAAGACCCGAGGAACAATGGCCTGCGGACGGTGCAAGTGTTGGAGAAAGTGGCGGACAAGATGGTCCCTCTCAAGTAGCCGCAGCCTTGCGTTGGTAAAGGAGGCTGGTGCAATCGAGCCCAGATGAGCTTTTTCACACCATCACACCTAGGCCGTGCAAAGTTTGTGAAAAGGTATCAACAATCCATGAACAAAGATAGAGGAATAGAACAGAGATGCTAAACGATGAACAAACACAAAAGAGTAGAAAGACAAACACACAACTAGAATAGACAAGACATGAAGGGAAAGGTATCAATCGACCACCAACATGCCCTGACCTCTTTTTGCTCTCTCTCAAATTACAATGTGAAATCTTCCTCATCTGTCTCATCAGCACCGAAACTGTTATCTGCTTCCAAACTCCTCTCCATAGCACCACTACCGGCGCTCTTTTTCGGCTTCTTACTCGACCTAGGCTTCATCGTCGGCAACAACTCTTCCCTACCTCTCAAGAACCTAGGATGAGCGAAACTGGAGTGTACTCCATACAGCTGTACAGCCGTGTTCAAGGTCGAGCTCGAGGCGTTGCCTCCAAGTTGGGCACGCTTGGCAGCAGCGACCTTGATCTCTGCTGCATCGAGCAAACGTGACGAGGGGATACGCTGGAACCCATAGAGATTGAGTTGACGGATAAAGCTGGCATTATTACCGTGCTTGAAGAGGCGTGGAAGCACATCGGAAGCAAACTCGTTAGCAACGTCGGGTTCGCTAGAGAGGATGATCGAGGTTCCTGCTTGGTCCCATCGGATGTACTTGCTGTATTGATCAGGGTTGATCATTAGATGCCAGAGCTTCGAGATGAACGCAGAGCAGCTGGCGGCGCCTCCGAGCCTGTCACGAATCGCTGCGACTTGTGCGGTCTCGTCCGTGTTACCCGTAGCACCCGTGTTGCTGGTCGATCGAGCACCAGCCTTACTTACAAAAGACTTGCGCATAGAAGCATGCAAGGCATCGCCGATCTCAGTGGCCTCACTTGCCATGCTCTCGGAACGCTCGTGCTTCTCAAAATGTGAAGCAAGCGTCAAAGTCGACTCTTTACGTGCACTGTAGCTTTGTGAGTAGCGTGGCGACTGGCTGTAAGCACCACCTTGAGCGGGACGGTAGTAGCCAGCGGTGGCGTTGAGTCCACGAGCACCAGCAGCGTTGTAGGGGGAACCCGATTGTGCGCCATACGGCGACTGGCTGAGACGGTCGACGTTGCCATCTTCTGGGCTTGGGCCCATGGCTGCAGCACTGTTGGCGAATCGAGGAGAGGTGGAAAGGATGCCAGCTGCGTAGGCGGGAGCGGCAAGACCATTGCCTAGACTGCTTCCTCTTCGGTGTGCTGGTCGGTTGAGAGGTGCATTCGAGCCGGGAGAGTAGGCGAGACCCATGGAAGCACTGAGTGGACCGGTCGTTGCCGAAGGACTTGTCGCGTAGGGATGATGACGGAGGGGTACAAGACCACCTGCCATCGCATGGCGGTCCGAGCTGTATTGACGGCTGAGATTGATGGCAACATTGGCGTTGGACATGACTGGAGAGCGACTCGAGTCGAGAGGATGACCCTTGGCCAGCGTGGAAGGGTTTCCTGGGCTCATCTGGAAAGTAAGACCGAGGCTGGCGTTGTTGTTGTTGTTGTTGTTGGAAGGATTGTTGGCAGCAAAACTGGAAGGAGTGCTACCGAGAGCATATGCCGGGTTTTGTCGCAGAGGTGGCTGGTAAGATGGGCTGCAGTCAGCCTCGTCCTCGGTTGCATCGTCGTCGTCATGCATGCGCATCTCCTCGTCGGTCTCATCATCGTCGACGAGGGCAGTCGATCGACTGGCCCTGTCCTCGGTGCGGTACCTCGATCTGGACCTTGATCTAGACTCGTTGCGGTGAATGCAAGTCAAGCTTGAGCAAGTAGGCGTGCGTGCGTAAGGGCGATCTCGGCCAAAGCTGGAAGAGTAAGTGTAGCTGCTGGGACCAGGCGAGGCAAACGAGGGACGAGCGTGCTTGTTGTACGAGTAACGTCGCTGCTTGATGGCTGCGGCAGCTACATCTGCGGAGGAAGAGAGGGCACCGTTGCTGTGAAGATGGACCGAACGAGATGGCCTTGGTGTGTTTGCGGAACTTGGCGAGCCTCGAGCTTCGTTGCCGCCGAGAGAGAGCTTGCCGAGAGAAGCAGTAGCCGAGCTTGGGCTCAAGATGCCAGCAGGGTTCGAGGAAGCCGAGTGAGGAGGAGAAATCGCCTCGTGGAGCTCAGGAGAAGGCTCATCTGGCAAGTGCTTGGGACCGAAGCAGGGACTTGAGAAAGCAAAGACTTCATCGCCATCGAGTTCCAGGCCTGGCTCGGCAGTGGCTCTGTGCGTTGTGGTCGAGTTGGGTGGGTATCGCGAAAGGGGCTTGCCGAAACTGTCGTCTTGCTCGTCTTGCTCGTCTTGCTCGTCTTGCTCGTCTTGCTCGTCTTGCTCGTCCTCCTCGTCTTGGAGTGCAGGACCTCGCATTCGCATGGCCGAAGTCTTGAAAGAGGTGCTGAGTGAAGGCTTGTTGAAGCTGGTGTAGCTATACTTTCTGCCAGTGGAAATCGCGTAGAGGTGAGGATCGGTGCTTCTGCTTGGAGACCAGTTGCTGGATGTGAGGGATGTGGGACCACTGGAGATGCTAGAGCCTTGCAGAGTAGAGTAGCGGGGCGAGAGCATGCTAGAGCCGAGAGATGGCAATCGGAGAGCTGCGCTGTGTGAAGAGGGAGAAGCTTTGTGTGGCGGCACAAGCGATGGAGCATGGGACGGCGTGGTCACATGGTTGGAAGAGCGAGAGGCATGTGTGGGCATTGCAAGAGGTTCAAGCTTGCCGAAAGAACCGGGGATGGGCAGAGGGGGTTGGGATGGCTCGGACATGACAGCGTCACCGTCGTCGTTGAGTGTTGATGATTTGGACAAGGTGGGCTTGGCGTGGAGAGCGGCATCCAAGCTCGAGTTGGAGGAGCGCATCTTTGGTGAGAGCACCTGATGAGTGACGGCGACTGCATTGACATCGTTGGTTGCTGGGGCCGAGACGGTAGGCACAGCAAAGCCGGTCTGACGGAAAGTTGGGGAGGATAGCGTGTTGGCACGAGGAGCGCGGGACTCAGTGTCGAGCGACATTGTGCGGGTGTAGTATCGAGGCAGGAGGAGGGGAGCCAGGCAGATGGTATTGCTGCTGCGAAGAAGTGAGCTCGGCTATGTCAGGCTGCGATTCCAGGATGGGCGTTGGTAGTAAGGCCGGATGGTGATGGTGAGAGAGAGAGAGGAACAAGTGGAAGGGGGCAAGGAGAAAAGAGAAAAGAGAAAGGAGAAAAGAGAAAGGAGAAAGGAGAAAGTCAGGGCGTGAGCGGCTAAGAAGAAGAGCATTTGGTGGGGCGGGCCCTTCCCTCGGCACGGATCGAGACAAAGGCGCAACAGCCGAGGCATGGGACGGAGGCATGGAGGCATGGATGAGTGCCGAGCGCGTCTAGCTGTCAAGGCATCTTGCCAGTGTCTCTTGCACTCGCCTTTCCAAAAAGCTGAGTCGAGACCAGTGCAGGCACTGCAGCACAGTAGTCGTAATTCTCTAGCACAAGCACACACACGCACACACACAGGCACATGCCCTGTCTGTAAATGTTCTCTGCTCTAGTTCGAGTGGGCGCGATAGCCAAGAAGTATCGCTTCAGCCAGCCAAAGTGGCGACCTGAAATCCAAGCTCTGACTCGACTCGACTTGGCTCACCGGCTGCCTAAGTTGAAGTCATTCGTCAGCGTGTTGGAGTCATTCGTCAGTGGTTGGGGTTGAGGTGTCTTTAGTTGATGATGGTAGTAGGAGAGAGAGAGAGCGAGAGAGCTAGGAGTCTATATATACAAAAGAAGAGCGGCGGACTGCGGAGCATAACAAAGCATTTGCCTTGAGTAGGTTGTGACACATGTGGTCCGTGCTAAGATGTTCAGGCCTTTTACTCGGCCGTAAGCACTACCTTCACTGTCTCCACGCTTTGTGCGGCTTTATCTACTTCAACTGCCTAATCAGTCCTTTTGTCCTCTATCGCGACTATCGCCTCTATCGCCTCTTCCTCCACGCTAGACGAGAAGGAGCTCCTTCTTGCAACGCTAACTCGACTAGCCCCAAAGAGTTGCCAGCCAAGGCGATGCCGACGACGTCTCCTCTCCGATGCTCCTTTGCAAGCGATGATGCAATTCAAATGACAAAGAGTGTAGCGCAGTCAGCCAAGGAAACGAGAGCTCGGTTGGGTCTACTCTTTTGCCGATGCGGAAATCGATCGACGAGGACCCTGACTGGAGCCCTTCTTTAAGCGCTCTCAACTTACCCCGCGAAAAGAATACTCGATTTGCAACGGTGGCGAAAGAAGCGGACACAGCTTCACTTGATCTCAGCCTCGGAGCTTGGCAGCACAACTTGGCAGCACAACTTGGCAGCACAACTTGGCAGCACAACTTGGCAAGGGACACCTGTATTGAGACAGCAACGAGTCATCTTTTTTGGCCGAGATGCCGAGACAGAAAGTGCATCGAGCGATTACGATCTCCGAAACAAAGTTGAACACACTCACTCCGTCGTCATCGCAAGCTTGATTATAGCACAGACACTCAACAATGAAGCCCTCCTTCTCCCTCCGCATCTGTTCGGACTCGCAAAGATTCATCTTGCTCTTCCCTTCAACATGACACCGATGCCGTTTGATTGGTGTCGATCATGTCACTCGCATCACGGAGAGAGAAAATGAAAGCTCTCTTCGAAATGCGGGGTAGACCAATCAGCGGCCCCTTTCCTCAACCAGGCGCAGCATCGACTCGACTCAATCTGCTGACTACACCAATCCTGGCTCCCCTGACCACCTCACCTTGCCTTCCTACCCCGCTGTTAGCTCCCGTGTCCATCAGATTGAGTGCCGACTTATACCAGCAAAGCTTGTTGAACCAGACCCTTGATGACGCACAAAACCACGAGCAAAGTCTCGGAATTTTCTAGACACAGTTTTACTGTAAGAGAGACACGATCTAACAGAACTCTGATCTCCACAATACTTGACCCCGCTCGCTTCTCGTACGGTATTTATTTTCTTTTCTTTTCTTTTCTTTTCTTTTCTTTTTATATTCATTCTATGCTGAAAATGACGATCCAACGAGGCGGTGAAGAATGACACGGAGCCAATCTGATCAAAGATCAGATAGGGCCAATTCACTTGAATTACCAATCCAATGGAAGATTAAGCCAAGTCAATCTAAGCAGAGATCAGGTGCAACACTGTCCCACTCATTGTCATGACAGATCATGAGATAGTAGTAATCCCACACTAGGCAAGTGCCACTCACATGTATATATACTTCACAGAGAGCACTAGGCTCTCACTGTGTTTACCAGTCAATTGAGTATATTTGTTTCTGTCTATAAACTAGCAGTGACATTGTACTTAGACTATCCCCGATCACCAGTATTGGGACCCAAATGACTTCAACTTTCATCAGGTTATGAGCCCAATAAGCTGATATACTATCATCACACTATCAGTAACATCAACAAGAGGTTTTGCCACCGATATGTCAGATCTGAACTATTCAAACTATGAAGACTTTGTCGAAGCTGTACAGAATCTTCTGCCATGATTGCTGAAGATCCTCCAAAACTGGTTCAATCGGGAAATCGCAAATGCTACCTATGGCACTCCTACTGCCCCAAAAGATGGCCTACTACTGAGGTTTGCCATGGAAGAAGGTACTGGGGAGCAAATCATCTCACCTCTATCAAGCAATGCACAGCCTCAGTCCATTCACTAGTGTAATCAAACTTGGTAGAGGGATGCAAGCTAGAGTGATTCTCTTCCTAGCCAACAAAGGTTGGGATGCCAATCATATACTTGACCTCAAAATCAAAGGTGTGGTCAAGGTCATCCAAAATGCTGAGCGATTTGATCACCCAGTTAAGAGTGAAGCACCAATGTTAGCTAGAGGCAACACTCCTGCTCTAGGCTCAGATGTGATCAACCATCACCTCACTGGTCACAAAGCTATGCCAGGACCTACACTGGAGCTCAGCATGCTCATGAACCATCACCTCAAGGTACTTACAGGCCTCAATGACAGAATGAAGTGGGATGAACGAGACCTTCTCAACCCAAGGGCAGTCTCCATGCATGTTTGGCAACACAAAATATTCACCTTGCTGTTGGTCATTCCTTTCGCACGAAACATTCTTGACCGAAAAGTGGTGACCTTTGAAGATGCTGATTCTATGCTTAGCTTGATCATCATGCATAGCTTTTCAAACAAGTTGTGCACAGAGTATTTTGCCAAGCATGGTGATCAACTGATACCAATCACCATAGATCTATTCAAATGGGTGCTAAACAAGTGTAAGGCATACTCCGCCACTAAGGAGTATGAGCTCCATGGGATCACCTATGGGTTACACTGGGACCAGATTGGAAGTCATGCCTATGATTTCCTAACCAAATGGGAGGCTCACATATCTGAACTTCATATGTACCTGCAGGAACCTTGGACACCAAATGATCACTACAGGACACTCAAGCATGCCTTACCTTCAGACAAGAATGCACTATTTAACTCAGTGTTTATATTGCATGAAAAACTAAATGGAAAGGATCAAACAGCCAAAAGCATAGCTGATGTCCTAAGTCAGTGCTATGAGCTTGCTGCCAAGAGTGTGCCTGTGCATCTGTCCCCTATGGCTGAGGTGTCTGAACTTACTGCATTGCAAGCAGCCACTTTGATTAACTGCTGGGCTTGTGGGGACCTTGGGCACATGGCCAACTGATGCCCAGACACTGAAGCCCACGTGTGATGGAAGCAAGGAAAGATCAAGGCAACACCCAAAGGCTGTGCAAATGCCTGCATTGTGTTACCCATAGAAGGTAACTGGGACAACTAGGATGCAGCACTGGTTTTAGCTTTCTTTACCGAGGTTAAACCAGCACTGATTGACTTACCTCCCTGGTTCATTCCCTTTGTATTCAATTCAGGAGCATCCTGTGTTATGGTCAACTCTTCTCGACATGGGAAAGGTTGGAAGGATGCAGAGAACTCTGTCAGCATTACCACTGCTGATGGAGGACAACTGATTGCCACCAAAATGGGGGACACAGTCAGCCTCCTGAGCTTCAGTCCTCAGAAGCAACAATGGGAATGAATGATCTACAAAGACTGTTTGCTTGTACCCAGCCTTGTGACAAACCTTATTGGCACAAAATTAGTGACACATGCACAAGGAAAAGTGACTTTTGAGAAAGAAGTCATAACAGTGCAGGATAAGGACAGACATGTGGTTGGTGTGCAAACAAGTGGAGACAGTTACCCTGCTGTTGCCATGATGATATGGGATAACAGCATGCCAGAGCCCACTGTTTCCCTCACTTTCACATCCAGGATGGTGAATGCAACCCACTCCTATGGAATGTGTAATAAAGCGAACCTCTGGCACTGGCGATTGGGCCATGCCAGTCATGATGCCATCATGCAGACATGTACAGTGACCCTTTCACATGATATCCCATTGAACACTGCCACCGAGCCTGAAACACCATGTGACATATGTGTGCATAGCAAAGCAACAGCAAAGAACACCACTCACCCCAGGCAATTAGGTACACCACTTGAGTTAGTTTCGATGGATGTAATGGGCCCACTTCATGGCAATGCAAAATTTGTATACATACTCATTATACATGACACATTTTCAGGCATGATCTGGGTATGGGGTCTAACAAGCAAGAAGGAGGCATCTCAAGAAGCTGCATGGTGGCTATTGGAGATGCATGTTGCCACACATAAGGAACTGTCAGAGGTGATCATTGACCAAGGAATCAAGGAGGTCCAGGTCAATCAAGGTGAGCTATGGTCAAAGGTCTTCCAAGACCTCTGCTCATCAATGGGTGTGAAGATAATGGCTTCACCCACCCAACATCATACTGACAACACCTTCACTGAATGGGCCATCCAGACCATTCAGAAGATCATGTGTAGCCTACTGTATGACTCCAGAATGGATGAGCACTGGTGGCCCCATGCAATTGCACAGGCAGCATTCATTCACAACAGACTCACAGGCAGTACTTGTGGTAATGTGACTCCATATGAGCTCTTCTATACAGAATGCCCAGAATTATGTCACATATGGTGTTTCGGTTGCATGGCATATGTCATACTCAGAGGGAACACTCGCTTGACATGGCTCCGAGATCATGCAGTTGTGAGTAAGCATCTCTGCCCATGTGCTCTCCAGGGGAGGTATTTGGGTTTCTCCGATGCACCTCACACAATCAAAGGCCATAAGGTTTGGCTACCTGAGCTCAACCATAGTCATTACCAGGGACATCCGTTTCTCAGAACTGGAACCATCAGACACAGCCGTTCCTCCCCTACACACACCTGTCATCATCGGGGACCATGATCTCCTTTGATCTTACACCTGGCTCCCTCCTGATCCCACAATGAATGAGACAGATTTGGATGATGTTGTCCCTTCTTCACTAGAGCCATACTCTCGTCAATGACACTTGGTGACTCATGTGGAACCAGAAACCCTGAGCTTTGATCACGAGTGGGACCACATGATGACAGCCATCGAAGAGGCTGGGGAGATCATAATCGATCTTGATGCCATTGCTGCCAATCTGAGAGCAGACCTGGATGTGACAACATCTGAAGGAGGGAACCATTTGCTGGACCTCACGAGCACTCTGAATAGTGAGCCCCTGCTTGAGACCCCCCGCAGTGATGCCACAGCAGAAATATATGATGATGTCTCCATACTTGAGACACCCCACACAGAGTTGCCCAGCCCCATCAACTACATGACCTTTGTCATGGCATGCTCTGACAAACAGGCACCCACCATCAGTGATCACCACTTAGATCATATAGCATTTGCAACCACTGTGATGGCCAGTGCCACTCTCATTGCAAGCAGACAGCAGATGTGCAGTGCTGATGGCATCCTGCTAGAGCCACTCTCCCTCAATGAGGCCAAGACTCGCAATGACTGGTACAAATGGCAGGAAGCCATGGTCAGTGAGATGAACAGCATGTGCAAGATGAACATCTTCAAACTGGTCGACATTCTGAAGAATGGCAAACTAATCAGCATTTGATGGGTTTACAAACTCAAGCTCAATGCACAATGACAAGTGACAAGGTACAAAGCATGACTTGTTGCACAAGGATATGCTCAATGTCAGGGTCTGGACTATGATCAGACATTCAGTCTGGTCATCCATCTGCAAACAGTCAGGATACTACTTGCCATTGCATGATGATATGGATTACACACAATACAACTTGATGTAAGCACTGCATTTCTGAATGGAAAGATTGATAAAGATGTACATGTCTGGATACCTCCAACATTTGAAGCAAAGGAGACTGAAGGGAAATGCTATAAGTTAAGAAAGGCCCTCTATGGTCTCAAGCAAGCTGGACGACTATGGCATGCAGCACTGGATGAACAACTATGAGCATTCGGTTTCAGATGATGTAGAGCAGAACCATGCATATATACATGCAGCTCAAAGGATGCAATGATACTCCTTGCTGTATATGTCGATGATCTGCTTGTCATTGGAGCAACTCTTTCACAAGTACAATCCATATGCCAACAACTCTCAAGCATGTTCAGCATCACTGATCAAGGAAATGTGTCTCACATTATTGGGCTGAATGTAAGATACAACCAAGGAGCTCGCACACTCTTCATCAATCAAAGCAGGTACATCGAGGGTATCATAGTGAAGTTCGGAATGGACCAGGCTTGGGCAGCCTCGACACTGGCAACAGAGAATATCAACTCCCTCAAACCATGAGATGGGAGCATAGCAAGTGCAGAAGAGATATGCCACTATGCATCACTTGTAGGATCACTGCTGTGGATAGCTCAGGGCACAAGGCCAGACATCACATTTGCAGTTGGCAGATGTGCACAGTTCATAGCAAACCCATCTGGAGAACACCTTGCAGCTGCCAAGCACATATTAAGGTATTTGAAAGGAACAACAGGAATTGGCCTCTCAACAAGGACATCAGGCAGTGAACCATTACTCTCAGGATGGGCAGACAGCAATTGGGCTGGATCACAAGAATGTAGGAGGTCAACAACTGGTTATGTTTTCACAATTAACAGCTTCACATGCAGCTGGGCCTCGCAACTTCAACAGACAGTGGCAAACAGTTCAGTAGAAGCCAAATATGTAGCATTGGTGACAGCAGCCAGAGAACTATTATGGGCCTCGATGCTCTTGCAAGAGCTGGATCAACCAGTGTTGAAGACAACAGGAATACATGTCAGCACCAGAACATCAAATATCTATTCCCATGATGGAGAGCTGAGCTTCGATCAAGACATACCAGTCCTACACAGTGACTCATCAGGCACTCAGGTTATAGCAAACAATCCTCAACACTTCAAGAGAATGAAGCATATCAACATAGCTCATTTCTTTCTACATGATGAAATCACAAGCAAATGACTCATGATCACTCCTGTTCAGAGTTGTGAAAATCTGGCTGATGTCCTGACAAAGCCACTTGCTGCACAAATGCTCTCACATGTCTGACAACTACTTGGATTGAACATTTCATTGGAGTATGCTGGATCGAGAGGGGGTGCTGAAAATGATGATCCAACAAAGTGGTGAAGAATGATGTGGAGCCAATCTGATCAAAGATCAGATAGGGCTGATTCGCTTGAATTACTGATCCAATGGAAGATTAAGCCAAGTCAATCTAAGCAGAGATCAGGTGCAACACTGTCCTGCTCATTGTCATGACAGATCATGAGATAGTAGTAATCCCACACTAGGCAAGTGCCACTCACATGTATATATACTTCATGGAGAGCACTAGGCTCTCACTGTGTTTACCAGTCAATTGAGTATATTTGTTTCTGTCTATAAACTAGCAGTGACATTGTACTTAGACTATCCCCGATCACCAGTATCGGGACCCAAACGACTTCAACTTTCATCATTCTAAAGTGTGACTTCTGAGAAGGTGTGTGTAAGTGTTTCTTTCTGCAAAAAATGCAAAACTTCTTCTTGACTGATCACACTACCGAAGCCTTGGATTGGCGCGAAGCCTTGGATTGGCGTGTGTGTGTGTGTCACTTTCGCTTCTTGCTTCCTCTCTAGCAACGACTACACTTGCTCAACGACTACTGCCAACTCACATTCCTGTCACCCTTGTCCCCATCTGAAGAGCCACGCTGACTGACTTGCTTTGCATCATCACTCCTTGGCTGGATATAGGCGCAGTCAGGATCGCTTCTTTGAAATCGCATCACAATCCGATCCAATAGCTGCTCTCGTCTTTCGACTCAGCAGCTTCATCCTCAACCACCACTTCTCGCAGAAACAGGCAACAAAGGCAGCTCCACCTCTGATAAGGTCCCTCCCAATGTCGGCATAGCTGAGCACTCAACTCGTCTCCTCACCACCATTCCATTCTCTCCCAACTCTGGTCCGCCACACTTGGACTTGGCGACCAGATCAGTGCGCTGCTGAAAAAGGAAACCCCCCAATCGATAGAAGCCGCCTGGAGTGGTGTGCAAGTAGCAAGCCATGGAGGAGCAACTCATACAGGCTGTCCAGATCGCCTCGAACCCACAGGCCAATGCCCCTCCCGAGGTCACCTCGCAGGCTTTGCAGTTCCTAGAGCATCTCAAGACCACCACACACCAGAGCTGGAGCCTAGGATGGTCCGTATGGTCTGCACGCAATGCAGAGGACAATGCTCCCAAGTACAGCCCCAATGCTCGTATGTTTGCTCTCATGCTTGTCGACGACTTCCTAGGCAACCGCATCAGCATGTCCAGCGACCCAGCAGCTGCAGTAGCTTCCCTTCAGCAGTCGGCCATCGAGTACATTCAGAAGGAGTATGTAGCAGGCTCTGGTGATGCACAAGTATCGTTCATCAAGAACAAGTTTGCCCAGGTTCTTTCTGTCCTCTTGCTGCAGACCTACAATCTGCCTCCACCATACACCTTGCTGCCCACACTTCTGTCCATGTTCCGCGCCCACCCTGCCGCCTCACCCTCCCAAGCTTCCACTTCTCAACTGCCGCTCAACCCTTACACCACCGACCTCATCTTGCGTGTTTTGCACGACCTTTCCATCACACTTGGTTCCGACGTCTCCTTGCGCGCTGTCCGATCGAAAGAACGTCTTCAGCGAGATGCCGTCATCAGGGACGAGATCCGAGCCAACCACGCATCCAACATCGCCGACTCGCTATGGCGTGTCGTAGAGCAAGCTTTCACTCGTGTCAATCTTGGCCAGCAGGCTGCCGACCCCACCACCTCTGCCGGCGTCCGCAGCATGACCTTTGCCCACGCCCTCGACCTCACTGCTGCAGCGACAAAGATCATTCAAGACTATGTCTCCTGGATCGACATCACTCTTGTCGTCACCAACGAGACCATCGCATTGCTCTTCAACCTTCTCCATCATCCCATCCCAAAACTTGCTACAGCAGCCGCAGATGCCTTGCACGGCATCATCAGTAAAGGTATGAAGCCAGCCGACAAGCTCAGACTCGTCCAAGCACTCAACCTCGCACAAGTCATCACCCCGCTCCAGTCACGCACACGCACCGGCCACTCGGCCGAGAAGGGTCAGAGCGACAGAAGCGACTCCAACATCGACTTCCGCCAACATCTCGCCCACCTCACCAATGGCCTCATACTGGAAATCTGCAAGATCCTCGAAGAGAGTGCAGCAGAAGATTCGACAAAAGTGGCAGCTGAAGCTCTTCTCGACTCGGTCTATCCGCTTCTTCTTTCTTTCCTGTCGGACGAGTACGATGACACATCGGAACAGATGTTCTCTGGTGTCAACATGATCCTCGCTATCTACAAAAAGGCTCGTCGACGAGGTGCAGAGTTGACAGCCGCTCGAGCCGAGTTCCTCTCCAACCTCATCCGAGTTGCACTGCAAAAGATGAAGTTTGATGACGAGTCAGAATGGCCTGCTATTAGCTTTGGAGCTGCTGACGATGATGACGAGGAGGAGGAGGAGGAGGAGGAGAATGCTGACTTTCTGGAAATGCGAAAGAACCTACAGACCATCGTCGGTGCGATTGCCGCAATTGACGACAAGCTCTTCTCCACTAGCGTCGCTCAACTCGTCTTGTCTACCTTTGCATCTTTTGAGACCAACCCGACAGGACTCTCGTGGCAGCAGATCGAGCTTGCATTGTACGTCATTCACTTTTATGGTGATGTTATGACGACGGCAACAGCAGCACCCAAGGTTGGCTTGTCGCCTGCAATGTTTGTTCAAAGCCCGCAAGCTGGCTGCAAGGGTCGTGCTCCCAAGCTCGGCAACGAGGCTCTGGCCAACCTTGCTCTCAGCAATTTGGGTGAAATGGTGCAAAAGCTGGTGCAGTCCAACGTCTCTTCCTTCCCTCATCCCGCGGTGCAGCTGCAGTACTTTGAGTGCCTCGTTCGCTATTCCAACTTTTTTGCAGCCAGGAGTGCAAGTGTGTCGGATGCATTGCCAACGTTCCTCGACTGGCGAGGTGTCCACCACGAGAAGCTCGGCGTTCGCAAGCGCGTCAACTATTTGCTCTATCGATTCCTTCGAGATCTGCGAGCCGTTGCTGCCGTGCCGTTGGACTTTGTGCAGAGGCTGTTGCAAGGTTTGCAGGATCTGCTCGTCGTCCAAGCAGAGCTACCGGAAGTGGCACCTGATGAGGATCCATTGATCAAGGCGACGGCATCTGCAGGATACTTTGACAGCCAACTCTACCTCTTTGAAACGAGCGGTATCCTGATCTCGTTGCTCAACAATGCTCCTAACGACCAGCTGGTCTTGCTGAAAGCTATCTCGGAGCCACTCAGCGAGCAGATGCAGCAAGCTGTGCAAAGCTTCCAGCGCAATCGCTCGGACCTGGCCTCGGTGCTGCAGGTGCACCATCTCATGCTTGCCCTCAGCAGCTTGTCCAAAGGTTTCCCGGATGTCAACCCCAACAGCTCGCAACCAGAACCGCAGTGGGTTGGCGTGTTCAAGAGCATCACAGAGCAGGTGCTGGTGAGCACCAGTTTGATGAAAGAGTTCTCTGTAGTACGAGAAGCTGCACGAGGTGCTTTTGCTCGCATCGTCTCTACCTGTGGTAAAGCAGTTCTACCCTACATTCCAGCTCTCATCGATGCATTGTTGAGCCAAGTGACATCGCAAGAGCTCGTCGATTTCGTCAACTTCCTTTCGCTCGTCGTCAACAAGTACAAAGACGATGTCAAATCCACCGTCGACCAACTCTTGCTCATTCTAGTCGAACGAATCTTCTACTTTCTCAACCAGAACATCACAGGAACCGACGATGCAGTGCAAAAATCAGAACTGCAAAAAGCATACATGAACCTCCTCTCCTCCATCATCCATTCCGGTATGCAAAGCGTTTTCATCTCGGACAAAAACGCCGCTCAACTCGAAACTTTGCTGGAAAGCGTTGTCTTCTACTCGACCAACTCGGACGCAGCTTGCCAGCGAACCGCCTTCTCCATCCTACATCGTCTCGTAGGCGCCTGGGGTGGATCTGCTGGCAATGCTGCCAACACTGCGCTGCCAGGATTCGACAGATTCATCTACCAAACCTTGATCGCATTGGTCTTTGAAGCGCCAACGAAGGAAGCCTTTGATCTTGCAGATGCTCAAGCGCAAATCGTACTGGGTGAGATTGCAACGCTGGCGAGAAGGATCTACTTGGAGAGAGGCGATGAGATGATCAACTATCTCTTGCACGTTTACTTTCCAGCGATCCAGTGTCCCGTGGAATTGGCGCAGGACTTTGCACAGAATTTGAAGGCGTTGGATGCTAAACCGTTTAAAAAGTATTTCGAGGCTTTTGTTGCCAAATCTAGGGGAGGCTAAACCTTGCACCGAACCAGTATAGGAGGAGCTAAGAAAATCTTCATGTCACATCAGTATCGATCATGCATCAACTAGAAACCACAAGAGCATCATCGCACACATCACTCACAACCTCCTAACGCCTTTCACATCCTGGAATGATTGCAAACACGAATCTGGATTGAATGCAGAGTTTGGAAAGCGTCGAGACGAGATACGACGAAACTTGCAACTGGAAAAATAAAAAGCCCTGGTAGCGAGCATGTTGCTTAGTGCTTAGTACAAACTACTTCGCCGTCGTGGATCTCGAGACTATCGAACAACTTGATAGCCTCATAGGCAGCTTTTTGACCGCTACCGATCATGCCGCCGAAGCTGGCGCCCATTCTGGGATGTCCGTCGTGTTCGGAGAGTTCCATGCCGCTGACGATGAGGCCTGGGAAGACTTCTCTTGTGTTGTTTACGATTAGACCTGCATCGATCCATATCGTTAATGCAAGGTCAGTAGTGTTTTAGCATATAAAAGGGGTTGCGAGTGGGGGTTTGGTGGGGGTTTGGGGGGATGGGTGCTTACCTTCGGAATGGTTCATATCCATAGGTCTCATGTCGCCCAGTTTAATCAGGCCGGCAGAAGAGAGACGTTTGACAGAGAAGGCGCCAAAGGGACCATCATGACCACAGGCGCCAATAACGACAGGAGCTGTGATGGTTTGAGGATCCATACAGCTTTGTAAACCGTGAGCCATTGTAACGAGTGTCCAGTTGGTTACCACGCCATTAACCCTCTGGACGCCTTGGCTGTCTTTCTTGATGATGAGATCCTCGCAACAAGTGGCATTAAAGAGTTTCACATTATCCATGGCAAGTAGCTTACTCATAAGAGTCGAGGTGAACAAAGCTGCGTGTTTAACAACAACATAGCTACCTTGGTCGTCAAAAGGCACACCTAGTTCGACCAAGAGGTTATGAGCAGGCTTGCGAATCACCATTCCACTCATCAATTGACCTCCCAACCAAGCTCCTCCTCCAGGAGCAACACTGGCTTCCAAGATGGTAATGCTGAGGTCGGGACGAGACTTGGCGAGCGTGTAGGCGCACGTTAGACCAGCAGAACCAGCACCGATGATGACAATGTCGGATACGGCACAAGAAAGCATATCAGCCATATAGCGCGAAGTCATTGCGCGAGAGGTATGCGATTCTTTGATAGGGGCGAAACGGTAGTTGCCTGAGAAGTCCTCGATCGGTTCAGAACCGGCGGGGATGGGAACATGCTGGGTGAAGGTGGAAGGCGTCCGATGGGTAAACGTGCCTTTGGAGGGGTGGGAGGGGTGTACGGCGGGAGGCGCCTCGGTCGAGGCGGGGTGAGCGAAGGTGGCGATTGGAGGAGTCATTTTTGAGATATCGTGTTGGAGGGTGTTGGAGAGTGATGGAGGGAGGGGGGGAAGGGGTTGAATATATATGCCTTGCACGTGCGAGAGGCTCAGGGTTGGCACGGACCGCCAAGACATCTACACTTCTGAAAGCAGACAGATGTAAGCGTATGCCCAACAAGCTTCTGATCGCGGCATTCTTGGACAACAGGCAAGCTTGCCTCTGCCGCCATTTCATTGTCCAAACCGCTCCAGAGAGGGTGAACAGTGCGTCTCGAGTGGGATCTCGGCACTTTGACCGGCCCGCAATCGCTCTCTCAAAGGGTAAGGTTGGGACGGCAGGCATCCCTTCCCACGGTCTGTCAAGCCCACTTTTGCCCATCTGCATTCAGAGGCAGTTTCCCTCGACTAGGGTAGAGGAGCTGTTAACTAGCAAAGAGTCGGAGAAATGGCAGCCGGTCAAGTACTGCTTTGCCTGGCTGACAGCTGGAGAGACCTGTCAGGAAAAGAAAAAAAAATAAAAATATATATATATATATATATATATCAAATACAAAAAAAAAGGGTCCGAGAAAGAAGTGGGCGCAACTGGGTTGGAGCGGAAAGATCCGTTGAAGAATACAAATCGGCTGGAAAGAGCGGCAACCTTGATGGTGATGAGAATGCGAACCTTGTTGCTTCTTCTTTCCCACGGTCTGTTCTTTGACTTTCGGCTGACGTGAGAGCCAAGCGAGAAAGCATATCCTTGACTCAGGCAGAATCATTCAGCGCTGACAAGGTAACTGCAAATCTAAGCAAAGCTCCATCGTGAATCGCAGCCGCCGTCAGAAAGCCAAATCGAGGCCGGGAAAGAGCATCCGCCACCGATGGTCTGTGCACATTCACCGCATATCCACGAGTCAAGTCGATTCAAGAGAGAGAGAGAGAGAGAGAGAAGAGAGAAAGAATCCAAGCACAAATGTCCCAACCCATCCGCCGGCACAAAACGCAGAGAGTTTTCCAACTCAGCTCGGCTCAGCTCAGATCAGCTCAGCTCAGATCGGCTCAGATCAGATCAGATCAGATCAGATCACGTTTCCATAACGGAACCCCACGTTGTAGGCAGCAAGAAGAGTAGAAAGCACGCAATTTTTATGCATCAAAGGTCTTCTTGACGGTGTCCCTGCGCGGGTTACCGTCGATGAGCCTAGTAAAGATCACAGCATTGCGCTCAGGGTGATCCTTCTTGATGCCACCTTATGTTTCACGCTGGGATGGCAAGATGACGGAAGAAGAAGAAGAAGCAGCAATTCCAATTTCATTTTTTGTTAGCAGTGTGAGACTCTGGTAAACGCACATCTCGGCTAGCAGTCACCGCAGATCGCCGATACGACTCCAGATCGTCCAAGAATTCAATGATAAAGATTTGTAGCCAAGAAATCTGAGCTCGGCCGACACATCCCATCACGTGCAGCTGCTTTTTTTCTTCCCTTGCGCTGCCGCAAAACTGTACAATGCCAAACTCGGAGAATCCAGGCAAGCGAATCCAAGCCAATCCAATCCACACGCAGGCCTAGCCACCGCCAAGCCGATCGGCCAAGGGCTAAGCGTTAGACACTTCGAGATTGCTAGCGCCAGTATCACTGCTTCTCTTCCTCCAAGCCATCAAGAAAAGGTAAGTGCATCGTGACCAAAGCGTTCTACAGAATCAGCCCTATTCTACATCCCATTCTACATCCTATTCAACATCGAACGACGACAAAAACACAGACACAACCCAGCACATTCGATATTGGTAAGAAGCACCACCATCGAAATCGCACATGCATAGCAGTACTCGACAACAAACCCTACCGACGCATCGCCCGTCGCATATCATTAGCAGAGATCGACAGAGCAGCCAGCAGCATCACATACCAGACAGTACAACGACGATCGAGATGCAAGGACAAGGAGAAGACGAGGTCATCATCACGATGAAGCATAGCCAAGTCTGGGTACCGCTAGACTTGCAGACAATGTACCTTTCCAAAAGCAACGTCCAGGACGCCGATACATGGATGCGTTGGAAGCTTGCTAAAGATCAGCAAGGCTAGAAACATGATGGTGATGGGGAAAAAAAAAAAAAAAAGTCACATAGCACTACGCATGACAATCTCCAGCAACAAAGGCCAACATCCAACCTCGGAAGGCAACGATGACATGGACAGCGACAGAATAAGACAGCACAGCACAGACACGAGCGATACTCAGCACCAGCATCTCGCAGAACCGCAGCAAAAGTCCAGAAAGTGTTTCTAGTATGGGATGCAGAATCAGGCTTGACTCGATAACGCTCCAGCAAAAGTTTCCAGTATTTCACAGCTCAGGCTCGTCTGACACGTCTCTTCTCCCTTCTTTTCCCCTTTCTCCTTCCGTTTCGACCACCACTTTCAGCACACATTTCCCGACACAATGGCCCGCAACCAAGTTCGATCGAATGTGGCCCGCTTGGGCCGCACCAAGGCCTTCCAGAAGAAGGGCGGCTACAAGAACATGGAGCGTCAGGGCGCCAAGAAGGTTGAGGAAGAGACTCCCGCTCACAAGGAAGTCCCTGTCAAGGGTGCCAAGAACGGCAGCAAGCGTCTCGTCCCCACCCAGAAGGCTCCTCGCTTCTACCCCGCCGAAGACGTTCGTGTCCCCAAGGCCAACCGCAAGGTCAACAAGCAGACCAAGCTCAAGCCCACCATCACCCCCGGAACCGTTCTCATCCTCCTCGCCGGTCGTTTCCGTGGCAAGCGCGTCGTTTTCCTCAAGCAGCTCGACTCGGGTCTTCTCCTCGTCACTGGTCCTTTCAAGGTCAACGGTGTTCCCATTCGACGTGTTAACCAGGCTTACGTCATTGCCACCTCGACCAAGATTGATATCGCCGATGTTAAGGTTGACGAAAAGATCAACGACGCTTACTTCAAGAAGGAGAAGGCTGCCAAGGTCAAGGCTGAGGCTAGCTTCTTTGCTGACCCTGCTAACAAGCAGGCTCACCCCGAGAGCAAGGTTGCCGACCAGAAGAACTTGGACAAGGCCGTGATTGCTGCTGTTAAGAAGGCTGGCCCTACTATGGCCAAGTACCTCGCTGCTACTTTCTCGCTTTCCAAGGGTGAGAAGCCTCACGCTCTCAAGTTCTAAGTTTGGAGCAAAGCAAGTCCATACCCGCATGCAGCACACATGACGCAGCAACACTCGATCTGACGCAGTAGCACAATAACGTTTTGAATTGACCAAGGAGACTAGACAGGTTTGGGTTCTGGTCGTTGGATTCTCTCCCACTCGTCTTTCGCTTACAGAAAGGTTTTGTGCGATGCCAAAAGATCATCCTTTTCAACTTGTTTCAACTCGTGCGGAGTTGTTGTTTTCTTTTACGCATTACCACACATCCAGTGTCGCTTCTTTTCACGGTTGGATGCATATAGACGGTTGTTATTTGCATTCTATAACCAACTTCGCCTCCCCGCTTCCCCAAACACCTTTTCGATCAGAACCCAAAAAGGCGCATCAACACCGCCCCGCCCTCCTCCCCTCGCCACATCCAATCTCCAATCCCATATCCTCATGGTGAAAAGGGATTTTGTAAACCATAACAAAGAGCTAGCACTGCAGCTTTTCACCATCACATCATAAAACACGTGCATTTCGTTTTTCCATATCCTGCCTCCTGCCCTGCCTCTGTGTCTTGAGGGCAACATATCTCGTTTGTCTCTCGAGTTGTACCTGTGAGAGCAAGACTCGATACATGCAGTCACATCAACACGCTGTAGCAGGCGGATGTTAGCGTCTATTGCAGATGGAGAAGCGTTTAGGATCTAGGACTGTACATAATCCTCTCATCGAGACTGAGGGAATCCTTGGCATCCTTTTCTCCAAGTTTCGCCAGTTCGCGTAGTCTCAGAGTGCGCATGTTGCGCATACGGATGAACCTCGATTCTACCTGTTTTCGACGTGCAAGTTGCTCGGGCGCTGGAGCTGCTAGGTTTTGCTGGTCTTGTTCAAGTGTTGCAAGAAGCTTGTCTGCGTTGTCTGCGTTGTCTGCGTTTAGCAAGTGTTGGTGTTGAGTAGTTTTATGTGATAGAGTCTTTTGCTTTGCGACCTGTTTGGCCGAGAGTTGACCAGGAGCGAGAGGCATACCAGCAGCAACACCGCTTGCTCTTTCTTCCAGGAACCGTTGAAGAGCATCTGGGTTGGTCGCAAGTTGTTCGGTACGATACTGTTCTCTAGCATTCAGCGCTTCAACGTTGGGTAGAATGAGCGAGGTAAGCGAGGATTGTTTCCCACGAACCGTATCCAGGTTCGATCGAACCTTGGACTCCGTAAGATCGGGTCGCGGTGAGATGGAGTAATCAATCTCCCATCTGACGGGCGGAAGAGAGGATCGCATCCGACGTTCGATCTCGTCTTCACTCAACGGATCAACTCTTCGTCCGGGGAGGAAGGAAAAGTCGACAGGACCTAGCATCAATCCTCCATTCAAGTATCTATCCACCGTAATATCCAGTTGTACAATACTCCTCTCCTTGGTCTCTCCGCTATCACCGGTGCAAGGCACGTTGCAGGGTTCAACAAACACTGTCATCCCAGTTTCCGACTTCTCCCTTGCCTCGATCGTAATCTTCAAGGTCTCTTGCGGAAACATACTAGTCGCCGCATCCAAAACATTCTCCATCATTCCCAAACTCAACCTAAACGCCTGATCCGCCATTTCCTGACTGCCAAACAACCTTTCGTTCATCTCCTCCACGGATATATACTGAAACCCGAAAATAGTCGAAGTGGTGTGATAGGCAACAAAGATGCCATCCATATGTCCAATCCTCGCTTGGAAGTTATACTTTAAAAACGCAGCTCGAATCATGTCGTAATACTCCCTTTCAAAGCTCTCCAAGACTCCGGTCGCTCGTCGAATTTGATAGCCGGATCCTTCTACATAGTTGGCTCGGTCGTTCCTGATGCCAATGCTTGCTCTCGTCTTGAGGTCGAATGTCTTCCGAGGCAAGCGCGGGTCATGGCAGTCAAGTTGAGATCGCATCATCATTTTCCCCGTCGACGCATAATGATATGCCTCGGGCTTTCTTTTCTCCTCCTCTGTGAGTTGCCAAGAATTGATGCGCATGTATTTGGCATACTCTTCCGGAGTAGTTGTCAACATTTTCTCCATTGATTTGCCTAGAGAAGTGAGGACGTAGTTGGAATTCTCTGCTTCACCAGTCGCAGCTTTGTCCGCATCAATCGCATAATGCCCATCCTTCCAATGCAGCAATATACTTGCCGGAAGTTTGGCGCCTACACTAAAGCCACTAGGAAGCCCAGCGAAGGGAGCGGAAAAGCCGCTACAATCCGGATTCCTCCAACCGGAAATCAAAAAATAACACTGACTCAACAAAGAAGTCATACTCGAAGTACTGCCGCAATACTTCTTGCCATGCTGCTTCGTAAGTGTTGCCAACTCCGGATCTTTACTAGAGGTGATGTAAGGTGGCAGTGCGGCGTAATCGAAAAGATCGACATCGAGGATATCTTTGATGCGCGGGTCGAAATTGTATATCCCCGACCTGGGATCTCTTAGCCAGTAGATACCCGGGTTGAAGAGAACCCGGTCTAATCCATGTGAGAGGGTGGCAACTTTCATCTCTCGGAGGGGTGCAACTTTGTCGATGGGGATGTTGTTTGCTGAAACGCAGCCGGTGATCGATTCGGTCCACTTCTTTTGCTCCTCTGCAAATGGTCCGGAGTAGGAGATGGTGGGATTGGGTTTGCCTTTGCCATCTCTCCAACCAAGGTTTGATTCGGCGAGAGCATCGTTACCGAATACGAGACGAGTTCTGGCCTCGTCGGATCGCTTAACGTTCTGCTTATTGGTATGGGGTGTGGGACTGGAAGGTGCTGCAGACCCGGTATCTTCCGTGGTGCTGCCAGCGGAAGGTGAGAGTCGATCTGGTCCCCAGATATCTTCAAGCTGGTTGGAAGAGCTACCTTTACGAGTGAGTTCTAGGTCCTTGAGCCGTTGTGAGATGGAGAAAGCTTGACTTTGCAGCGAACCGAGTAGCTCATCGAGGTCGTGTAGTTCTTTGAGAAGCGATGCTTGGTGTGCTGCTGCTGCCTTTGCTTTGCCCTTATCGGCTGAAGTGCTGGGAAAACCTTTCTCCTTGCCCTTCTCTGGGCTCTGGACGAATTTGAGCGATTCATTACGGAAAGCGGAGGTGGAAGCACGAAGTAAGCTTCGCAATGCAACTCTGCGTTGGTTGGGCGATGGGTTCGTTTGCGCAGTGGGAGATGCTGCTGGTTTGGAGAAGCTAGAGCGAGCTGGTTCCGGAGTCGAAGGATCGGGTGGTGGTCTCCAAGTTCCTGCTCTTTGTATGTAATTCGTTGAGGATAAGGGCGCTTTTGCTTCCTGTTTAGAGGATCCGCTCCATTGCTTTCGTAACCGATCCGAGAGCGAAGCAGCACTGCTGGTTGTCGAGAATCGTCGATGTTTAGACAATTGCAGACTGGCCAGTGCCAGTTTTTTTGCGTGTCGTCCGTTCATCGTGCTAAGATCTCGGTAGGCGTTGGTGGGAGGAGAGCAAGGCAGAGTTCAGCAAGTTCTGGTCGGACAGTTTTCGAGATGGCTGGAGCTGAGTTGAGTTGCTCTCCAGTCAGACAAAAAAAAAAAAAAAAAAAAAAAAAAAAAAAAAAAAAAAAAAAACTCAGAAGAAAAGTAGTTGAAGATGCACCGGCATCGCCAACGCGTGATGCATTAAATGGGAGTTCACGGGATCGGGAAATCGGGAAGGTATCAGGTGATGAAGAGGACGAGCAGAATGCGAAGCTAGTGGGAGCTAATGCAGCGTATGCACGAGGATTAACGCCATGGTATGCAGGGGATGTGTTGACATGACAACACTCATAAAAGAAGATACGTGGCACATGGGCATGACTCGACATAGAGAGCACAGTCAGGTGGTTAGAACATGTATATATGCCCTTAGCTCAGTCGTTACCTCTTTATGACAATACAAGCCTTTTTACATAGAACATCAGATAAGGAGTGCCTGACCGTGGTCTCCTAGTGGTGTATCTAAATTCAACTAAAGTGCTGCAAAAAGTAAACCCAAAAAAAGCTCAGCCAAATTTTGGCTCAGCAGAAACGCAGGAGCGACAGATTCTCGGAAGTCGGGAAAGCCTGAACAGATATCTCGCTTTTGCCTGTCTTTCTCCTCCTCTTCTTCTTGCCACCAGGGATAGACACTCTCCTACACGACCACAACCATCGCCGAGGCGACAGACCATCATCCTCACATGGAAAACTCGCCAAGATGAGCTCAAGTATGTGCAAGGCTATCGCCAACCTCAAAGGCAAGAGGGAGATGGTGCAGCCAGAACAAGATAACCAAGCACGAGCAGCTCAGCTAGCACAATTGGAAGCATTTGGCAACGCTTTCATGTCCTCTTTCCAGCTCCCGGAATCAAGCGGCTCGTCGTTGGATCATTCCGGGGAGTGTGGAGGCAAGAAAAGGCTCTCGAGCAAGAAACGCAAGCGACTCGCACAGGAGCAAGCTGCCGACTCACCAGACATCGAAGAACAAGCGGCGGCGAAAGAACAAGACGAAATGGATCTTCTCTTCAAGCCCACCAAGTCCTCCTCGCAAGCTGAAGCATCAGGCAGCATCTCAAAGCAAAGCAGGAAAAAAGCACCAAAATCTCGAGCCGTCGAAACCGTCGTCTTTGGCGGCGAACAGCAGGCGGACGCAGACGAAGTCAAAGATGCCAAAAAGGGATGGAAAGCCTTCATGTCATCCAAAATAGACAAGATAGCCACTGAAGACCAAGCCTCTACCACCAAGCTCACCACCGCTGAAGAAGAGCAAGAGAAGCAACTCGTCGCCAACGACCGTCTCCTCTCGGAACTTCTCTCCACCACCCTCTTCGCTCCTGGAACAGGAAACACGTCGAAAGGCAAATCCAACCTTTCCTCAAGCGACACCATAGCGCGTATCATGGAACTTTCAGCAACCGAATCACAGCGTAAAGGTCAAGCGATCGGGCGAGGATGGGGCGAAAAGGAACTGAAACGTCAACAACTAGCCAAAGCTCCAGCAGCCATTCGACAAGGAATGAGAAAAGCAGCGGGTGAAAGGAGGGAAAAGGAGAGGGAAAAGGCCAAGGAGTTGGGTACTTGGCATCCTAGCCTGAAGGCTGGATATGGGAACCAGGCCACAGCAACCCAGATGGGACTTCAAAAGGAGACGAGGAAGAGACAGAGAGGATTGGGGATGGGAATTGGAAAGTTCCAGGGAGGGATGCTGAAGTTGTCGAGTCAAGAGATTTCCAAGGTCAATGGCAAAGGAAAGTCAGCCAGTGCTTCTAGGAAAGGTGGCAAGGGGAAGCGTAAGTGATGTACTGTACAATAGTGGTTACGGTGTACTACAACTTTTGTCGACATCATGAGGGCGAGGCAGAGCTTAGTGTCTGTGAAATGGATGGGATGGGATATGATGTGAGGACGCAGGATCTGACATTCTGCGTTTTACTGGCGGAGGATTCAAGGCTTATGGACGCTCTCTCTCCCCTCGCTACATAAACAGCCCACTTGTGCCCGCCACCACCGACTGTTGCGACCAGAATAGGTGGTAGCCAACTCGATGCGGGAGCTTGTCTCCGCGGGTAAAGGATTGTTTGTCGACAAAAGTGGCAAAGGAGAGAGAGAGAGAAAGAGGTCATCGAGATCGAGTTGGGGATGCAGTTGTGGATGCAGTTGAACATGCTGGGGAACAGGTCTGAGTTTGCTTATGAGATGTTGAGATGAGATGCTGAGATGAGATGCTGAGATGGGATGCTGAGATGGGATGCTGAGATGGGATGACTCTCTCTCTCTTTCTCTCTCTCTTTCTTTCTCTTTCCGCAATCTGTCGGAGCTGCTTTCTCTTGCTGCTTCCCGATCTCTACATATGAACTTGCCAACATACCCACAACCACAACTACAACCACAACCACACCCACACACCGCTGAGCTGAGACTGAGCTGAGCTGAGGCTGTTTCCCCTGCGCCTCTTTCCCTTCCCTCCTTGCCTCTGGCCCCAACTCATCCCCTCCCTTGCCGCTCAGTCACTTGTCGTCATCGTTCCTTCAGCTTCTCCTCCTTTCTGCCACCACCATCAATCTCGTCCTTCTTTCCAACTGACATTTGGTCTCCGTGCTGTGTGGTCGACAAGTCGTTTCTCGCCATCTCACATTCAACAGCACAACCGCCCCACAGCTCGTACTACCTTGCATTTTCTCTCAATCAGCATCTCTTCGACATGACCTTCGCTCAGCATACCTAAATTAGACCATCACTTGCTCTGATACTTGGCAGGCCAACCTCAGGCACACACACACCATCACCTCGCCCTCGTTCTTGATAGCGGCTTTCTCGATAGCCCTTCGAACAACACTTGGACGTTGACCAACCCCCCTCCCCCATTAGCATTACTTCCGTCAAGATGGGTTCCTGCTGGTCCAAAAACACCGTTCTCGTCGAAGAGGTCAACCCAGTGCCTCACCCTGAAGCACGACGAGTATGGCTCATCTCCACCCAAGTCGATCCCAAAGATATCCCACTCGACCTCGTCGGTATGGAAGCAGACGGTCTCAAATCTGCCATGCGCAATCGTGGTCTCCAAGTCGAACATTGGGCACTCAAAGTGGATCCCGCCTCCAACCTCAAAGTCGAAGCCACCATTTTCGACATCACTGTCCAAGGCGGAAAATTGGTCTCTCAAACACACTCCACCTCGAGTCCCTACTGGAGCATCGTTCTGCGCAGAGTGGCGATCGGTTGGACGATTTGGAAGGATAATGAGATTTTGGAGGCGAGTAAGCTTTTGATTCAGGCTAGACCAAAGTATGATGGCAGGGCGAACAACAGTGAGCATTTGGCTAGGTTGTTGGGCAGACATATCCAGTTCAATCCTCCCGTGCACCAGCATGAGCAACAGCAGAGTGCGATGACGACGACCAGCGAGACGGTTGCTGGCTCAACGATTAGTCCTGCTGGAAGCATTCTTAAGCCTGATCCCCTCACTCAGCAAGCGGCTTTAACTCTGGCGAACAATCGATCACAAAACACGCTCGTGTCTGGTGGACACAGTCAGAGGAGCCAATCCATCCAAGACTCGGAGACCAAGCTGAGAGTGGGCGAGTTAGAGAGTAAAGTGCTATCACGTATACCGGTAAACATCCGACACAGTCAGAGGATGAGCATTGCAGCATTTGCTTTGAATCATCTTTCCACCGCTCCATCATCGACGCGATCCGAGTTGGCCGCCTTGCCACCGCCCTCAAGACCAACGCTCTATAGGTCGGCAGAGACCGAGCATAGTTGGTCACCAACAGCGAGTGTCAGGATGTCTGTGCCTCCTCAGCCTAGACAGTCGCCCTTGAATCCTAGTTACAGGTCTCGTAGGCAGACAGCGAGTGAGATGAGGCGTGCCGATGCAAGGGCGAGGACCAAGTCGGATGCTGCTAGTCAGCATGATGCTACCGTAAGGGCAGGGGCTGGTGGCAGAAGGATGTCCAAGGGTGGGGCTAGAAGGAGGAGTGAGGCTCAGGTTGAGTTGCCCACTGCTACTGCCACCAACGGGTCCAACTCGATCAGAGTTAGGACAAAGAGCACTCATCAGAGGGATTCGATGATGAGTCTTGGAGGAGGAGGAGGAGGAGGAGGAGGAGGAGGAGGAGGAGGAGGAGGAGGAGGAGGAGGTAGTTGGCCTCCTGCGATGGCAGCTGGAGCTTTACCCACTTCTGCGTCCATGATGCCAGGTATGCCAATGATGGGCGGTTTCGGCACACCTCCATTCCCCATGACCGCTCAAATGGGAATGCCAATGTGGCCACCACAAATCAACACAAGCCCGCCAATGATGTTTAACCCGGCACTTCAAGCTCCCATCCCACCTTACTTTGGTCTACATCCAATGGGAGTAGGAATGCCTTTCTTACCTTCCATGCCTATGCTGGCTCCTGCTAGTCCAGGCTTTCATAGTCATACTTCGAGTGCCGTTCACACTCCACCTGAATCCCCGCATTTAGGTACGACGCAGATGCCTGGGAAGGGGGTGTCAGAGATTAGGCCTTTGCACCAGCAACATCAGCACCAGCAGAGGGTCTAGCAGGTTTCCGTTCAAGATCTAGGACTTTTTCTTTCTTTTTTTAATACTTTTTGCACATACCCGGTTCCTCATCGTATCATATAGTCTACGCACATTCATTTTTGGTTTCAGTATCTTGTTCGTTCCTTTTTGTTTATGCCTGCTTTGGACGCAAATAGCAGGTGCGAGGTTTGCCTGATATGCAACAGGCGATTGTGTGGTGTCGCAAGTTTGCTCCTGGCCTGAGGATGAGTTTGTCGATCGAGACTCCAACTCGATAATGGGCTAAGATAGCACAAGTTGACGCCCTGCGTCCCGCCCAACAGCTTCTATCAGCAGCTCTCTCGGCACCTCGTCCCTTCCCACGGCCAAGTTCTTTGGTCCGCTTTTGAGAGGCTTGATTTAGATGCAGCATTTGTTAGGTATTGCTCGGTCAAGAGTTGTACAAGAGATGCAGATCTGGAGCGATGAGATGGGATGCAAAAGTTCGAGCAGGTTTTGAATCAAGTGCAGTTACTTGTCAGTCTTTGCAGCTTTTCCATCATCTCCATTTCCTTCGTCAGAAGCTTTTCTCTTGTTTCCTACTCCACTTTCATCCTGGTCCTCGTCCTCGTCTTCTTCATCCTCCTCCCTAGTAAGTCCGGCAGAGATTAGAAAGCGAGAAAAGGGGTGGTTAGTATGGGTTAGAAGATATGGATATAGGAGGTTCGGGAGGAAAGCGTGTGGCGTGTAGACTTACTCTTGTGCCTCATCCTCAGCTTCTTCATCCACCTCTTCATCATTACCTTGCACAACTGCTGCATCATCTTCATCCTCCTCCTCCTCCTCCTCCTCATCCTCGTCGTCGTCTTGAGCTGCTTCTTCGTCGTCGTCTTCGTCGTAGTCTCCCTCTTCATCGTCTTCTTCATCTCCCTCCTCCTAAAACCGGCACACACACAAACCACATATCCCGAGAGAATAAAAGCGTCAGCGAAAGCAAAGACAAAGAAAGAAAAAAAAAAAAAAAAAAAAAAAAAGACGAGGTAGTGGTAAGAAAAGGGTGTACGTACGAAATCTTCATCCTCTTCATCATCTTGGTCTTCGTCAGCTAAACCTTTTGCTGCATTCTTCTCCGAGGTTTTAGCTGCATCTCGTTTGTTCTCTTTGACGGTCGCTTCGATGTGGTCTCCCGTGGTGGAGTTGTTGGCTTCGGTGAGGGACGTCATTTTTGCTTGCTAGACTTGTTTCGGCAAGGGATGGAGAACGATTCTAGGATGGTTTGATGATGGGTGGTGGTGTGCAGAAGAGAAAGATGTTAAACGACGAACGGAAGGGGGAGGGAAGGGGGGGGGGGGGGCCAAAAGTGGAGTTTTGAAGAAGGAGGGGAAGGAGAATAGGACACCTTACGCCATTACACCGCAATTTCACAGGCAGCCTTCGCAAAACGGCAAATTCATGACAGCAGAACGAGAGAGACAAGACAAGGAGATCTATGCATAAGGCTGCACCTTGGACAGCGAAAGGCAAGCAAGGCAAGCAAGGCAAGCAAGGCAAGGAGAAGAAGAAAAGCAAAGAGAGAGGTGGTCTGAGCGCATCACCCTGGAGAAAGAGCCAAAACAAGACCGCGCTGTGCAGTGGCGTGAGAGGAAGGGAAGAAGGGAACGCGTCACGCTGCCAACGCTTCTCTCTGCTGACTGTTCTCCTCGCTCTCACACAACCTTGCTGGCCTCATTCTATGTCGCCGCACGAGTCTCATCGCTAGCTGCTCGCACTGACCATTGCGCATCCCTTGGCGAGGCACGAATGCTGCTCTCAACTTCTAATCCTTTCCATGCAGGTCGCTTTTCCATCGCAGCTTCATCATCAGAACCCTGCATTTTGGCTCCAACGCCGATTGGTGAAGACCTTAGCTTCAATCGGGCCCCATGGATGAACCCGATTCACACTTCACACTCACCATGTCACCTCAAGATCAAGATTGATGGTGACAGAAAGACCAAGTTGCAACATTCACTACCGTACAATGAAGATGGGAGCTAGATGTCGAGCACCAGATTCGGAATCCGACCATTCAAACAACCGAACGGAGTTGCCTTCCAACTCTCAGGTGCCATTGACCAACCTTTGGGCATCCCTAGACCCTTTTCCCCGCCCCGATCCACTCTAGCAGCCGCTTTACTAGCTTCAACAGTACTCTCTCCTGCGTTTACGGCAGGAGGCGCATCTTGCCGCATCTCCTCCCCTTCCTCAGTCCAAGTATGAAGTGGACAAGTATTGCCGCGTCCAACACCATCCATCTCTTTCAGTCGGGATTGCATTTTTTCCAGATCTTGTTCGAAACCTGATTTCTCCCCCTGCCTCTCTCCCTCTCCTTCCTTTCTGTCTGGCAATTCAGGCAACTCCAGTTCTTCCTGTGCAACAAACTGTGACACTTTCAAAAGAGCAACCAAAGCTCCAATCCTCCCCTTCAACTCCTCATTCCTCTCACACAAAAACTCCAGCAGGGATGTGGAAGCGGGCGATTGCATCGGAAGACACATCTCCACCACTTCCCTATCCGTAATCAGCATCGTCGGTGATGAAGTAGCCGTTGAGGCAGAGTTGTGCATCTGACTGGGAGGAGGGATGGTGGTGGCTAGGTATCGGATCCAAGCTTCAGCGGTCTTGCGATATGAGATGTCGGAAAAAGCGGCTTCTTTCCATCCTTCCCAACTCGCATCTTCACTCTCGTCCACAGCCGTGGCAGTGGCCGAAGTCGGTTCGTCGAGCAAAGAAGACTTCTGGGTGTCTGGGAGGTGAGGATCGGGTTGAAATAGCACTGCTTCTAAGAGTTCTTCGGTGAGAAGCTGACCGAAGATCCCACCAAAGGTATCACGGAGGTATCCGAGGAGAGGGGTCCAAACATTGGCGAGCTCGGTGGGGAGGGTGATGGATGGTCCTGTTGCTGATGGTTTGACTCGTTTGCTGTCCTTCCCGCACAAGATGAGGTGGAATGTTGTTAGGACACCAATCTGCAATCCTTTATCGCTACGTCTGAGAGGAGGGAGGGGGTAACCACTTACGACTTGCTCAAAGGAATCAAACCACCAGGCATCAACAACAGATTGACCAAATCTGCCAATGCCGACTTTGTACATTCATCCACATCATCCGGATCCAACACCATGTTCCTCACATCGATCTCTTCATCTTTTCCCTTCTTGTAAGCCCCGGCATTGTCGATGAGCTGGGTTGCAAAGTCAGGTTCCAAGGTTCTAATTCGAGAAACGAAGAGGGCGAATTGCTTGTAAAATCGACGGAATTGATCTTTCGAGGTGTTGATGAGACTGCGATCGCGAGTGACTTGTTTAGAGAGTTGGCGGTAGCTTTTAAGGCTGAGACGGAAGTCTTGGAGTGCTTTGCGACGGTCTTTTTTGCGTGATTCTTGTTCGGGATCAATTGCGCTAGTTGCGTTGGTAGAGGTGGAGCCAGCAGTGGCGAGGGTGGAAGCGGCTGCTGCTGTGGGTGCATCGACATGCATCGCACTGCCACTTGCATCATGGCTTTGTTGCTGATTCTGAGCAAGTGCAAACTGCAAAGCATTAGGACCAGCGAAAAGCTGTGGGACCCAAAAATGTCGATCAAGCCAGGCAAGCGCTGCACCTGCTGCTTGTCTACAAACACTAATACTCGGCAGCTCCTCATGCGTAACTGCGTGACGGATCTCGACGAACCACAGCGGCAACCCAATCCGAGCAGCAATCGCAGCAATGGAATGCGCAAACCCCCCTGTCTGATGCGAGTCAACCACGCTGTTGACAAATCGAGTGAGCGCCAAGCTGTAATTGAGTCTAACGCCGAGTTCTGCGCCTCCTCCCATCTGCTCCAGCGCATAGCGCAGAGAGGATGTTGAAGCAGCACCATGGTGAGTGGAGGCGGCAATCCGTTGCATGTGCTCATCCAAGATGACACTTTGAACCAAGAGTGCCGTGGTTTCGACGGCGAAAGGACATGCAGATCTGTTAATCCACATTTGGACGACTGAGAGTGCTTTGTGGGCGTCTTTGACGGAACAAGTGTCGTCGGGGAGGAAGGTGGAATCTGGATAGAAATGGCGGTAGATCTCGAGCAGATCTGCTTGCCTCGAGTGGAGGAAGGGGGACCGTTTGGGTGGCCTCATCGTGGCAATATTGGTGGTCAATCTATGCCCCGATGGTGTTGCGTTGACTGGTAGGGAAGAAAGGTCTTTCTCTCTCTCTTTCTCAACAAATCATTCTCTGACACTTCCGTCTTCCGAAATTCTAAAGCTGAAGCCGAGAAACGTCATTCTCGCCCGCCAAAAATGCAACTGCAGGGCCTGTGTGCGCTCTCGTGCGACAAGACACACTACCCACATCGCACGTGATCGTCATGAAGGCGGCGTGCGCGTCTGGGCTGGACTCAACAATCGACTTGCTGCGCTTCTGCGCTTCTTCTTTCTGCGCTTCTTGCTGCTGCGCTTCTCCTCTCTTCACTATATCATCTTTACCAAGAGCCAGGCGTACTATTAGCAGTCTGGTTCGTCGTTAATGACAACTTCCTTCATCACCATCACTTATCGACGAGGCACTAGCTCCAGCCTCGCTACAGACCCCTATCGGACCATCAATCACAAATCCGACGCTCGTTCTCGTATCGTATTAGGCCGATAGTGACTCGGTACTGCCAAGGATGTCGTCCATCATCGTCTCGTCAAGACCAAAAGAACCATACCAATCCGTATCATGCCCAAACACAGCGTGTCGAGCCTCGATCGAATACCTTGCACCTCCTTGCTCCGATCTCGCCGCCTTACCATCCCACGAGACTTCGTTCACCGTCACATGTTGCAGCTGTAACAAGCAATTCGAGCCTCCCGGAGCCACCAAGATGGTTCGCGAAGCTCGCAAGACCGGCGGTAAAGATGTAGCCCGTAAACGACGCATTGGAACGGACGAAAAGCCACTCGATATGAAGTACTACGACATCCTTGGTGTTCCAGCCAGCGCGACTGTTGAAGAGATCAAGAAAGCGTATCGCAAACTCGCAATCAAACTTCACCCGGATAAAAATCCAAACGATCCAGAGGGAGAGGAAAAGTTCAAAGCCCTCGCTACAGCCTACACCGTCCTCTCCGACCCGGAGCTGAGGCATAAGTACAACGAGTTCGGAGCAAGTACACCTGGTCTCACGCCCGAAGACGGCTTTGTTGACCCAGAGGAGGTGCTTGGTTCGCTTTTCGGTGGTGAGCGATTCGCAGATATCATTGGTACTATCTTCATCGGTAAAGAGATGAAAGATGCTCTACAGCAAGATTCAGATGATCTTGAACGACAAGCAAACGGCGACAGCACCGCTGGTGGGCAAGGGGCTGATAGTTCTGCTGCGACAAAACCCACTTTAACAGCAGAACAAAAAGCAGCAAAGGAAGAAAAAGAACGCAAACAAGCAGCCGAACGCGAGAAACAACGTCAAGAACGTGTCTCGAAACTCGTCGAGAAACTCATTTGCAAACTTAGCATCTACACTGAAGCCGCCCGGAACGCCGACGATCCAGTGCCGGATAAAGAGGTGGAGAAGAGTTTCCGCGAGATCACACGGTTGGAAGCGGAAGAGCTCAAGCACGAATCGTATGGTGTGGAGCTGTTGAATGCGGTTGGATTTGTTTATTCGGCCAAGAGTAAGCATTATTTGGCTAGTACAGGCTTTTTGGGTTCTTTCGGAGGTGTTTTTCATTCGGCTGCCTCGAGTATTCATGTTGTAAGGGAAACCGTTTCGACAGTAAGGGCGGCGTTGGAGCTTAAGAAAGTGTTTGAGGAATTGGCCAAGGCCGAAGAGTCTGGCATTACAGTGGAGAGAAAGAGAGAGTTGGAAGAGCAGGCGGCCGAGAAGGGTATGCGGGCGCTGTTCAAAGGTGCTAAGCTGGAAGTCGAGAGTGTGATTAGAGAGGTCAGCGAAGCTGTATTGTACGATGGTTCGGTTGGCAAAGAGACTCAGAGGTTACGAGCACAGGCCTTGGGCATTGTTGGTGAGATCTATATGTCGATCAAGAAGGGCAAAGAGGATGGTATGACGAATGAAGATGCGAATGCTGCCCATGATGATTATGTCAAGATCGATACCAAAGCTTCGAAAGAGCGAGACCAGAAAGAGCAGCTGTCATCATCGCATCAGCAATAATCTCCACCACAACAGCCTTGCTGACTCTCACTGTTGCTTTGCAATTCCATTCTGCCACAAGGCACTACTCAACATGAGCCGTAGAAGACAAGATAGGAGTGTAAAAAGTCTGTGGACCCGCGATAAGGCTATGATATGGTGTTGAATTGCATGACTAGATGTCAACAATAGTTTGTATTTGCGTTACGTTGACTGCTCTGTTCTCAGCCAAAGGATGGCGTACTCCATCGATGCACCGTTCTCGGTCTCACCCGCCACGAGCTCGGCACGGAACTGGCGCTCGAACAAATTGCATATCCTGCTTGCCTCTCGCCACCCAAACTCTTAGCAGCATCCCCATTGACAGCGACTGCACGAGCGATAGCCTTCTGCAAAGTAGCATAATCAGCTCCACCGGGTAGCTCAAGCTTATGTTGTGGCGCCGCATCCGCACTACTTGGCGGTAGAAGCTCGTAGAAGAGCATGTAAGGATTCTCCTGTTTGACCTGCTGGATGCTTACTCGACTAACACTGTCATCCGAGATTCGCAACCAGGTATCACTTGGGCCCTCATCGCCAATACGATTAAAGTGGCTTTGAGCACCAGGTACACGCTTGAAAGCAATGTAGTGACCAAACGAGTGCGAGCCGTAATGCACTACAATCGCAGCCAACTTGTAGACGGATTCTGCTTTGCCATCTTCTACTTGTTTTGCGGTGCTTGGTTGAAAGATAGCTGAGTTCATCGTCTGCCGCCCATCCAAAGAGATCGATCCTTGTAGTGTGACATGACTGAGATCGAGATACTCAGGAAAGAGCACATGTCGATTGTTCTTGGCTGGTGCCCAGGCTGCTGCAGCATACGACGATCGATTCAAATGTAGCGCCAAGATGCGCGGTGGCCGTGAGATCATGATCTGCTTGGTGGATAGCCTACTGAGCGTCTTCTTGAGTTGGATATTGGTGAGAATGTTGTGCCATGGTGAGCTAGGGTCGTCGGAAGCTTGCTTGAGCTCATCCTCGGACAGGCCAGATTCGATGATGCGGGTGAGCTTAGTCTCTTTGGATCTGAGTTGGGCCATGCGCTTCTTCTTTGCTGGCGTCAAATTGCCGTCTGCTAATCCATTTGCATCGTCATTCGCGGCACGACCATTCTGCTTGGTGGTCGCTGGAGATGGACGCTTGACGGCAAGATCGCTCTTGACAGAAAGCAAAGTGCTCCGCAAAGTACAATTCCAGCAGATCCAGTCAACTTGTTCCAGATCAGACCATAGCTCGAGGCATTCTTGCAATGAACAGGCGGAGGTGCCGGTGATGTCGGACGTGTGGGTTGCAACGTTGATCGGCGGTACGGACAAGGAGATCTCTGATGTGGAAAAGTGTCGTATCGCTTCGCAATAGCCGCAGTCGAGACAAATGGTGCGTTGAGCCAGCAAGGCATCAAAGGGTGAGATCATGAATGTATTGTCGGCGTTTGCTGCTTGCCTTGCATTCACCGATTCTGCATCTTCTGCGCCATGTGCGATTGCAAGAGCCTGCAGCGGATTGTTTGATTGACTCAACGGCAGACTGCCTTTTACTTGTGCATACACTCCACGTCCGTTCCATGGTAAGGATGGGGCCATAAGAGCTCGAAGGCCTGCTTGCTCGGATTCGAGTGCGTTGGATCTTTCGTACTGAATAGCTTTTGCTTCCCTATCAACAGCATCGTTGAGTAGGGCAAAAAGCTCGTGTGCATCCTGTTGCTGGTGGGCGCCGACGAGACTGCGGATGGAGGACGAAGGCAAGTTTTGTAGCGCCCTGACGAGTTGGGTAGGGTTGATGGCTGAGTTGCGGTCGCCCGGTGCTGCCAGCTCCTCTACCAACTCGAGCAGCGCATCAATGACGGGTGTCGGTGTATCCCAGCGTTCGGCTTGCTCTACTAATAGATAAAGATACCGGCGAAAGAGTGTCAAGGAGGATATAGACTGCAGCGTCGAGTTGAAGAAGCAAGTGTTGCCAGTATTGCGAAGACCCTTGTATTTGGGGTTGGTGGGCGGTGCTGATGTGGTGGTGGAGGAGGAGGAGGCCGAGGCGGCAGCTGAGCGAGCTCGTCTCACAGGTGTCAAAGATGCAGATGCTGGATGGGTATATGAATGGAGTCGAGATGCAGCTTGTAAGCCTGGCTTGAGCATGTCTCTGTATGCTATCAACGCCAAAAGGATGGCGAGGAGTGCGCCAATGCCGAGGTAGGCTTGAATGGGTACTGAGGAAGGCTGTGGGAACAGGCCGAATAGAGGATGAGTTGCCGCTGTTACAGGTCTGTTCCAGCTGCCCATTTCTGATGCAAGCAGAATACAGCCCTTTTGCCCTGGTCACCTAATCTTGAGGGTGTTGCGTGACGCAAAGCTGATTCAAGTAGCAGATCCGTGCACGCTGTCATAAAAGCGCTCCGACTTGGTGCTCCGAGGTTATCCGAACAGGGCTTGAAGACGATGCCGACCTGTTACACATGTGGTGTTGAACGTCGGCCAGCTGCTGAGCGATTCAGTGATGGTGCCAACGCGTGAGGAAACGCTAAATGCCTCGCTCGGCTAGCTGAAGCAAGATCCTGAGCTGATTCGTTGGTCGTCAATCAAGACGCAAAAGAGCGTTCGGGTGGGCTGTTGCTTGCCTGAGGGTACATACGGTTGAGGTGTGAAGAAGATGATGGTGATGAAGAAGAAGCTGAAATCAAGGTGGTGCAGCAAAATGTCGAGAAATGCTCCGCTCAGCTGCGGATGTCGTCACAGGCCGACTAACTTAACACGCTTCAGGCAAAAAAAGAAAAAGAAGAAAAAAAAAAAGGCACGACCCATGTTAAGCCACCACTTCTCTGTCATTACAATCGCATAAAGCGATATTCAGCTTTGGCAATAGAAAGTGTGTGTGTGTGTTGAATTACTACTTACTGATTTCCTTTGTATCGAAATGAAGCTTCTAATTCATTTTCTTGCTTCAAGCTTTTGGTCGACTTTGCCCCGCAAATGATGCTCTGCAACCCCCCGTCGTCTTTTTGTATTGACAAATACAAAATCTCACTTCACCGCTCTTAGTCGCATGGATGACAAGTAAAGTGATATAGAAGTGATCTAAAAGTGATATAGATGTGATATAGATGTGATATAGAAGTGATATAGAAGTGATATAGAAGTGATATAAAAGCGATATAGAAGTGAAATAGAAGTGATATAGAGTGATATTAAAGCGATATAAAAGCGATATAAAAGCGATATAAAAGCGATATAAAAGCGATATAAAAGCGATATAAAAGTGATATAAAAGTGATATAGAAGTGAGTGGCTCTTGCTCCAGATCCCAACTCCCCCCCGCGTCCGTGAGCGTGTCCAGGTTGCTCTGACCGTCTCCTCTCTGTCAGAATCACGACCACGATCACCATCACGATCACCATCACGATCACTCTCCGTTCATCCATCCCTCATCCATCCCGTCGCCATCGTCTTTCGGCCTTCCGCTCGCTACTTTGCGTAAGCCTGCTTATCGCTCGCTCCGTCCACTTCGATCACGCTTCTTATCTCGGCGATATCGCGAGTACCGACCTTGGCACACTCTTTCCCGCTCTCTTTGACGTTGCAAGCTCATTCAGTCACTTCTCGATCCTCGCATTCACTCGGTTGCGTCGTGTCGGAAGCAGTGCTGCAACCCACATACACATTGTCGGCTTCTCATCGACTTCATTTCTCTTTTGTTGCTCGATTTCTTCATCTTGCGAGCTTCTGACATTCGCTTCACCACACGCTCGGCACTTGACCGAGACTAGTGGAGATGGACATGAATGCAACCATGTCCTCTTATCAGGGTTCCGGTGCCAATAGCCCTGCCATTTGCCACGCCCCACCCCAACAATATAGCCAGCATCCCATCGGTACATCTCTCACCGCACCAGCCTCACCTTCAGGAGCCTACAGTGCTTCAGCGCTTGCTTACGCGAATGCTCAGCTTTCTCAGTATGCTGCCACGGGAGGCGCTGCTGCCATCCCCGCCCATCTCAACCCACACGCCCTCAGCTCTGCGCTCTCTGATTACTCGATCAGTCTTCCCAACTCTGCCGCCTCATCTCCCGGCGCTACACCGCGTCGGCTTCCAGGTGCCGGGACATCAACACCTGGAGGCAACTCGCGTGTAGCTGCAAGTGCTATCACTGGAAAGCGTCTCAACTGGAGCGAGATGATCTGTCAGACCATCGCTGAAAGCGAGAGCGGTCGTCTCGTCATTCAAGATCTCTTCGAAGGCATGTGCTCCAAGTTCCCCGAGATTCGCGAGTGGGCCTTTGGCAAAGACTGGGAGGCCCGAGTCAAGAACCGAATCAAGTCGACTCTCTCCATCAAAGGCAACCTCTTTGTCAAAGTTCCAAGACCGAGCTCTGCAGCTGGAAAGGGCAGTTGGTGGACTCTCAGTCCCGAAGCGCAAGAAGCATGGAAGACCGGACGCGTGGCCAATGTTGTCAAGAACAACGCACACAGCCGTGCTGGTAGTGCAGGGCCTAGCAGCATCCACGGCTCGCCCGTTCGAACGGTCAGCTCCAAGTTTGGCACCTCTTCTCATACCACCAATCCACCTTACCTCATTCAGGCTTCGCACACCCATCAGAACCACAGTCAGCGCACTTCGCCGCTCGGTCTTGGGCTTGCTCAAGCTTCCAACTATCACAGCCCTCTTGCCAACAATTTCAATTTTGGCGATCCTTTGCCCATAGTTGGTAGCAACTCTCAACCCAGCGCACTTGGCAGCAATCTTGGACTCGGCAGCGATGACTCGAACTTGAACCTGGGTCAGGGACAGAATGTACAATCGCAATCCATGCAAGACCAGGCACAGAATGCTCAAGCCAACATGGCGCCTCAGAACTTTGCCAACCTGAGCTTTTTGCAATCCAACGCACCTCAGCCGTTGGGAACAGCGCAGAGCGTGCCACATCTTGGTGGCCCACAATCTATGCCTTTCCCAGCACAGGCACATGATCTGTCGGCTGCCAATTTGGCCAATTTCAGCAACAACGATTACTCGGCGCTATTTGCTGGCATTCCAGGTTTCGATGCTAATGCTTTTGCGCAAGCTGCTAACAACACCAATAACGGTCAAGTCAATCTGGCTATGGGTGCTTATAATATGGAGCAGAACAACCATCCATTTGGCGGCAGCATTCCTGGTGCGTATACGCTGTTGCAGAACCAGCAGAACCAGCAGCAGCAGCAACAACAACAGCAGCAGCAGCAGCAGCAGCAGCAGAATCAAGGCAACAACAATAATGCCTACCCCATCTTTGGCAGCGACATGTACGCCAATCTTGAACAGGCAAGTCAGCAGATGCAGGGTCAAGCACAACGCAATCCCAACCAGGACCAAGGTCAGAATCAGGGTCAAGGTCCACCATCCCAACAACAACCTCGATCGCAACCATCGCGGCCGGGTCAACAACAGCAACAGGCACAGCAGCAACAATCGCAACCGCAACCGCAGCAGAACAGCAACAACAACAGCAACAACAACAACAACAACAACAACAATAGCGGTATGGCTTGTTCTGGTTATTCTGGCAACTTTTCAAGTTCATCACCTTTCCCACCAAGTAATGGACTTGAGGGGCCTTCGCCGGCGGATTCGACATGGTTTTCATTTACACCTCTTGTTCAAGCGAATGATTGCAATGATGGTGGTAACAACAATAGTAGTAGCAATAACTCGTCGTCTGTATTGGGTCAATTGGGTGGTGAGGGTTCGAGAAAGAGAAGGACTTCAGAAGGTTTACGCGATTTAAACGATTTTCAATTGCCTCCTCCTCGGTCTCAATCGTAAACTTCTAACTGCTTTTCCTCCCGACCCACACCGTCCTCCTTTCATGCTTCCGGGATAGATACCTCTCTTCCTCTCTTCCACTCTTCCACTCTTCCACTCTTCCACTCTTCCACTCTTCGACTCTTCCACTCTTCGACTCTTCCTCTCTTCGACTCTTCCACTCTTCGACTCTTCCACTCTTCGACTCTTCCTCTCTTCGACTCTTCCACTCTTCGACTCTTCCACTCTTCGACTCTTCCTCTCTTCGACTCTTCCACTCTTCGACTCTTCCACTCTTCGACTCTTCCACTCTTCGACTCTTCCACTCTTCGACGCTTTGACTTTTTATTTTTTATTTTTTTTATTTTTCTTGGCATTGTTCTTGAAATGTATCATCTTAAGTCACTCTGTTGCTCTCGTAGACTGTTGGATTGGTTTTGTTGTTGCTGAAAGCACATGTGTTGGGTGGAAAGTTGAATTTGTTAAGAGTCACTACCGCGGCCTTTTTCAGAGTTCAATCGCGCCTGTGAAGGGTCAGTGGAAATGTCTCGCCTAAGCGCTGATGCGGAAATATAGTAGACCACAATTGGGGTTCAGATTGTATCCGATCACAATCATGGCCAGGACAAGGAATGAGATGATGAACAGATACACAAACGCACAAGCAGCTCCCCCTCTTGCAACCAGACCAACAGACAGGCTCATATTCGGAACACATCAAGACATTACTTGCATTCGATTTAATGAGGTATGATTGTGACAGAGGATGGCGTGAGAGGGAAAAAAAGGTGTCAGTCCTACACTTGCGCCAAGCAGTGAGGCTGTCTATTAAGAGCAGACTGAAAAAGGGGCAAAGGGGAATCAAAACGTATGTCGCTACTGCGGAACGGGGGAATCATCGTGCATGATCGAACCTTGTCGAGTTCGAAGGGTATAGCCAGACTAGGGGCAAACGAATTAACAAGCCCAAAGCGAGGAGTAGACAAGAGAGAATCAAGAAAGCCGGAAGACCCTGAAACGGAAAAGGGCATGCAAAAGAATCCAAATGGTTGTTGATAGATGGAGAACAGTCCAACTCAAGATGCACACTTAGGCAGCGGCAGCGACGGGGGCAGCAGCCTCGGGAGCCTTGTTGACAATGACGGGGGCAGCAGCAGCAGGGGCAGGGGCAGGGGCGGCAACGTCCTCAGCGACCTTCTCCTCGACGGGGCTGACCTCTTCAGGAGCAGCGGGCTCCTCGGCAGACTTCTCGGCAACCTTCTCCTCCTCCTCCTCCTGCTCGGCGGGCTTGTCTTCCGACTTCTTGGTGGCCTTGTGGAAGAGGGCACCAAACTTGCCGCTGAGACGACGCCCGAGCTTGATCTTTTGGGCAGCGACATCGGGAGCGGGAGCGTCAGCCTTGGCAGCCTCGTCGATCTTGACGTCCTTGGCCTCCTCAGTAGCGGGGGCAGCGGCAGCCTCCTCGGTAGTGGCGGGAGCAGCGACCTCCTCAGCGGCGGCGGGCGTCTCTTCAGTGGTAGCAGGGGCGGCAACAGCCTCCTCAGTAGCGGGAACGGCAGCGGTGGCTTCCTGAGCAACGGGCTCCTCCTTGGCGGCGACGGCCTTCTCCTTTTTGGCAGTTTTTTCCTTGATGGCACCGAGGATCTTGCCGAGGAACGACTGGCGCTTCTCCTTCTTGGGGGAGGCCTCCTTGGCGGCGGTCTCTGCAGTGGTGGTAGCAGCGGCAGCCTCGTTGGTCTGAGGCTCAGTGACAGCCTCGGCAGCGGGGGCAGCAGCGGCCTCCTCAGTGGCAGTGGCAGCGAGAGCAGCCTCCTCTACGGCAGCGGGAGGGGCCTGATGTGATGGGATAACAGAGTTGCAGGGGGAGCAATAAGAAGTGTAAGTATGCTTGTGCTTGAATGAGAGCAGCGTGAGAAGAGGATTAGCGGACAATGGTACTTACAGCCTCAACAGGAGCAGCAACAGGGGTCTCCTCGACAGCGGGAGCAGCAACCTCCTCAACGGGAGCGACGGCGGCAGGAGTGGTCTCGGGAGCGGCAGACATGGTGAATTGTATGAGTTGTGTGAGAAGAGCTGAGAAGGTGTGGGTATAGAAGTTGTAATCGAAGTGAAGATACGACGAAGATGGTGACGATAGGATAGATAGAGCGCGGAAGAGAGGGAGGATGTAGGATGTTGCGCAGTCGAGTTTATAAAGGAGATCGACAAAGCGCTGTTGACAGGCAGGCTGAGAGGGCGGGGACAAAGGCGGGCGAGGGAACCAAACTTTTCTTTTCTTTCTTTTTTTTTTTTTTTTCTTTTTTTTTTTTCTCTTTCTCTCTCTCTCTCTCTGCTGCTGCTGCTTTCCGCTTTGTTCGGCGCTCTTCGCTGGAGTTGAGCGCACACAGGCAGTCACGCAGAGGGTGAAAGGGAAAGGGAATGCTGAATGCCCCTTTCTCTCCTCAATCACACACCAGACTAGGCAAAGTGCGCTGGTGCTGCTGCTATCGGTGCTGTTGCTGTCAAATCAGAAAATCGTGGCTTCATCTCGGCTGAGTCGAGAGAGAGTGAGAGAAAGAGAAAAACAAATGAGAGGGCTCAAGTGCCGGTTAAGAATGAGATGCTGCTGCAGGAGAAGCAAATAGGGAAGCAGACTTGCGTGCTGTGATTGGTAGCAAATGAAGCCAAAGTGGGTTCTAGGCCTGTGTGTGTGATGTGGTGTGTGATGTGGTGTGTGATGTGGTGTGTGATGTGATGGGCCAGTGAAAAGAGGTCTGCGGAATAGCGCCGTCGCGAGAGTCTTGTAGACACGCAGGCAGGCAGAGAGCTTCACTGTATACAGTATGTCTCCAACTCAGGGCGAGAGGGACAGAGTGCAAGGAGACCTCAGCCGCCGTGACGCTGTCTCCCGTGACGCTGTCTCCCGTGACGCTGTTAATCTCAAGCTAGAAGGCCACGAGAGAAAATACGAGAACAATTTGTAGCAACCAGACCATTCAAGAGGGACGCAACGCAGGGGAAGCGGGCCGAGCGAAAGCGAAAGCGAAGGAGAAAAGGAACAGTGCACGGGGCCAAATGCAGCCGCCATCGGACAGGCCGACGACATGCGTGTGTCCAACAAGGGGCATCCAAGAGCGGGACGATAAGGAAAGAAAAAAAAGAATTAAAAATTTAAAGGATTCAACTCGAACAAAGGGTCTCGGACTGTCAACTGGATTGCGTGCCGAGCAACGCTTTCGAGCCTCTGTCTGTGAAATCGTCAGCATCCGAGCGAAAAGCCAGCATGCTCGGGTAGAGAGTTGAGGGCGCCGAAAAGAGGCAGCTCTCGACAGCTCTCGACAGCTGGACCCGCGCCGATTGGTTACTTTCTCGACATCTGGTCCATCTGCCGCTTTTGAAATTGAGTTTCCAACTAAAAAAAATAAAAAATAAAAAATGTGCTCAGAGATTGTGCGCTTATCCTGAGATCCTCTCCGAACTTGCCTATCTCTCCCTCAACTATCTCTCTCTCAACTTGCCCGGCCTGTTCGAGATCGACGAGCACATGCTGGTGAATGTGAAGAGATGGCGGGACACGACTCTTGCTTGCTTTCGCATGCGGGTGTTCCGTGGTCGCTGTGTGCTGATCGTCGGTGACATCCGACTTGACGGTAAGTTGGTGAGATGAGATGCGAGTCTGGTTAGTGGCAAGCCGATCGTTTGAGCTTCATGGAGCTGCTCTTGGTTCTGCATTACGCTTGCAGTCACTTTGCAATAGAGCACAAGTTTGGCTTCGCTAACTACTGCTCTTTTCTTTAGCTTGGCTTGGCCTGCACCCTCAGAGCCAAAAAAAAAAAAAAAAAAGAAAAAGAAAAGCGCATTCTATCCGAAACAGAACGCGACGTGCTTGCTGCTCCTCTCCCTGACTCCTGCAGGGGGTTTCCAAGGATTGCAAATCTTGAGAGCGCGACCCGATCAAAGCAATCAATACACAAGATGCCATTCAGCGATCGAGAGAAAGATAATGGTGCTGATTGGCGACTCCTAGCAAACATCGTCAGATGGTGTCCGAACAAGGAGCAGGCACCCAATGTAGGAAGAAATGTCTTCCAATCCTCGCCCTGAAGCATTGCTTGATGGCATTTGGCTGGTGCCATTGCCGCAGACACCGGGATACCTGCTTTCTCCTACTGGGCCGACATCAGAGGCAATCTCTGACCACGTACTCAACCCAAGAACCTCCTTGTGGCAGCATCCTCGCAGCGCGTCTGCGGTCAATAAGGTGCAACTACGCTTCCAACCCGCCATGCCCGAGGCTTGTTCTGGCCAATGTGTCTTCTTTCCTCCTTCTTCGTCGGTCTATTTCCTCCAAGGCTCCAAATGCTCAGATCGACTTGTTTCAATTGAAGATAACAATTAGCATATGCCATTATTGGGGCCACAATCAGGCTCCCTTACCACAGTTGTTTGCTTCTTGTAATGGTTAGTATTTTTGTTTGTATGGATCACTACCACAAGCACATATATATACCTTGTTGCTACCTTTAGTCATGTCTGAGTCAGATGAGTCACCTCTTCTGTGACCTCCTGTGTTGCTGTTTTCTGCAATGCCCCTGAGCTGTTGTCATGCCAACCTTCATGTATTTCATTGTGTTCATTGCTTATGCACACATCTGGTCCCTTGGTGTCTCAGCTGCAACTTGTGCATTCTTCTTGAGATGCTGACACATTTTCAACTCCCCCCTTCAGTGGTATCTCCAATCCTATCATCTTAGCTAATCAAGAGGTGTTGAGGCCCTGCAAAAGTTTCATTAGAATGTCCACTACATTGTTTGCCATTCTGATGAACTCAATTGTTACATCACCCTCCTGCACATGGTCATGAATGAAGTGGTACCAGGTGTCAATGTGCTTCAACTTCCAGTGCTTGGCTGGATCTTTACTTACCTGGATGCACCCATGACTGTCTGTGTAGAGCATTGGCCAAACTTCTGTGATCTCCAAATCCTGGAGCAAATATGAGAAGAACAGTGCCTCTCATACTGCTTCGGAGGCAGTGACAAATTCTGATTTGACTGCTGACAATGCTACACATTTCTGAATGTGGGATTTCCAACTGACTGGGCATCTGTATACATATGTTATCACTCCTGAGGTGCTCCTCCATCTGTTTGTGGGGTCTGATGCTCAATTTGCTTTGGTATACATCATTACTGGTTTGTCTGCATGTTTGCCCAACCCACCTCCTAAGTGCAGTTGATATCTGCTCATCTGATTTAAATACTTCACCATATGAATGGCTGCCTTCCATGCACTGTCAATCGGATTCAACATATATCATGCCAACATACCCACTGTGAAAATGATGTCTGGTTGAGCAGTGTTGGAAACCCACAATAGTTGGCTGACCAATTCTTGGTACCTCTTCACTCATTGAGGGTTGCATTTCTTGCCTCTGGCAATGTTTGCCACACTTAGCATGGGTATCCAGGATTTCTTGTTTGTTCCTTCTAACCATTTGTTCACCATTGCTTTGACATATGCCATTAAATCCAGGGATATCCTCCTCTGTCTCCTGTCACATGTGATCTTTATTCCCAAGAACTCCTTGATTTCGCCATTGTCCTGTGTTTCCCATTTGTTCATGATTTCTCACTTAGCATGATCGACCTTGCTATGACTGGGTGATGTTATCAACATGTTGTCTATGTATGCTGTGATAATTGTGATTCTAACACCTGTCCCTCTTGAATATAAGCATGGCACACTTGGCATGCAATGGAATCCGATTGTTCAGAGGTGTGAGTCTAGTTTGATGTTCCACTCATGGCCCAATTGTTTCAAGCCATACAGTCCCTTCACTACTTTCAGTGCCTTTCCAGGTGGTATTTTGATTCTTATTGGTGGCTTTAAGTATACATCATGGTGTATTGTCAAGTTTAGGTATGCTTGTTTCACATCAATGGAGTCCATTTCCCAGTTTTGGGTTGCCACAATGGCAAGCACTCCTCGAATGGATTGGATGGGTGCTATTGGTGCAAAGATTTCTGTGTAGTCAATACCTTCACACTGTGTGAAACCTCATGCCACAAGTCTAGCCTTGGACTTCATCAGTACAAGGTTCACATCAGTCTTGATCTTGAGGACCCAATGCATGTCAATGGTGTTTGCTCCTTTCAGGAGGTTGGTGATTTCCCATGTGCCCATAGCCTCTAATCCATCCAGCTCCTTTTGCATGGCCTCTTCCCAATGTTTCCTATCCTCTCCACCTAACACCTCACAGATGGTTGGATCCAAGTTCCTTCTCCATTCTGGATGTGTCACTACAAGTCTGAAGAGTTTGTCATTGATCTGGGTCTCAGCAACCAGTTCATGCTTGGCCTCTTTTGCTGTTCTTTCACTTGATTTGTCTTCTGAACTTAGATCCATGTCCATGTACTCCATTAATGGTTCCCTATCTACTTCATCAAATAAATTTTCCTCCATATACCCTAGATTCTCAATGTCTTCTTCAGTTGTCATTGTTGGTGGCATTTGTGTATCAACTGGTTGCCACTCTGTTCTGTCTGACCAACATTTCAATTCCATGAACTTTGCTGAGTTACTCCAAAAAATTGTTGGGCTGTAGTCTGGACTATAGAACAGCCAACCTTTTTGCTCCAGGCTATACCCTAAGAAAATGGATGTGACAGCTCACTGATCCAATTTTTTGTTATCTCGCTTGACCTTGGGTACATTCACCCATGCCAAACATCCAAACACTTGTAAGAGGCTTGTGAATTGCTCTGGTGACTTCCCAAACATTGCTTGGTAAGGGAACTTGTTGTCAACACTTGGAGTGAGATTCATCTTGAATGCTGCTGCTTGAATTGCATATGGCCAGAATTTCTTTGGCAGTCTCCTTTGCATCAAGAGCATCCACATCCTTTCCCCAAGGCTCCTGTTCATTCTTTCTACCCATCCATTTTGCCTGCTGCTGTATCCTACTGTGGTTTGCCATTGTATGCCTTTACTATATGTCCACTCTAAGGCTTTGTTTGTCCTCCATTCTGTTCCTTGGTCCAATCAGATGGCCTTGAGTTCTCTTCCTGTCTGTGTCTCGAGGAATGTGACTATCTTCCTAAGTTGACCAAATGCATGGCTTTTCTTCAACAATGGTTGGATGCACACATACTTGCTGTGATCATCCACAAGCACCAGAGTGCATGTATACTCTGTCACATGAGATGAATCAATGATCAGATCAATATGAATGAGGTCCAGGGGTCTAGCAGCTCTCTCATTGCTACCTTGCCCCATCTGTGCACTTGTACTTTTGGATTGTATGCACTGCTCACATGTCAGAGCAGTGTCCAGGTCCAATTCCACAATGTGCTTGCCCTTCAGTTTGTCTATGATTGCCTTTGACTTATCTCAGCCTGGGTGTCCAAGGCATTCATGCCATAATTGTTGTTTTGAAATCTTTGGCTCATTCTTAATATGCTCGAACTCCTCATCAACACCTTCAAACAATGGTGTTGATGTGGTCATCATGCTTTCTTGCCATGTGTCGCCTCAGAACTCCAAAAGTCCTCACTTGTGATTCTTTGCAATCTTAAGTGTCATGCTGTTTATCAAATAGATTTGTCTGCTGGTACTATCCAATATCACTCATGTGTCATGGGCCTGAATGCTCAAGAAGCAGGAGGGTCACTGGTTCATATGGAAGGAGCACAGGTATCGAAGATCTAGTCGATACCATTAGAGAGCATGGTCATAGTGCAGTCTCCATGGAGACCATGGACTCCTATGGACTCACATGCAAAGGAGGACTGAGCCCATATGCGAGGAGGGCCAGGCACAGCCACGAAGGGGACCAAGCTCAAGGAGCATGCAGATGGTTACCACTCAGGGGCTCGAGAGACAAGAGTCAAAGGAACTGTCAGGGGTCTCGCGCCTGAAACCCAGGTCGGTCTGTCGAGATACTCGGTGACTATCAAACTGTGTGACAGCTATTGTCTCGGTATCAGTGACTATCAAGTTGTGCAGTGACAGCAGGTGGTGTTTGTTGTATATACTATCATAGGTTTCAGCTGACCTCTGTGGACACTCTGTTCAGGGGTAGCTCGGCATGATCAATATCAATGCTTTGGTTATGATGACACCAAGGTCTGGTGTAAGTGTTGATGATGATGAGGTTGATGTCGTTGGTGATAAGGTTGGTGAGTGTTGATGATAAGGAGGTTGATGGTGTTGGTGATAAGGTTGGTGGTGTCAACACAAGTGTCCAGTGTGTTGACTTGATGCTTGAAGTGACCCCCAGACTGCAGTGGACTACTGCCTTCGGTTCTATCTATATCCGGACTGCTAACCTGCTATGGGCGCCTTCGGACATCAGGTAGTGGTGATACAACACACACAGTACAATGAGGAGCAACCTTGATAGATTGCTGCTATGCTGACTGTAACTAATGAGTACTTATGTTTCTAAGTATTGACTAGTTGTATGGTGAGTAGAGTGGATGAGGATCCACTCGACCTATGATGATGAGAAAGCATGGTTATATACCTCTTCTCAGCATCGCCAGCGATGCTGCTCCTGCTCTCTCTCCAGAGAGTACTTTCTTCATCGAGTACTGCTCAGGGGCCTCTCCTGCTTGGCACCCCAGTGCCTCTTGAGCTGTGTTGACTCCTTCGACACTGCTCCTCCTCCTCATGACCTGGTGTCGACTCCTTCGACACTGCTCCTTCTCCTTTGATCAGTGACAGTTCCTTTGGCTCTTGTCTCTCGAGCCCCTGAGTGGTAACCATCTGCATGCTCCTTGAGCTTGGTCCTCCTCATGGCTGTGCTTGGCCCTCCTTTGCATGTGAGTCCGTAGGAGTCCATGGTCTCCATGGAGACTGCACTACGACCATGCTCTCTACTGATCTCGACTAGATCTTCGATACCTGTGCTCCTTCCATATGAACCCGTGACCCTCCTGCTTCTTGAGCATCCAGGCCCATGACACTACCCCCCTCTTAAGAGCCAAGCTCCATCGAGGCATGCTCTGGTCTGGTCCATGCTGACTCCTCCTCCTCCTCCTCCTCGACAACATCGCCAACATCATCCTTCCTCCTTCTCTCAACGTCATCCTCCTTCCTCTTCCTCTCTCTACTCCTCCTGTTCTCTCCTCCTTTCTCTACTTTGGCTACTCACTCGTCCCCCCTCCGACACCTCATACTCCGGGATGAGGTCGGGACAGTTGAGGTTCTCTACTGGTTCCCATGAAGCAGCTTCCTCGGAGTACCCTCTCCACAACACCTTGTACTCTGTAGTCCCATTGTGTGAACGCTTGTTGATGAGTGCTTCGACTTCGAAGTCGAGGTCCTCATCTGGAAGTGATGGTATGGTGGGCTGTTCAGCATGTTGAGGAAGAGAACTTGTTCTTGCTGGCTCGAGCATGGAGACATGGAACACATCATGCACCCTAAGGTTCGCTGGCAATGTGATTCGATAAGCTCGGCGTCCTACCCGTTCCTGAACTGGGTAGGGTCCTGCAAACCGGGTATCCAACTTGGGTGTGGGTCTCCGTGTCTTCCAGTTTCGGCGGTTGATATAGACCATATCACCCACCTTAAACTCAATGTCCTTGTGCTTCCTGTTATACTGGTCTACTGATCTACGTTGTGCCTCTCTGATCTGCTCCTGGAGGTACTTGCAACGCTCCTTTCCATCCATGAGGTACTCGAAGCGACCTGGATCATTGACTCCTAGTCGTTGAGGGATGTCAGGATGAGCTTTGGGGTTCCATCCATAGCATGCAAAGAATGGTGAGACACCAATGCTGTTGTGGACCGTGTTGTTGTATACAAAGGCCGCAGTGTCCAGCAGGTTGGCCCAGTCATTCTGCTCATAGTTGCAGTACATCCTGAGATATTGCTCTATGACCTGATTGACTCTCTCTGTCTGACCATCAGTTTGAGGATGGTAGGCCGTGCTAAGTGAGTGCTTCACACCCATTTGCTCTGCAAATGCCTTCCATGCTCCTGATATGAACTGCCTGCCTCGGTCCGAGACCATGTGATCTGGATATCCAAAGAGTCTAACCATGTGTCCATATAGCAATACTGCAGTCTGTTTGGCTGTGACTGTCTTATGGGTTGGAGCTAGTATGGCAAACTTGGTTAACCTGTCGACGATGACTAGGATAGAGTCATAGGTCTTGGAGTCATACTTCTTTGATGGTGGTAGTCCTTCAATGAAGTCGAGGGATATGGAGCCCCAGGGCCTGTCTGGGGTTGCTAGTGGCTGTAGCAAACCATATGGACGATGACGAGGAGCTTTGTACCTAGCACATACAGGACAACTTGCTACATAGTCTGCAATCCAAGCTGTCATGTTTGGCCACCAGTAATGTCGTTGAGCTGCCTTGATGGTAGCATCTCTTCCTACGTGTCCAGCAGTGATACCATCATGGCATTGGGTCATCACCATGAATCGCAGATGCTCTACAGAGAGAGACTGTCCATCTACCTCTTTGGCACTCCTTGAGTGTCGGTTGTTGGTCCTCCCTGGCATGATCACCTTGGGGATAACCAACCTTCCTCCACTGTACCATAGGTCATCCTTGAGTTCGAAAGGCTTCTTCCTATGTATCTCCTGTAGCTCTTGGTCTAAAGGCTGGAAGATCTTGACCAGGTCTTTGAGACCTTTTGATGCTATGGACTCCATCGAGATCATGGGGGCCACTAGGAGCGAGTCATGGTCTGCTGTCTCCTTGAACACTCGAGGAGGCAGTAGTTGCCTCACATTGTGATCCTGCTCTTCACCGGCTGGTTGCATGTCTGTCCTTCTGGTGAGAGCATCAGGTTCACCACCTTTGTCTCCTGGTCGATACTGCAATATGAAGTCGAAGTCTGCTAGTAGTATTGCCCATCGAGCTTGTCGACCTGTGATGCGTCTCTGTGACTTGAAGTACTTGAGGGCTTCATGGTCAGTGAGGATGACCAGTTGGTTCGGTAGTCCAGCTAACATGTGTCGCCACTGAGTGAGGCAGGCGACCACAGCTAGGAGCTCCTTATCATGGATCTCATAGTTCTTCTCGGCAGAAGACATCTTCCTAGAGTAGAAGGCCACTGGATGCCATCGTCCTTCATGCTCCTGCTTGAGTACTCCTGCTATAGCAAAGTCACTTGCATCAGTCTCCAACCTTGTTGGAAGGTGGTAGTCGAAGTGCTGAAGCACTCCTGCTGACGTGAAGGCCTGGATGAGCTTGTGGAAGGCCTGTTGGGCCTCCTCTGGTAGCTCGAACTTTTTGAACCGTTCTATAGGCTTTACCAGTGCTGTCAAGGGCTTGGCTATGCGAGCAAAGTGGGCTATGAACCTTCGATAGAAGTTGGCAAAACCCAGGAACCTCTGGATGTCATGGATTGACTCTGGCATTGGCCACTCCTTGACAGTGCGCACCTTTTCTGGGTCCATCTCTATGCCCATTGGCTTGATGATGTACCCCAGGAACTCGACTGTCTTGGTGTGGAACTCACACTTCGACAGCTTAGCAAAGAGCCTGTTGCTCCTTAAGCGAGTGAGGACCTCAGTGACATGCTTCACATGTACCTCTTCAGTGTCACTGAAGATCAGGAAGTCATCTAAGTATACCACTACATATACTCCAATGATGTCTCGGAAGATGTCATTGATGAATGACTGGAAGTGAGCCGGAGCATTGGCTAGGCCAAAGGGCATCACTAGGTACTCATAGAGTCCCAACTGAGTGCCAAAAGCTGTCTTCCATTCATCTCCTTTAGCAATCCGGATGAGGTTGTATGCTGCTCTAAGGTCTAGCTTGGTATAGATCCTTGCCTTCCTGAGTAAGAACAGCTGCTCCTCGATGAGGGGCAATGGTGCCCTGTTCTTGACAGTGATCTTGTTGAGACCTCGGTAGTCCACACAGAGTCTGAGACCTCCATCCTTCTTTGGTATGAAGAGCACTGGTGATTGTGCCGGGCTCTTCAATGGTCTTATGAACCCCTTCTTGAGGTTCTCATCCAAGTACCTCCTCAACTCAGACATCTCCTTGGGTCCCTTAAGGTACAGGGGCCCTTGAGGTAGCTTTCCTCCTTCTATCAACTCGAGGTGGAGATCATGCTTGGTATGATGGGGCAGCTTGTCTGCTTCCACCTCATCAAACACATCTTGCAGGTGTTGGTATGGCTTTGGTATGTCTGCAGCCATCACCACCTTGTCTACCTCCACCTCCATCTCAACTCCTTTGTCTGCGCCTGTAGGTACAAAACCAAAGGCCGGGAGTGATGATGGTGGCTCCTCCAACAGCATGAACCCTATGGGTCCATCTTCTAGAGCTGCTCGTAGTATGCACTCTGCTGAGACAAACTCATTACCATGAAGGGTTGGTCTCCTCATGGTTAGGTCCCCTGCTCTTGCTGCTTCAGGGGGTCTCCTTGGGGGTCAGTCCTGCTCCTGAGTCTTGAACTCCAGCTGGCCCATATCCCATTGTATGGTGGGTTTGAGCCTCCGTAGCTCAGTGAACCCCAGGATGAGGTCATAGTCCGCAGTGTCGGCCACTGAAGCTTCGACCACACCCAGATTGTGTGTACCAATAGATACCTGCATGCTTGCAGAACTATTGATGGAGAGTTGGTGCCCGGTGACACCATGGATCGATCTTGTTTTTATGGGTTTTGTGGGTATTTGGTACTTACTAATGAAAGAATCTGAGACTATGGACAAACCAGCACCGGTATCAGCTAGTATCCAAGCAGGATGGTCTTGAACCATTCCAGAGAGCTCCAGTACTGCTTTGCCTCCACTGGTAGAGAAACATACTTGACAATCTTGATATATACAGAGTGATGGCAAGGAGGTGTCATGGGCCTGGATGCTCAAGAAGCAGGAGGGTCATGGGTTCATATGGAAGGAGCACAGGTATCGAAGACCTAGTCGACACCAGTAGAGAGCATGGTCGTAGTGCAGTCTCCATGGAGACCATGGACTCCTATGGACTCACATGCAAAGGAGGGCCAAGCACAGCCACGAGGAGGACCAAGCTCAAGGAGCAGGCACAGCCACGAGGAGGACCAAGCTCAAGGAGCAGGCACAGCCACGAAGAGGACCAAGCTCAAGGAGCATGCAGATGGTTACCACTCAGGGGCTCGAGAGACAAGAGCCAAAGGAACTGTCACTGATCAAAGGAGGAGGAGCAGTGTCGAAGGAGTCGACACCAGGTCATGAGGAGGAGGAGCAGTGTCGAAGGAGTCGACACAGCTCAAGAGGCACAGGGGTGCCAAGCAGGAGAGGCCCCTGAGCAGTACTCGATGAAGAAGGTACTCTCTGGAGAGAGAGCAGGAGCAGCATCGCTGGCGATGCTGAGAAGAGGTATATAACCATGCTTTCTCATCAATAGGTCGAGTGGATCCTCATCCACTCTACTCACCATACAACTAGTCAATACTTTAGAAACACAAGTACTCATTAGTTACAGTCAGCATAGCAGCAATCTATCAAGGTTGCTCCTCATCGTAGTGTGTGTGTTGTATCACCACTACCTGACGTCCGAAGGCGCCCATAGCAGGTTAGCGGTCCGGATATAGATAGAACCAAAGGCAGTAGTCCACTGCGGTCCGGGGATCACTTCAAAGCATCAAGTCAACACACTGGACACTCGTGTTGACGCCACCAACCTTATCACCAACACCATCAACCTCATTATCATTGACATCACCAACCTTATCATCAACACCATCAACCTCATTATCATCGACATCACCAATCTCATCACCAACACCATCAACCTCATCATCATCAACACCCACACCAGACCTTGGTGTCATCATAACATTGATATTGATCGTGCCGAGCTACCCCTGAACGGAGTGTCCACAGAGGTCAGCCGAAACCTACGATAGTATATACAACGAACGCCACCTGCTGTCACTGCACAACTTGATAGTCACCAATACCGAGACAATAGCTGTCACACAGTTCAATAGTCACCGAGTATCTCGACAGACCGACCTGGGTTTCAGGCGCGAGACCCCTGACAGGAGGTTTGTAGAGCAATGCATGCCATCAGTGCATCACCCCACTGACGTTTCCCTCATCGTCATCATCATCATGCTCCTCCTCCTCATGGTCGAGGTCCATGGGTTGCTGGTATGAGCTGAGGTCCATGGCCTCGGGGTCACCCGTCTCAGTACTGCCTGTGTGGCCATCTCCTGAGTCAGTGGCCTCCTTGAAGGGGTCTGCTGTGGTGACCATAACCTTTGGTCCCATGGGTCGAGAGCTAAGAGGGTCTACCCTCCTGCTGGGGCAGTCTCTGGCCCAATGGCCGATACCCTTGCATACATGACAGGTGTTGATACCTGATGGAGCAGGGCTTCCTTGTTTCGAGGGTTGGGTGGGATGATGAGGAAGGGGTCAGTTAGTTGGTCGGTTTAGGTTTTGTATAGTTGCTTGTGTAGTTGCTTGTGCTGGTGATCGAGCTGGATAAGGTTGAGTGGGTTGACGGATGGGGATCGAACTTTGATTTGGCTGAGACCCAGTTCTTAGTGGAGGTGACGTGGCATTTGGAAGTGAGTGTCTAGCCGAGGACTGCTGTAGTAACATCCTCTGTCGATCGATCTCCTCAACCTCTCGATACCACTCCCATCTCTTCCCAGGTGGATTCCTCTCGAACTTCTCCTGTATGCTGCAAGTGAGACTTCCTCTGAAGAGATCCATCACTAGCTCGTTGTCATCTAGATTGACCTGTCCCTCCAAGTCTCTGAACCGCTCTACATGATGTGTGGCAGCACCAGGAGCATCACTTGTGAGTCTGAGAGCCAACAGCTTGTTGTATGCCTCCATCCTAGCATTGCGTGGGTTGAACTGTTCTGACAGTCGCTCTGTGAAGTAGTGCCAATCATTGAACAACCTTCCTTCTCTAGCTCTATCAATACGGAGCTTGGAGGTCCACCACTCTCTTGCTGTCCCTTCCAGTTGAGCACCCATGTGGTTGATCATCCTAGTCTGCTCATACACCTGGTTGAACTTAAACCATGCTTCGGCTTCTAGAATGAAGATCTCCATGTCTTGGGGATTGAACTTTGGGAAGGGGGTGGCGATGGGCTTTGACCGGTTAAGCTCTGCCATGATGCTGGTGTCCTCCTCATGGTCCAGGGGGTAAGGGTCCATCCTAGTCCTGCTGTAGGGGTCCACCTTAGTCTTGACATATCTTGGCCCAGTAGGTGAAGCATACTTCTCATAGTTGATGTCCTCCTGCTCATCCAGGTTGATTGAGACTGATCATCTTGGTTGTGGAGCTGGAGTAGGAGTATGTGGGTCTCCTATCATAGACTCATCTCCTCCTCCTGCTTGGTCTTCTGAGTGAGAGAGGTCCATTGTCTCCTCCCTGCTCAGTTGAGCTCGTTGTAATCATTCCTCTCGATGACCCTGTCTGGTAAGCTCTAGCTGTGCTTCCAATAGAGTGAGTAGTCTATCGAGCTTATTGTTGAGGTCTGGGTCTGTCATGGTGATCATGAGGAGCTGCTTGAACGATCCACTCTAATGTCAGGGGTCTCGCGCCTGAAACCCAGGTCGGTCTGTCAAGATACTCGGTGACTATCAAACTGTGCAACAGCTATTGTCTCAGTATCAGTGACTATCAAGTTGTGCAGTGACAGCAGGTGGTGTTTGTTGTATATACTATCGTAGGTTTTGGCTGACCTCTGTGGACACTCCGTTCAGGGGTAGCTCGGCACGATCAATATCAATGCTTTGGTTATGATGACACCAAGGTCTGGTGTAAGTGTTGATGATGATGAGGTTGATGTCGTTGGTGATAAGGTTGGTGAGTGTTGATGATAAGGAGGTTGATGGTGTTGGTGATAAGGTTGGTGGCATCAACACAAGTGTCCAGTGTGTTGACTTGATGCTTGAAGTGACCCCCGGACCACAGTGGACTACTGCCTTCGGTTCTATCTATATCCGGACTGCTAACCTGCTATGGGCGCCTTCGGACGTCAGGTAGTGGTGATACAACACACACACTACAATGAGGAGCAACCTTGATAGATTGCTGCTATGCTGACTGTAACTAATGAGTACTTATGTTTCTAAGTATTGACTAGTTGTATGGTGAGTAGAGTGGATGAGGATCCACTCGACCTATGATGATGAGAAAGCATGGTTATATACCTCTTCTCAGCATCGCCAGCGATGCTGCTCCTGCTCTCTCTCCAGAGAGTACCTTCTTCATCGAGTACTGCTCAGGGGCCTCTCCTGCTTGGCACCCCAGTGCCTCTTGAGCTGTGTCGACTCCTTCGACACTGCTCCTCCTCCTCATGACCTGGTGTTGACTCCTTCGACACTGCTCCTTCTCCTTTGATCAGTGACAGTTCCTTTGGCTCTTGTCTCTCGAGCCCCTGAGTGGTAACCATCTGCATGCTCCTTGAGCTTGGTCCTCTTCGTGGCTGTGCCTGCTCCTTGAGCTTGGTCCTCCTCGTGGCTGTGCCTGCTCCTTGAGCTTGGTCCTCCTCGTGGCTGTGCTTGGCCCTCCTTTGCATGTGAGTCCATAGGAGTCCATGGTCTCCATGGAGACTGCACTATGACCATGCTCTCTACTGATCTCGACTAGATCTTCGATACCTGTGCTCCTTCCATATGAACCCGTGACCCTCCTGCTTCTTGAGCATCCAGGCCCATGACAGGAACCATCACTGGTCAAAGGAGAAGGAGCAGTGTATAGGGAACCGGCAAGCAGGTCCTGAGGAGGAGGAACAGTGTCGAAGGAGTCGACACCACTCAGGAGGCACAAGGGTGCCAAACAAGCAGGATAGCAAGGAGGAGGATGTCAGCGGTCGCGCGCCTGAAACCTGAGATCAGTAGTAGTATCAGTACTATCACCGATTCTGTCGAATTATGCGACAGTGCTAATGGTATTTCGATTCTTAGTGAAATATGTGGCAGAGCCTTCTCTGTCACCTTTCTCGTTAGAATCTGTAGTTGTATTGTCGTTATGACAGATTTCGACTAACTGCTGTGGACACTCTGTCCAGAGGTAGCTCAGCATGATCAGACTACAATATGACTCTAAGTGAACTTGATGTTGACACCAATGGTCTGGTGTGAGTATGGGTTGATGACGCCGACATGAGTGTCCAGTGTGTCGGCTAACGCTTGAAGTGATCCCCAGACCACAGTGGATGACTGCCTTTGGTTCTAATGATATCTGGGCCGCTGGTTTGCTAGAACCGCCTTTGGACATCAGGAAACAGTGATACAACACATGTGCTTCGATGAGGAGCAATCTATTGATTGCAACTTATGCTGACTGTGAACTAATGATACTTATTTGTTTGAAGTAATACTAGTCTGTTTGATGAGTAGAGTGGATGAAGATCCACTCGACCATTTGTGACGAGGAGGTAGGACTATATACCTCTTTGCAGTGTCACCAGCAACACTGCTCCTGCTCCTTCTCTCCAGAGAGTACCCTCTTCGTCAAGTACTGCACAGGGATCTCCAAGGAGGCACCTCCTCTGTATCAAACCTTGTCCCTCCTGTCTTTCCTGAGCTGTGTCAACTTCATCAACACTGCTCCTCTTCTTCATGTCCCTTTCGCCAGTGTCCTATACACAGATCTCCTTCCTTTGACCAGCGACGGTTCTCTTCTACTCCTGTCCTGTGGGCCCCTGAGTGGTAACCAACTGCATGTCACTGAGCTCAGTCCCTCTCACATGTGAATCGTTGTTCAGACATCCTTACTACTGATCTCTGTGGAATCTGCCACACGTTCTCGCTTGCTGCAGATTCTGGTGGGATTCGTGATATCGACGATGCTCATGCTGATTACACTGTGGTCTGCCATAGAGCTGATTCTACTGCCGATCTTGGTGAACTCTGCTGCAACTCCTACAATCTACCCGATTCCACGATTCCTGCGCTACCTTCATATGAACTTCGGTCTTTCCTCGTTCTGCGCACCCAGGCCCATGACAGAGGAGCAGTGTCGAAGGAGTCGACACAGCTCAAGAGGCACAGGGGTGCCAAGCAAGCAGGAGAGGCCCCCTGAACAGTACTTGATGAAGAAGGTACTCTCTGGAGAGAGAGCAGGAGCAGCATCGCTGGTGATGCTGTGAAGAGGTATATAACCATGCTTTCTCATCATCAAAGGTCAAGTGGATCCTCATCCACTCTACACACATCATAACTAGTTCTCACTTCAGCATAAGTATATATTAGTTTCAGTCAGCATAGCAGCAATCCATCAAGGTTGCTCCTCATTGTAGTGCATGTGTTGTATCACCACTACCTGATGTCCGAAGGTGGTTCATAGCAAACCAGCAGTCCAGATATAGATAGAACCAAAGGCAGTAGTCCACTGCAGTCCGGGGATCACTTCAAGCATCAAGTCAACACACTGGACACTTGTGTTGATGCCACCAATCTTATCACCAACACCATCAACCTCATTACCATCAACACTCACCAACCTTATCACTGACACCATCAACCTCATCATCATCAACACTCACACCAGACCTTGGTGTCATCATAACCTACATATTGATATTGATCATGCCAAGCTACCCCTGAACAAAGTGTCCACAGAGGTCAGCCAAAACCTATGACAGTATATACAATGAATGTCACCCACTGTCATCACACAACTTGATAGTCGCCGAGCAACTAGCTCATCAAGACCGATACCGAGACAATAGCTGTCGCACAGTTTGATAGTCACCGAGTATCTCGACAGACCGACCTGGGTTTCAGGCGACAGACCCCTGACAGAGCAGTGTATAGGAGACCGGCAAGCAGGTCCTGAGGAGGAGGAGCAGTGTCGAAGGAGCCGACACATAGCTCAAGGAGGACAGGAGTGGTGCTAGAGGGACCCCATGTACAGTACTCGACAAAGAGGGTACTCTCTGGAGAGAGAGCAGGAGCAGTGTTGCTGGCAATGCTGTGAAGAGGTATTTAACCATACCTTCTCGTCTCAGTGGTCAAGTGGTTCCTCATCCACTCTACACACCATATAACTAGTACTACTTCAGCATATAAGTATTCATTAGTTACAGTCAGCATAGTTGCAATCTACCAAGGTTGCCTCTCCTTGTAGCGCATGTGTTGTATCACTGCTCACTGACATCCGAAGGCAGTTCATTGCAACCAGCAGTCCAGATAAAGATAGAACCGAAGGCAGTCATCCACTGCAGTCCAGGGATCACTCCAAGCACTTAGTCGACACACTGGACACTCATGTCAACATCACCAGCAATCATATTCACACCAGCCTTTGGTGTCAGTACCAGTTCATATCAGTTATTGATCATGCCAAGCTACCTCTGGATGGAGTGTCCACAGCAGTCAGTCAAAACCTGCAATAGCAAAACCATTACTACAGTTCTGGGCAAGAAAAGTGATAGAGATGACTCTACTACATATCTCACTGAGAATCATAATACCTCAAGTGTTGTCGCATAACTCAACAGAATTCATAATAGACGCGACTCTATCACAGATTTCAGGTTTCAGGCATGTGACCTCTGACACGGCTCTCCAAGGGGAGACACTTGCAGCTGGCATAGGCGATCGGGAAGGCGATCCTCTTTCGTGGGAACTCCTGTTCTCCATACATGCCCTCGACATCTAGCTGTCATTGTCTTGATGCATCCTTGTAGACCTTGTATTCCTGCAATAGCACAGCTCCCATGCCTTCGGTGCTCCAATCGCTTTGCACAACGAAGGGTTGGTCATATCTCGGCTCCTTAAGGACTCCAGAACTGACTAATGCCTGTTTGACCCAAAGAAAGGCAGTGTCAGGGGTCTCGCGCCTGAAACCCAGGTCGGTCTGTCAAGATACTCGGTGTCAGAGGTCGCACGCCTGAAACCTGAGATCGGTAGTTGTAACAATACTATTACCGATTCTGTCGAGTTATGCAACAGTGCTTGTGGTATTGCGATTCTTCACAAGATATGCAGTAGAGCCATCTCTATTACTTTTCTCATTTGAATCTGTAGTTGTGATGATGCTATTGCAGATTTTGACTGACCACTGTTGGACACTCTGTCCAGAGGTAGCTTGGCATGATCAATAACTATGTGAACTTGCTGATGACACCAAAGGTCTGGTGTGAATATGGATTGGTGGCATTGACATGAGTGTCCAGTGTGTTGACTATGCTTGAGGTGATCCCTGGACCACAGTGGATGACTGCCTTTGGTTCTATCGATATCTGGACTGCTGGTTTGCTAAGAACTGCCTTTGGATGTCAGGAAACAGTGATACAACACATGTGCTTCAATGAGGAGCAATCTATTGATTGCAACTTATGCTGACTGAAAACTAATGAGTACTTATGTTTCTAAAGTATTGACTAGTTATATGGTGAGTGTAGAGTGGATGAGGATCCACTCGACCTTTGATGATGAGAAAGTATGGTTATATACCTCTTCACAGCGTCGCCAGCGACGCTGCTCCTGCTCTCTCCAGAGAGTACCTTCTTCATCGAGTACTGTACAGTGGGCCCCTCTAGCACCACTCCTGTCCTCCTTGAGCTATCCTGCTCGCTTGGTGTCATGGGCCTAAATGCTCAAGAAGCAGGAGGGTCACTGGTTCATATGGAAGGAGCACAGGTATTGAAGATCTAGTTGATACCATTAGAGAGCATGGTCGTAGTGCAGTCTCCATGGAGACCATGGACTCCTACGGACTCACATGCAAAGGAGGACTGAGCCCATATGCGAGGAGGGCCAGGCACAGCCACGAAGAGGACCAAGCTCAAGGAGCATGCAGATGGTTACCACTCAGGGGCTTGAGAGACAAGAGTCAAAAGAACCGTCACTGGTCAAAGGAGGAGGAGCAGTGTTGAAGGAGTTGACACCACTCAGGAGGCACAAGGGTGCCAAACAAGCAGGATAGCAAGGAGGAGGAGCAGTGTCGAAGGAGTCGACACAGCTCAAGAGGCACAGGGGTGCCAAGCAAGCAGGAGAGGCCCCCTGAACAGTACTTGATGAAGAAGGTACTCTCTGGAGAGAGAGCAGGAGCAGCATCGCTGGTGATGCTGTGAAGAGGTATATAACCATGCTTTCTCATCATCAAAGGTTGAGTGGATCCTCATCTACTCTACACACATCATAACTAGTTATCACTTCAGCATAAGTCTATATTAGTTTCAGTCAGCATAGCAGCATTCTATCAAGGTTGCTCCTCATCATAGTGCATGTGTTGTATCACCACTACCTGATGTCCGAAGGCGGTTCATAGCAAACCAGCAGTCCAGATATAGATAGAACCAAAGGCAGTAGTCCACTGCGGTCCAGGGATCACCTCAAGCATCAGTCAACACACTGGACACTTGTGTTGATGCCACCAACCCTATCACCCACACCACCAACCTTATCACCAACACCATCAACCTCATCATCATCAACACTCACACCAGACCTTGGTGTCATCATAACCTACACATTGATATTGATCATGCTGAGCTACCCCTGAATGGAGTGTCCACAGAGGTCAGCCAAAACCTACAACAGTATATACAACAAACGTCACCCACTGTCATTGTGCAACTTGATAGTTGCTGAGCAACTAGCTCATCAAGACTGATACCGAGACAATAGCTGTCACACAGTTTGATAGTCACCAAGTATCTCGACAGACTGACCTGGGTTTCAGGCGCGAGACCCCTGACACATGGTTATATACCTCTTCACAGCATCGCCAGCGACGCTGCTCCTGCTCTCTCTCCAGAGAGTACCTTCTTCATCGAGTACTGTTCAGGGGGCCTCTCCTGCTTGCTTGGCACCCCTGTGCCTCTTGAGCTGTGTCGACTCCTTCGACACTGCTCCTCCTCCTTGCTATCCTGCTTGTTTGGCACCCTTGTGCCTCCTGAGTGGTGTTGACTCCTTCGACACTGCTCCTCCTCCTTAGGACCTGCTTGCCAGTTCCCTATACACTGCTCCTTCTCCTTTGACTGGTGATGGTTCCTTTGACTCTTGTCTCTCGAGCCCCTGAGTGGTAACCATCTGCATGCTCCTTGAGCTTGGTCCTCCTCATGGCTGTGCCTGGCCCTCCTCGCATATTGCTCAGTCCTCCTTTGCATGTGAGTCTGTAGGAGTCCATGGTCTCCATGGAGACTGCACTACGACCATGCTCTCTAATGGTATCAACTAGATCTTTGATACCTGTGCTCCTTCCATATGAACCAGTGACCCTCCTGCTTCTTGAGCATTCAGGCCCATGACAGCTTCTTTGTCAGCTTCGTTGTTGATGACCTCCAGCTCATTCTTGTTGGTGGCATCATTGTCAGCTCGCACCTGGGTCATATTGCCTTTCCTGCTTCCTTTGGTCCTTGTACTGGCACCAACCTGGGTTTCAGTGTCTTCTACCATGATTGTTGATGGGCTTCGATTAGCTCAGCTGGTAGCTTCTTCAGACTCTTAATCAATTGAAGATAACAATTAGCATATGCCATTATTGGGGCCACAATCAGGCTCCCTTACCACAGTTGTATGCTTCTTGTAATGGTTAGTATTTTGTTTGTATGGATCACTACCACAAGCACATATATATACCTTGTTGCTACCTTTAGTCATGTCTGAGTCAGATGAGTCACCTCTTCTGTGACCTCCTGTGTTGCTGTTTTCTGCAATGCCCCTGAGCTGTTGTCATGCCAACCTTCATGTATTTCATTGTGTTCATTGCTTATGCATGCATCTGGTCCCTTTGTGTCTTGGCTGCGACTCGTGCATTCTTCTTGAGATGCCGACGCATTTTCAACTGTTTCCCACTCACGGCGACCGCCAAGTCGATGATTTCGGTTTTTCGTGTTACGCCTAGCTTTCTAAACAGCGCACACAAAATTTCATGGACGGGGCCTAACATTGTTTTGCTCGCCTTGAATAAGCTACACGTCACGTGGTACGCATGGGACACCGAGAAATCAGAGAAAAAGGATCTCATCCGCTTTCAGCGCGTTCAATTGAATGCGCACATTCTCTCTCTCTCTTTGTTGTCGCTCGCACTGATCGAAGCTCTGATTTTGCAAATCCAACACAGCTTGTACCTCATTCCGATCCTTCTCGACTTTCTTCTTGACCTTACCCTGTCACCACCTCTTTTGTCGACCATCACTTTTTCTTACTCGGCAGTTGTCGCTGATACTCGATAACCAATCCCAAAGCTGTACGCAGTCGTCGTCAAGCAATCGGATCAAAAATACAAAATACAATATATATTATATATAATGGCATCAAACCGAGGCCGCTTCGCCTCTCGCACCGCCTTCGAGGCCCTTCAGGTCGAGGAGATCGAGTCCGATGAGGAAGAGATTGTCCAGGAGCAACCCAAACAAGTCAGTCAGCCTACTTCCAAAGCTTCACCCTCCAAGAACGCTTCTGCGACCACCGACAAGAAGTCCGCCAAGCACAAGGCTAGCGTCAAGCCTGCTACCACTCCCGAATCTCAGCCGCCCAACACCACAACAGAGACTTCCAAGCCAGCCAGCAGCAAAGAGCCTACCAAGTCCGCTGCCACGAATCGCTCTAACGGTGTAAATGGTCATAAGTCCATCGCCTCTGCCGCAGTCGAGAAGCTCGGTGCACAGAGCAAAGTTGTCCCCACTCCTCCTGCACCTTTTGCCGCCCAGGCTCCCAAGCAAGGAAACGAGGCTGTTCAGCATCCAGCACCTTCCCTTCAGCCACCGCAGCCTAAGGCCGAGTCCAAGACCGAGCCCAAGACCGATCAGCCCCAATCAATCCTGAATGCCGCCATCAAGACCGTCAGCGCCCAACGATCTGGAGAGTCCAAAGTCCAGACATCTCAGTCTACTACTCAGAAGCAGCAGAGCCAGGAAGATGCGGCCGCGGCCTCCAAGGCAAAGTGGAAGAAGATTTACGAGAGAACACTCTTCACTCTGATCATGATTGCTGGCTTCGTCGCACTTGTGCTCCTCGGTCATCCGTATATGATCTTGCTCGTCATGGTTTCGCAGACGCTCGTCTACCGTGAGATTGTCGCCCTTTTCAACATCCCTGGCAGACCCTCAGTCACTGGCGGTGGAGGTACAGGACGTTCGAGCCGTGTGTCTTCGGCTCCCACCAGCGCTGCTACTAGCGAGGATGAAGAGGAAGAGCGTATCCAGAGCCGTCTCGAAGGCCGTCGTGAGGAGCTTTGGAGCAAGGCACTCAGCTGGTACTTCTTCGCCGTCGCCAACTACTTTCTCTACGGCGAATCGATCATCTACTACTTCAAGCACATCGTCTTTGTCGATGCCTACTTTATTCCCTTTGCCAGGCACCACCGCTTCCTTTCTTTCATGCTCTACGTGTTCGGTTTCATGGCCTTTGTCTCGAACCTGAAGCGACGCAACCTGAAGCACCAGTTCGGCTTGTTCTGCTGGGTGCACATGTCGCTCCTTCTCATCGTCTTCTCGAGCCATTTTATCGTCAACAACATCCTCGAAGGTCTCATCTGGATCTGGGTCCCCGCCTCGCTTGTCATCTGCAATGACGTCTTTGCCTACATCTGCGGTATGAGTTTTGGAAAGACACCCTTGATCGACCTCAGCCCCAAGAAGACGGTCGAAGGCTTCGTTGGTGCATTCATCGTCACCGAAATCTTTGCTTATGGCTGGGCCACCTTCTTCCAGCGATACAACTACATGATCTGCCCTGCTGTCAGCCTTGGCATGAACGCTTTCAAGGAGATCACCTGCGACGTCAATCCTGTCTTCCACTGGCACTATCTGCCTCTTCCACCCGCTATCGCCTCGTTGGCCTCTTCCCTCCTCCGTCACCGCGTCGCAGCATTGCCCTGGTCCTACTTCCAGCTTCACGCTCTCGTGATGGCTGCTTTCGCAAGCTTGGTCGCTCCTTTCGGTGGTTTCTTCGCTAGTGGCTTCAAGCGAGCCTTTAACATCAAGGACTTTGGCGACAGCATCCCCGGTCATGGAGGCTTGACCGATCGATTCGATTGCCAGTTCTTGATGGGTCTCTTCTCCTACGTCTACTACTCGTCCTTGATTCGCGAGCACCACGTCACTGTGGGCTCGGTGCTGCAGACCGTGGTCACTCAGCTTACGCTCGAGGATCAGATGGAGCTGTACAACGAGATCAGCCGCTACTTGGTCGGTCAGGGCAAGCTGGTCAAGTAAGCTGCCGCAACCTCGACCGCAACGGAAACAGCGCATCCAAGCTCTTCCTTCCTTCCTATCCAAATCCTCTCCTGTAATCCTACTCTCAGAGCCCATCAATGCAAACCTGTTCATCATCTGGAACCCACAGCCTCGATCTAGCGATGTACCTGATCCAATCGTGTTGTGCCAAGCCCGCCATGCTTGCTCAGCATGTATTCCAAAATTGACCAGTCGCGAATTTGGATGCCCTTTTTCCGACCTGAATTTGTGAGTGTGTTTTTTGCTTATTTTTGTTTTTGTTTTTGTTTTTTGTTTTTTGTTTTTTGTTTTTTGTTTTTTGTTTTTTGTTTTTTGTTTTTTGTTTTTTGTTTTTTGTTTTTTGTTTTTTGTTTTTTGTTTTTTGTTTTTTGTTTTTTGTTTTTTGTTTTTTGTTTTTTGTTTTTTGTTTTTTGTTTTTTGTTTTTTGTTTTTTGTTTTTTGTTTTTTGTTTTTTGTTTTTGTTTTTTGTTTTTTGTTTTTTGTTTTTTGTTTTTTGTTTTTTGTTTTTTGTTTTTTGTTTTTTGTTTTTTTTTTTTTGTTTTTTGTTTTTTGTTTTTTGTTTTTTGTTTTTTGTTTTTTGTTTTTTGTTTTTTTTTTTTTTTTTGAGGTCTCAAAATTAATTACCGGTTGTTGCTGCGCTTAATTTAACAAAAGCGTCGCTGCGTCAGTCTCGCTTGGCTTCCGCCACTTGCACTTTTCAGGGCAGAGCCAACAGAAAACATTTAACCACAGACGGTCTCTTCTCATCTCTACCTCATCAACACCATCCTTTACCATCTCTCGCAAGCAGTCACGCCGTCTTTGTGAGCTCGGTCGGACCCCTTCGTACCTTCCTGTTCAAGGCTCTGCTATTCTAGCACGGATCTGAGCGGCTTCTCAGCTCTGGAGGTCGGCGCATCAACAACAGCTACCGTCGATCGTCCCGCCCCCGACACCTTCGTCTAGCGGCAATTGCCCTCGATAGCTTCACAGAGGCGTTTTAGCTCCTTGACAGCCTTCCGCATCCCGCATCCCGCTAGGCACTCTTCATAGCATTCATCATGTTCCACCTCGCATAACACTTTCGCCTACGCGCCAAATTTGAAGGGCTCAGAGTCCGCGAAGGATAGCCAAGACTTGGCCTGCTGCCCCTTCATAACAACAGCACTGCATGTCGTTCTGGTCAACATCCGCCGAAGCGGGCCCATCCAGCTCGCCGCACATGTCTTCTAAGGCCTTTGCTTATCAGGATGCTCTCTCACCCACAAAGGTTTCCATGGCCTCAGGGTCCAAACACGAGTCTCATGTCCCGACCTTCTTGGTCCGCTCTGCAACCGAGCAGGATCTCTACCATGCCGAGCACAGGTCGCTTCACACCTTCGCATACGGTCGTCTGCCGCAATCATCACCATCAGCAGAAGCATCCTCATCAGCCATGACACCTCCCGCCTTTTACCGCACCACCTTCTCCAACCCTTCGTCCTCATCTGTCTCATCTTCAGGTCTTGCCAAATCGCCATCTCATCGCAACTCTTTCAGCTCCGTATCCATTTCCGAGTTCGGCGGATCGGTCATGAGCGACCGTCTCAGCTGGGGCCGCAGCTTCAAGAGACAGAGCAAACGAGGCTCGCAAGACGCCAAGAGTGCCAGCTCACGCGCATCGGACAGTGGGCGGAAGGATGGTGGAGCAGGACGCCGTAGATCGCATACAGAAGGCTCGCAGTTCAGCCTTCCCAACAGCGGAGACATCTTTCTCTACTCCAGCCACAACCTCGAGTCCAATCCGGACAAGTCAAATCAGCCTCGCTTCATGCATCAGCGACGCAAATCAGACGGTCCTCAGCGATCCAGGCTTGATACTCGTTCCGATTTCTTCCATCTCGCACGAGCTCATCCTATCTTCCGCTCCCAATCCTCCAACTCGCTTTCCCATGCTTTTCACGATCCGCGCGGCTATCGACATCAATCGGAAGCCAGCACAAACAGTCTCAGCTTTGTTGAGGATGAGGACGAGGAGATCCTCGCTCCCCTGGCGCGCACAGCCATCCCGAGCTCCCCATTGCGAGACTCCGAGACTTTCGCCGACTGGGATTCTCAAGATCAATTGCCACCATCCTGGAGAAAGATTGATGATCCGCACGCGCTGGATCGCACTGCCATCATGGCCTCGAATACTTCATCCAACGCATTACGTCGTACGTCCGGCGAGATCGTCACTGTCGCAGCTCGATCAGCTGCCCAAGCGACCAAGAAGAGCCTCCGCGTCATTCGTAGAGCCGGAAGCTTCGATGTCGGGTCGAAAGCTTCGATGGATGCAGCGAGGGAACCCAATCGCTCTCGGTCCAACTCGTCCTCTTCGCTTCTGACCAGCCTTGGCTTGGTGCCAAGACTTGACTTGCGGCATCAGCGATCTCAGACTCTACACGAGATCGAAGTGCCGAGGAACATCGATCGAGCAACGTCGGATAAATGCAAGCAGGCGCCGCTCTCGCTACCCCCTTCCGCGATGCAGTCACCAAAGTTGCAAGGTCTAGGGCTTCATGGAGATGGTGGTCGTTCTCATGCCTGGCGCTTCTCACAGATTACTGAAGCGGAGGATGAGGACAGGTCTTTCTCGAAAGAACTGCCGCGTATTCCGCAAGATAAACAGTCCACGCCAGAGTCGGAGGGTGATCAAGGTCCGTTGCTTCTGCGTCGACTCAGTCCGGTACCCTCGCTAAAGAGAGACGAGCTACTAGAACCGCCCAAAGCTCAGGAACAAGCTCCACCAGCGCCACCGGCACCGATCCGACCAGAGCCCACATCCCCAACGCCCTCTGAACACGAGCGGCGGCAGGGTCTTGCCAAGCGCTCGTACGCTGCACTGATCGATCTTCTGAATCCAGCTTGGCACAAGGAAAGCAAGCAGCAATCTCGTAGTCGCCAAGCTCCTCTCGGCGGGGGCAGCAGCGGGCCGGTTCAGCTCACTGCACATGGTGATCATGGTGGCAGGACGACGTCTAGTGGAGGCGGTGGATATGGCGCCTCTTCAGGTAATGGCGCTGGGAGAAGTAAAGGAAATAGCGGTGGGCGTTCAATTGGCATGTCTGGTGGTGGCGGCGGCGGCAACATGAACGGTGGCGGTGCAGGAGGAGGTGCGGGAGGTGGCGGTCCACCCGATCGACGAGGCCCTCCTCGTGGCAGCAATGGCCCATCCGACGCAGCTCCACCCGTTAACTCTGTCTACCGCCGACTCGAGCTTGTCGGTAGAGGTGCCTACGGTGCCGTCTACCGCGGCGTCCACGTTGAGACCGGTTCAGCTGTTGCACTGAAAGTCGTCAACCTCGACACGCCTGACGACGATGTCAGTGACATTCAACGAGAAGTTGCTCTTCTCAGTCAACTGCGCGAAGCAGCACAGAAGAATGTCGTCCGATACTGGGGATGCTGGTTGAAAGGTCCAGAGCTCTGGATCGTCATGGACTTTGCAGAAGGTGGTAGCGTTCGCACCCTCATGAAAGCCGGACCCATTGCTGAGCGATACTGCGCTGTCATTGTTCGAGAAACCCTCGTAGCACTCAACTACCTCCACAAATCCGGTATAATCCATCGCGATATCAAAGCAGCCAACATTCTGCTCACCAGCACGGGCAAGATTCTACTTTGCGACTTTGGTGTTGCTGCTTCGCTCGCCTCTAACAGCGTTCATAGTAAACGAAGCACTTTTGTTGGTACCCCGTACTGGATGGCCCCTGAGGTTATTACCGAGGGTAAGACGTACGATCAGAAAGCCGATGTATGGTCTTTGGGTATTACTATCTACGAGATGGCGACTGGCAATCCACCGCTTGCCGATGTCGAGCAGATGCGGGTGATCATGCTGATTCCCAAATCCAAGCCTCCTCGATTACCCCTAGAAGGAGACTTCTCTCCAGCCATGCGAGACTTTGTCGCAGCATGCCTCAACGAAGAGCCTAAAGAAAGAGCTACTTCGGAGGAACTCAACAAGCTCAAGTGGATCAAAACTTACACCAAGACGCCAGTGAGCGTGCTAAAAGAGCTCATCCAGTCCTACAATGCTTGGACGAAAGCAGGAGGGATGAGGATGAGTTTGATTGGTGCCCAAACGGCCGATTGGGGTGAGGCGGGGAACAGGGATTCCTTTGCTTTTGACGGAAGAGAGACAGGCGAGGGTTGGGAGTTCAACACGTTTAGGAGTGCAAAGGAGTGGGAGGAGGATGAAGCTGATGCAGAGGGTGCGAGAGAGATTCCGATACGCGATCATCCTCTGTTGAGGTTGTTTGATGTCGAGGGAGATTCTGCGATAACGCCTAATACTGGGATATATGGAGGACAGCAGCAGCAAAGAGGTCGGGTTGCGAACGAGAATGCTAATATTCGGAGACAAGGCTCTTCTATTACAGCAGGTGGTGGTGGTGGGGCTGGTGGGGCTGGTGCGACATTGCGAGCACAACAAGCTCCTCCACAATCTCTTGCTGAAACCGCCAAATCATCAGCTGCACCTCCAGCAACAGTCAAACCGACAATGCTAGCCAACATGCAGGAGAAAGCAAGTTTCACAGGCACTGGAAACACTCCCTTCCGGTTCGGTATGGGTGGTGCACCTTCCTCCCCCATGTCCGAAGTTCCACCTTCTCGGGCAAACTTGCCAATGCGAAAACGATCTCAGTCTCTTACTCGACCCAGCGGATCATCCACATCAACCACTTCCTCAGGTCCAATCACACCAGCAGCAATTGTCATCCCCGATTCTCGCTCTCTCCACGACCTAGCCTCACCCTCAACCAAACCAACCGCTCCTCCTCCCCCACCTCCACCACACACAACTTGCATGGCTCGAGCGGAAAGCAACACCGACTCAATCCACTCTTCCCATCGCACCCCCGCATCCGCATCCGCATCTGCATCTGCATCCGCAACCGAACTCATCGCCCACCATCGACAATCGCACGGTGGATCAGACCCCACAACAGCCGGAACTCACGCTTCTCCCTCTCGACATCTGCAAAATCTGTGGGATAGAGGTGCCAACGCACAGGCATACAGCAGGTTGGCGAGATTAAGAGCTGGGTATGTAAGAAGAGAAAGTGCAAGTCTGGGAAGTTTAAGTGCAAGTAATGAGGTGGAAACGCCGGCTACACCGACTAATATTATGCAGGCAGAAAGGGGTGTAGGGACGGGAAAAGGGCAGAATAGGCAAACAGCGCTCTTAGCAACAACAAGATTGTTGCAAGGACCACCATTGAGGTCGTTGGATTTTACAGAGTTGAAGACGAAGGATGAGGTTTCAGCATGTTTGGGTAAGACGGTGGATGAGTTGGGGAAATGGCTAGATGTTCTTAGTTTGGCCTTGGGAAGGGCTGTGCATGCTGAGTCTTAGAGTTGGTGCATTTGGTTGGGTTGCAATAGACACTTGCCTTCTGTTCCTTCTCGTGTGTGTGGTGATAGGGTGTCCTGTCTAAGTGTTTGTTAATGCTCCTCTGAACTTTGCGCTGATGAAAAGCGTGCTCGAGGGAGCAGAAAAGCAAGATGAAAGTCATCACGAGTCGCATCTGTTCGAGTTGAATTTAGGTATGACTAATCAGAGGCCACAGTCAGGTGCTCTCACAGTTGTATGATCTAGATAAAGGCTTAATCATTTATTTTGGTGAGGTGGCAACTAGGCTAGGAGTATATATACATGTCCTAGGCACCCAACTGTGCTCACTTTGTTGAGTCATGCCCATATGCCATGTACCTTCTTTCATATGCATTGTCATACCAACATACCTCCTGCATACCATGGTGTCAATCATCATGCATAGGTTACATTAGTTCCCCCACTAGCTTTGCATCCTGCTCGTCTTCCTCGTTGCCCAATATCTTCCTGATTCCCTGATCCTGTGAGCTCCCATTTAATATGTCACATGTTGGCAATGCTGGTGCATCTTCAACTCCCCTCCTCAATGGCATATCCAATCCCATCATTCTCGATATCCTTGTCATGTTGAGTCCCTTGAGAGGCTTTGTGAGTATGTCGGCCATGTTGTTGGCCATTCCAATGAACTTGATTGATATGTCACCATCTTGCACATGGTCCCTAATGAAGTAGTATCTGGTGTCAATGTGCTTGAGTTTCCAGTGCTTGGCTGGATCCTTGCTGACCTGTATACATCCCTGACTGTCAGTGTGTAAGACTGGTTTGACTCCCATGATTCCTAGATCCCTGAGTAGGTATGAAAAGAAGAGCATTTCTCTCACTGCCTCTGATGCAGCAACCAGTTCTGCCTCTACTGCTGACAATGCTACACATTTCTGCACATGCAACTTCCAGCTAACTGGGCACCCATATACATATGTGACTGCCCCAGATGTACTCCTTCATCCATTAGTAGGGTCTGAGGCCCAATTCGTGTTGGTATACATAACCACCAGCTGTTTTGCATGCTTCCTATGCATCCCTCCAAGCTCCAGATGATATTCGCTCATTTGATTTAGATACTTTAGCAAGTGTATTGCTGCTTGCCATGCACTATTGATTGGCTCCAACATGTATTGTGCTAGGATTCCGACTGTAAATGAGATGTCTGGTCATACCATATTGGATACCCATAGTAGTTGCCCCACCAACTCCTGATATCATTTAGCTTGCTCTGGGGTACACTTCTTTCCTCTGACAGTACTTATGATGCTTTGCATTGGTATCCATGACTTTTCATTTGACTTCTCCAACCATTTGCTTACCATGCCTTTAATATACACTGTTAGATCAAGTGAAATCTTGCCTTGATTCCTATCTTGCATGATCTTGATGCCTAAGAACTCCTTAACTGGTCTGTTGTCCTCCATCCCCCACTTGCCCATGATTTCTGCTTTGGTATGGTCAACTTCCTTCCAGCTAGGTGATGCAATGAGCATGTCATCCACATATGCTGTTATCACTGTGAGTCAGTCATCTGTTCCTCTCAAATACAGGCATGGGGCACTTGACATGCAATGAAAACCAATTCTTCACAAGTGTGTGTCTAGCTTGATGTTCCACTCACAGCCTGATTGTTTCAGCCCATAGAGTCCTTTCATGAGCTTTAGCACTTTCCCTGGCAGCACTTTGGTTCCAACAGGCAGCTTGAGGTAGACATCATAGTGTAGACTTGAGTTCAAGTAAGCCTGCTTAACATCAATCAAGTCAACCTCCCAACCCCATATGGCAGCAATTGCCAGCACTCTTCTGATGGATTGGATAGGTGCCATGGGTGCAAAGATCTCTGTGTAATCTATGCCCTCCCTTTGCATGAACTCTCATGCCACTAGCCTCACCTTGTACTTTGTGGGAATCAGATTTGCATCTGTTTTGATCTTCAACACCCATTGCATGTCAACTGTGTTCATACCATGTGGTAGGTAAGTGGTCTCCCATGTACCCATCGCCTCTAGCCCTTCCAACTCTTTGTGCATTGCTTCCTCCCAGAAACTCTTGTCCTCTCCAGCCAGTGCTTCCTGAATGGTTGGGTTGAGGCTCTTTTCCTTCTTCTGGAGCTCCACCATCATTAGCCCAAAAGGGGGCTGTGCTTTGGGATTCACCTCTTTGTATCCTTCCTCCCCAATCATTGTCTCCATATCTGCATGTTCATCTAGGGGCTCTTGCTCCCTTTTGTCAAAGAGATTTTCCTCAGTATATCCTAGGTCAGTGAGATCCTCCTCACTGCCTGGGATCAGTGGTGGTTGTATGTCAACTGGTTTCCATTCAGTTTGGTCCGACCAGCATTGGGTCTCCATGAACCTTGCCAAATTGCTCCAGAAGATACTCAGGTTGTAATCAGGGCTGTAGAACAACCACCCCTTTCTCTCAAGGCTATATCCTATGAATATGGCTGAGACTGCTCTCTGATCTAACTTCTTATTGTGTCTCTTGGCTTTTGGGATGTTTACCCATGCCAGGCACCCAAATACACACATGAGACATATGAACTGCTCCAGCAACTTTCTGAACATTAGCTGATAAGGAAACTCTCCATTGATGTTGGGAGTTAGGTTCATCTTGAAAGCTGCTGCCCAAATCGCATACAGCCAAAAACCTTTCGGTAGATTCCTCTGTATCAGTAACATCCACATCTTCTCACCTAAACTCCTGTTCATTCATTCCACTCACCCATTTTGCCAGCTGTTATAACCTACAGTGGTTTGCCATTCTATTCCTTTTACCAGCATCCATTCCAGTGCCTCATTGGTTCTCCATTCTGTTCCTTGATCAGATTGAATCACCTTTACCATCCTATCTGTCTGTGTTTCTAAGAATGAGATGATCCTTTTAAGCTGCACAAATGCATGACTTTTTTGTAGTAATGGTTGTACATGCACATACTTGCTATAGTTGTCGACCAGCACCAATATGCATGTGTACTCCATTACATGAGATGAATTGATGATCAAATCGATGTGGATGAGGTCCAGGGGCCCAGCAGCTCTTTTGCCACTACCTTGCCCCATTCTGGCAACTGTACTTTTGGATTGCATACATGGCTCACATGTCAAAGCTGTCTCTGGGTCCAATGCTACTACAGGTCCACCTTTTAATTTATCAATGATTGCCCTGGACTTATCTTGACCTGGGTGTCCCAGTCACTCATGCCAGAGCTGTTTGATGGGGATTTTTGGTCTCCATTCAGCTAGCTCAAACTCTTCATCAACCCCTTCAAACAGTGGTGTTGGTGCAGCCATTGCACTTTGTCACCATGTATCACCTTGGACCTCTAGTAGTCCATGCTCACTATTCTTTGCTATCTTTAATAGCATTCCATTTGCTAAATGTATTTGTCCCCCTCTAGGGTCTAGTGTCACATGTGCTCCTTTGTCCATCAATGAGTTGGTCAATAATAGGTTGACATTGAGGTTGTGAACATAAAAAACATTATGGAGTAGTATCTCTCTGTACTTTGTTGATATGCTAACATCCCCTACAGCAGTCACTTCTAAGATTTTGCTTCCAGCAGTGTACACACACTTTCTGCACCTTCTTGGATGAATAAGCATACTGTAGTCATTGATCATATGGAAGCTTGCTCCTGAATCCAAAACCCAATGGTTTGCTTGGTCCAATTTCAAGAGCTTTCGCCAACTTGGGGTGAATGAGCACCAGACTTCCTAGTTGGTCTTGGCAAGGGGGGAGTTTTTGGGGATGATGACAGAGGCATTGCACTTCCTGGCACCATGCCTGTAACATCTGCATACCCAGCAGTGGATCCTCCTTGGTTTGGTCATAGCCTTCAGGTTGTTGTCATCCACTTCAGTATTACCATCCTGTTCATTGCTGCCAGCTGTTTGGGCACTTGCTTGCTGGGGGTCCACCTTTTGTGCAGGAATACTTTCGATTGCAGACTGGTGCATTGTTAGGGCAGTGGCGAGAGCATCAAAGCTGACCTGGTGAATGGTAGCAACCATCTCCTTGTAAACAGGATGTTGGATCATGCACTTTTGGAGTGCTGCATAAATAGCATCATCTCTGAAAGGTGCTCCCAGGAGGCTTGTCTCTGTCTGCATGATCCTAATTTCTTGAATTAGCTTTTGTGCATCAGCATTGAACATCTTGACCTCATTGAGCTGGGCAAGGAGTGTGATTCATCATGAGGTCCTGGTGGCTTCACTGGTCAAGCCTTTCTCAATCTTTGTCCAAGTTTGATGAAAGGTTAAGTATGTCTTGCTGATATTGAGCAGTAAGTATAGGATGTTGTGTTCTCCTTTGGTGTCCAACATGCTATGTAGGACACCCACCAGAGCATCATCAAAGATTCTATTCCACTTTGGATGGTTACTGTCATATGTCCCTTCAAGATGCCTTATAGCATAGGGGACAACTCTAAGGTTGGCTTTGATGAGGGTACTCCAACTATAATAGTTTCATGATGTAAGTTTGGGAACTGCCTCCACAATCTTGGCTATGGTATGGTAGTCATACTGCTCATTATCATCATTGGTGTCAGACCCTTCTTCAGCTTTGTTGAACTCTGTTTCATTGCCATCAGTGACCTTGTCGTCAATCTGTACTTGTTGGATCACCTTTCCTTTTCTTCCTCCTTTCATCCTCTTGGCTGCTTTGCTCATGCTGCCTTGGTGATCTCCTTCTCCTGCCATGGTCTGAATGTCATGGGTTCGAGCCCCACATTGGGAGCCAGTTGAATTTAGGTATGACTAATCAGAGGCCACAGTCAGGTGCTCTCACAGTTGTATGATCTAGATAAAGGCTTAATCATTTATTTTGGTGAGGTGGCAACTAGGCTAGGAGTATATATACATGTCCTAGGCACCCAACTGTGCTCACTTTGTTGAGTCATGCCCATATGCCATGTACCTTCTTTCATATGCATTGTCATACCAACATACCTCCTGCATACCATGGTGTCAATCATCATGCATAGGTTACATTAGTTCCCCCACTAGCTTTGCATCCTGCTCGTCTTCCTCGTTGCCCAATATCTTCCTGATTCCCTGATCCTGTGAGCTCCCATTTAATATGTCACGCGTTGGCGATGCCGGTGCATCTTCAACTGTTTGGCAACTACAGTCACATCCAAAATTGCCTGGCATCTAATTAATTTGATATGGTGTTCTCAGGTCCTTTTCATGATGATGACCAGTACTCTTTGTTCTCTTTGACAACACCCACTTTGTGTGGTATGGTTGCAAAGCTTGGATAGCCTGCTATCAGAATATGTGAGAGAAAAAGGGTGGTCCCACCAAAGAATATGCTGGAATTTAGGTTGGCACTCTTTGAAGCCTCTCCTCCTCCTCAATTAATTCTGTACCTTGTGTAACTTATCACTTTGCACAGAATTGAGCTAATAGACCATGCTTGAAACTTCATATGATTGTAGTATGATATAAACAAAGATGTTTTGGGGTGTTTTGATGAGCTTAGGACATCATATGGCAATACTGCTGTCAACATAGCAAGGAGGGCAAAAAATCGATATGGGGAGGACTAAATACACCACCACTCACCTATTATGGGTCAAAGAGCTGCTCCAAGCAGGTTTCTCAACAAGGGAGATAGCAACTAAACTGTCTATCAACAAATCCAGCATTGCTGAACTGGCAAAACAGGTACCAGAGAGTGAATATGTGAAAAGGACCCCTGGGAGGCCCCTCCTCCTCTCCTTGCACCAACAGGCATTACTCACCAGAGGAATTAGCAAGAATTCTTATACTTTGGCTACTGAAGCTTCAGTCTACTGGCTACAACACTATCAACTTTGTTTGTCCAGACAAACCATTACACACATGCTGAAGTGAGCTGGACTTAAGTTTAGGGCAAAAAGAAGAAAACCCTTGCTCACAGATAAACATAGGAAGGCAAGGAGGGTGTTTGCCAAGGAGTATAGACATTGGACTGTTGAACAATGGAAGAATGACATCTGGAGTGATGAATGCAAGGTTCAACACATTCAAAAGGGCTTGGAAAAGTGATACTGGTCCAGGGATGTCAACTATGATATATATATATACCTACACTGCAGGGGGGTGGCCACAGCATCATGATTTGGGGGTGTATGACCTGGGCAGGCCTAGGTCTAATGGTCTATATAGATGACAAACTGAATTCAGAGTGTTACATTGAGTTGCTGGAGGAAGTGGTGCCTGGTAGCATCTTGAAGTGGAAGAATATACAGAGAATTCCACCAAGGGATAAACTGATCTTTCAGCAAGACAATGCCTGCCCTCACACTGCCAAAGTCACCAAGGAGTACCTGGAGGAGGTCAAACTCAATGTATTGCCCTGGCCTGCAATGTCTCCAGACCTGAATCCTATAGAACATGTGTGGCAGCAGCTGAAAAAGCAGCTATATCAGCAAAGATATACTATCAACAATAAAGCTCAACTCATTGCAGCTATCAACAGGTTTTGGGCAACTTTTCCCAAGGAATCAGTCCAGGCACTCATAAAGTTGATGCCCAGGAGGTTACAGGCTGTAAGGGTTGCAAAAGGGGGCCATACAAAATACTAAAGTATAGTATATAGTAATTTAGGAGGAGCTTTACACTCAAAAAAAGTCATGGCACTTTCACTGTGCACAAATGTGGTCCAATCACAACAAAACTTATATGTACTTGTAGCTCTCAATCTCAGCTTTCCAACAATATGTCACAAGCTACACTTCATTGAGGATACCAGCTCTTGAGAAGTGAAGTTGATGTGTGGTGATGAGCATTTAATTATCCTAAAAGATGCTGGGCAATTTTGGATGCGACTGTACTTGGCTAAGGGCAACCAAAAAAAAAAAAAAAAAGAAAAAAAAAGAAAAAAAAAGAAAAAAAAAGAAAAAAAAAAAGGAGCTCAATCTCACAAGACTCGAGGCAGGACTTGCATTCTTGAACTACATCTCGCAACTCTTTGTTGCACTATATCACCAACATGCCTGGGGAACAGACACTCTTTGTAGAATCACAAAGACACTTGCTGTCTTACTAAAAACGCCCAGGGCTTGAGCATTTTAGAAAGCGTTCGGAATGCGACTAGGACCAAGTAGGGTTATGTTGGACATGAGCTGCAGTGCGACCTTGTTCATAGTCCAGTACAGGAGGTTTCGCGTTGCTTTGACCAGCAAGTTCTGCGGCCCATCGTCATTGGCATTCTCATGGTCGTTGGCATCCTGGCCATCATCGTGATGGGAGGGAATATCGAGTCGATTTGGAAATAGAAAGCTGAATGTCAAAACCAAGAGAATGATGAGCAATAATACACTAACTGTGCAAATTGTCCAAGTGGCCATGCATTGAAACCTAGCTCTACTTCTCGCTCTTCTCCTCTCCCTTCTTCTTGCGACCAAGTCTGTTGTGTAGGAGGGTAGGAGATGTGGACCTGCTAAACGACGGTAGCCGTATGGATCCGAGCGATCTTCTTCCTCCTCTGACTGCGGCGAGGCGAGCTTGGGGATTGGTAGAGTTCCATAAGACGTCCTACTGGCGATGGTGTTGGTGATAGGGTGAGGATGAGAAGAGTTGCGCTGAGCAATTTCCTGAATAATGGATTGCGTTATACGGTCATCTTCCTGCTCCTCCCTGTTCAGTTGGCGTTCATAGGGACCAGCAAAAATGGCTGTTAGAAGTCGTTGCCATGCCGCACCTAACCCTGAACCTGCACCACTACTCGAACCAGATGGTCCAGTATTACCTCCCCTATCGCTTCTCCTTCTCAGCGTAACAGGGTGTGGAAAAGGAAAAGTAGTCATGATTTTACTATTCCTCCCGCGCGCATCTTGAGCATTCTTCACGCCAGCCTCTTTATCCTTCCCCTTCTCCGCCTTCTGCTGTTTCTGCTGCTTCTGCTGCTGCTGCTGTTGAGCGGTTACAAGTGTCGATCCGGTACTAGACCAAGGACCGAGGGCAGCAGGATCTGAGGGCAGGGCAAGGTAAACAGGTCTTCGCTGCGGAGCAACTTCCTCTGCCATATATCTACTCGACAATCTCGAAGAACACCTGGACGAGCCCGTAGACAACACAGATGCTCGGCTTGGGTCGGTAGCTGGATGACTTTCTTTTGTGCTTGAACATAAGAGCTGCTTTCTCTCTCGTCCTGCAGCGTTTGCAGCTATGATGGAGTTTGCTCCAAACCCGCTAGCTGCCGAAGGAGGAAAACGAGAAATGCTGCCAACATTAAGAGAGTACCTGTAGGCGGATCCATCAAGAACAACGCTACTGGGTCGACTGGAAGCAGCACTGCCAGTAGGCGTGGGCAAACGAGACCAATTGGAGCGTTGCGATTCAACCCTTTTCGCAACGCTTACATCTGGAGGCGAGCGAACCATCGACACTGGCCTTGTCGCAGATGACATCGAGGAACTACCTCTACCTGTAGCGAGAGAGACAGATGGTTGCGTAGTCGACTTACGTCCTTGAGCATCGAGAGGTCCAGTAGGCTTTGGATGCGCTCCACCAGTACTGTTGCTACGTGCTGCCATCTTTGCGAAAGAGCGTGAGAGACACAAGTGATACAGATCTGTGTAACACCGCGCAAAGGGGTTCTATGTAACCAAGCGCCAATCCTTACTTCTTGATGATGGAGCGCAATGCATCTATCGTCATGGTGTTGGCAGCAAGCATGTAGAAAGGCGAGTAAGATGGCGAGTAAGATGGCGAGCGGGTTGGGTGAGTTTGCAAGTTGGACTCTTTGGCTGTGTGTTGAGCTGTTAGATCGTCATTTCTTTCTTTTTTTGTTTCTTTTTCGACGAGTGGAGATGCAATTTCTCACTAAACGCTCATTTTCTCAAATCCATATACCACAGTTGAAGATGTGTCGGCATTCCATTGGGATTCACGGGGTCTGCAGAGCACAAGCAAGACATCAATGAAGCAGAGCTGTATATAGATGGCATGCATGTGGGATGCATAAGTGTTACCATAGCAACACTCAGGAGTAATACAGGAGGCAACAACTCAGGGGTGATATGAGGAGTGGCTCATCACAGTCCAGCATGTATTGGAGGCAATGATCAAGTATATATATGCTCACATACATAACATCCATTGATAGAAATGATAAGCATTCAAGAAGTCATACACCTGTGATCAAGAGCTTGTTAGTAGCTCAGGACAGCATACTGGACTTTGTAATTTTCAATTGATTAAGAGTCTGAAGCTCTATCAACTGAGCCAAGGAACCCATCAACAACTATGGTAGAAGAAACCAAAACTCAAGCCATCACAAGCAGGGCCAAAGGTGGTAGAAAGGGTAAGGCTGTACAACCATGAGTCATCAATAATGAGGCCACCAATGAGACAGAGACCAAGGTGATCAACAATGATGCCAATGAAGAAACTGATTCTGACTCCAACCTTGACAGTGGTGGCAAGCAATACAACTTCTGCACCTTGGCAAAACTCCTTGAGCCAGTGCCCAAACTTACATTCCAAACTTACATTACACAACTACTACAGTTGGAATGCCCACATCAAGTCTTTCCTCTGATGCATCCCTCATGCTATGAAACACCTTGAGGGAGTGTATGATAAGAAGCACCCCAAGTGGAACTGCACATTTGATGATGCCTTGATGAATGCATTGCACAGCACCATTGACACTACTGGGGAATACAATGTCAATTACTTGATCCTTGACATCATCAGGGAGCACCATACATTCCATCAGGTCTGGAAGAAGATTAAGAATGGCCTGACCAATGAAGCCACCACCACCTCTCAACAAATTGCACTCATCACTCAGTTAGGTGAGCTTAGGATGTTCAACTCTGATGCCTGAAAGCTCATCCAGGAAATCAGGTCTATCCAGACAGAGAGCAGCTTGTTGGGAAAACCATTTGCTGACAACACCCTGTTCTCTAACTTACAGAAGTGCACTATTCACCACCCAATGTACAAAGAGACTGTCACCACCATTAGCCAGCTCACCTTCAGCACCCTTGCTACCACCTTGACCACTTGGCAGTCAGCAATTGAGAGTAACCCCACTCAGAGGGTTGATCCCCACCAAGCCAGCACCAGAGTCACCAGCAGCGACAACCAGGATGAGTCAACCAGAAAGGACAAGAAAGACAAGAAGGATGAAGACTGCACCAGTGCCAAAGTTGCTGCTAGGCCCCAAAGGATTCAATGCTGGATCTGCAAACAATCTGGACATGGAATCAATCAGTGCAATGCCTTGGTAACCATTCCTGAGAACTCCTCCCTTGCCAAGTCCAAATAGGAAATCTGGTGTTTCTTCACACCAAGTTGGCAGAGGCCCCTAGACTCAAAAGAAACATCTCATTGGATCTTAGACTCAGGGGCCAGTTTTCACATGGTCAACACCTATAGCATGCTCATTAGTCCTAGAACCTGTCAAAAGCATGTATTCACCACCAGAAGCAAGGTTCTAGAAGTGACAGCTATAGGAGACATGAACATATCAACAAACCATGGAGATGTGTTTCTCCAGAATGTATTGTATGTTAAGCATCTCAATGTTAATCTCTTGTCAACCAATTCCCTGACAGATGAAGGAGCATGAGTGACACTAGACTCTGCCAGCAGGCAGATACATTTAGCAAATGGCATGCTACTCAAGATGGCTAAGAATTGCAAGTGAGGGCTTTTAAAGCTCCAAGGTGACACATGGCAAGAAAACACAATGATCACATCAACATCACTATTTGAAGATGTTGATGAAGATTTCGAGCAGGTTGAGGGCAAGGCTGAGATATCCAAACAACAACTATGGCATGAGTGTCTAGGGCATCCAGGCTGAGACAAGACAAGAGCCATCATCAACCATTTAAAGGGCAACAACCTAGTAGACTTGAACCCAGATACTGCTCTGATATGTGAGCAGTGCATCTGATCCAAGAGAACAGAATACATGTGCACATTGGTACTGGTTGATGACCACAGCAAGTATGTGTATGTGCAGCCTTTGCTACAAAAGAGCCATGCATTTCCCAAGCTCAAGATGATAGTGTCATATCTTGAAACACAGATGGGAAAGAGTTTAAAAGCAATACAATCTGATCAAGGTACTGAATGGAGAAGCAATGACACCCTTGAATGGACACATGATAAGGGTATAGAATGGCAGATGACAGTGGGATATAATAGCAGACAGAATGGATGTGCAGAGAGGATGAATAGGAGTCTGGGTGAGAAGATGCAAACACTGCTCATGCAGAGGAGGCTGCCAAAGAGATTCTGGCCTTATGCAATCTGGGCTGCAGCATTCAAAATGAATCTTGCCCCAAGTGTCAACAATGAGTTCCCATATCAAGCCATGTTTGGGAAGTCACTGGAGCAGCTCATGAGGCTCTTACACATGTTCAGATGCCTAGCATGGGTAGACATCCCAAAGGTCAAAAGAGACAATAAGAAGCTAGACCAATGGGCCATAGCATCTATATTCCTGGGATACAGTCTGGAGAGGAGAGGATGGCTTTTCTACAGCCCAGACTACAGTCCAAATATATTCTGGAGCAACTCTGTAAGATTCATGGAGTCTAAATGCTGGTCCAACAGAACAGAGTGGTGACCAGCAAACATACAATCACCACCAGTACTAGCAGATGAAGGAGACCTCAATGACCTGAGATATACAGATGAGAACCTCTTTGATGAAAGAGAGGAGGAGCAACTGGATGAATACATGGATATGGAGACAATTGATGGAACAGATGAGGAAAAGACCTCAGGCAAGGGTGTGGCAAAGATGATTGAGCACAGAGCTGATGCTGAAACATGGGCCAACAGTACCCATTTTGGACCTACAGCAATAGACAATGGTATAAAGAACCTGGATCCAACCATTAGCAAGGCACTATCTGGAGAGGATAGGAAGCACTGGGAGGAGGCAATGTGCAAGGAGCTGGATGGGCTAAGAGCCATGGGCACATGGGAGATTGCCGACCTTCCCCAGGGCATGAATGCTGTTGACACACATTGGGTTTTAAAAATCAAAACAGATGCAAATCTGATTCTGACAAAGTTCAAGGCAAGGCTGGTGGCACGAGGCTTCACACAAAGGGAAGGCATCAACTACACAGAGGAGTTCACACCTGTGGCACCTATTCAATCCATTCAAGGAGTCCTAGCTATAGCAACCATGCAAGGCTGGGAAGTGGATTGCATTGATGTCAAGCAAGTGTATCTGAATTCAACATTGCACCATGATGTTTTCTTGAAGCTGCTGGTTGGAATGAAGGTCCCCCCTGGAAAGGCCTTAAAGCTGGTGAAGGGACTGTATGAACTAAAGCAATCAGGCCAAGAGTGGAACATAGAGCTGGATTCACACCTGCAAAAGATAGGTTTCCATTGCATGCTGAGTGTGCTGTGCCTATACTCAAGAGGAACTGGAGGCAGCATGACTGTCATCACAGCATATGTGGATGACATGCTCATAGTATCTCCCAGTCATGAGGAGGTGAATTGCACCAAGAAAGAAATAATGGCTAAATGGTGAACAGAGGATAATGGACCCATGAGAGAATTCTTAGGTGTCAGTATCAACCAGGACAGGGCACAGAAAAGAGTTCGTTGCCGCCTCAGAGGCAGTGAGAGAGGCTCTTTTCTTCTCATACCTCCTCAGGGATCTGGAAATCGAAGCTGCTCACCCAGTATTGCGCACAGACAGCCAGGGATGTGTCACAGGGTCAGCGGATCAGTGTATGAAGGGTGCACCAAATTGATTGGCAGCAAATCATCAGGAATTGACAAAGCTAATCAGGTTGGTAGCACATATGATTTATGAGACCAACCAAACTCTGGGGTCCAGGTTAATTTCACAAGGCTCAATCAGGATCAGCCTGATCAGCATGTCTCAGCAAGTCGGCTGACACAAGCAAGCATCAGGAGATTCAGGAAGGAGGATACTGGCATTAGAAGGAGAAGCATACAGAGATAACCACATGTAGGAGCAGGGACCAAGCTCAGCATCATGCAGATGGTTACTGCTCAAGGGGTACATGCATATAGCCACACAGGACCAAGCACAGGGGCAACCACATGACCAAGGGGTTTGGTCACAAGGTCCAACAAGTGGCTAAAAGGATTCACAAGATAAGGTCAAGAAGGTGGTCACTGGTGAAGAGAGAAGGAGCTGTGTCAAGAAGAATGGAGATTGGCTAAATGAAGAAGAGGAGCTGTGTCAAAGGGGTCATCACACATCATCAGGCAGAGAGAAAGCATGAAGGCAAAGGGGCAGTGTCACACAACCATTACACTGTGCAAACAGTAGAGGTGCAGCATCAATGGGGTTGACACCAGCAGGAGAGACAGTGTCAAAAGGGGATGAAGGCCCCTCAGGAGGAGCAGGATAGGTGTCACAAGTGACACCAATTGAATGCATAAATACTCTCATTCTACCATAGCATATGAGTGGATCCTCATCCACTCTACTTACTTTATACTTTACTCTTACTTGACTCTTAGTTACATATCATTGCAATAGCAGTGCTTTTGCAATGACCCCCAAATGTGTGTGTTGTATCACCATTAGGCATCAACTGTAGGTGGTGTTCTTCAAACACTTGCAGTCCAGTTCCTCAACTGTAGGCAGTGTTCTTCAACACTTGCAGTCCAGTCCCTTACTGTAGGCAGTGTTGCTTGATATCTGTGGTCCAGTCAGTTATTGTAGGCAGTGTCTCACACCTGCAGTCCAGTAACTTCTGTCCTCTGTAGGTGATAAGTATATTGCAGTCCAGATGATGTCCAAGAGCATTAACAATAGTACTGCAAACACTCATACTGTAAGGAGAGGGTATCACTCACTCTCCAACAAACAATGAACATGCTGTGCAACCTCTGAATGGAGTGTTCAAGGCAGTCAGCCAAGACCTACCAGTATGAAGTTGTCTGGTTACATTTAGTCGAAACATACCAAGTAGATCTTACTCAATCAATCCCACCTATACCAATCAGATAACACCCAAAATTAGTCTCTGGCGCACGACCGCTTACAGGATGCATCCAGGTGAATAAGGATCCTGCCAAGCACTGGAAGCTGAAACACATAGACACCAGGTGTCAGAGGTCGCATGCCTAAAACCTGAGATCTGTAATAGGACCGCATCTATTATGAATCCTGTCGAAATATGCAACAATGCTTGTGGTATTATGATTCTTGGTGAGATATGTAGTAGAGTTGTCTCTATCACTTTACTTGCTCAGAAATGCAGTAATGGCCTTGCTATTGCAGGTTTTGACTGACCACTGTGGACACTCCATCCAGAGGTAGCTTGGCATGATCAATAACTGATATGAACTGGTACTGACACCAAGGTCTGGTGTGAGAGATATGATTGGTGGCACCAACATGAGTGTCCAGTGTGTTGACTATATGCTTGGAGTGATCCCTGGACTGCAGTGGACAACTGCCTTTGGTTCTATCATTATCCAGACCACAGGTTTCTTTGAACTGCCTTCGGATGTCAGTGAGCAGTGATACAGCACATGTGCTACAATGGATGCAATCAATTGAGATTGCAACTTGCTGACTGAATACTAATGTATACTTATGTGTAAGCTATAACTAGTAATGTATGGTGTAGAGTGGATAGCGATCCACTCCTCTACTATGATGGGAAGCATGGTTATATACTTTCTCGCAGTGCCACCTGTGGCACTGCTCCTCCTCCTCCTCCTGCCCTCCTCCCCATCCATTCCTGTGATGCCACTTGTTGGCCCCACTTCCCTTGCCTCCTGTGGATGGACGACTCTCCTGCTGTTTCATCTCTGCTAGGGGTCAGTCCCACTTCATCTGAGTGGCAACTTGCACCCCCCTCTCATCACTCTCTTGTCATCGACACCCACCTGCTGGCACCAATTTCATCATTGTGCCAGGCCCCTGCTTCATCCAGTGGTGTCCCCCCTCTGTGCAGTGTCCTCCCCTTGTCCTATTGGCGATGGGGTGCCTCTCTGACCAATTCTCTTGAGATCTGTCATACCCAGCATGGTATTGTGATTCCCACTGAACTCTGTAGTAACAACATTGTTCCTACAGATCCTACCAAGTTATGCCATAGGAATGTTTCTACTACTGATCTCAGTGAATTCTTCCTTAAGCTCTCGTTTAGCCTGATCCTGCAATGTCTGTGCTCCTTCATATGACTTCCATCTTTGGGCTACCTGTGCCTCTGGTCCCATGACACCAGGCATCACTTCATCAGAGATCACGTTCAGGAGGGAGAGATAGCAATCAAATTTGTTGGGACAGCTGACAATGTTGCTGACATCTTAATGAAACCATTGAAGGGATTGGCAACATCCTGGCTAGCTCAGTTGATAGGGTTGGTGATGCCATCAAAGGGGGGAGTTGAAGATGCATTGACATTCCAATGGGATTCACAGGGTCCACAGAGCACAAGCGAGACATCAATGAAGCAGAGCTGTATATAGATGGCATGCATGTGGGATGCATAAGTGTTACCATAGCAACACTCAGGAGTAGTACAGGAGGCAACAACTCAGGGGTGATATGAGGAGTGGCTCATCACAGTCCAGCATGTATTGGAGGTGATGATTAAGTATATATATGCTCACATACATAACATCCATTGATAGAAATGATAAGCATTCAAGAAGTCATACACCTGTGATCAAGAGCTTGTTAGTAGCTCAGGACAGCGTACCGGACTTTGTAATCTTCAATTACCACACAGATTACACCACACAGATTACACACATACACCAACTCTACAACAGCATCGTTGGATAGCGTAAAAGCATTTGCGGTTAGTATGCTCTATCTAGGTATGAGCAAGACAACTGCGCTTCTCAGCCATATACCAAGCCACAGCTCGAATCGCATCTCTACATCTTTCCACCTCTACATTCTGCCCTGCTGGTGGAACATGGATGAAAATCACCGTTGCTCCATCCTCTCTCCTCTTCGCTTCACACAACGAACAATAGAAGATAAAGTCACAAAGATACCTTCCCGGGTCTAGACTTTGTCCCACTTCTCCCGATGCCATACCTCTCTCTTTCAACCAAGAGACCAACTGCGGGACATCGATAGAGGTCCTTTCGGTGTCGTTGAAGTGGTCATAAGCTGAACCACCAAACCCTCGAACTAGACCTTGTCTATCCAAGTACTTAGCATCCACCGATGATCGAGCAGCGTTGGGCAGGAGAGGAGCAAACTCTTGCTTGGCATCAGGTTTACCATATCCTGTCTTATGAGCCTGTGTTTCGCACGTCAGACTACTGTCTCTGCCGACACCGACATGTATCACTACATCCCACTGTTTCTGCACGAGCTCTGTATACCCATCAGGATACGACTCGCCTTCCTTCCCAGCCCATATCCCGTCTAAGCTATTATCATACCAAAACTTGGCTTGGGGCAAAAGCGGCTTGCCACCATGTATCCTAGGAACCAAATCCAAGACCGACGCATAATGCACTGGGATCTGCAAACTCTGTATTCTCGCCCGCCTCTCTTCGTATACAGCTTCATCTGCTCTCTTGGTTCGACGAGATGGAGTCCGAGAAGAGGATAACGCAGGAGGCTGGTTAAGATCGAGTATCGTATTATGAAGCGCTTTGACTGCAAGCCAGGAAGGATTCTTATCGATCCTCATAAAAGGCCCAAAGCCTGTAATTAGGATGTTCACCTCCCGTTCTTTGTGCCTTATTGCCATCTTTGCCAAGTTGCAACCAATGGTGCTGCCTGCCTGAGCAAGCAATATGACGAGAGGGATAGGAATGATCGTGTTGGTCGATGTCGAGCGAGGTGTAGTTGAAGATCACAAGTCCTATACGCTGACTTTAGCTACTAACAAGCTCTAGGTCCCAGGTGTATGTCTACTTGAAATGTCTCTTAACCATTCAATCGATGAACTACTATCTACATAGGCATATATATACATGATGATTGCCTCCAAACATGTGTCAATCTGTGATGAGTCACCCTTCATGTCACCCCTGAGTTGTTGCCTCCTGTGTGTTATTATGATAATGCTTATGCATCCCACATGCATGCCACCATATGCAGTTTTGCTCCATTGATGGTTCGCTTATGCTCTATGGACCCTGTGAATCTCATTATGATGCTGATGCATCTTCAACTCCCCCCTTCAACAGCATCACCAATCCTATTAACTGAGCTAGCCAGGATGTTGCCAAATCCATTAATGGTTTTGTTAAGATGTCTGCCACATTGTTTGCTGTCCCAACAAATTCAATCACTATATCTCCATCCTGTATGTGAACTCTGACAAAGTGATACCTGGTGTCTATATGTTTCAGTTTCCAATGTTTTGCAGGATCCTTACTCACCTGAATGCATCCCTGGCTGTCTGTGTGCAAGACTGGTTGGGTGGTCTCAACCTCTAGGTCCCTGAGTAGGTAGGAGAAGAAAAGTGCCTCTCTTGCTGCCTCTGAGGCTGCAATGAACTCCACTTCCATGGCTGATAGCACCACACACTTTTGGACATGTGATCTCCAGCTGACCAGACACCCATGTACATATGTCACCACTCCTGATGTGCTTCTTCATCTGTTTGTTGGGTCCAAAGCCCAGTTTGCATCTGTGTACATGACAATTGGTTGTCCTGAATGTTTGCTTGACCCATCTCCAAAGATTAGTTTGTATTCACTGGTTTGATTGAGGTATTTCAACAAGTGGACAGCTGCTTTCCATGCACTATTGGTCAGATTTGCCATATACCTTGCCAGTATTCCTATGGTGAATGATATGTTGGGTTGTGTGGTGTTTGATACCCATAATAGTTGTCCCACCTGTTCTTGGTATCACTTTGCCTCTAGTGGATCACATTTGTCATCCCCTGTGATACTTGTTATCCCTTGCATTGGCACCCAGGATTTCTGTTCAGTCATTTGCAACCATTTACTCACCATCACCTTGATGTAGGCTGACAAGTTGAGTGACATCCTCTTCTGTGCCCTGTCTTGGTTGATGCTTATGCCTAGGAACTCTTTCACAGGTCCATTATCCTCCATGCCCCATTTAGCCATTATTTCCCTCTTGGTGCAATTCACCTCCTCATGACTGGGAGATACTATGAGCATGTCATCCACATATGCTGTGATGACAGTCATGCTGCCTCCAGTTCCTCTCGAGTATAAGCATGGTGCACTTGGCATGCAATGAAAACCTATGCTCCACAGGTGTGAGTCCAGCTCCATATTCCATTCTTGGCCTGATTGCTTCAGTCCATACAATCCCTTCACCAGCTTTAGGACCTTTCCAGGGGGAACCTTTGTCCCAATTGGCAGCTTTAAGAAAACATCATGGTGTAATGTAGAGTTTAGATACACTTGTTTGACATCAATGCAATCCACCTCCCAGTCTTGCATGGTTGCTATAGCCAAAACTCCTTGAATGGATTGAATAGGTGCCACAGGTGTGAACTCCTCTGTGTAGTTGATGCCTTCCCTTTGTGTGAAGCCTCGTGCCACCAGCCTTGCCTTGAACTTTGTCAGAATCAGATTTGCATCTGTTTTGATTTTTAAAACCCAATGTGTGTCAATGGCATTCATGTCCTTGGGAAGGTCAGCGATTTCCCATGTGCCCATGGCCCTGAGCCCATCCAGCTCTTTGCACATTGCCTCCTCCCAATGTTTCCTATCCTCTCCAGATAATGCCTCATTAACAGTTGGATCCAGGTTCTTCCTTTTACCATTGTTTATTGCTGTAAGTCCAAAAATGGAACTGTTGGCCCATGTTTTGGTGTTGGTTCCATACTCTATCATCTTTGCCACACCCTCACCTGGGTTCCTTTCCTCATCCAATCCACCAATTGTTTCCATATCCATGTACTTGTTGAGTGGCTCCTCCTCTCTCTCATCAAAGAGGTTCTCATCTGTATATCTCAGGTCATTGAGGTCTCCTTCATCTGCTAGTACTGGTGGTGATTGTATGTTTGCTGGTTGCCACTCTGTTCTGTTGGACCAGCATTTAGACTCCATGAATCTTACAGAGTTGCTCCAGAATATATTTGGACTGTAGTCTGGGCTGTAGAAAAGCCATCCTCTTCTCTCCAGACTGTATCCCAGGAATATAGATGCCATGGCCTGCTGGTCTAGCTTTTTATTGTCTCTCTTAACCTTTGGAATGTTTACCCATGCTAGGCATCTGAATACATGTAAGAACCTCATGAGCTGCTCCAGTGACTTCCCAAACATAGCTTGATATGGGAACTCACTGCTGACATTGGGGGTAAGATTCATTTTGAAAGCTGCAGCCTGGATTGCATAAGGCCAGAAACTTTTCAGCAGTCTCCTCTGCATAAGCAGTGTTTGCATCTTCTCACCTAGGCTCCTATTCATCCTCTCCACATGTCTGTTCTGTCTGCTGTTGTATCCAACTGTCATCTGCCATTCTATACCCTTATCATATGTCCATTCAAGTGTGTCATTGCTTTGCCACTCTGTTCCTTGATCAGATCATATTGCTTTTAGGCTTCTCCCCATCTGTGTTTCAAGATACAATACTATCATCTTGAGCTTGGGAAATGTGTGGCTCTTTTGTAACAAAGGCTGCATGTACACATACTTGCTGTGGTCATCAACCAGTACCAATGTGCATGTGTATTCTGTTGCATGTGATGAATTGACTATCAAGTCAATGTGGATGAGGTCAAGTGGGGAAACAGATTTCTCTCCACTACCTTGCCCCATTCAGGCTGTTGTACTCTTGGATCGGATGCAATGCTCACATGTCTGAGCTGTATCTGGATTCAGGTCTGCTATGTTGTTGCCCTTTAAGAAATTGATGATGGCTCTTGTCTTGTCTTGGCCTGGATGCCCTAGATGCTCATGCCATAATTGTTGTTTAGATACTTTGGCCTTGCCCTCTGCCTGCTCAAAATCTTCATTGACATCTTCAAGCAATGATGTTGATGTGATCATTGCATTTTCTTGCCATGTGTCACCTTGGAACTCTAAAAGCCCTTGCTTGCAATCCTTGGTCATCTTGAGTAGCATGCTGTTTGCTAAAAGTATCTGCCCACTGGTGGAATCCAATATCACTCATGCTCCTTCATCTGTCAGGGAATTAGTTGACAAAAGGTTAACATTGAGATGCCTAACATACAATACATTCTGGAGTAATACATCTCCATTGTTCATTGATACACTAGCATCTCCTATAGCTGTCACTTCTAGAACCTTGCTTCCAGCTGTGAATACATGCTTTTGACAGGTTTTAGGATTAATGAGCATGCTATAGGTGTTGACCATATGATAACTGGCCCCTGAGTCTAAGATCCAATGGGATGTCTCTCTTGAGTCTAGGGGCCTCTGCCATCTTGGTGTGAAGGAACACCAGATTTCCTATTTGGACTTGGTGAGGGAGGGGTTCTTGGGAATGGTTACTGTAGCATCACACTGACTGATCCCATGTCCAGGTTGCTTGCAGATCCAGCATTGAATCCTTCAGGGCCAAGCAGCAACCTTGGCACTGGTATGGTCTTCATCCTTCTCATTCCTCTCATCCTTTAAAGTTGGCTCATCTTGGTCATCACTGCTGGCAACTCTGGCACTGGCTTGGCAGGGATCAACCCTCTGAGCAGGGTTGTTCTCAATTGCCAACTGCCAAATGGTCAAGGCTGTAGCAAGGGTGCTGAAGGTGAGCTGGCTAATGGTGGTGACAGTCTCTTTGTACATTGGGTGGTGAATAGTGCACTTCTGTAAGTTAGAGAACAGGGTGTTGTCAGCAAATGGTTTTCCCAACAAGCTGCTTTCTGTCTGGATGGACCTAATCTCCTGAATGAGTTTTTGGACATCAGAGTTGAACATCTTAAGCTTGCCTAACTGAGTGATGAGTGCAATTCAGTGAGAGGTTGCAGTGGCTTTGTTGGTCAAGCCATCCTCAATCTTCTTCCAGACCTGATGGAATGTATGATGCTCCCTGATGATGTTGATGATCAAATAATTGACATTGTGTTCCCCAGTAGTATCAATGGTGCCATGCAATGCATTTGTCAAAGCATCATCAAAGGCACAGTTCCACTTAGGGTGCTTCTTGTTGTACATTCCCTTGAGGTGTTTCATGGCATGGGGAATGCATCAGAGGAAAGACTTGATATGGGCATTCCAACTGTAGTAGTTATGAGATGTGAGCTTGGGCACTGGCTCAAGAAGCTTCACCAAAGTGCAGAAGTTGTATTGTTTGCCACTGCCATCTAGGTCAGAGTTGGAGTCAGTTTCTTCATTGGCATCATCATTGATCACCTCAGTCTCCATCTTGTTGGTGGCCTTGTTGTTGGCAACTCATGGTTGAGAGGCCTTACCCTTTCTAACTCCTTTGGCTCTGCTTGCACCAGCTTGTGTTTCAGTGTTGTCTACCATAGTGGTTAAAGAAAAGGGAAAGGGGGGGGGGTCTCTAGCTCAGTTGGTAGAGCTTCAGACTCTTAATCAGTTGAAGATCACAAGTCCTATATGCTGACTTTAGCTACTAACAAGCTCTAGGTCCCAGGCATATGTCTACTTGAAATGTCTCTTAACCATTCAATCGATGAACTACTATCTACATAGGCATATATATACATGATGATTGCCTCCAAACATGTGTCAATCTGTGATGAGTCACGCTTCATGTCACCCCTGAGTTGTTGCCTCCTGTGTGTTATTATGATAATGCTTATGCATCCCACATGCATGCCACCATATGCAGTTTTGCTCCATTGATGGTTCGCTTATGCTCTATGGACCCCGTGAATCTCATTATGATGCCGACGCATCTTCAACTGGTGTTAGGGTTGATCTGGGTGAAGCTTTTCTGGTGCAAAAGCGAGGAGAGTGCGGGCCAAATAGGCGTTTAGAAAGCGGATCGCGCAGACTCAACACTCGCTCTCACATGTTCGCTGTATAAAATCTCACCGCATGTCGCATTGCAATAGACACGACAATGATGAGAAAGGCAAACCCAACTGCTGTTGCTATTCCAATAGACATGAGTGTCTTGAAAGGTAAACTCACATATGCTCGTCATCACTTGCACCAAGCAAATGAGCATAGTCATCAGCACTGGCAAAAGTGGGCAAGTTCTGCATCGACTTGTTCCTCTTCTTCTTATCCCCTTGCTTCTTGCGTCTCTTGGCATCTACACCTGTCAGCTCGTCTTGCTCTTGGTCATCGAATACAGCAGCACCGCGCTTCTTGCCGTTCAAGTCGGCGAAGGGAAGGAGATCATCCTCGTCCTCTTCAAAGACGTTGCCGGAGTCGGATTCGTCGTCTTGCCAGTCGTTAGCGTCAGCAGTGGCAGCAGCAGCTTTGCCGGCCTTTGTGGATTTGGAAGATTTGGCAGGAGCAGAATCAGCCTCGTCCTCATTCTCAGAGTCGGAGAAAGTCTTGCCGGGCATGACATTCGGTCCTTCTGCATGGCTCTCTTGCTGCTCATCATCCTCTTCGCCCTCAGCGGCAGGTACATCCTCCTGATCGCTATCAACATAATCAAACTCGTCATCATCCTCTCGATCACTATCATCAAAGGCCTCTAATTCCTCCTTACCAGGCATAGTAGCCTTGATCACCTTCCAAATCTCCTTCTCATCCGAATCATCGTCACTGTCCAGACTGGAATCGCTCTCATCTGTCTCCAACTCGATCTGCTTGGCACCGGCCGACAGCTGCTCATCATCCGATCCAGCAAGTGCATTAGAGTCATCGTCAGCACCAGTCTGGATGCTAGCAGCAGTTGGCTGCTTAGATTTGAGATTGAAGAACTTGTGGAAGAACAGCTGGTCGGCGGGGATAGAATCGGCGCGCTTCTTCCAGAAGGTTTCCGTGTTGAAGAATTCGTCCGACTTCAAAGCATGAGTTCGGGATCGAGTGACACCGGAAGCGACTTGTGTCATGGGTTGCATGGCACTTGCTCCTCGCAGGGAGCACTTTTGCTTGGGGTTGCGGTAGACGAATCGATCGAGGAAATGGGAAAGCGTGTTGAGGCTGAGATCGGCATTGGTGGTGATTTTGCCTCCTTCGACGAGTTGGAGTGCGTGGACAGAGACCGAGGGATGGTAATGTGAGAGTAGTGGAAGCACCTCCCAAAGGCACGTAGTGCCGGCGTTTGCGAATCGAGCTTCCCGTTTCCTGCCGTCGTACTTTGTAATCTCCTTCTTGGTCAGGGTGGAAGACTGCTTCTTTTCCGCAACAGCCTCGTCCTCATCGTCGCTGGAAGCAACGTCTTGGAAGTGTTCCTGATCATCTTCCTCAGGCTCGGTAAGCATCGCTCTTAACCCAGGCGTACGCTTGAAGAGCTCTCCAAGCAAATGCAAGCATCCACATATAAACGATGGCTGATGCAACGAAAGGATCTGACAAATACGCTTGACAAATGCCTTGACACGCTCTGCATCCTGATCTGCCTTGAGAGCCTGAAAGATGAGATTAAGATACATCGCCTGCTTACTTGAATCCTGCAACCTTGGATCCAGAAGGGAATCGTAAAGCACACGATAGAATCGATCCGTAATAGCCTCGGATATAAACACACCCTCAGATTCCTGCTGAGCGTTGCAAATGGTCAGCTGGAAAATGAGCTGCAAAGCCTGAATGCAAATGTTGAACGATCCCGAGTGTAAAATGCTGAAGATCGTATTAACATGCTTCTCAAACACAGAAGCTTGCATCTTGGCAAAGGGAAAAGCTCGACGAACACCAGTGAGGATAGCAACAACCATCTTCGACTCGGCCTCTTTGACAAGCTTCGCCTCTTCGACCATGGTGCTTAGAGCTCGCTTGCCTTTGGCTTTAGCTTTCTTGCCCTTGCCTCTGCGCGGTTGATGCTTCCATCGCTTCTTGTCCTTCTTTCTGCGTGTTTCCTCGCCCTCTTCGCCTTCTGCAGTGCCGTTGACTTGTTTGATCTCGTTCTGCTTGAGGATATCTTGGAAAAGTTCCAAGTAGAGCAAGATCAGCCGGTTGGCGGTAGTCTCATCTTTGATCGTCAAGAGAGTTTGGTTGAGTGTGAGAAGACCGTAGTATCGGGCGTGTGTGCTGTGGTTGCTCTGCGCCGGTGCCTCTGCATCCTTCTCTACACTAGCGACGGGTGTGGGTCGCATGATCAGATTGGCAATCTCGCCAACGACGATCAACTTGATCGCAGGGTGAGCGGTCAAGAGCTCGAGGATGTGATTGCTTGTCTTGGAGGCAACGCTACGTTCTGGATCACCGAGCTTGTTGACGAGCAAGCGAAGCAAGTTCTGTTCCTGCTCTGGTTTGTCACGGAGAAGAATGTAGATCTGAGTTGTGGCTTGCTTGCGAGTGAATGGGATAGTGTCGTGTGATTGAACTTGGAGGATTTGAAGGAACTGAAAGTAGAACTTCTTCAGGTGGTCTTCGAATGCCCACAACAGGATATGCGACTTGGCAGCTTCAGCAGCGACAAGATCTCCCGAGGAGAGTGCAGCAGAAGCGGCAGCTAGCTCAGGCTGGTCACGAAAGTATCGCAGCTTTCTTGAACCTAGACCACCTTGACTGGCGAGCCAATCGGCAAGAGCACGGGTAGCACGACTGGCCTCTTGACGACTTTTCTTGCGGGCCATGTTGAGCAAATTGTGCATATGCTTGACGTTGTGGACGGGGCTGCTCTGGACCAAGAGAGTGAGGGCAGAGATTCTGTCCGAGAGGGTGCCACCGCCTTCTGAGGAGAGAAGCGAACGAACGAATTGTGCATCGGAAGCAGTGAGAGTGCCGATGCTACCACCAGCCTTGTTGAGCGAGGACTCACTGCTAGTGATGTCATCGTAGGCACGGCTCTCTTGTCGCAGAAGATCAGCACCCATGTCGAGGAGCTGAGTGATGCGGTCATGCGAGAGGGAGTCGTTGGTGGCATTGGTGGGAGGAAGCTTGGGAAGAGATTGCGACATCCACGATGGTACGGCTCCGAGTCGTAATGGCCCCTTGACGGTAAGAGAGGGGTTCATCTTGGACTCCTTACCGACACCTTTGTCGTCAAAGAGCATCTTCTTACGCTTGGCGATGCGTTGTAGAGTTGTGCTCTCTGTGACTGTGTTCTGTGCGTTTTGTTTGGGTGGCTTCTGCGACTTTGTCTCGGCCTGCTTGCTCTGCTTGCCGGTCTCCTTGAACTTGCCATTGGCTTTCGACTTGTGCTTGGCGGTTTCTTGAGTGTTCTGCTTCTTGGTCTCTGCATTTTTGCTCTGCTCAGCAAGGGGCTTGGCATCCTTGCTCTGTTTCTTAACGGGTGTAGCCTTTGTGGAAGAGGGAGAAGCGAGCGGCTGAGAGGAGTTAGGGTTTGTCTGGAGCTGCTTCAAGAAGGCAGCTACTTGTCCGGAAAAGGCAACCTCATCAATCTGAACATCCGACTTCTTCTTGGCGTTGAGGTTTGAGATGAGCTCAAGATCTTCTCTGGATCCACCGAAGCTCTCAATCTCGCGCAGCAATGTTTCCTCATCGGCGCTGTCATCAGAATTGTATGCGTCTTTCTTCTTGCTGGCCTTGCTAGGTGTCGCAGCCTTCTTTGGTGTCGACTTGGAAGGAGCTGGTAGGTCGGCGAGTTGTTTTGTTGATGTGGTCCTGGCGGCTGGAGAGGAGGCGGCAGCAGTGGGTGCACCACCACCTTGAGATGGTCTGTCGGCCGCCGACCTGGCGCCCTTTGGTCTGAAGTCCCTCGCCATGGTGTCTAGTGAGGGTGTGAGATGGTATGACGGTGGAGGAGAGAGCTGGAGAAGAGAGCTGGAGGAGAGAGCTAAAGAAGCGCAGTCCTTCTTTGCTCGATAAAGGTGAGATCTGGTCGGAATAGAGTTGGCTGAGTTCAAGTAGATAAAGCCGCACAAAGCGTAGAGATAGTGTTTACGGCCGAGTAAAAGGCTTGCGCAAAAGGGGCTCAGCAGTGCATGCGTGCGTGCGTTGCAAGCGTGCGCGAGTGGCCAAGACTTGAAAATCCTTGTTCACGTTTGTATTTAGATCTATCAGTTGAAGTAGATAAAGCCGCACAAAGCGTGGAGACAGTGAAGGTAGTGCTTACGGCCGAGTAAAAGGCCTGAACATCTTAGCACGGACCACATGTGTCACAACCTACTCAAGGCAAATGCTTTGTTATGCTCCGCAGTCCGCCGCTCTTCTTTTGTATATATAGACTCCTAGCTCTCTCGCTCTCTCTCTCTCCTACTACCATCATCAACAAAGACACCTCAACCCCAACCACTGACGAATGACTCCAACACGCTGACGAATGACTTTAACTCTATCATCTTCAATCACAAGAAAACTTTAACTGGCTGCTGTTGCTTTTCTTCTCTCTCAAAAAAATGGAAAAATGGAAAAATGGAAAAAAGGAAAAGAAAAAAAAAAAAAAAAAAAAAAAAAAAAGTGAAATTTGGAATTTCTGATTTCTCGTCTCGGAAGTCGGACAAGCAATTAATGAGATCGATTTGTTTGTGTTAATTTATGACGGCCTAACATCCTGAAACCAACTAACTGGACAGCATGGTCGATTCAGACACATCCCACGTCAGCGAGAGATGCCTTCAAGCAAGGTCTCCAAGGCGCTGTGAGTCGATGGATCGAGCTTTTGCCTTGTCTGCTATTCGCTTACTTTGCATTTTGCGCTTTTGCTCATACTCTTTCGCCTAGAACAACGCCACGATTCTCTCGGTCGAGAGTGTGAGTGGGAGGCGTGGTTAGGTAAAAGGAGAGCAAGGGTCTCAGGCTTGGCTGCCGACGCAACCATGTCGCTGCTGGCAAAGCGCTATTCCTGCCATTGTGAGCTCGGAGATGGCATACTTGCACCTTGTCAAGATGCTAGAAGCCGCTCGGCGAGGGCGTGAGAGTGGGATGCGCTACGATGCACCTCTTGCAGCTTTCTCCCGAAGCTATGCTGGCGACGGCAGCATGCGCATGTGCGCATCCATCAAGCAATGCATCCATTGATTTCTGCGCCATGCTCTGCCTCCTTCTCTTGTCCTCCTTTGTGAAGCCGGTGGTTGTGCTGTCGAACTCAGCGACCTCGGCGCTGCTGCCGTTGTCGATGTCCGTTGGTGACCTTTTTCGCTTCGGTATCATGGTCGGCTGTCCCTCGCTATGCTGATCTGCTGCGCTACTGTCCTCTGAACACACCCAAGTCTGCGCAGAATCCTGAACTGCCAAGGCAGCTCTCTCTCTGTTCTCTCACGACCTTTGGCGCTCCTGAGCCTGTCTTGTCCTGTCCTGCGTTTGTCCTGTTCTGCTTTTGTCCTGTTCTGCTTTTGTCCTTCCTGATACATATACTCTCCCTAGACAAGTGCAGTTGGGCTGATTGCTCTTTCCTTTCTCCCATCGTCTATCTCACTCTCTCGCTCCCTGTCTCTTCTCCCCCCTTTCGACTTCTACTCCCCATCTTCTAGATCCAGCAGCGTTGATCGCGCTGGTATCACAAAGTCTTCCTCTATACACAGTCCTGTTATCAGGCTTTTGCACTGGCATCCCTTTCAACTTGAATCGGCTGCCTCATCACCAGCCCTTCAGTGCGCATATCCAACCACTTTTTTTAAAACACAATGATCTGCGCCAAGACCATCCTCCTTGCCTTTATGGCCATCTCGATCAGCCTCATGACTGTGGCGCAGGCGGCGCAGCCCACCATCTCGCAAAACGCAGCTGTCCGGCGACACGCGTGGATGATGAAGAACCAACAGATGCGTCGCTCGATCGCTGTTGCGCAAGGCAAAATGATCCCTCAGAGGAGACAGACTGCCGAGCAGATTGCTCAGGCTGCTGCTCTTAAGCAGTGGGACGATGACTTTCACGCTAAGAACGCTGGATGGCAGCAGGCTGCTATCGCTGCTCTTGAAAAGGGTCAGACACCACCCACCTTTGATGAATATTGGCAGGGCAAGTCGGGTTCAAGCTCTTCATCCAGTGCCGACTCTTCTTTGTCTTTATCTTCCGACTCCCCGGCACCTGCTCAGAAAGAGCAGAAGCAGCAACCCCAGCAACAGCAACAGCAGAAGCAGCAACCCCAGCAACAGCAACAGCAGAAGCAGTCTACCAACAACAACGACAGCAACAACGACAGCAACAACGACAGCAACAACGATGATGCTTCGTCTCAGGACAGCTCGGAAGACTGCTCTGATCAGGAGGAGGAGGTTCCCGCTTCCACCACGACTGGTGAAGCTTCCTCTTCCGCTAAGGGCGTTGCCGCTGCCGCGGCTACTGGTAGCAAGAACCAAGCCACCAATGGTAACGGCGGCAACAACAACAACTCCAACTCCGCATCGTCGTCATCGTCGTCGCAGGCTACTTCGGGTCACTACAGTGGACAGGCCACTTACTATGCTCCTGGCTTGGGCGCTTGTGGTTGGACCAACGGCGAGGCGGACTACATTGTTGCCATCTCTGCATCGCTCTTCGACTCGTTTGGTAGCGGCAACCCTAATAAGAACGCGGCCTGTGGTCACAAGATTGCTGCTACCTACGGAGGCAAGACGATTACTGTCTCTGTTGCTGACCGATGTGTAGGCTGTGCACGGGGCGACCTCGACTTTACCTCGACTGGCTTCTCGCAGCTTGCTGACATGTCGCAGGGCCGTCTTGATGGCTTGTCCTGGTCATGGATCGGTGAAGCTCCTCAAAAGCGCTCTAACGAACCTCGTTGAGATGGTTAACTGTTTCGTGGTCAGCTAGAAAGGAGTTTCCAACCTGGTCTCCACATTTCCTCTAGTCTTGTTGAAAGATGATTCCTAAACTCTGATCCTCTGAAACGATGCACTCATTAATACTATCAGCACTTGTAACTATACTTTTGTCTTGGTTGTAGCATACAGACACTCTTTGCAATCGTCTTGATCCTTTACCACCCTGCTTACACCCGCCTGTTATCGTTGAACGGCATCTTTTTCTTTTTTTTTTTTTTTTTTTTTTTTTTTTTTTTTTTTGTTGTGTGCAGCTCCGAAAGACATTCGATTGTCACGCGCGATGGTGGAAAGCGTGGTCAGGACATTGTTAGTTGTAGTTTCGTATGATTGATGATGATCGTGGGAGAGAGAGAGAGCGAGGAGAGAGAAGGAGTCTATATATATACAAAAGAGGAGCGGCAGAGGGCCGCATCGACTGCGGAGCAAAACAAAGCATTTGTCTTGAGTAGGTTGTGACACATGTGGCCCGTGCTCGGATGCTCAAGCCTTTTACTCGGCCGTAAGCACTACCCTCATAGTCTCTATGCTTTGTGTAGCTTTTATATACTTCAACTTTGTTATCGCGAGTTCGAGAGCGACAGATGATATTCGCACAACCAAGTATTGTCTAGAGGCTCCTCATCGGGATGGAAGGTGATCTCATCGGGATGGAAGGAAATCTCATCGGGATGGAAGGTGCTTCTAATCGCGTCTTTCGTCCAATTTTGCGAGGAAATTGCAATCGCTTTGTCGGGTAACAGAAATCTGGCTCGTTTGAATTGAAGATAACAATTAATACACAGCGTTATCGGGGTCACAATCAGACTCCCTTTACAACAGCCATATATTCTATGTAATGCTTGGTTTTCATTGGAGTAAACCTAAATGACAAACACACATATATATATACTCCATTCACTGCTCTAGTGACATACGAAACAAGATGTGTCACTTCATCTGTACCCCTGCATTGCTATGGTACTGGATGCCACCAGACCATCATCATGATGACTACTGCTTACTTCATTGTGTTCCTTGCTTATGTGAGCTCCCTGCACCTCAGTGTCTTGGCTGTGGTGCATGCATATTGCTTGAGATGCCAATGCATCTTCAACTCCCCCTTTCGACAGGATCTCCAAGCCTATCATCCTGGCCAATCGTGAAGTGTTGAGACCCTGCAGAGGCTTTGTCAGAACATCCGCAATGTTGTTTGCTGTTCCAGTATACTTGATCTCCACATTGCCCCCTTGCACATGGTTGCGGACGAAATGATACTGTGTGTCGATATGTTTCAGCTTCCAATGTTTGGCTGGATCCTTACTCACCTGTATGCACCCCTGACTATCTGTGTATAGTACGGGCCAAACGTTTGTGATCTCCAAATCCCAGAGCAGGTATGAAAAGAACAATGCTTCTCTCACTGCCTCGGAAGCAGCAACAAACTTGGCTTCAACTGCTGACAATGCTACACATTTTTGAATGTGAGACCTCCAGCTTACTGGACATCCATATACATATGTTATCGACCCTGAAGTACTCCTTTGCCCATTTGTGGGGTCAGATGCCCAGTTTGCATTGGTATACATCATTACCAGTGCATCTGAGTGCTCATTCGTTGACCCTCCTAGATGCAATTGATATCCACTTGTCTGGTTCAGGTACTTTACCACATGGATTGCTGCCTTCCATGCACTGTTGATTGGGGTCAACATGTATCATGCCAATATGCCAACAGCAAAGGCGATATCTGGTTGGGCTGTGTTTGATACCCATAACAGTTGACCAACTAACTCTTGATATTCCTTTGCCTGTTGAGGTTTGCATCTCTCACCTCTGGCAATGTTTGCTATGCACAACATGGGTATCCAAGATTTTTCACTTGCTTCTCTTAACCATTTGTTCACCATTGCTTTGATATATGCTGTCAAATCCAGAGATATCCTCCTCCATTCTCTATCACGTGTGATCTTTACACCCAGGAATTCTTTGATTCTTCTGTTGTCTTGCATCTCCCATTTGTCCATGATTTCCTGCTTGGTGTGATCTACTTCATCATGACTGGGTGATGTTATTAGCATGTCATCCACATATGTTGTGATGATTGTAATCTTGTTGCCTGTCCCTCTTGAGTATAAACATGGTGCACTTGGCATGCAGTGAAACCCAATTGTCCGGAGATGTGAGTCTAACTCAATATTCCATTCTCGGCCTGATTGTTTCAGACCGTACAGACCTTTCACTACCTTCAGAGCCTTTCCGGATGGTATTTTGATTCCTGGTGGAGGCTTGAGGTATACATCATGGTGTATGGTAGAGTTTAAGTATGCCTGTTTTATGTCAATAGAATCTATTTCCCAATCCTGTGTTGCTGTGATGGCAATCACCCCTCTGATGGATTGGATGGGTGCCACTGGTGTGAAAACCTCCATGTAGTTGACCCCTTCGCATTGAGTGAAACCTCATGCCATGAGCCAGGCTTTGAACTTTGTTGGTATGAGGTTTGCATCCATTTTGATCTTGAGTACCCAACACATGTTGACAGTGTTTGCACCTTTCGGGAGGTCGGCAATCTCCCACATGCCCATTGCTTCCAGTCCATCCAGCTCTTTTCGCATGGCTTCTTCCCAATGTTTTCTATCCTCTCCACTCATTGCTTCATGTATGGTTGGATCCAGGTTCTTCTTTTGTTCCAGTTGTGTCACCATGAGTCCTAAGAATTCACTGTCAATTTGAGTTTTGGTGATTGGTTCTGGTTCCATCATCTCTGCCATTCCTTCGCTTGATCTCTCTTCTGAACCTGTCTCCATATCTATGTATTCTTGCAATGGTTCCTTATCTGCTTCATCAAATATATTTTCCTCATTGTACCCTAGGTCTTTGAAATCCTCCTCTGTCATCATCGCTGGAGGTGTCTTCATGTCAACCGGTCGCCACTCCGTCCTGTCTGACCAACATTTGGATTCCATGAATTTAGCTGAGTTGCTCCAAAAAATGTTTGGACTGTAGTCTGGGCTGTAGAAAAGCCAGCCCTTTCTCTCTAGACTGTATCCCAAGAAAATGGATGCGATGGCTTGCTGGTCTAGTTTCTTATTGTCCTGTTTGACTTTGGGTATGTTTACCCATGCCAGACAACCAAACACTTGTAGGAGTCTCAAAGCTCGCTCTGGCAACTTGCCAAATATTGCTTGATAGGGGAACTCATTATCAATGCTCGGAGTGAGGTTGATTTTGAATGCCGCAGCTCTGATTGCATATGGCCAAAACCTCTTTGGCAGCCTCCTCTGCATTAGCAATGTTCTCATCTTCTCTCCAAGGGTCCTGTTCATTCTCTCCACCTGTCCATTTTGTTTGCTGTTGTACCCCACAGTGGTTTGCCACTCTATGCCCTTTTCTAATGACCATTCTAATGCATCGTTGCTTTTCCATTCAGTTCCTTGGTCGGATCAGATCGCTTTTAGCTTCCGATCCATCTGTGTCTCCAGGAACGAAACAATCCTTTTGAGTTGCATGAATGCATGACTCTTTCACATCAATGGCTGTGCATACACATACTTGCTATGATCATCGATTAGCACCAGAGTACACATATACTCTGTCACATAGGACAAGTCTATTATTAGGTTGATGTGGATGAGATCCAGGGGCCCCACAGCTCTTTCACCGCTACCTTGCCCCATCTGGGCACTTGTGCTCTTAGATCATATGCACTGCTCACATGTCAGAGCAGTGTTTGGATCCAAATGCATGGTATGCTTATTCTTTAATTTACTCATGATCATCCTGGCTTTGTCTCTTCCTGGGTGTCTGAGATGCTCATGCCATAGTTGTTCCTTTGAAACTTTCAGTTCATTCTTAATATGCTTGAACTCCTCATCAACACCTTCAAACAGTGATGCTGACATGACCATTGTGCTTTCTTGCCATGTGTCACCTCGGAACTCCAAAAGTCCTTGCTCGTGATTCTTTGCAATTTTAAGTGTCATGCTGTTTGTTAGAACAATCTGGCCACCAGTTGCATCCAATGTCACTCGTGCTCCTTCATCCATTAATGAATTTGTTGACAGAAGGTTAACATTAAGATGCTTCACATATAGTACATTTTGGAGGGAAATTTCCCCATAATCTGTTGATATGCTTGCATCTCCTATAGCTGCCACTTCCAAAACCTCGCTTCCAGCAGTAATTATCCACTTTCGGCAGGTTCTCGGGTGGATGAGCATGCTATAGTTGTTCACCATGTGATAACTTGCCCCCGAATCCAAGATCCAATGAGCTGTTTCCTTGGTGTTTGGGGGGTCTTGTGAGAGGGTGAGGGAGCACCATGCTTCCTATTTAGGTTTGGCAAGGGGGGAGTCTTTGGGAATGGTAACCATAGCATTGCATTGACTAATCCCATGTCCCGGTTGCTTGCAGATCCAGCATTGGATTTGGTGTGATCTTCCTGCATTCTTCAGGCTCGTGGGGCTATTGTTGGCTTTGGCTTCGGTCTCTCCAGTCCATTTGCTTTGATCATCATTGCCGGCAGTCTGGGCACTGGCTTGGCAGGGGTCGATCTTTTGTGCGGGGACACTCTTGACAGTGGTCTGTCAGATGCTTAGTGTGGTGGCGAGGGTGTTGAAATCAATTTGATGGACAGTGGCAACCATCTCCTTATAGACCAAATGCCAGATTGTGCATTTCTGCAGAGCCGAGAACAATGTATCATTGGCGAATGGTTTGCCGAGGAGGCTACTTTCAGTCTGTATGGACTGGATCTCTTGAATTAGCTTTCTGGCATCCAAGTAAAACATCTTTATGTCATTGAGCTGCAAGATGAGCACAAGTCTGTGAGATGTCTTGGTGGCTTTGTTCATGAGGCTGTTTTCAATCTTTCTCCATACTTGGTTGAAAGTAAGGTACTCTTTGATCACATCTAGAACAAGGTAATTTACATTGTATTCTCCAGTAGTGTTGATTGTTCCATGCAGAGCATTGATTAAAGCATCATCGAGGGAGCAGCTCCATTTCGGGTGCTTCTTGTTGTATGCTCCTTCGAGATGCTTCATCGCATGAGGCACAGATCGGAGGAAAGATTTCACGTGGGTGCTCCAGCTATAATAGCTGCGTGATGTGAGCTTTGGCACAGGTTCGAGGAGCTTTGCTAGGGTGCGAAAGTTGTATTGCTTGTCACCATCATCGAAGTCGGAGTTGGAATCGGTGTCTTTGTCAGCTTCATTGTCGATGGCCTCCGGCTTGTTCTCATTTGTGGCATTGTTGTCAACTCGAACCTGGGTGTTCTTGCCTTTTCTGCTTCCTTTGACCCTCATTTCGGTGTCTTCTACCATTGTTGTCGATGAGTTTCGGTTAGCTCAGTGATAGCTTCTTCAGACTCTTAATCAATTGAAGATAACAATTAATACACAGTGTTATTGGGGTCATGATCAGACTCCCTTTACAACAGCTGTATATTCTATGTAATGCTTGGTTTTCATTGGAGTAAACCTAAATGACAAACACACATATATATATACTCCATTCACTGCTCTAGTGACATACGAAACAAGATGTGTCACTTCATCTGTACCCCTGAGATGCCGATGCATCTTCAACTGTTTGACAGGATATCTGCCCTTTCAAAAAAAGAAAGGAAAAGAAAAAAGAAAAGAAAAGAAAAGAAAAGAAAAGAAAAGAAAAGAAAAGAAAAGAAAAGAAAAGAAAAGGGTTGGGGGCATCGTTCTGTTAGCCGAGACGCCAAGAAGAAAGAAAGCGCAAAAGACGCAAAAGACGCAAAAGACACAAAAGACGCAAAAGACGCAAAAGACGGCACAGTTGATGCGGTGCAATGCTGTGGTGCAATGCTGTGGTATAATGCTGTGGTGGAGGTTGGATTTGAGATCCAGTTTTCGTTTCTTTCAAAAAGAGTGATCGTGATGAAAGTTGGCAAGACCCCCGGGTGCTGTTCTCTTGTGTACCACTGACACAATGCCGCAGCAATCTTAGCACAATGTTATTCATGGCCCTTTCCACAGAAAGCATGTCATTCTTAATGAAAGCTGACGTGCAGTGACAGCGGGTCATGTGGCTTTTCGCCTGTAAGTCATCTCCTAAGTGAAGTTGCTCCAATCAATCGCTGCTGCTGGCCAGCCTCGAAGGGTTGAGCTGGAGTTGGCAGAAAAGCAAACCTACCGACCTCTGGCAGACAGAGATGCTCTCTGTTTCTCTCAGACTATGAGTTGGGAGAAGAGATGATCCTCTTGGCACACCTTGCTGTAGGCTGAGCCCTTTCGTGGCAAGTGTTGACTGGTATCAAGTGACGATTTACGAGGCCGCTTTGAAGCGTGCAAGAAGCTGTTTGTGACAGGAGCACATGCTCATGATACTGGCAAGGCAGCACAGTGGGCATAGAGAGATGAGCTGCCGAATGCATTCATTCATCTATCGGGCCGTCGAGTTGCCGCCGCTCTTCTTTGGATTTGCCTCTCTGCTTTTGCTCTCTCTCTGCTTTTGCTCTCTCTCTTTTTCTCTCCTTTTCCCCCTCTTCTTTGCTTTTCTCTGTGTCACTTGGCCCAACTACGTCCGTGCGTCGCGTTTTTGACTTGAGCAATTCTGCCCTCTTTATTTATTTATTTATTTTCTCTTTTGGTTCCACGCAAGATGCGGCACAGAGAGGCAGTGAGGCAGTGAACATTATTTCCGTGTGACACAGAAGAAAAAGAAAAAGAAAAAGAAAAAGAAAAAGAAAAAGAAAAAAGAAAAAGAAAAAAGAAAAAGAAAAAGAAAAAAAAAAGAGGGGAAATTAGAAACCTAGAAAAATTGGACTTCTCAGAAGAGGCGATACAGCTGAGACAGGCTCTGCTGCCCCATCTTTTTCCAGGCGCTTCTCTTCTTTGACTGTCTCGAGCCTAAACTCAGCCAAGTAATTCTCACTCTCTGACAGCGTCGGTCTGTGCTTCAACGACCATCTGCAACGACACCATCTGCAACGACCATCTCACTTTTCATCCTTCTCCTTTCTACCGTTTCCACTGCCACTCGGAACGACGGACGCTCCTTGTCCATTTCGCCAACAGTGCTCCTCTCTCACGACGACAGCTAAGTGTCAGATTGGCTTTACGCTCGGCTTTTCCTTGATTCGACCAGTCCTTACAGCCAATTTGTTATTTCATCTTGGGCTTCAACACCAGCTCCAGCTGCAAGCCCCCTTGCCAGCCACGAACACCGCTTCGAACCTTGGTTTGCTTGCGTCATGTACAGCACTCGACTCTAAACCTACTCTTGCGACGAGACGTTGTCCACTTGACTCCAGCAGCATCCGCTTCTCTCCGACTAGATTGACTCTGCAAAGTCAGACAGAGCCGCTCTCTAGCTTGTACACAGCCAACCTCGTGTGCTGCAGAGGCCAAACCTTGTCATCGAGAGAGATCAGCGTCGACTGCCTGCATGATTCTCGCTGGCCTCTTTCCAAGTCGAGTCCGTTCAGCTACCTCTCAAGGCACGAACCAGCTTGGCTCCCTCTCCCTCTCTTTTCCACCCGACCACTACAGTTGCTCTCGCCACAAGCTTGTGTGGACATCATGCCAGGCACCAACTCAACAGCCTCACCATCGGCCGCAGCGTCCAAGTCGCTTTCAGTCCAACCTTGCACCAACTTGGTCCGCAAACCAACCTGGGCTCAGATCAGCTTCGATGATGGCTTCCACCTCCATCTCGCACCTATTTCGACTCTACCTGCAACTGCAACAGCAACAGCAACAGCAACAGCAACAGCAACAGCAACGCTTCCTACTTCCACCAGCTATGCCAGCACCATTCACGCGCGAGCAGCATCGTCCCAGGATGGAGCGCCAACATTGAAACCGCCTGGAACCCCGCAAAACTTCTCGGATGCTTCGCCTATCCTCACAGCTACTACGCCAGAACAACTGCATTACGTCGATCCATCTGCTACACCAGTCGCTCGTTCTACTATGCATCAGCCTTTGCCGTCTCAGTCGGGTGGCATTCTCTCCTTCAAGCCGCCTCGACCCGTTTCCTCTGCCGACGCTTACATGCAACCTATTGAGACACTTCAGTCCGAGGCCTCAAGCCGTCCAGGCACCGCCAGGAGCCATCTCAGTGGTTCCAACTGGATGCACGATGCATCCGGCAACCGCAGCAGCGTTGGCACCACCTCCACCACTCCTTTCAACCAGGCCAAGCGCGCTTCTGTGCTCTCCTTTCAAACAGCCAACAGTGCAGGCTTCACCAGCGTCGATGATGCTAGAGGTTCAGATCGAGAGCATCTCACCGACCATCTAGTCCCAGCAGGCACATCTGCAGCTCTCAACATTGCTCCATCACAGCCCAACTCGATGCGTCCCTGGCTCGATCAAGGTCACTCTGGATACGCCTCCTCGCCAGACGAGCGTTGGTTCCCCGGAGGTCTGCCTGGCTCCTACTGGCACGAAGCCACGTCTCAAGCACCCACTCGAGCTCTGCCCACACCCGCAGCCGCCCCAGTAAGTCAACCCGTATCTGCCTCAGCCTACAGATTTTCTCCTTCCCTGCCTGCTCCATCTGATACACCCTCACGAGCGCTGCCTGTGACCAGCAAAACAGCCACAGCAGCCCTGCCAACCGGGTCTGCTGATGCTGTAACCAACGATACCATCACAAATCACCAAGCGCCGCAAAGCCCGCCTGTTGCGCCATCCTCAAACGTCGAACCGACCCTAGCTCCGATCAACACGCAAGCACTGGCGCCAACTTTGACAAACGCTCCTCTCTCTTCCACCACCATTGCTCCTCCTTCCGACGAGACAGCTCAAAATACGCGTCGATCGCCCCAAGTCACTCAAACGCCCAAGCAATCCTTACCATTCCCAGAAGACGATGCTCCACCGCCAATTGCCAAGGATGTTGGCATCGATGAGCCTGCTGGTCCCTTGTCCGCTTCTAACTCACCTCGCAATGCTCGCAATGCTCGCAATGCTGGCAATGCTGGCAATGGTGGCAATGCTGGCAATGGTGGCAATGGTGGCAATGCTGGCAATGGTGGCAATGGTGGCAATGGTGGCAATGGTGGCAATGCTGGCAATGGTGGCAATGGTGGCAATGCTGGCAATGGTGGCAATGGTGGCAATGGTGGCAATGCTCTTCTTGCCGATGCAACACCAGCTGACAATGTCATTCCACCACTCTTGCCATCCGAGGCAGTCACGAGCCGCCCACCACTTGCGCCGGATATGCTCATGAATGGTCCTGCCGAGCAGAAACCTGTCTCCGACTATCGCAAGAGACCTCTAGCCGATATCAGCCCAGCACAGAAGGCAGCAGGTCTCGCCCACCTTCAATCGCAGGCCAAAGCCGCCAAACAGGCCAACATGGAGATGCATACACACTCATCAGCTCCACCCACTGCTCCACCGGACGAGACACTACCCATCCCTGTCCTTGAACGTGGTCGCCGTAAGTCCACTGCCAGTCTCACAGCGAATGTGGCATTGGCACAGGCTGGTGCAACCGGACTAGCCACGAACGACATGGTCCATCGCTCAGACACACCAAGTGCCGAGAGTGCATCGCAGGAGTCAAGCGCACCCCCGGATGGTGAAGTCGAAGCGCGAGCAGAATGGGAACGAAGACGCAGGATGAAGCGCAAGAATGGCAAGAAGCAAAACGAAGCGACCAAGCCACACAAGGGACGCTCAGACACATTCAAGAACCAACTCAAGCCCTTGCAGCTTGTCCCCGCAGACAACTTGAGCAGCTTCTCTGATCGCAACCGTCTGCCGAACTCGGCCTCGAATGTTGCTGCTCGTGGAAATGGTGACCGACAAAGTATTGTTGTCGCCAATCGTGCTGCTAATGCCATTGCCTCTTCCACGCCCGATGTGCCTGGATCCGCACAGACGTACAGCACATCCCAGCTGCAGAGACTGCAAGCACGCGAGCAGAGAAGGAGCGTTGGTGCTTTCAGCGCTGCTATGGCTGCAGCCAATGTCGTTTCCAGCGGCAGCAACGGGCCCTACCCTCTCTTTGCCTCTCCCAACTCGGGTCCGCAAAAAATTGATGCAAGACAGTACGCCGGTCTCATGGCACAGCGCTCATTGGTCCCGCCTTTCGAGCTGCAGCATCGGCCAGACGGCTTGCCATCCGGCTTGATCGGCCCAGATGGTGTGCCAAGGAGCATCAACGATCCCGAAGTCTGCTTGGAATGCATGATGCGAGACGAAGACATGATCGACATCAATGTAACTGGCCAAGGGGTATGGGAGCGCGAGAGTGACAAGGAGTTTGAAGAGGCCGTTCGACTTGAGGCTGAAGAAGCAGCCAACGGCAACAGCCTCTACAGCCGTCCCAACGGAAGCAGCGGCCACAGCGATAGCATCAGCAGCCACCGAGACTCGCCAGGCTCCCGCAAGCACCGCAAGAAGATCGGTAAAGGTGAGCCTCTTACAGCAGACCGACTGAAACTGCACACTCAGATGAACCCACCCGCATCCTCATTCCGATGGCGTACGCTTCAGACATTCTTGGCTGTGCAAGCCAAATACATTGCTATGGAACAGCAGCGGATGCGCTTGGAAGCAGAGAAGAAAGTTCGACACAACAATGACTCGATCAGCAGCCGTGGCAGCATCTTGGCAGCCGAGTCTCCTCTGCCTGTCGAGCGTGGTCTTTCTTCACCCTTCGCGTCGCCTCGCGAGGCCTCCGCTGGTCAGCGTCAATCCATCATCCAGACCTCTGCAGAAGACAGCAATCTCACACCTCTGCAGAAGCAGGAGAAGGAGCGCGACATTGCTGCAGCACAAGCTGCACGCAAGAAGATGGCCACAGGCGCACAGGCAGCGCTTCCAGCTACAACACCACCTACGGGCTTGCCTGCGTTCCCAGCAACCCCATTGCAAACTCTCACGCCTCCTCAAGCTATCCCTGGTCGTCAGGGCAGCGACCCGGACGACTTGTTGACAGCATTGCCCACAGCTGTTGCAGCCGCGCCTGGCGGCATCTCGACTGCTACGAGTGGCCGCCGTGTGCCCTTGGGCTCCGCCCAGGCTGCTCGAGCTGCAAGTGTCCAGGATCTGCGGTCTGCTTGTGAGCAAGGCCGATCCGCTTCGGCCGGCTACCCACCAAGCCCGCCCGGCAGTCTAATGCCGCCTTCTCGATCTTTCATGGGCACATCACCTACCGCTACACCTTCGCGTCTCACTGCTCGTTCGGGCGCATCTCAGCTGTCTTTGATGCACAGTGGCTCGATGATCGACATGCATGTTGGACAGGAGGATCGCACAGAGCACCGAATCAACCAGAAAGGATTCTTGCCGGGAACGCCTTTAGCTGCCGAATCGCCCTCCGCTATGAACCGATCCTACTACGGATTCCCCGGGGACGGCGATTCTTCGCTACCAGATGCAGCCGCATTTGAGCGATTGCGCATGGTATTGGGCGAAGGTTATGTGGATCCGATGGAAGCAGGACCACGAGGACTCGGTCTGGATCGCGACGATAGCGGCAAGCGCAAGAAGAAAGGCTTGCGTGGTCTGTTGTCCAAACTCACTGGCAACAGCAATGGGCCAAGTCGTCAGAGTTCAGCTGGACCCGCAGATACCAGCATCAATGGCAGCACCGCCAGTCGCAACCCAAGCAAGCGCTCGCAAGGTTCGGGAAGCCCTCGTCCACGACAAAACTCGTTCAGCGCCGATCGCTCTCTCGATGCAACCGGTCCGACGATAAACGGCATGCTCAGCAAAGCACGCAGATCAACTTCTTCCTTCTTTCGCAATGGTGCCGAGCCAGATGTCGAGCCAAAGTCGCGCCCCATTGCTAACAACAGCAACTCCATCTTTCAGAGCCCTCCTGGTATGGCTAGCCAGAACAGCCTCGACCTTGGACCATTCCAGCCAGCCTCTCCCCAAAACAACACTTTCAGCAGCACAAATGGCAGGATCGTCCAGCAGCAGCCACAGCAGGCTTACGGAGGTTCCGACCCAGCCAGGATGAGAAAGGCATCCAACCCATTAATGCAAAAGTATCTCAACTCGCCCTTGCCTCAGACTCAAGCTTCGCCAGCGTTGCAGGCGTCCAACGGTTGTTTGACAAGCGAACAGAGGATCCCTGTTCACCCAAGCCAGATCTCGCCTGCCGACGCACGCAGCAGCCGAATGTCAAGCTTTGCTAGCATACGAGAGCTACATCCCTTGGCTTTGCAAACCATTCCGGACGGTGATGCACCGCCTGCGGACGGTGGAGTGGACGACCCTCGGCAGTCGGTGCGATCCAGTGCCGGCAGTGCAAGCTTGCGCAAAGAGCTTCCTTCGATGCCGACCTCCTCTGCTGGAGGTGCTCGTACAGGTGATGCTTCGTATGGCGCTCCCACTGAGCACCAGCGCATCGGCTCGAACGGTACGAGTGGAGTCAGAAGCTCGGTCGTCGACTCAATTCGATCCGCTAGATCTTCCGCTCTCGCGCCAGCACAACAACTCGGTCGACCGGCGCCTGCCGAATCCACTGGACGTGCAAGCATGCAGGCTTCGCGGGGTGCAAGTGGTCTAGGAAGGCAACCAGCTCCGCCAGCCATTCAGACAGACAATGGCTACGGCAGTATCATCCCGAACAATGCCTCTATCAACAGCGCATCCGGTCCCCAACGTCCACCCAAGAACCCTCGTCGACCAGCCGATGGAGCTCTTAATTCACCTAGCATCGTCGATCTCACCAATGGCAGTACCAACACCGGTCTTGTCCCTCCACCCCACGAGTTGCCTCAACACAGCCAATACGGTTCTTCATCAGACTACAACTCACCCGAAAGCACAGGCAAAAAATCGCGCTTCCGACTTGCCTTCGGTCGTAAGAAGCGCGAGTCGACCTTTGGACCCTCTGCAGGCATCAGCAACGACTCGAAACCATCCATCGTCATCGCTGAAGCTCCACCCGGAGCCAGTAGCACCTTCTTGCCAAACCTTGGCATGCGTAAGAGCTATGCAGGTGGGTTGGATGTGCCGAAACAGAGCTTTACGATGGAACGTCAACGTGTCATGTCTTTGCCCGCACGAGAATCGACGTCCTTGCCGCCTAGAAGTCAAAGCGCATTCGGTATAGCTCCCACCCAACGCTTTGTCTCAATGGACATTCCACGACGCTCAATGAATGTGGGTAGGGGTGGAAACAGGTTGAGCACAATGCCTTACGAGCAAGATGAACGATACCAGGAGGACGAGGATGATGAGATGGAGAGAGAGCCCGGATACGAAGCTGAGTTCGAGAGGTATGCCCAAGAAGCGGAAGAGGAAAGATATGCTGGTGCAAGAGGCGCCGCTGCCGGCAGAGGAGCAAGAGCAAGAGATGCCAGTTTCGGTAGGAAGAGCTTGAATCTCTTGCGAGAAGGTTTCAAGATGCCTTTGAGGAAAGGTTGAGCTGCTAGAGGTTTAAGCGCTTCATCTTATTCGCAACTTTTGCGACACAGTACAATTCTTCCTGTCATCTCCGAATCTTGTTTTGCTTGGAATGTGTGAGGTCCTGGCCAGAAGAAGTCTTTCAGTTGCAAAGTGGGTGGTGCAAGCTTCCTCATGTACGACTCTTCCAGAGCAGGCAAAGGCCCGAGGGACAAGGTTGCGGGCGGCTGTCTGTCTGTCACGTGACTCCAAACGCGTCCTGCCGAGAAGCAGATGTGTTGATGAAAAACGCCCTCACGCGAGGCGAACTCTGCACTTTCGTGCTCACCATCAAGCCGAAAGCATCAGGAATCGAAGCTTGACACACCACCATCTCTATAGTTTTGCTTGCACAGGCCCGTCATCATTATCTTCATCAGCACCGTATACACGACTAAACGCAACGACAAATTCAACCCCATCTTAGATCAGTGGTCAGCAAATCCAACAAAGCCGAAAAGGCAACAATGCCAGCCTCAACACTGTCGAGCGAGGCGAAAATCACGATGCACTCTGCCAAGGAGGTATATGAACACTTGAGCGATCTATCCACAAACCTGCATTTACCTGAAACCGAACATACATGGCAGAAAATAGAACAATCCCTCTTGCACATCCAAGCGATCACCCGTGGAGGAGCAACAAAGTGGCCAGACTTTATTCCACTGCTAAAAGAAAATGCTTCGCCCATCAACGATGCTCTTCTGTCTGAACGAACAAAGCTATCCGGCACAGCAGGGGACTTGTTAAATTCAATAGCTCCAAGGCTAGGCGATAAATTCGAGCCATTGGTGGCAGTGTTCGTGCCCACACTCTTGTTGATCTGTGCAAGGACCAATAAGGTTGCGGTGAAAAGGGCCGAGAAGAGTTTGCATTTGGTTGTGAAACATTGTAGACCGACCAGTGTTATTGCGTATCTGAAGGAGGCCATAAAGGATAAGGGCCAAGGCTTGAGGGCCGTTGCTGCTCGGACGCTGGTGTTGGCGCTGGAGGTTACGGAGAAGGAGAAGCTGGGCAGGAGGGTAGGAGATGTGGAAGCTTGTGTAAAGAGTGCCGCCACGGATAGCAATCCAGAGGTAAGAAAGTTGGCAAAAAGGTTGTTCGAGCTGTATCTTGACATCTGGCCAGAGAGAGTAGAGGCCTTTACCAAACCGATGACACCGACGATCAGGAGGTATTTGGCGCTGCCAAAGACAGGAGGCCTGCTTGTGGATATCCCACCACCATCCACACAGCCGTCTCTCTCAGCACAGCCTTACAGCTTCTTTCCCGACGTGCACAAGTCAACTTGCTCTTCCATATCTTGTTCCCGCGCAGGTCCAGGATTCAGCATGAACGATGCCACTTATGTCAAACGAGGTCTCTTGGCTGACCAAATCTCAGCAGCTCAAAGTGCTCGATTGGCTCGCATGCCATCGTTCAACTTTGACGACATGGCCAAATCTTCATCCGACAATGCAGCTCCAGCTGCAATGAAGAGGCAACCCAGCTTCGAGCATTTGCGTGGTCATGGTCAGACATCATCCGGTGCGCCCACATTCCGCGTGCACAGCTTCGACATTGGGCTTCAGGGGGAGCAAAGCAGACCGCGTAGCACCCATGCCCACGAAGCAGCCGTGCGCGGCGACATCAATGCACATACGCCGTCGTTGGCTTCAGCATCTGGAAGGAATGGAAAGACTGCCCTGCTGGCTGCTTACAAGCAGGCATTTGTCCGTGATGCCGGCGGAACAAAGCACAGTAGCTCTTCATTGGGCGAGCGTCGACACCGCGATCGATCCGACAAATCTTTCCAACACGGCGGCGACAAGAGGCGAGAAAAGACGGTTGCTGTCCGATTCCACTCTGAAACGGAGGTCAAGGATATCTCAGATAAGGACAAGGCAAGCGACCCTCTTCATCGATCAAAGTCGGTCCCTCACATTGCCATCCAAAGCAACACAGCGACAGACAGTCTTGTCGCTCAAGGGGCAAGCTTCAAGCCCAGCCACAGCGACCTAGCAGAATCCAAGAGAAGAGTGGAGGAGTGGCAAGATGACCAAGATGACAGGCCAGCAACTCCGTCCGAGCCGATCTGGCATGCACAAACCCCAAGAACGGCCGTCAAAGCGAGCCGAGTACCTGCGCAGAGGGTGGTCATGCAGTCGGCAGTCAAGGTGCCAGCTGCGCGCCTAGCTGCACCAACACCATCTGCTAAGGTTGCTGCCAGCCGTGTGACAAACGATTCGGCGTCGCTCGAGTCCAGTCCTGAACCCAAGGCCAGAGTTGCTCCTCGTACGCCAAAAGCTCAGCCCGCCAAGGTGGACGTGGCCATACTCACTCCATCTGAGGAGGCTAAGGAGCATGTCAAGCAAGACGAGAAAGCAGTGAAAGAGGCAACAGAGGCGGAAGCAGCCAAGGCAAAGGAGAACAATGACGCTAAGGCAACTGCTTCTAAGAAGCCCACTACCTCGACGTTGACTGCGCAGACCTCAAAGCAGCCGGTCAAGCCCACCACAGCTAAAGTAGCACCGGTCAAAGCGGCTCCATCAGCAGCAATTGCTGCCAAGGTGCGACTTGAAGCCAAGGCGGCTACCAAGGCGATTGCCAAGCCTGCTGGCACTGTTTCTAAGCCAACCATCACTCGAAAGCCTCTCACAGCTTCGACCGCAGCATCTCGCGCAGCGCAAAAGCCAGCCGTCTCGTCAACATCCAGCAACAGAACTGTCAAACCTGCAGGAATAGTCAAGCCAGCAACCTGCGCCGCCAACTCAGCTACTGTAGCTCAAGCCAAGCTCGCTGCATCCGTGAAATCAGCAACCTCGTCGTCCGCACTATCGACGACCGCAGTCACGAAGAAGCCAGAGACAAGCCTGAAATCACTTACATCTCGACTCACTGCCCCGACCGCCTCGACACGCAACAAGATCGTACCTGCAGCTACAATCAACAAGTTCCAGCCAAAGCCGTCGAGCTTGCTATCGAGTTGGTTGGCGTCGAAGCCTAAGCCAAAGAGCTCGATCGCCGCTTCGCTAAACGCCAAGAGCAAGCTTCTTGGTGCACAGTCTGGGGCTTCGCATAAGGCCAAGGCAGTACGTAGGGCGAGTATCAGAATGACAGCTCGCATCGAGAAGCATCGAAGAGTTTCAGCGACAGGTGCTCCCCCTGTTCACACCACTGCCGTTGATATGCCTGCCACGAATGCTGAGGAGACCGGTGTTGATGGTACAGTAGAGCCCGTAGTGGAGGCGCAAGCATTGCCAGATGTTGCTGTCGAGGTGTTGCCGATGCAAGATTCCGAGATAGCAGAGGACAAGTGCGAGGAGAAAGCACCGAAAGAGGAGGAAGCTGCTGCACTGTACCAGGAGACAATCTCGGAAGAGGTTGACGCTACAGGGCCTAGTCGCACGGAGGAGCCCACAATTGCTCAGTGCGACACATCTATGAAGAATGATGAAGCTCAAGTCTCTGAAGCGCAAGAGGAGTCCGCGGACAAGGTAACTTCATCCAACGACAAGGTGCAAGAGGAGCAAGAGACTGAAGCTACTCCAGTCAAAGCGCCGTTGACCAGGGAGGCGACTCCGGCCAGAATTCGCACGCCCTTGAGCGCCAAGGATGTCAACCTGCCCAAGGCTACATCAATCGGCAGTATGACGGCTGAGAAAGTGTCATCACCTCTTCTCTCTGACCAAGGGTCACGCTCACCTTTCGTCTCGTCTCCGCTGCGTCGCTCGGCTACCACCAACTCTACACTGCTTGCCCAATTCGAAACGCAATCTTCCTTCGAACAGAGCGAGTCAGAGTCAGACATGCACTTCGAGTCAGACAAAGTAGTACAGCTCAACTTTGCTCCTCGTCCGACCGTCTCGAGGTCACCAATGACCAAGACGCATCAGGTGATCACTGCTGCAAAGAAGCAGCTCCTTCTAGGCTTGGACTCTTCCAGTGACGCCTCGCTGGTAGAGGCTAATGCTAGCGACGAGACTCTGCTCCTGCAGTCGGCCACCAAATAGAAACTCACAACATTAGCGTATACCCTAGCACATACAGTATCTATCCTATCCAAGTGCTCTCCGTCATCGCTGTGCCAAGGAACAGTGGTAAAGTTTTCCACTGACAGGCTGTGTTGATGTGAGTCATGCTTGTCGATGCTGTCTGGGCCGATTTCTAGATCGGGCAGCTTTGTAGTTTTGACGCCTGATTTGGCCCGATGAGAAGACAGGTCTAAAAATTATTGCGATTGCTCTTCACTTGTTCACCTTTCCTCCTCACTTGTCAGCCTCCAACAAGCAGCTATACCGCATCCCTCCTTTTCTTGCATCGGACCATCGGACGTCCTCAAGAGCGGTCACGATCACCGGCCTGCGATCATATCGACGAACCTCTCTCGATCGGCTTGAGATCGCGGGAATCATCTTCCTTTCTGCAATCGTTATCAGGCTTAGATGCGACTTGGATCTTTCTACCGCTAGTCTGATCAGCTCTCTTCCATCATGTGGCCAACGGCCACTGCCCTCGTTGGCGTCCGCTCGTCTGTTTCAGCGGCCGAGCTCAGAGTAGCCTTGGGCTCAACACGCTCAATATCGACTCGTGCAGTCGCCATATCTGCACAAAGGATCCCATGTCAACCTGTCCTCTTTCCCAAACCATCCATCTCGGCAACTGCTCTGTCTAGACGCTCTTTTACGACTTCATCCGTCTCCTTCAACAAGGCCGAGCCAGTCAAAGCAGTGGCGCCAGGATCTCAAGCTCAACCAACACAAAATGACAAATCCGACCCCGAAAAGACATCAGCGGCTCAACAAGCTGCGTCGGGCTCGTTAGCTGCAACGCTCTCTTCACGCATCCGGGCACTCCTTCAAGCACAGCTGGCCAAGTCAGCGCCCAAGTCCAAGCATCGTGCCTCGCCCGCTCCGACCAATTTCCCAGACCTCAGGCGTTTGTTCTCCCTTGCGGTGCCTCAGAAGAAGAACATCCTGATCGCTCTTGGTCTGCTTCTCATCTCGTCATCAATCACTCTCACAGTTCCTTTCGCTATCGGACGTCTGATCGACTTCTTCACTTCCGGTCAGAAGGCACTCTACGGTCTTGGCTTCGGCACGGTCGCCGCCCTAATGCTTTTCACTTTCGCTCTTGGCGCCGGAGCGAAAGCGGGGAGCAACATTCTCCTCGAATTGTCCGGTGTTCGTGTCATCCAGGGGATCCGCAACCAGGCTTACCGATCGGCTCTTCGACAGGACGTCGAACTTGCTGACAAGGGTGCAGGTGATGTTGTCAGTCGACTCAGCGTCGATACCAACATTGTCGGGGAGTCGCTCACTTCAGACATTGGCGATGGTCTCCGTGCTGGTGCAACCGTGTTCTTTGCTGGTACTGCCATGTTCATGATCTCGTCCAAATTGACGCTTCTCATGATGGCTGTCGTACCGCCTGCTGCCATCGGTGCTGTCTTCTACGGTCGATATTTGCGGGATTTGACGCACAAGACACAGGAGGCAATCGGCAAGATGACACGTCTTGCAGAGGAACGCCTCTCGCCTCCTGCTTTCAGAACGTTGACCGCCTTCAACACTCAGCGTCAAGAGGCGCGCCGTTTCGAAGAAAATATCAGGGCGATTGTTGATCTGCAGACCAAGGAGGCCTACGCATCTGGCTTCTTCTACGCCGGTACCGGCTTCGTCGGCAACTGTGCTATCCTGACACTCTTGACATACGGTGGACACCTGGTTAGCCGAGGTGAGATCTCGGTCGGTGATCTAACTTCGCTGCTTATGTACACCGCATATTTGGGCGGAGGCATGGTCAGTTTGACCTCGTTCTTCGCTTCGCTCATGAAGGGTCTCGGTGCAGGCGCTCGAGTCTTTGAACTCATTGACCGCGAATCCAACGTTGCGCTTGGCAAGGGAGAGACACTTGAGATTTCTGGCACCTCTGCTCGCCTTTCGGTGCGTTTCGAAAAGGTTCACTTCACCTACCCATCGCGACCTCAGCAGCCTATCCTGCGTGGTGTTTCGTTCGACATCGAGCCCGGACAGTCGTACGCCCTGGTTGGTGGTTCTGGCGCAGGCAAGTCCTCTATTCACTCTCTCTTGCTCCGATTCTACGACCCAACAAAAGGTAAAATTCTACTCGCTGGCCAAGACCTCGCATCCTACCGCCCTGAAAGTGTCCGGAAACACTTGGCCTTTGTACCGCAAGAACCCATCCTCTTCGATGGCTCGCTCGAAGAAAACATCAAATACGGCACCGAGTCAGCTACCCGCGAACAAGTCGAAGAAGCAGCTCGTATGGCAGGTTGCGAATCCTTCATCTCAGAAATGCCCAAAGGCCTCAACACAATCATTGGCTCTCGTCAACTTTCAGGTGGTCAGAGACAACGTATCGCCATCGCACGAGCATTGGTTCGTAAACCTTCAATCCTTCTTCTTGACGAAGCAACATCTGCACTCGACTCAGCATCGGAATTGTTGGTCAACAAGGCAATCGAAGAGATTATCAAACAAGGAAAAATAACCGTTTGGATAGTCGCTCATCGACTCTCGACTATCAAGAGTGCAAATAATATTCATGTCTTGCAGGGCGGGAGAATCGTCGAACACGGTACTTTTGCTCAGTTGGATACGCCAGGTTCGAGGTTTAGATCTCTAATGGCTGCTCAGTTGCATGCTCGGCCTAAGTTGGTACAGGCAGGAGTGGAGGATTGTCGACAGGAGAGGGAGGGGAACTCATTATGTATGGTACGTTGATTTTATTCTCACTTTTCTCAATAATCGTTTTCATTCCCAAATCCATCACGTCCTTCACCTCCTAGTCTGTGCTACAACAGACCAACTTTTCCCCCCCAAAACCCTCACTGACACACTTCCTCTCAACAATCCCCCCCCCCCCTCCTCCACTCAGACGCCACACCCATCACCACCGGCACCAACACACCCAGCAATCCCAGCAACACCAACATGGAGTCTATCCTCCCTCCTTCCCCCCCCACTCTCCCAACTCAACCCAGAATTCGAACCAGAATTCGACCAAGATCAGCTCGACAAACTGCACAGACTCTCAGCGCTAACTGCACCACCGTTGGAATCCCAAGAACGAGCGTTGCTCAAATCCAACCTCGCCGCCATGTTGAGATTAGTCAATGGAGTTTTTAGCGATCAAGGCGCTTTGGCAACTGTGCGAGGTCCAGTTGACGCGAGACCGTTAACGAGGTATGATGGAATGTGGAATTTCTCTTTGCCTAACGAGCGCTCGGAGAATCCGCACAAAGCATGCGAGAATGATGCAAAGAAGAAAGAGGAGAAAAAGAAAGAGGAGAAGGAGGAGAAGGAGGAGAAGGAGGAGGGAGTTTTGCCTCGGCAAGCATTGCTGGCCAGGGTGGATGCCGCGAGGAAGTACGAGCGGTTTTTCGTTGTTGATCATCGCACTTAGAGTCGGGTATTCGAGACACAATTTGTACATACAGTATACCAGTACAGTAGGAGGGGCAATGCAGTGGTTTCATCCGAAGAAACAGTCGAGGAGCAATCCTGCTTGGTTTGAAAAACAATCATGCTCGTGCTACAGTCCGTAACACTGATTGTAAGCTCGACTTGATTCTCCTTTACGAGAGAGATGCCAACTCGCACTTGGGGTTTGAGGTTAAGCAAGTTTTGTCTTGGCTCAGATAACAGAAGATGCAAAAGTGCACAATGTCAGCACCTTGATTCTCCGTGCTGAAAAGATAATGTTGAAACAGTATTGAAACACGCTACTCGTACAAGATGAGACTAGAAGGGTAGAGGTACAAATAGAAAGACATGGGCGATAGGATATAGCGATAAGATATAGCGGTAAGATATAGTCCCATGAAAAAGGAGAGTCAAGATTTCAGAAGAGATTAGATAGGCATATCATCAAGAGCGAAAGCAACCGAAAGCACGACATTTGTAAATTCGTCCTCGTTATCGAACAAAGTGCAAGCCCAAGGCAGGTGTTCAAGTTTAGCCTTTGTTTCGTCTGACTGTGATACAGCAGCTGCGAAAGATTTCTTGCGAAACTGAACAAGTTGACGCAGAGTGGGTTGTTTGAACGGTATACCTGCCTCGATGAGAGCGTTTTGGTTGGCCTGACGAGCTTGCAACCAGTCGGCTTCGTTATCCGCTTCGAACTCGCTAGCGCCTGCAGGGAGGGGAAGGTCGAGAATAAGTGAGCAACCGGCCAATCGCTCGCCTGTGTTTCCGGCGTTTTCACGAAAACGCTGAAGGATCAGAAGCGAGTAGGAGGCAAACAAGGTTCGAACCATAGTTTCAATCCATCCGAACATGGCGTAACTGTGTGAAGTCAATTCCGAAGCTGACTTGCATGCTGCGACGGTATGGTTCAGAAGCATCTGAGATAACTCAGATAAGACCAAGAGTGCCTGGTCGAGAAGAGAAGCATCGACATGGTCCGTAATCGCTGGCTCATCCGTAAAGACAATGAGGACGAGGTACATCCACAGGGAAGCGACAGTGCCAAAGACGACTACTGCATCGCAGTCGCGCTTGCCAAGTTCGGCTTGCGAAGAGACAAGTAGTCTGATTTGTTCCGAGATCAGCTTCCAGACAAAGCTCTGACTTGCGGGCAAACGGACGTAGTATCCAGCAAGAATGGAACGAGCACTAGCCAGACATTCAGGCACTCTAGCGCGGTTCTCTTGCAGCCACTTGCGGTGGATGAAGGGTGGGATAGGAGCTGTGGGATCAGTGAGAACCATCAAAGCAGGGTAGGAGACAAAGTGGGCAGCACTGGCCTGAGCGATGGAGGCCGTCACCTCGCCGTTCTGGTCAGGTTGAATCCACCACTGCTTGGCGTTGGGCAACTGCGGAGCCGGTACGACCAGCTGGCCATTGCAGTCATATCTTGATTGGGGCCGTGTCTGAGCATCGGACAGAGAGCGACTGAGCGGATGACTGGATGCGTTGTTCGACAAATTCGAGTTACCTGCGCCTTGGGTGGATGGCTCCTGAAATGTTGGGAAGAAGCCTGGATTGTTCGAGAGACCCATAGTCTGAGCGAGTGATGCTGCAAACTTGGCCGAAATAGGTTTCTCAGCCACAGGAGAGTGCGAGATGGCTGCAAAGTTGCCGCTGATGGCTGAGTGCAAGCTAGGCCCCATCCTGTAAAGAGGAGATGGCACCACTGGCTCTGCAAGCCAACCGGAAAGGTCGATACCGTGCTGGAAGACACCGGATCGCAGAGGCGAAGGGTTGGGCCATGCGTTGCGGTTGTTCAAATTGGAGGTGATCAGTGTAGGAGGTCGTGGGGGCGGCATCATCGCATTGGCTGTTGCAGCAGAAGCTTGCTGTTGCATTTGACGAGCGTTTTGTGGCTGGAAAGTGGTGTTGCTCATGGCAGTACGAGCATTCCAGGGCTCCTGCATGACGCTGTCTTCCGGTATCGTGTTGTCTGGTACTTCAGGGAGGCTGGTAGTCCTGTGACGGCTCGAGGGCGCTGCGAGATAGTGGTTGTTGACGGTAGCCTGCAACTTAGAAGGATCGGATCGAGCGTGATTGATGTTGTGGTTGTTGAGACGTACGATTGGCGTTTCCTCGCCCTCCTCGTTGGCAAAAGTGACGTCGGATCGGTTGATATTGGTCACAATAGGTCCGGTGTTGGTACGTGAGAATCCGCTCGACTTTCTCGAGTTAATGTGCTGCGGACCAGGAGCAGCATCCGAGTCGAGGGTGAGGTCGTGGGAAGAGTGAGGCGACTCAGTGCGGATGGGTGGAGCGATGGAGGGGTATGGCTGACCAGAGATGGAGAAGCTGGCAAGGTTGGGAGGCACCGATTCAGGTTGTTCCACGATGCTGTGCTGCGAACGAGGCGACCCAAAAGCTGAGCCGGAAGCAGAGGATGCTGGATCATGCCATGAATGAGGCTCGCTGTCACTTTGGCTATCATAGTGGAATTCTGTTTCTCTCTTGACGTAGGCTGGATTGAGAGTCATAAAAGAGTTGGAGGACATGTCGAAAGCGGGAGTTTGCATCGCCCAGTTGGCGTTGGGCATGGTGGATCCCATGGCTGCTCCTGATGGGATAGCAGGGTGCATCTGAGGCGTCATGGAGTGCATCTGAGCATCCATAGCAGACATAACTGCAGCGGTTCTTGCCTTGCGGACGTTAGGATTACCAGATCGAGGGGCGTAGACGCATTGTTTTCCTCGGGCACGGCATCGACCACAGGAAGGGACCTCGAGATCGCATCTTGCCTTGGATCTGGCACACTCGTAGCAGCTCTTTTGTCGGTCGAAGGAGGGCTGAGCAAGCGCTCTGGCTTCTCTTGCGAGATGGCGGCGAAGCAAGTCATCGCGTGCAAAGACCTTGCCGCAGTTGGGGCAAGGAAAGCCCTGAGAAGAAGAGGAAGGACCTGGGCCTGAACGGCTCGAGGAGGTCGTGCTGAAGCTGGCGTCTCTTTGCGGCTCGAAGGAGCTCGAGTAAGATTCGTGATCGCTGAGTTGATCTGCAAGCGAAGAGGAAGACGCTGAAGCGTGAGAAGAAGCGTAAAAGGGGTTGTGAGCGGTAGGGACCTGTGCAAAGGCTGCAGAGTGTTGGAGTGACATTGTCGACACGTCCTGTAAACTGGGATGCGATGAACTCTGGTGAGCAAAGCCAGGATTGCTTGCGCTCATCCTTGTGCGATAGTCGACTGAGCCATCGAACGGCGTGCTAATGAATGGAAGAGGAAGGGTTTGAGAGCTAGAACATTAGCCTCTTTCTCGAAGCCGGAGCGCGGCGCTGGCCGTGTTAGAGACGATGGTGGTCGGAATGCTTGCGCCAAAGTGAGCTGTAGAAAACAAGAGCAAGGCTGGCTGGCCTGACTTTTGATGTCGGTCCCGAGAAGCGCTCGACCTATGATCTAACAAAGAAACCATACAGAAAAGAATAGCAGTGGGCGCCGTGTGGGCAAAAAGGGGAACAAGCTGATAAAAGTTGAAGTTGTTTGGGTCCCAATACTGGTGATCGGGGATAGTCTAAGTACAATGTCACTACTCGTTATAGCAGAAACATATACTCAATTGACTGAAGGAATGTGGCAAGAGCCTAGTGCTCTCTGTGAGATATATATACATGCAAGCAGCACATGTCAAAGGTGGGAGTACTCCTACTCAATGATCTAGCCTGACAATGAGTGGGACTTGGTTGTACCCAATCCTTAACTAAATTGGTTCAACTCAATCTTCAATCAGATCTGATTGGCTCCACTTGACCTTCAATCAGATTGGTTTGTGTCATCATGTTGGATTGCCAGTCTTTTCAACACCCCCTCTCAATCCAGCATGCCCCTCCATCACAGTTAGTCCAGAGAGTTGATGGAGGAGAAGCAGCATAGGCGCTGCCAGCGGTTTGGTCATCATGTCGGCCAGATTCTTGCTACTTTGGATTGGAGCAATTGCTAGTCATTGGCTTGCAACTTTGTCCTGTAAGAAAAAGTGTGCTATATTGATGTGTTTTGTCCTTTTAAAGTGTTGTGGGTTATTTGCAATAGCATGTGCTCCAGATGAGTCACTGTACAGAACTGGTATGTTCCAGTCAAAGCTTAACCTTTCATCACAGGAATGAATGATCAACATCCCAGCACTTACTTGTATCCCTGTTGTTGTTGGTGTGGATTGTCTTAATTTGCTTAAGAACATTGTGGTCCAGATTAATTCCCTTGCAGCTCCCACCAGTGCTACATACTCCACTTCCACTGAGCTGTTCACCACTGTCAGCTGAAGTCTTGATGACCAACTGCATATGAGTCCATCTATAGCAAATATGTATCCTGAAGTCAATTTGCAACAATTACATGATCCTGCCCAATTGCTGTCTGCCCAACCAGCAAGTATCGGCTCACTGATTGGCTCCCTTGCCAAGAGATTGATTCTCATTGTTCCCTTCAGATACCTTAGAATTCACTTTGCAGCTGCAAGGTGTTCTCCAGAAGGGTTTGCTATGAATCATGCACAGCATCCAACAGCGAAGGCAATGTCGGGCCTACTACCTTGTGCAATCCACAGTAGTGACCCCACCAGTGATGCATAGTGACACACCTCCTCAGCACTGGTGATGTCGGCTTCCCATGGGCTGAGTGAGTTGATTGTCTCTGTTGCTGGTGTTGGGGCTGTCCAAGCTTTGCTCATCCCAAACTTTGTTAAGACACTGTCAATATACCCATTCTGATCTATTGACAATGTGCAGGCTTCGCGATCGTATTGTACACTCAGTCCGATGATATGCGATACATTGCCCTGGTCCGTAATGCTGAAGACACTTGAGAGTTGCTGCCTTACAGCTTGGTGTATCTGACGGTGCTGGCTGTGATGCTTGTCTGTGCTGATGGGAAAACTGTGTGTCAGGGGTCTCGCGCCTGAAATCCAGGTCGGTCTGTCGAGATACTCGGTGACTATCAAACTGTGCGACAGCTATTGTCTCGGTATCGATCTCAATGAGCTTATCGCTCGGCAACTATCAAGTTGCGCGATGGGTGGCGTTTGTGTATACACTATCATAGGTTTCGGCTGACCTCTGTGGACACTCCATTCAGGGGTAGCTCGGCACGATCAATATCAATGCTATGATGACACCAAGGTCTGGTGTGAGTGTTGATGATGATGACGTTGATGACGTTGGTGTTAAGGTTGGTGGGTGTTGTTGATAATGAGGTTGATGGTGTTAGTGATAAGGTTGGTGGCATCAACATGAGTGTCCAGTGTGTTAACTTGATGCTTGAAGTGATCCCTGGACCACAGTGGACTACTGCCTTCGGTTCTATCTTGATTCAGACTGCTAACCTGCTATGGGCACCTTCAGACATCAGGTAGTGGTGATACAACACACACACTATGATGAGGAGCAACCTTGATAGATTGCTGCTATGCTGACTGAAACTAATATATACTTATGCTGAAGTGATAACTAGTTATGGTGAGTAGAGTGGATGAGGATCCACTCGACCTATGATGATGAGAAAGCATGGTTATATACCTCTTCACAGCATCGCCAGTGATGCTGCTCCTGCTCTCTCTCCAGAGAGTACCTTCTTCATCGAGTACTGCTTAGGGGCCTCTCCTGCTTGGCACCCCTGTGCCTCTTGAGCTGTGTCGACTCCTTCAACACTGCTCCTCCTCCTTGCTATCCTGTGGCTTGTTTGGCACCCCTGTGCCTCCTGAGTGGTGTCGACTCCTTCGACACTGCTCCTCCTCCTCATGACCTGGTGTCGACTCCTTCAACACTTGTCTCTCGAGCCCCTGAGTGGTAACCATCTGAGCTTGGTCCTCTTCGTGGCTGTGCCTGCTCCTTGAGCTTGGTCCTCCTCGTGGCTGTGCTTGGCCCTCCTTTGCATGTGAGTCTATAGGAGTCCATGGTCTCCATGGAGACTGCACTACGACCATGCTCTCTACTGGTGTCGACTAGATCTTCGATACCTGTGCTCCTTCCATATGAACCAGCGACCCTCCTGCTTCCTGAGCATTTAGGCCCATGACACCAACGAACAGAGGTTTCGGAAGGCAGTGGACCAGAGCTCTCCTTGATCTACATGGACTTCTCGAATGCCTTGGTCAATGATCACTTCATTGGGTTCCTGATGTATGTTGGCATGCACTTCCAATAACCACCATGCTGCCTCTTGGGATGCTTGGCCTTTGCTCATGAGACCTTGTGCCCAAATCATGCTGGAGTAAGTGTCATGGATGATGAGCACATATGTGAACTTGGTGGCACCACACAGTGGGCCCATCACATCCATTGACACTAACTCAAGCAGCTTTTTGACACTTCTGGGAAAGGCTATGTTCCGAGCAACAGCCTTACTATGTACACAAACATCACAGAGTATACCTGCAGGAGGTGTTGGACTCGATGGGATGTCATGGGATAGGGTCACTGGCCATGTGTGTTGAATGGCATCATGGCTTGCATGACCCAATCTGTGGTGCCAGAGCTCTGCCTTGCTGCAAGGCTTGTGTGCATGGTCCATGACATTCATCATTGCAGCAAAAGCCATGGAGACTGCAGGCTCAGGCATTTCATTGCTCCAAATCATCATTGCAGCAGCTGGATAGCCATCTCCACTTGTATGTACACAAATCGCATTACCATGCCTGTCCTGGACCATGATGAGTTGGTCCTTGAAGATCACTCAACTGTGGTTGCATGTGACTGACTTTGTCCTGATGAGGTTTGTCACCAGACCAGGGATGAGTAGACAGTTCAAGTATGTCATCTGCTCCCATTGGTGTGTCTTTGGGCTGAAACTGAGCAGACTGACTGTACCACCCATCTTGGTAGCATCAAGCTTTCCTCCATTGGCAGTGGTGATGCTGATTGAGTTATCCATATCATGCCACCCTTTTCCATGGTGTGAGGAGTTTACCATGACACAGGATGCTCCTGAGTCAAACACAAATGGTACAAACCATGGGGGGAGTTCAATTGGTGCCAGCCTAAGTTCCATGAAGAAGGCTAAGACTGGTGACACATCCTATTCCTCTTGCATGTCTGTGAGTGGCAATACAATACATGTGTTTGCCTGACCTTTTGGGACAGCCTTGATCTTACTCTCCTTCCATTGGGCATGTGCTGTGTCATTCAGACAGCAGTTGGCAGCATGCCTGATGTCACTGCATGCCCAGCAATTGATGAGTGTGGTGGCTTGTAGCATGATCAGCTCTGATTCCTCAGTCATGTTATGCATGCTCACTGAGGTGCTGTTGGCAGTGAGCTCATAGCATTGGCAGAGGACATGGGCCACACTTTCCATTGTTTCCTCCCTCCCATGGAGTTGCTCATGTAGAATGAATATCGAATTGAAGAGGGCATTCTTATCAGATGGTAAAGCCCGTTTGAGCATTCTATACCTGTGGTCTGGTGTCCAGGGTTCATGCAGGTATGCATGTAGCTCTGACACAAGTGCCTCCCATTTGATGAGGAAGTCGTATGCATTGCTACTGACTTGATCCCAGCGAAATGCATAAGCTGCACTAAGGAGTTCATATTCTCTAGTGGCCAAATGCTTCTTGCATTTGTCCACTGCCCAGTCAAAGAGGTCGACAGTGATCGGCATCAGCTGATCTCCATGTTCTGCAAAGTATTCAGTATGTAGTTTGTTTGAGAAACTACACATGACGATCAAGCTAAGCATTGAGTCGGCATCCTCAAATGTTGTCACCTTTCAGTCTAAAATGTTCCATGTGAATGGGACAACAGCCAGCATTGCAAAGATCCTGCGTCACCACACATGTATCGAGACTGTCCTTGGGTTGAGGAGATCCTGATCATCCCATCTCATTTTGTCATTCAAGCCAGAGAGCACCTTCAGATGATGATTTGTGAGTGGGCTAAGTTCAGGTGTGGGCCCTGGAGTGGCATCACACCCAACTAGCCACCTATTGGGTCCATCTGGGTTGAAATAGGGGGGATTGCCTCCAACAGATGTGGGGGTATCCATCTTCATTGGAAGGTTAGTCTGTTTGGGTGTGAGTTCTGGTCATCCTTCGATCTTGAGGTCAAGTATGTGAGACACATCCCATTCTTCATTTCTCACAAAGAGGTTCACTCTAGTTCACATTTGTTTACCAAGCTCTATTTGGTTTGCAAACAGGCCAAGACTGTGTGTTCCTTTGTAGAGGGCACTAATGCACTTGACCAGGATGGTCAGGGGTGAGATCATTTGCTCTTCATCATTGTCGATAATGTATTTCAACAACTGGCCATCCTTCGGAGCATTAGGCATGCCATAGACCTCATCTTCCATGACCTGATTAAAGTGGTCTTGGACCATTCTAGGCAGTTGTGGCAGGAGATTCTGCACAGTGACAATGAAGGAGTTGTAGATAGAATAGTTTACTTTAGACATACTGGTAGTGTTTTGGCAGATTGGGCTCATAACCTGATAAAAGTTGAAGTTGTTTGGGTCCCAATACTGGTGATTGGGGATAGTCTAAGTACAATGTCACTACTTGTTATAGCAGAAACATATACTCAATTGACTGAAGGAATGTGGTGAGAGCCTAGTGCTCTCTGTGAGATATATATACATGTGAGTGGCACATGTTGAAGGTGGGAGTACTCCTACTCAATGATCTAGCCTGACAATGAGCAGGACTTGGTTGTACCCAATCCTTAACTAAAATGGTTTGACTTGATCTTCAATCAGATCTGATTGGCTCCACTTGACCTTTGATCAGATCGGTTCATGTCGTCATGTTGGATTGCCAGTCTTTTCAACACAAGCTTGCTAAAGGTGGGGGGAAGGTGGGGGAAAGGTGGGCGCGGGCGTAACAGCACATCGCGTTTCCGACGACAGAGTTGCCTTTTTCCTCAACTTTTTCGCCTCTTTGTTCGAGCGATCCCGATGAGATCGGAATCTTTTGGCAGTACCCGATCTGGCTGTGCCCGATTCCCCACACAAATGAACGTGACCAAATCGCGAGCTTCGCGTCGCAGAGTGTTGTTGTCTTCTCTGTGTGTGTTGGTCTGGAAGGTCCAAATTTCAAAGAACGCAAACATGGAGACCTCTCCACAGCTCATACAGACAGTAGAGTAGCATATGTGCTCCGCATCGTCTCTCTCTCACCTCCATCCAGAATGGCAGCCACAGCTTCTAGTGCCTCTTGATCACCTCCTTCGAACTTCCATCAAGTCTCTCGACAACGTCAATCCGGCGTACAAGCAGCCAGCCACTAGGCGCGAACAAACATCCTCCAAGCGATCTCGATAGTCTTGACCACTCGCATATCTTGCTGGTCGCAACCACAGCACTCAATCGTCTAGGATGGACCTCAACTTCGGCACACCCGCTCGACTCGAGCGTCAGATCGCTCAGGATCTTTTAGAGACACAGTCCGAGTTCGATCTCTCGGTCCCAGGTGGTGACATGCGCGATATCAGCGCTTCCATCACACGGACACCTCTAGCTCCCTCAAATCGTCAGAACTCGTCATTCTCCAGCCCATCAGTTTCATCCGAAGCATCTATCACTTCGCCTTCCAAACACACCCATCTCGCCACCCCTCATGCTAACAGACAGCCTGTCACCCTTGCCGCCGCTATACAGAATGCGCGAGATCGTCGCAACAACGACGCTGGTCATTTAGCCAACGCCATGTCAGCTTCTTCATCCACATCGAGCCTCTCCGACACGCCTCATTCGGCTCAGTTTTCAGATCCATATTCTCACGTCAGGAGCTCCTCGCCACCACTCACTTCCACCCCTCACCCTACTATCCGCCCGCCCTCCACCGTTGGCTCCCGATCTCGCACAACCGTGACAGCACGTCTGCACCGTCCATCGTGCGCAGATGGCACCTCAACCCAACGATACGACGACACAACAAAAACATCAGCTTCTAGGGCAACTCGCTCCGCCCGTTCTGCATCCGTCGTTCTCGATGACCTCACGGAGTCATCCATCGCCCCGGAGGATGCCCCCCATCAGCAACGAGATGGCACAGAGCCGGAGACACATGACGTGGCGCAGCAGGATGGTCAAGAAGATGGCCGCGACTTTGTAGTCTATAATGCGCCCTCGGCCTCGTCAACCTCGCAGCAAGCCTCGTCTGCTATTAGTCAGGATCAAGAAGGCGCAGCCGGCGATGCAATCGATTGGCGCCAACGACGAGCGCAACGAAGGCAATTGGTTCAAGTCGATGAGTCTGCTGTCGATGATGACGAGAGTCAAGTTCAGCCCGATACAGAAGCACACACCCTTGCCTCGTCACAGCAAATCGCAACTATCGCAACGTGCGCCAGCTCTGTTGCCGAGACCGAGGATACTGTCGCTGCCTACTCAAGTCCTGCTGCTGCTCGTCTGGCCCGTCAGGGTATCATTCCAGCTTTAGCAGCTGCAACCAGGCCCGCGCCAGGCTCTGCAACAAGCACACCCAGTCGCCCGCTTCAAGAGAACTTTGCTACACCAAAGCAAGCTTCAGCCTCCGGAGAGCGCGCCAGAATGAAGCAGTATCTCCTCAACAGCGTCAAAGCAACAGGCAGGACACGTCCACGAAATGGCAGATCTTCTGACGCCCATCACGAGGCAATCGAACGTCTCAAAGCACAAGCACAACTTCAAAGGACACCAGCTTCACTTTCAGAAGGTGACGCCAGAACCAATCAAGACAGTTCCCCGCTCACATCTACTCATCCCACACCGCGCCGTAGAATGGACCGTGTAGGCAAAGCCAACACATTCGCTGCTGGCCGCACACCATTGCCCAAGGGAAGCGTCGCCGAGCTGCTTCGACGAGGCGCGCTCTTTGGTGTTTCCGACTCGAGCCATTCCTCGAGCGCGCTTGTCGAGAGTCCTCTTCGGGAAGGACCAGAGGCAGGCGAGCAAGCCAAGGATGATGAAGCTGCGAGCGCCCTCGGCTCTACAACCTACTCGGAGGCCTCATCCAATGACCTCGCCCTTGCTCCCAATCGCTCAAAGCATGGCGCAATGGGCTTGAGGGCCAACACATCTTTCCCAGGCTTGGGCGCCGCTGCTGCTGGAACAGAAGCTAACTCTGTTGCAAGGCCACGTGTCGACGCTGCAAAGTTGGCATTGTACCAAAGCAAGCTCAATGCTCGTTTGGATGCCGAGAATGAACAACTTAAACGTGAACGTGATCAGCTGCTGCAGAAGCTTGCTAAACTCGAGGCAGCATCCCCGGCTCAATCTGCACAGCCAGACGTCGAAGCGATCAATCAGCAGCTGCAAAGCCAACGAGAACGAGCCGATGTTCTCGACAAAGAGGCACAGGACCTTGCTGACCTCCTCGATGAGAAGCAACGCGAACTTGAATCCCTCCGAGGCCCACAGAGCCCAACACAAGCCAGAGGCGAGAACAAGCAGGAACTGCGGGACGAGATCGACGAGCTTCAACGACTGCTCAAGGAAAGGGACGAGGACATCGAAGAACTCCAAGCTCGCCTTGAGAGGGAACGGACACAAATGGAAGAGCAGGTCCAGCAGGCCAAAGCCTTCTCTTTCCAAACGCTTGACCGGATCGAGACCGAGAGGGACCAAGCACTTGAACGCATTCAAGCCTTGCAAGCAGAGCTTTCGGAACTGCAAGAGCGCCAACAGCATTCAGGCACTCAGCCACGCAGCGACATCAACGAGCAGTCTTCAAATTTGCAGCGCCGCATCGACGAGCTTGAGTCGGAGCGAATCATTTTGAAGGAAGAGCTCGAGTCGAAGACAGCGTCAATCGAGCAAATGAGATCGCAAATGGACCAGCTTCGAGACCAAGCAAGAAGCGATGCGGCCCGCATCCGTGGTCTCGAACGACGCTTGAATGCTGCCACCGCTCAGCTGTCCAAGGCAGGACACGCAGGCCAGGACGCCGACGACAGTCAACTTTCGCAGCTTGAGTCCCTCAAACACGAACTTCGCCAGACACAGGCGCATATGGCCGAGCTTGAAGCAAAGGAGGTCGGCCAGAAGACATCCACATCAGGTTCCGTGCAAGAGGAGAGAATTCGATTCCTTGAGCGCCAAAAGGCAGACCTGGAAGAGCGCGTACAGCAGTATCGGGAGATGATCAGCAAGGGTGTTGGCACGAACCTGGCAAACCTTTCCAAGGACGGTGAGATGGGCCATGCCACGCCTGTCCCACCAGCGACACCGGGAAGAACAGCTCTCGGATCTTCGCCACTCCCAAAGTCGGTTATGAGCTTGCGAAACATCTCGGCTGTCAAGACGCCTCGCTCTCCCGGACCTCTCAGCGAAGCTTCGTGGCTCTACAACGAATCGAGCCTCGGCGCAGCCAACGTCGTGGACAGAATTGCGTACCTCGAAGGTGCTCTCGACGACGCCAATGCCTCCATCGACGCCAAACTACACCAGCTCGACGAAGCAGGTGTTGCCCATCTCACCTTGGCCGAACGACTTCAGCAGGCGCACGAGCGTATCGCCGAGCTCGAAGCCGAGATCGAAAGGCTCCGAATGGCCGGTGGGCACAGCGCAGATACCTCGACTGCTAGCCCAAGCAAGAGCGTCAGCCAACGACAAAAGGTCTTCGCCGACGTCCATGCTCAGCTCGAAGCTCTTAAGAGCCGGTGGGCTGCCGACCACGACAAGCTGCAACAGCGCGAACGCGAAATCAAGCGTCGCGAAAAGGAGTTGCAAGACCGAAGCAGCGAGAAACATCAATATCAGGAGGTGCTCGCAGAGCTCAACCGCTTCAAGGAAGCCGCATCTTCATTGCAGCAAGACTTGCAAAATGAGCGAGCCAAGCAGAGGAGCAAGCTCGCCGAGACTCGAGCTGCTAGTCACCAGAAGGACTCGATCGAAGGCAGCTTATCCCGTACGCAGGCCGAGCTGGATGCGGTCAAGCGCAAGCTGGAAGAGAAAAAAGGCGGACTCGAGCATCTTGGACGTCAATACATGCAGAAGGCTGTACAGCCGGACAGCTCATTAGGCCATCGTGAGAGGGTCCAGCTCGATAGCCAGACTGAACGTCTTGCTGAACGCTTCCAAGCGGCACAGACTGAAGTTGAGCTGCTCAAAGCCGAACGTAACGATCTTCTTTCTCAGCGAGCCGGCCTGCACAAGAAGTTCGCTGACGCCAATGAAAACTACGAGCAGGTCCTTGCTGACCTTGCTGCTTCTCGAACTGCCTTGGCTGAGCACCAGGCGCAGTTGGACGAGCAGATCCTACAAATGGAGGCGGCGCACGCTGCATTGCGCTCTAAGAAAGCTGCTTACGAAAAGATCGCTGGCGATCGGGATAGACTCAGGGCAGAGCGCGACCTCATCGTGCACGATGTGGGCATGTTTGAACAAGAGCTACGCAAGCTTCGACGTGAAGCTGATCGACAGGGTCAAGACCTGCAGGCACTCCGAGCAGAGCGCGAGGAGGCTCGTCAGCAGCTTGCATTGGATGGAGCTGCAAAGGACCGAGAACGTGCCGAATTCATAGTCCAGCTCAGAAGCCTTGTGGATCAGCTCAAGTCCAAGACGCAGGAGGTGGATCGCATCAAGACCAAGCTCGACGAGCTGGAGCGATCCAGGACAAGCTCTGTTCCTCCACCATACGCTGAAGAGCCGTCGCTTATCGCAGCTAGGAAGATGCACCAAGCCGAATGCAAGGGTCTCATCCTCCAGATCAAGTATCTCAAGCTCAAGCTCAATCGTGAGATGGACCTTCGCGCTGACCTAACGCACCAAAAGCAGTACATCAGCCTGCTCCTTCAAGGCCTTGCACGCTCCGACGCCGAGCTTGGCCGACTCATCTTCGATCTCGACCTTCAACATCACGCAAGAGACACACGAAGAAGGCAGTCAGACGCCAAGAGAAGGTGGAACAAGGCTCTCAATGCAGCAACGGCTGTAGCGAGGATGCAGTTGCTGGCGAAGAAGGCAGAGGAGGTGGTAGACATCAAGCAGAGCTTGCAAAAGGCTCACCAAGAAGTCAAGTCGCGTAGGAATGTCTTGCCTTTGCAGGACCAGAAAGCAGGAACGGCGACCGCTGCCGACTTGGTTGGCTTCAAGGCTGGGTTAGCCAGCAGAAAGTGAAATCACATGACCTCTTCTCTTCGCTCTAACATCTCCGCCAACCTCGCTCACCGTCGTCATTCATCATCACCTACCACGGTTGCTCAGATCCACATTAACAGCCTCCTATTCCTATTGTACTACCAGGCAAGCCCCTACATCACTTCATCCCACACACGCACACACTGATCATCAGCGTTGAGGAATGCACAAGCAAGGGCGGCAAGTAGATAGCAAGATCGTCATAATTAGGAAAGCCTAAGTACAAAGCAATGCTACATACATATATATGTCTCTACTCATGGCTAGTGCGTGTGTGTGAAATGAGATGACACCTAGGATTGCACACTGTCGTAATAGGGGTAAAGGGGCATTGGTGGGCGATGATGAACGTTGATGAGCGTTGGTGGGTGGTGATGAGTGGCGACGGTGAGCGAGGTTGGCGGACATGTTAGAGCGATGAAAGGAGGTCATGTGATTTCACTATCAGGAAAGATATATATGCTTCTCATTGTTTTGTACCTACTTACTCTTGATATCAATTAACGATCGCTATCTACTCTGTCGCTCCTCGCTTGTGCATTTCTCAACACAGAAGACGATGATTGCCATGTGCTTTCGCTCTTGTACGGCACAAACATATCCAATCACTTTCTCAAACCACCATCGTAGCTGTGTGATTTCAGAGTGAAGTTTGACGGTGAGATTGCAGCCGTCGGCAACTGTGCGTGAGAAGGAACTTTCGGTAGACTCTCGACCGTTGGCAAAAAACTTTGTCTTGAATACCATCGTTGAGTGTAAGCTGTCAGGCGTATCCTCGCAGCGTCGGTTACGGACATCTGACAACGCTGCGAGGCACATAAAGCGCAGCAACTACTGCCGGCAGCGCCGAACCTCTTGAAAGCACCAGCGACGTGTGCTTTCAAAAACTGTCGCCAATGTCCGCGAGTTAGGGGAACATGTCTGTCACCGTTCTATGCCCGCTCGACCCGGCTAACTTGGACAGGTTGTTGTCGAGCTTCAGCATGCGACATTCTGATGTCCCTCACGTCACTGTAAAGACATGTGTCCTCGGTCTGCTGTCGGTTTCGCCTGTCTCTGCTTCTCCGTCAGGCAACGGGATGCCTTGATTCAACGGTACTCTGACACCACGGACGAGACCACTTGAAAACTCACACTTTTCTGCGCTATGCAGCGCTGCTCGTGTATACCAGCTCTTTGACCGACTGATTGAAGGCTCACTGTACAAGACATCATCAGCGAGACGGACATCACACGTACTTGACATGTCTTTTTATTACATGGTTTCCGTGTCTATGGTTGCCTGAGGTATCATACACTGTCCAAGTTGGATCTCTAAAACACTTTGTGCATTCATTCTGCATGATCGTCACCATTGTTGTCGTCTTCCGCGTCGTCGTCGTCTTCTTCCTCTTCTTCTCCTTCTGCCTCGTCAGCGTCACTGTCGCCTCTCTGTACGGCTTGCAGCTCGGGCACAAGCGTGAGCTCATCCTTCTTTGTGAAGTCCATGAAAAGCTGCGTCAGTGCGAACACTGCGAAGTCTCGATGCGTCCAATACGCAAGGTGGGCTCCAAACATGTCGAGGTATCCACTGAGACTGATACTCGCCGAAAGATGGTAGTCGATACACCCATGAGGATTGAGAGCACGGAAGCGACGTTCGCCACGCTCGAGCGAGTCCAGATCAAAGCCCTCCTCGACCGACTCCTCACTTAGGGCTGAAGCATGAATGGCTGCTTCAGGCTGAAGCAACTTTTTCCGGGTCCCAAACTCCGTCTGAATCTGACGAGCCTTTGGTGAAGGAGCTTGAGACGAGTGAGAGGATTCCTCTTGGAGATGCTGCCACTTGCGAACAATGTCGATGTAGTCAGAGTCCTCGACGACTCGTTGGCCTATCTCTCTGTCTTTAACCTGCTCCTTCTCATCACGGGATAGGTCAGCTGGAAGGACTCCTCGGTCGTTTTTAAGTATTTTAGCCTGTCTAATGATCTTGCCGACACCTTGGAAAGGGTGATCCTTATACTTTTCGAAGATGCGACTGACACTGATGCGGGGCAGAGCCAAGCTTCGAAGCAAAGCCTCCGTGGCGTTCTCGATTGAGATGGGTTTCACGAGCTTCGCATAGGCTGAGTCGACTGTTGGAGCCAGCTGGAACGCCACAGGGTCGTTCGGATTGAAACAGTTGTAAACGTTCTCGGCAGCAAGGCAGCCATAACGGCCCGCCTCGGGGTGGACGGCGTCCGAATCGACTTCGCAATCAGGATGACGATCGGTCCCACTCCTCGCAATGAATTGGCCACCGTCAAGGTGGAAAAAGAAGGCTAAAGGAGAGCCTATCAAGAAGAGGTTCTTGGTATTGAAGTGAAGGCAATCGTTGCGACGTAGATCTTGATCTGCATGTTGTGCGAGGGGAGCCACCTTGGAGGGCTGTGCTGACAAGATATCGGCTGCTAGCGCTGAGCCCAAGGAGTGACCAATGATTGACACACGGCCGCCCAGACGCTCAAAGTCTGGGTTCCGCCTGCAAAAAAGGCGGTATGTCCGGTTCAATTCAGACCTGACTGAATCGATCATCTTCTGGCGATGACGTGAGAGATAGAAGGGTACGTCGAGGACAACCTTGGTGATGACATTCCGGACCAACGGAATCGCAGCGCTATTGGTGATATCGTCTAGCGTGTAGAAGTTGTCGTTGCCTTCGGGCCTGTCGTTGAACTCCATATGCCTGCGCCAGCAGATGGGGAGGAATTGGGCACGGCGACCTCGTGATAAGCGGCGAATGGCAGGATCGCTGCTATTCTCGCTGGCAAGATTGCGAAGATGTTCGACGTCATAGATGAAGTCAAGAGCCTCGAAGTCCTCCGTGAGCTGTTGACCCATACCGTGGATGGCGAAAACGAGCTCCGGAGGCTCATCCTTGCGGTCGTCCGGTAATAAGTCAAGATCATTCTCGGAACGTCTCTGTCGATCAAGCTCATCTTCAGTCATTTGCTGCTTGACTTTCCGCTTCTCCTCATCTGCCGCTTCATTCTCGTCATATCCGAACAGCTTCTTGAGCCTTACGAGAGGTCTGAGTGCAGCATCGCTGGACGGTATAAGTTTTGCGGCAAAAGACCTTCGCTCATCCTTGTCTCCATTCGTCGAGGGATCCGCCTGATTCGATCCGTCGGCACCTCCTCCGGATGGCGGCTTGGAGGCAGTCTGTGCTGCACCTTCGCGTTTGGATACAGATTGAGCTCCGGCGCTGGAAGCCTTTCTTTGAGCTTCGGTGTACGTGGACAATCCTTTGCTTCGTGAAGCGCCATCTTTCTCATCATCGCCAGCCCAGGGCAGGGAGATATTGAAAAGGGGGCTGAAGGATTTCTTCTCTGCAATCTTTTCAGCCCGATCGAAGCCTCTGACGACAATGGATCCACCGACGACCGACAAGAAGCGTCCGCGCAGGTCCTGGGAGAAGATTCGACCGACCTCGGCGTCTTGAAAAGAAACGCAACCTTTGTCCTTCATGCTGGGAAGTGCGTAGAGATTAGACTTGTCTGTCTCCTCTTCAACTTCCGGACCGTCATTCTCATTGTCCTCTGTGGAATGCAGCCAGGGTTGAGCTTGAGAGTAAGCATTGTCCAGGTCGCGAGACAGAGCGTCGTCCCAGCTGATGGGGACGTACGAGGAATCCGTGAGACTTGAATAGAACCAAGTGGCGCGAACAACTTTCAGTGCGACACCCTTCCAGAAACAAGGAAAGAGAGTCATAGACTCTAGGTCGACGTCGAACAGGTTGTCTTCCATGACCTCTACTTTGGCCTTCCGCCCAGTTTCGGGCTGGTCGGGATCAAGGATATAGTTGACTTGGACCTTGTCGGAGTCTTTCTTCTGCTTGTCGCCCTGGTTGTTTGACTCTGCTTGCGAATCTCGATCGTGCTTGCTGCGTTCCTGTCCAGCGAAGGACATATAGTTGCGCAGCCCACTGAGCCAAGAAGAGCATGAGGGTGTTTGTTCTGACCAAGATGATTGACTTGCTGCTGAGTTGCTTGCAGACTTGGCCTTGTCCTTCGCTCGCTTTGCGACGTCAGTGGAGCCATGAAGAGCAGATTGAATAGCATCTACACCGGAGGGTGGTGCTCGAGGAAAAGATGTGGTGGACTGCTCCTGTTCATCTTTACCTTGATCTTGTTGCTTGCAACGTTGTCGCGCCCACCCCTCTCCGCCGAGCTGCTGCCATCTCTTCTCAAGCTTTTCATCGTCGTGTGGTTGGAAGGTGGCCCAGGTATCTCCACGAGCGTACATCCATCTTGCTCTCTGGGGAGGTGGAGAAGTCCTTTCTTGATGGGAAGATTGCGGGAATGATTGCGCTCGAAAGGGAGATGCATCTGATCTTTCAGTCATTTCGACGTTAGTGGCAGCAGGAGAGGCATCGATCGGTCCTTTGAAATAGAAGACATAGATGATCTTCTTGAAAAGTTGCAAGGCTTGCCTTCTGTTAGGTAAGCCGCATACTTGGAAAAGTGACAAAAATAGCCGAAACGAACCACCTCCGCGTGATATGTCAAATGACGACACGTTGACTTGGGATCTGCACGTGTGCATCTGATCTCCCGATAGCCTCAACCTTCCCGATCCGACTTTCTGGTGGAAAGAAGCAGCAGCAGCCCAAAGTTCCGTGAAAATGAGGCGAAACGCGCTCTAGCCCGGAGGTTGAGCCAAACAAAACAGCCAAACGACCCGGCCGAAAGGCTGGAATAGTCTCTAGACCAAAATCGAAAAAGGGGGTTCGAGGTATGTGGTGGGCGAGCGGCACAGACTCAGTTGAAGATGCGTCGGCATCTCAAGTAAGATGCACATGTTACGGCCGAGACATTGAGACACGGGAGGCTCACGTAAGCGAGAAGTACAATGAGGTACGTAATTGTTGTCATGGTGACAGCACAGTGGCACCCGGTATCATAGCAACACAGGAGTACAAATGAAGAGACACATCCTGCCTCGAATAGGACCAGAGCAGTGAATGGAGTATATATATGTGTTTGTCATTCAGTCTCATATCATGAAAACTAAGCATTACATAGAACATACGGCTGTGGTAAAGGGAGTCTGATCGTGACCCCGATAACGCCGTATATTAATTGTTATCTTCATTTGACTCACATGTTGTTGTTGTCCCCTCTGCAATTACACGATCGTCCTTCATGTCGACCACTCAGCCAAGGTGCATTGCATCCTCTTCTTCACCTATGCTATAAACCCTTCGCTTTTTGGCCTCTTCACCTTCAGCACGATACAAGGTCGGGGTGTCAAGTGTGCTCACATCCATATCCGCTGTCATGTTGACACCACCAAGTACAGCCGTGCTACTCCTAGTGCTTAGCATCGCTCCTTTTCCTACAATCGCACAAGCATCTAATCAAGCGACACTACTAGCTACCTCACCATCGCAATCCTCTACCAACCCTTCAGCTGTTGCCGACTCCTCAGACTCTACCGCCATGTCGTCCTCCTCTTCCCAGTCCTTCTGGGACAACCTGAGCAAGCATTGGACAGAAGCGGACAGCACAAAGCAGACGTTCATGGCTATTCTGCTCGTCATTCAACTTGTCGCTCTCTTTTTCTTTATCAAAAGCACCCTCGACAAGATGTTCGGAAGACGTGCAGAGTATCGCAACCAGCGAACAAAGAGGTTCGCACGCAGAGCTGCCATTGCCGCCGCTGGTGGTTCCTCCAAAGCCGGCATTCCTCTCAGCCATCAGCGCCCTCTCTATCGCTCTGACGCCAAGCCACAACTCCCGCCGAGACCAACGCAGGACCATCCGCTTGCTCGACCTTCCACTTCCTTGTCTCCTCAGTCCGCTTTCCAGACCACCTCCACCGGCGACATCATTCTCCCCTCTTGGACCGAGTCGGGTCCCACGCCACTCAACATCATTGTTGAAGAGCCAGAAGAGGGCCTTTCCCGTAGCAACTCTCCTCTCTCATCACGGCCACACTCGCCGCTTTACTATCGCGACTCCCCTCTTTCGCCCGTCTTTCCTGCCCGCCAGGATATGCCCCAACAACCCTGGTCAGCCCGCTCCGCCTCACCTCGTGATAACACTTCCCTCAGGCTTCGTGAACGCAACGACTATGGCATGCTTCCCTTCTCCATCGACCGCTCCTCTACTCCAGACACTCGTCTCGAAGATGTCAAACGTCCCTTGAACCGTTCCATCTACCATGATGAGCCATCCTCCCACTTCCCTCCTCAGTCTCCCTTCCCAGAACCTTGCTCTTCACAATTTATTTCGCCAGCTTAGAATTCACCTTGGTACATAAGATACCCGTTCATTCACAGGTCACGCCGTACACTAGTTCATCGCCATGCCCCTTACCCGCCCCCCTCTGCAACAGTCACCTTTAATTAGCATTCACCTTTAATTCTCCATCTCTGCTCCGTCTGCTCCACCATCTGTTCGCTTGTCTCGCATTGTTGATTCTTATCGCATTCCATTCACCTTGTAATTCTAAGAAATCTTTTCATCACTTTGCTCTCGTCCCTTCGACTGATCTGCATTGCTTCTCATGTTGCAATCCGGAAGGGTTCAAAAGTCATTTTGTATTGCATCTTGGTCTATGATGTGAGAACAGCCGCTTCATAGGCTAGAAGACTTCGGGGACAATGTTTCAGAATCATCCCCGCGCTTAGCAAACATGCACCGCTCCAGTCTTGCCGCTTGTGCTGTCCGAGATGGCTGTCCATACGCTAATGACGAGGACGATAGAGCCAAAGATCGCACAGGCTACACTGAGTGGTCGTGTCGACTGCCACCACTTTCGGTTGGCTGCTGCTGGTCGGAAGCGTACACTTGCTCCTGGCCGTAATGGCAGCTCAACGTCATCAACGTCGACCGACTCTCTTGCGGCACCAATGCCTCGGGCTGTGCGACCACCTTCCATTCTTTCCATATGATCGAGCGTTGATGGCTCTTCGTCGTCTGCATTATCATACTCGGCTGTTCGAATAAGGTTCTGACCTCGATCGATCGAGCCGTTCGACTGGTCGATGAGCGCTTCGTTCTCTTGGTCGGCCCGATCTTGATTGTTGTTGTTGTTGTTGCTTTGACCGCCCCTTGTTTGCCCTTGATCCCTCCAAGAGGAGCTTGTCAGATGAGGAAGATCCGCGGTAGGCACTCGCTTGCCTGTCTCGCTCGTCAACTTGAGGTAGCAAATGCTTGGGAAGATGAAAGCCAACGCCGTCGCACTGAGTCCACCAGTGAGCTCTAATACGATTCCAAGATCGCAGGTCAAGAGTGACACGATCATAGCAGTCATCACGAGACTCGAGGTGAAGATGAGATGGCGATTGCGGTCGAATTCTCCTGCAAAGAAGTAGGTCTCAAGTACCTCGCGGCAGACGAAACACTCGAGTGGCAGAGTGGTGAGCATGTTGAGACCGAAGAGTCCACGGGCGATATTGACGACCACGTCGTCATCCGGGAAGTTGTTCTATTGAGAGCGATGCGGATGAACGTGTAGTGTCAGTGAGCTGTTTGGCAGCTTTTCAAGATGAATTCGCGCAACTTACGAGAACGTTACTGAGGGTCCTCTCTTCGAAACTCCAGTAGCCGGCGACACTCATTGTGATAGTAGCAGCAGCAGCAATGACGGTCGAGTAGTGAGTCACTTGCCCAAACTTGTTCATCGAGGGCTCCTTCAACGATCCGTAGATGACTGTCGATCGGTGACAGTAGAAAAATGGATGAAGTGTATGTCAGCGAATCTGAGGACGAAGTTGATCAATGAGAGAGCAGCCAGAACATACGCAAGGAGTTGTGATGGCAGACGAAGGCAAAGCTGATGACAGAGATTGAACGGACTAAATTCGACACGTTGACGATGGTGAACTGTTTCAGGGTAGTGTTGAGATGTGGGTCAGTACATTCAACGCACCGGCGTTCAGGCGGGGGAGCATCTACTTACTCTGAGGCTAGGATCACCTTTGAGCTCTGCGGGCATGGCAGGACCGCGGATGGTGACAGCAATGATGATGACGACCATCGACACGAGTGCGATGGCACTTGCTTTGCTAAGCTTTTCGATGTTACGATAGAGCGACAGTGGATAGGATACTGCCAAGGTAAAGAATGTGATAACGAATTGTCGATTGGCGAGGAAGCTTCCGGCTAGAGACGGAAAGAGCATCTTGATGACGTGTGGAATGGTGTCGCCGATAACAACGCAGAAGGCACACATGCCGCCAAAGCCGAAGGCGAACTGGAAAATGGAGACAGCAGCCTTGCCGTTCTGACCGAAGCAATGCTCCATGATCTCGATGTAGGTGATACGGCCGCTGAGCTTTGCATTGAGTACGATAAGTCGAATCGTCCAGTCTGTGAGGAAAGAGAGACCGACGAGAAGGACCAGACCAGCAATAAAGCCAGACTCCCGCATTGAATATGGCAGACCAACGATACCGGCGCCGAGAATACTGTTGGCCATGTTGACAGTGGCATCGAAGACGCCCGCGCCTCTCTTGAGCCAGTCCGGCATACCTTCTCCATCCCAGCCAGGTACTCCAAGCGATTGGCGAATATTACGAAGATCATTGCTGAAGACGTCGAGAGAGGCACGGATGCGGGTTCCCGGTATGCGATCAATGAGCGACTGAGCACCTTCTCTGTTCAGCTGCGTGCGCTCATCTGAACCTGCGACAGGAGTATATCCAGTGCCATTGTTCGGTCTCAGGCCGATGTGAGATGACTGAACAGCAACGATGTCGTCTTGATCATCGATGTCGTCTGGATCCGCTTCGAACTGGGCTTCTTTGGACGACGTCAAAAATTTGAGAGGTAGAGGAGCGCGGTTGACCCCTGCTGCGGTGGAATAAGACGGTAAGTCTATGTCTGATGATGTTGAAGATGATGCTGGCAGTGCGTGGCTTGTTGAAGCCTGATGCGACGGACAGTTTGTGTTGTTGTCTTCGTCGTCGAATGAAAAGATTGTGGTGTTCGCGGCGCCTCCATTACCCGGACGCGGGATGGTATGGGAAGGATTGCTCATTGCGAGCTATGGTGCATATCTATCGACTGATCACGATTGATGGTAGTGCTCGCTCGCATCAAGATATGGGCGTTGCGATGCTGTTTGTGGAAGCTCTGGCTAGCGCAGCTTCGATCGGGAGTGCTGAGTTGCAGCTCCTGCACGGCTATATGGGATGCAGTGTTGGCCCCGTCGTACTAAGGCTGTAGCAATGATGGAAGCTTTGATGAAAGTGGTGTAAGTTATCAGGATGGTTGGTCTGTCATTGACAGGTGTGACTTGCACTGCCCGCATGAACCGTGCTCAGAGCCCAATTTAAGATCCATGTAAGATTTTCCGTACTAACATTCACAAGAAAAATTTGGCTGGAAGAGCCACGTGATGGAAAGGAAGCGCCGCCTGCTCGACTTTTTTTGGAGGTTACACACTGTTCTTCTTTCAACAACTTACCTCCACCATACCTCCTGTTCGACAGTCATCTGCCACGCACCCGACAGATAGCGTTTGTGCCCGGTGTCAACTCATCGATATGGCCGCCATCAACTCGGGCCCAGCCCAATCTCACCCTTCCCTGGTCCAGCCCATCATCTTTTGCGGTCCCGGCAGCAACCTTTACCCACTTTGCTCCAACACCGTGGCTACAGATGTCTCGAATGATGCCGCTTCATCCGCTCAAAACGGCCTGCCAAAGGCCATGCTGCCTATATTCAACCGCCCCATGATCGCATTTGCGCTGCAGCAGCTCCTTTCCGCCGGTCTTCGTCACACCATTGTTTTCGCACCCTCCGAGCAGCACTCTACAATCGCCGCCGCACTCAAGTCGCTCATCCTCATCCCACCGACACTGATCCAGTCCGGCAAGAAGAATGTGTCCACAGCAGCCGCTGCTGCTGCTGCTGCCGCCGTCGAAGAGGCTTCGAGGAATCCCAACATCTCTGTCTCGGTCGGCCTCAACAGCACTTCCGCATCTTCCAACACTCCAGCCGCTAGTAACGCTTACCTTTCAGGCAATACCTTCGCTGTCTCGTCCACGCAGCACGAGACTGTCATGCGCGTGGATCTTTTGCCTTTGGGGCCTGATGATCTTAACACCTCAAAGTCGGACTCGCGCAACTCCAGCGCAGCTAGCAAGTACAAGAAGCTCGGCACCGCTGGCCTGATTTCGTGGCTTCATTCCATCGGCAGGCTCGACAAGGATCCTCTCATCCTACCCGTCGACTTGGTCACACAATCGATCTCGCTTACGAATATTATCAACAGCCATGTCTCCGGTGTGCCTCATCCACCTGCTCTCACTTGTCTGATGTATGAAAGGGGTGCCGGTGAGGGCACCGGCAAAGAACGCGAGAAGGATGGTCCTCCTAAGCTCTTCAGCGCCTACGGCCGCACTTCGTCGCAATCCAGCAGCTCCGTCTCCGGTGGAAGCGATCACTGCACAACGCATCAGCTCCTTCTCCTCCACGACTCCGACGACATCTCTGATCTCGATTCCTCGGATCTTCACCTCCGCATGTCTCTCCTCTGGTCGCATCCTCACGTTCGCATCTCGACTTCCCTTCTCGACTCGCACGTTTATCTCTTCAATCTCCAGCAACTTCTCGGCTTGTTACGGTCCGACGGTGGTCAGAAGATGAAGAGTCTCCGCGAGGAAGTTGTTCCGTTCATGGTCAAGTGCAGCTGGATGACTGGTCTGCGCGAAAAGGCCGGCTGGACCAGTCAGACAGCCAAGAACCTGTCCGCAGCCGAGCACCTTCCTTCGTGGTACACTCATGCCGGTAAGGAGAACGCCACTTCCGCTTTGAGATCCAGCACCTTTGTCGAGTCCGAACTTCTACAGGCAGGCTCGCCCTTCCGACCTGCTCTTGTCGACATCGACAACCGTCCCTCACCTCTTTTCACCCCCGATCGTTCCCACATGGCATCACCTTCCGGCAAGCATGAAGATCAGAAGAGAATGGCCAACTTTAATAGACAATCCAAAGCATCAGCTAAGAAAGCCGCAGCTGAGGTTCAGGTCAATGCTTTGATCTTCCGACTCTCAGCTGACCGCAAGCACCCCATCGACCCTTCCACATCCGTCGAAGAGATTCGAGAACGCGAAGAGAGCGCCAAGCGGGAGCCTTTTATCGCTCGAGCAAACACGGTCCCGACCTACCTCGAGTGCAATCGATACGTGAGTGGTTACCACTTCATCCCGGATCTTCAGGCTCAGTGAAGTTCTGACTCTGTGAACACTTATCTCTTTCTTATTTACAGCTTTTGCGATGCTTGGCCAGTGGTCCAGCAGGGCAGGTTGGCGGCATGGCGCCCGGCGCTTCGGCATCCGCTGCCCTACCTGCCTCTGCCCTCTCGCACCCTCTTCCGAACCAGTCTTTGCCAGCTTCTGCCACTGCGACTGCCGCGCTGTCTATGGGATCCGCACAGTCTGCGATCGACTCGGCTTCAGCTTCGACCGCTTCAGATGCTGCAGCAAAGGCTCAGTTGGTGGATTCCAAAGCGCAGATCTCGTCCGATTCCTTTGTCGAAGGCCATACACGTGTGGGCGAGCGTACCACCATCAAGCGAAGCGTTGTAGGACGTGGTTGTGTCATTGGCAAGAACGTCAAGCTCATCGGTGCCATCGTCATGGATGGAGTTCGGATCGGCGACAAGTAAGTACCGCACAATGTGTTGCTGTATTGTGACCGTTTTGGCTGCTGATCAAATTCTCCCCTCTTTCCCACTTCTGCTTCCGTCATCTCTTCGCAGCGCCAAACTTGAGAACTGCATTCTAGCCGCCGGCTCCGTCGTCGAGGAGAAGAGCAACCTCAAGGATTGCGATGTGGCTGCTTCTGTTCGAGTTCCCTCGGGCACAAACAGCAAAGGCGAGAAGTTTGACGAGTGAGTTCGCTCGTACGCATGCATGCTATCGCAATCGCAATAGAAGTAGGGAAGCAAGTCTGGTTGTCTTTGTCCTTGTGAACAGTCTTCCTATTCCGCCCACCTGGCGTTGCCATCAAAAGCCCCTTGTATGAGATGAGATGCGCAGCGTCGTCATTGACATGAACGCCATCGGCAGTGCGTGACACGCAGCATTAGGCTGGCTGGTCCTGAGTGATGAAATAATAATAGAAGGACAGGTGTCGACACTCAGCGGTCGACGACAGTCAGAGCACAGTGTTCAAGCTATTGAGCAGAAACACTATACTATATTGACCTAGGGAAAGAACTCGGTGGCAGCCTCGAGCTCTCAGCTCGATATCTATATACAGTTGCGGCACATCCCCAAAAGTCCCTCTTAATGACGAAGTACGACAACGAGCGGGATCCAGTAGTACCCGATCCCTTACTTGTATCGGCTCTGCCCGATTCTCGATCAGGTCGGCTTTTCCCGATCCCTTCTCAGATCGGCTCATGTCATCTTCAGTGTCTTGCTGGATCGTTACCTTCAGCACTGAGGAGCTGTTGTAGAACGGGCGGCAAATAACGGCGAACACAAGTAGCGATTGCGCCAATTTAGAGAACTACGTGCAAGACAAGGACAAGTATATATATCTCCTCAGCATTCTGTGCATGCGTGTACGATACAGAAGCATGCTGGCAACTACCTTCTCCTCGGGCATCTGATAGCCGGTATGTCGATGCCTATCGCGATAATCGGCCCGACGCTAGCCGATACGACCTAGGACAACATGCTATGGATCCGAGTGAGCGAAGGTGGTGAAGATGTGAGATCGGAATAGAGGTCACATAATTTCCCTGGAGCCTCGGCCGCTTCGGGATTTGTGGTCAGGTTGACAATGCGCCCTCTTTTCTGCTGAAGATGACGATCCAGCACAACTCCAAGAGATCGGGCGGAACGGTTCCAATCGGGGATCGGGTAAATCTGATCTAATCGGGGATCGGGCAAGCTCGGTCTGAGAGAGAGATCGGATGTTATTGGATTCCACACGTTGTTACGCTCTGTTGTTGAGGGTGATGTTCCTACATATGGGATGTGTCAGCTTTTGTATATATGTCAGGCAGAGAGCTCGAGGCTCTCGCCATGTTATAATCATCATGTCAATATAGTATAGTATTTTGCTCTCAATAGCTGGAACTCCGTACTCAGACTGATATCTCCCAATCTTCCTCATCACTAAGTGTCGTACTCCTTTTATCATTTTCGTCTCGGTTTTTGGTGTTCAAACCTTGAAATCCTAAACTTTTAATCATTGCCAACATTTCCGGAATGCAAAGGTTCCCAACTCGGTCGCCGTGAATCCAATAAAACTTGACACGAAACATCTTGCTTAAAAGCCATGCAATCGTTTTACCAGGGCAAAATAAGATATGTCGAAAGGTGCTGAAGAATACAATCCAGCAAGGTATTGATGGGAACTCGGGCCAATACGGCTAGACATAGGGTGTGGCTTGGTCCCGCACGATGCAACGCTTCATATTAAATGGTATACACTCATGCAAGTTGTGGAAGGCCAATACTCCCACCTTCGACGGCTCCTCTCTCCCATATATATATATATCGAGCAGAGAGCTCCAGTCTGTTACACTGCTTGATCTAAGTCAATAGAGTTGAGTGTCTCTGTCCCAATAGCAGCAGTACTGTGCTTTGACTGATTTCGCTCGTTGAGCGTCGCTAGCTGTCATCTTTTATCAATGATCTGCTAGATTTTTCAACTTGACAAAACCACGCCGACACACCATGCTGGAGGTAACGATCCAGCACGACCCTGAAGATTGGGCAGAGCTGATCTAAGTGAAGGATCGGATACTACTACTGGGTCCCGCGCGTTGTCGTACTTTGTCATCGAGGATGATGCTCCCACATGTGGGATGTACCGACACTATGTATATATATAAGGGAAGAGCTCGAGGCTCTCACCACATTCTTTTCTTATGTCAATATAGTATAGTGTTTTGCTCAATAGCGTGAACACCTTACTAACACTGATATCTCCTGATAAGCGTTGTCGCTAAGTGTCACATCTTTTATCACTTACACCCCACGCGGGTAACAATGTATAATCAAATGAAGCCTTGCGACAACATTGTTCTTGAAACTGGACGAAGAATTAAGTTATCGAAAGTACGACTGTTTTTACTTATCAAAATTAAGTGATTTGCTGCCTTCCAAAATCTCTTTGAGGACGGCCCTACAAAGAATACGTGACTGCGTGATGTGTGGCAATGCTTTATCAAATTCACGACAGAGAAATCATCAAGGAGCAATAAACGGAACGGACACATAAATCCTCGACAAATGATTATGTTTGTACATGTCGTGGAGCATGATTAAAATTAACATATTACAGGACCCATTACTTTGAACAAAGATATATGACACTTAGCGATGCTTATCGGGCGATGTTAGTCAGAGCACAGTGTTCAAGCTATCGAGCAGAAACACTATACTATATTGACCATATACATAGTAGTGTCACATGCCAAAGGTGGGAGCTTCCTTCTTACTGACGAAATGTGTCAACGAGCGGGACCCAGCAGTCCCCGATCCCTGCTATATCGGCTTTGCCCGATCTCTCGTCACTTCGACTTATGTCACTTTTAGTGTCTTGCTGGATCGTTATCTTCAGCACATGGTAGCAGTCTCGAGCTCTCTGCTTGCTATATATATATATAGTGGTGGCATATACCCAAAGGTGGGAGTGTGCCCCTTAATAACGAAGTGCGGCAACGAGCGGGGCGCAGTAGTACCCGATCTCCCCCATATCAGCTTATATTCCCGTCATTATCTTGCTGGGTCGTATTCTTTAGCAGGGCACACTATTCAATCACTCGCTGCCACTTTTTTTGGGCCCGGAAGACACCAAAACAGAGTGCCTGGAAAAGACGGAAGTGCACTTTGCGTTTTCGAGCCTTGCACGCCTGACTTTGACTTTGTGATGATCCATTGTTTTCGTTAGACGGCATGCAGACTCGCCATCAGACGACATTCTTGATAAAAGATGACAGCTGGCGATGCTCAACGAGCGATATCAGTCGAAGCATACAATAGAAGAGGACATTTGGCGACACTCTATTGTGATGTATTCCGCTTCGACGGAACTGTTCACTGATAAAAGTGATTAAAAGGGAGGACAAGTTGCTGAAGGTAACGATCCAGCAAAGAAACTAAAAATGACACAAGTCGAAATGGCAAGAGATCGGGCGGAGCCGATACAGCGGAAGATCGGGTGCTGCTTAGCCCCGCTTGTTGTCAAACTTCGTCATTAAGAAGGATGCTCCCACCTTTGGTATGTGACACTACTATGTATATGGTCAATATAGTATAGTGTTCCTGCTCAATAGCTTGAACACGAGGGGGTTTCAATTCTAAGCTACCTCTGGATGGAGTGTCCACAGCAGTCAGTCAAAACCTGCAATAGCAATCAATCTATCACATATTCAAGCAAGAGAAGTCATAGAGGCATTCTACAACAGATCTTGACAAGAATAATAATACATGGCAACTTACCACATATCTTGACAGGATCTGTAATAGACGCATCTCTACTACAGATATCAGGTTTCAGGCGCGAGACCTCTGACACCGAGCTCCGTTGAGGCCCATTCTTGGGTGTCAGATGTCCTTCTCCACCATCTCCTTCTCTTGCCACCGTTGCCCCCCCTCGGTTCAGTCATCATGCCGTATCAGCTTCGTTCTCGATTGGCACCTGGCACCCCTCCTACTGAACCCGACGCTTTGATTCCAAAGCGTGGTAGGATCATTCTCCATTTGAGGCCTCGTGATGTTCCAGTCCCGGAAGCAGTCCTCCTTCTTCCTCAGTGGACCTGGTGCCCCTGGAGCCCCTTTTCTTGGGTATTGACCCCAAGACAGGTTTGTTCTCAGGTGATGATGATGAGGTTGGGTCCTCTACACCCCCCATTGTTCCTGCCTTGGTGCCTGCTGGTTCGGGCCTTTCTGGTCAGGACTACTCCCTGATGTCATCTCCTCCAGACCTTTATGACATCGACTCCAGATGTCCTCCGGTAGACCTTTCAACTCCCAAATGGCAGGCTGCATGGGAGGCAGAATTGGCTTGTTTGCCAACCCCTCCTCCTACTGCCAACAAAGTGATCAATGTGGCCTTGGCCTCCTCCAGGCCTGGTATGCCCATTTTCTGGCTGGAGGTCCAGCCCTTAACTCCTCCTCCTTGCTGGGTGGGTTGCCAAACCCCACCACCACCTCCTCCCAACTGACACCTCCCTACCAATGGGGAGATTGCTGGCTGGTCCAAAAGATTTGTTGTAGCCAACCTCATGGCCCAGATTGCTGATAGGTACTTCCTGTGGGACTGGGATGTGCCTACCAGATCCTTGCATGAGTGCTGACTTCATCATCTGGCCATGCTGCACCTGATGGAAGGCTGCATGCCATGGCCAAGCTGGAAATGTTGCTGGTGTTTCAACCTTGGCATCCCATGAGTACTTTTCTTTTGGCTTCTTCTGACTTTGCTGATGCTGACCCCCCTTGCCTTTCTTCTCCTTCAGCTGCTTCACCTTTGCCTTCCCCAACCCTTTTGGGGAGCGCAACCGAATTCCGTGTGCTTGTGCGCACTGCTACCTCGTGTCATAGGACCGGATGCACAGGAGGATCTGGAAGCATATGAGGAGTGGTGCAGGAATCGTCAGATCGGGCCGAACAAGGGTCCAAAAGCCGAATCCAACAATATCAGTAGTAGCGAGGTCCTACAACAGATCTCACTCAAATTGGTAAGAGCAGGAGCTTTCAGTGAAAACCACCAGAATCAATAGTATCATGATCATACAACAGATCTCACTGAAACTGGTGAAAGGATAATGATATCATGGATGGGTGGCAATGACATCTGGGTCTGCCACCAATGAAGCAGGGGACCTGCTTGGTAAATGAGTCCAGGGGTGGTAGATGGGTTAAATGAAAGGGGGTGCAAACTATTGCTCAGATGAGGTGGGAATGACCCCTGTTGATGATGAGACAATGTGAAGACTGTCCATTCACAGGAAGCACAAGACACAATGCTGACAAGCAGCACCACAGGATGGGTAGGAGGAATAGAAAGGATGAGGAGGAGGAGGAGCAGTGCTGAAGAGACACCCAGAGTAGGGCACAATGTTGCATGGTGACATTGCAAGAATGGTTATATAACCTTGCTCTTTGCCATAGCCATTGAGTGGATCTCCATCCACTCTACACCATACACTACTAGTTATAGCTTTCACATAAAATATACATTAGTATTTTCGTCAAGCAGTAGCAATTGTAAGACATTGCTCCTAATGTAGTGCATGTGTTGTATCACTGCTTGTTGACAGTCTGAAGGTGGTTCATAGTAACCTGTGGTCTGGATAACAATTGACACTGAAGGCGGTTCATAGCAACCTGTGGTCCAGCTTGCAATCATAGAACTGAAGGCAGTTGTCCACTGTGGTCTGGGGATCATCTCAAGCACTCAGTTGACACACTGGACACTTGTGTTGGCACCACCAACAAGTACACTCACACCAGACCTTGATGTCAGTACACAGTTCCTATTGTTATTGATTGTGCTGAGCTACCTCTGGACAGAGTGTCCACAGTGGTCAGTCAAAACCTACAATAGCAAACACACTACTACATCTTTGGGCAAGAAAAGTCATAGAGGCTTCTCTACAACATACCTTGACAAGAACAGTAATAGAGAGCACTCTATGACATATCTCGACAGGATCTGTAATAGATGCGTTTCTATTACAGATCTCAGGTTTCAGGCACGAGACCCCTGACACCTCGCTGGGTTGGGTCACTGCAAACATGACATTCCTGCTCATCTGGGCATGGAATATCCTGGTGACAGTACCCCCAGCCTACAGCCTCAGGGCTTGCACCATGCTGAGCAAGCTTACCTGACTGTGGCAGGTGGCAACAGTCCTGGACTTGTTTGTTCTGAGGAGTGGGTTGGTCTGTCATACTGCTCATCTACTACAGATTTCTGCATAATCTGTAGTTACATGTCTTCTCTCACAGATTTCGCTCAAATCGGTCCCAACTTCCTTTTTACAATTTCACCTTGTGTTGATCTAGCCTCGTCTCCCCCAACACCTCATACTCCTGGATGAGGTCTGGGCAGTTAAGATTAGTCATGGGTTCCCAAGAAGCTGCTTCTTCTGGGTACCCTCTCCAGAGCACTTTGTATTTGGTTGCCTGGTTGTGTATATGTTTCCCAATAAGTGCTTCAACCTCAAACTCAAGCTCTTCATCTGGTAGTGGCAGTATGACTGGTTGTGTGGACCATTGAGGTAGTGAGCTTGTCCTCGCCAGTTTGAGCAGAGACACATGAAACCCATCATGCACCCTCAGGTTCACTGGCAAGGTGATCTGATATGCTCTTCAGCCCACTTGTTCTTGGACCAGGTAAGGTCCTGCAAACCTGGTATCCAGCTTTGGCATAGGTTGCCTTGTCTTCCAGTTCTGGCAATTGATGTAAACCAAATTGCCAACCTTGAACTTGATGTCCTTGTGCTTCCAGTTGTAGTGTTCCACTGTTTGATGTTGTGCCTCCCTGATCTGTTCCTGGAGGTACTTGCAACACTCCTCTCCATCAACCATGTACTTGAGGCAACCAGGGTCATTCACCCCTAGTCACAGAGGGATGTCTGGATGGGCTTTAGGGTTCCATCCATAACATGTGAAGAACAGGGAGACTCCAATGCTGTTGTGGACTGTGTTGTTATACACAAACACCACTGTGTTGAGCAGGTTGGCCCAATCATTCTGCTCATAGTTGCAATACATTTGCAGGTACTGCTCCACCACTTGGTTGACCCTTTGGTTTGTCCATACATCTGTGGATGATAAGCTGTGCTGAGGGAGTGCTTAGTGCCTATGCCCTCAGCAAACTCTTTCCATGCTTTGGGTATGAATTGCCTGCCCCAGTCTGAGACCATATGGTCAGGGTAACCAAAGTGTCTGACCAGGTATCTCCAGAGCAACATGGCAGTCTGTTCCACCATGACAGTTTTGTGTGTTGGGGCTAGGATAGCATACTTGGTCAGTCTGTTGACAATGACCAGGATGGAATCATACCCTTTCAATAGTGGCAATCCTTCAATGAAGTCCAGCAATATGGAGCCCCATGGCCTGTCCAGTGTGGCTAGCAGCTGAAGCAGACCATACAGGCAATGGTGAGGAGCCTTGTATCTGGCACACACAGGGCAGCTAGCCACATAGTTGGCAATCCAAGCTGCCATGTTGGGCCACCAATAGTGTCTTTGTGCTGCTCTGATGGTGGTGTCCCAGCCCACATGTCTGGCCATGATGCCATCATGGCATTGAGACATCACCATTAACTGCAAGTGTTCAACAGAGAGAGATTGTCCATCAACTTCCTTGGCACTTTGTGTTTGGCAATCATTGGTTCTTCCCAGCATGGTTACCTTTGGTATGACCAATCTACCACCACTGTGCCACAAGCCATCCTTGATCTTGAACAGCTTCTTCACATGTATCTCCTGGAGCTCCAGGTCTAAGGGCTGGAAGATCTTGGCCAGCTCCTTGAGCCCTCATGTGGCTATCAACTCCATTGTGAGCATAGGTGCTACTAATACAGAATCGTCATCCAAACCCACTGTTAGGACTGATTCCACTGAAATTGGTAGTACTGTGTTTGCTACTACAGTTTCTGATGGATTTTGCTGTATCCTCCCTTGTTCACCATTTTTGCATTCTACCTTCTTGAATACCCAGGAGGGCAGCAGTTGCTGCACATTGTGCTTCTACTCCTCACCAACCAGCTGCATATCAACCCATTGGGTTCACCACCCTTATCTCCTGGTCTGTATTGCAGCACGAAATCAAAGCTGGCCAACAATACTGCCCATCTGGCTTGTCATCCTGTGATGCAGCACTGTGACTTGAAGTACTTGAGCACCTCATGGTCTGTGAGAAAGACTAGCTGGCTCGGCAGTCCTGCTAGCATGTGTCACCACTGGGTGAGGCATGCTACCATGGTGAGGAGTTCCTTGTTGTGAATCTCATAGTTCTTCTCAGCAGACAACATCTTCCTTGAATAGAAAGCTATGGGGTGCCAGCATCCTTCATGCTCTTGTTTGAGCACTCTGGTGATGGGGAAGTCACTTGCATCCATCTCCAACCTTGTTGGGAGATGGTAATTGAAGTGCCTTAGCACTCCAGCCATTGTGAATGCCTGTATGAGCTTGTGGAAAGCCTGTTGGGCATCTTCTGGCAACTCAAACTTCTTGAAGCATTCCACTGGTTTCGCCAGGGAAGTTAGTGGTTTGGCAATTTGTGCAAAGTGGGCTATGAATCACTGATAGAAGTTGGTGAAGCCTAGGAACCTCTGGATGTCATGAATGGACTCTGGCATTGGCCATTCCTTGACAGTTCACACCTTCTCTGGGTCCATCTCCACCCTGGTGGGTTTGATAATGTACCCTAAGAACTCAACTGTAGTGGTGTGAAACTTACACTTAGACAGCTTGGCAAACAGCTGGTTGCTCCTTAACCAGAGGAGGACCTGTGTAACATGCTGCACATGTTCTTCTTCAGTGTCACTGAAGATCAGGAAGTCATCCAGGTATACCACTACATAAACTCTGATGATGTCTCAGAAGATGTTATTGATGAATGATTGGAAGTGGGCTGGCACATTCACCAGGCCGAAAGGCATCACTAGGTACTTGTAGAGTCCTAACTGTGTGCTGAATGCTGTCCTCCATTCATCTCCCTTCACAATGTGGATGAGGTTGTATGCCACTTGCAAATCCAACTTGGTGTAGATCTTTGCCTTTCGAAGCAGGAACAGCTGCTCCTCAATGAGTGGCATTGGCACCTGGTTCTTGATGGTGATCTCATTCAGGCTGTGATAGTCCATGCAGAGTCTGAGGCCTCCATCTTTCTTTGGTATGAAGAGCACCAGTGATCTTGCAGGGCTCTTTGATGGTTGTATGAACCCCTTTGCGAGGTTCTCATTCAGGTACTTTCTCAACTCAGCCATCTCCTTGGGTCCCTTGAGGTACAGTGGGCCTTGCAGTGGCCTACTTCCTTCCATCAACTCGAGGTGGAGATCATGCTCAGTGTGTTGGGGCAGCTTATCTGCTTCCATCTCATCAAACACCTCCTGCAAGGGTTAATATGGCTCAGGTATATCTTCTTTCGATACCTTCTTATTGACTTCAGCTTCCATTTCTACACCCCTGTCAGCTCCAGTAGGTACAAACCCAAAAGCCAGCAGCAATGAGGGGAGAGTATCCAACAACATGAACCCAATGGGTCCATCTTCAAGGGCAGCCCATATCAGACATTCTGCCAAAACAAACTCATTCCCATGTATAGTGGGACATTTGGGTTGCTCGCCATAGAAGCTTGTTACAGTCAAATTCCTTGAATTTGGTGATAGACCTGTGTCTATCACAATTTCCTCCAACTCGTGTGTTACGGCAGTTTTTGCTGAAGTTGGTAATACTCCCATAACTCTGGCAGATTCTGCTGACTTTGTGTTCAACACCCCAGTTCCAGCTACTCCTGGTAGCTGCTTCCGTGCCTCTCCTGTGCCTTCCTCAGTGCTCTCCTGTGTTTGGGCTTTGAACTCTAGTTGACCCATGTCCCAATGTATAGTTGGCTTGAGCCTCCTTAGCTCTGTGAAGCCTAATATGAGGTTGTAGTCAGTGGTATTGGCCACCAAGACTTCTACAACTCCCAGTTTGTGCTCACCAATAGTGACCTGTATCGTCACTGAACTGTTGATGGTGAGCTGGTGTCCAGTGACACCATGTATCGATCTTGTTTTTGTGGGTTTTGTGGGTATTTGGTACTTGCTAATGAAGAAATCTGAAACTATAGACAAACCAGCACTGGTGTTGGTGAGTATGCAAGCCAGATGGTCTTGAACTGTTTCAGTTAGCTCTAATACTGCTTTTCCTCCACTGGTGGAGAAACATAAGGGGCAATCTTGATATATACATAGGGATGGCAATGGGGTTTGTAGGGCCATGCATGCCATTAGTGCATCACCCCACTGACGTTTCCCTTGTCACCATTGTCTTGGACCTCTTTATGGCCAGTGTCCACTGGTGGCTGGTACTGGCTGAAGTCCAGGTCATCAGGATTGGCCATTTCAGGGTCATCTGTTTGCTCATCTCCTGACTCAGGGGCTCCTTCCTCGAGGGAATCCTCTGTGGCCATCATGACTTTTGGTCCCATGGGTCATGGGCCCAGGGGATCCTGCTTCTTGCTCAGACAGTCTCTGGCCCAATGTCTGATGCCTTTGCACAAGTGACAGGCACTGCTGTTTGTCGTTGCAGGGCTCCTCTGTCTTGGGCCCTGAACAAGCTGGTGTGGAAAAAGCCAATTGGTTGGCCAGCCAGGGTTTCCCTGAGTTGCCTGTGCCAGCAGACAAGCTGGGTAAGCTTGTGCCAGCTGGTGAGCTGGGAACAAACTTGGAGCTGGTGGCATAGGCTGGCCTCCTGAGTTTGGTTGTGGTGGAGTGACACTTGGGTGCCTAGCAGTGGACTGCAGTAATAGCATCCTCTGCTGGTCGATCTCTTTGACCTCTTGGTACCATTCCCACCTTTTCACTGGTGGGTTCCACTCAAACTTCTCTTGCAGGCTGCATGTGAGACTGCCCTGGAAAAGATCTATGACTAGCTCATTATCATCTAGGTTGACTTGTCCTTCCAAGTCTCTGAAATGTTTGACATGGCATGTGGCAGCCCCTGGTGCATCACTAGTAAGGTGGAGGGCAAGCAACTTATTGTATGCCTCCATCCTGGTGTTATGAGGATTGAACTGTTCTGCTAGGTGCTTGGTAAAGTAGTGCCAGTCATGGAACAGTCTCCCTTCCTGTGCTCTGTCAATGCAGAGCTTGGAGGTCCACCATTTGCAAGCATTCCCTTCCAATTGAGCACCCATGTGATTGATCATGCATGCTTGCTCATAAACTTGGTTGAACTTGAACCAGGCTTCGGCTTTGAGAATGAAAATCTCAACATCCCTTGGGTTGAACTTGGGGAATGGGGTGGCAATTGGCTTCAATTGCAAGAGGTTGGGGTCTCCTGCTGCACTGGTGTTGTCCTCTTGCTTGAGGCTGTACAGATCCATCATAGGCCTGTTGTACAGGTCCACCCAGGGTTTGAGGTATCTGGGCCCAGTGGGGGAAGCATACTTCTCATAATTGATGCCAGCCTGCTTGTCCAAGTCAGTGAATGACACCAATCGCCTTGGTCATGATGCCAGGGTCAGTGTGGGCAGGTCTCCTATCATAGATCTGTCCCCTCCTGCCTGGTCCTCTGAGTGAGAGAGCACCACAGTCTCCTCTTCACTCAAGTGAGTGCAGCATAGGCACTCCTCACATTGGGCTTGTCTGGACAACTCTAGTTGAGCCTCCATTAGGACAAGTAGCCTCTCGAGCTTATTGTTAAGGCTTTCATCTGCCATGTTGATCATGGGGTGCTGCTTGAAAGATCCACTCTAATGTCAGGGGTCTCGTGCCTGAAACCTGATATCTGTAGTAGAAACACTTCAATTACAGATCCTGTCAAGATATGTGGTAAGATGCCATGTATTATTATTCTTGTCAAGATCTGTTGTAGAATGCCTCTATGACTTTTCTTGCTCAAATATGTGATAGATTGATTGCTATTGCAGGTTTTGACTGACTGCTATGGACACTCTGTCCAGAGGTAGCTTGGCACAATCTATAACATTAGATGTATTGTGCTGACACCAAGGTCTGGTGTGAGTGATGCTGTTGGCATTGACACAAGTGTCCAGTGTGTTGACTGAGTGCTTGAAGTGATCCCTGGACCACAGTGGACAACTGCCTTTGGTTTCTAATTATAGAGAGAGCCAGACCAGAGTATGAACCACCTTTGGTGTTGATTGATATCTGGACCACAGGTTACTATGAACCACCTTCGGATTGTCAGTGAGTGGTGATACAACACATGTGCTATGATAGGAGCAATGTCTTCCAATTGCTACTGTTGATGAAACTACTAAGTATACTTGTGTGAAAGTTATAGCTAGTAAGGTAAAGTGTAGAGTGGATGAGGATCCACTCACTTGCTATGAGGAGGAGCATGGTTATATACCATTCTTGCAGTGTCGCCTGTGACACTGCTCCTGTTCGGAGAGGCCTCCTCAACCCTGCTCCTGCTCCTCATCCCTCCTATCCTCTCCATCCACCTTGTGATGCTGCTTGTTGGCACCGCTTCCCTTGTCTCCTGTGGATGGATGGTCCTCCTGCTGCCTCATCATCATCAGGGGTGTCAGGGGTCTCGCGCCTGAAACCCAGGTCGGTCTGTCGAGATACTCGGTGACTATCAAACTGTGCGACAGCTATTGTCTCGGTATCAGTGACTAGCAAGTTGTGCAGTGACAGCAGGTGGCATTTGTTGTATATACTATCGTAGGTTTCGGCTGACCTCTGTGGACACTCCGTTCAGGGGTAGCTCGGCACGATCAATATCGATGTTATGATGACACCAAGGTCTGGTGTGAGTGTTGATGATGATGAGGTTGATGGTGTTGGTGATGAGATGGGTGATGTTGATGATAATGAGGTTGATGGTGTTGGTGATAAGGTTGGTGGTGTCAACACGAGTGTCCAGTGTGTTGACTTGATGCTTGAAGTGATCCCCGGACCACAGTGGACTACTGCCTTCGGTTCTATCTTGATCCGGACCACTAACCTGCTATGGGTGCCTTCGGACATCAGGTAGTGGTGATACAACACACACACTACGATGAGGAGCAACCTTGATAGATTGCTGCTATGCTGACTGAAACTAATGTATACTTATGCTGAAGTGATAACTAGTTATATGGTGAGTAGAGTGGATGAGGATCCACTCGACCTATTGATGATGAGAAAGCATGGTTATATACCTCTTCTCAGCATCGCCAGCGATGCTGCTCCTGCTCTCTCTCCAGAGAGTACCTTCTTCATCGAGTACTGCTCAGGGGCCTCTCCTGCTTGGCACCCCTGTGCCTCTTGAGCTGTGTCGACTCCTTTGACACTGCTCCTCCTCCTCATGACCTGATGTCAACTCCTTCGACACTGCTCCTCCTCCTCATGACCTGGTGTCGACTCCTTCGACACTGCTCCTCCTCCTTTGATCAGTGACAGTTCCTTTGGCTCTTGTCTCTTGAGCCCCTGAGTGGTAACCATCTGCATGCTCCTTGAGCTTGGTCCTCTTCGTGGCTGTGCCTGCTCCTTGAGCTTGGTCCTCCTCGTGGCTGTGCTTGGCCCTCCTTTGCATGTGAGTCCATAGGAGTCCATGGTCTCCATGGAGACTGCACTACGACCATGCTCTCTACTGATCTCGACTAGATCTTCGATACCTGTGCTCCTTCCATATGAACCTGTGACCCTCCTGCTTCTTGAGCATCCATGCCCATGACACTACCCCCCTCTTAAGAGCCGAGCTCCGTCGAGGCATGCTCTGGTCTGGTCCATGCTGACTCCTCCTCCTCCTCCTCGACAACATCGCCAACATCATCCTTCCTCCTTTTCTCAACATCATCCTCCTTCCTCTTCCTCTCTCTACTCCTCCTGTTCTCTCCCCCTTTCTCTACTTTGTCCACTCACTCGTCCCCCCTCCGACACCTCATACTCCTGGATGAGGTCGGGACAGTTGAGGTTCTCTACTGGTTCCCATGAAGCAGCTTCCTCTGAGTACCCTCTCCACAACACCTTGTACTCCGTAGTCCCATTGTGTGAACGCTTGTCGATGAGTGCTTCGACTTCGAAGTCGAGGTCCTCATCTGGAAGTGATGGTATGGTGGGCTGTTCAGCACATTGAGGAAGAGAACTTGTTCTTGCTGGCTCGAGCATGGAGACATGGAACACATCATGCACCCTAAGGTTTGCTGGCAATGTGATTCGATAAGCTCGGCGTCCTACCCGTTCCTGAACTGGGTAGGGTCCTGCAAACCAGGTATCTAACTTGGGTGTGGGTCTCTGTGTCTTCCAGTTTCGACGGTTGATATAGACCATATCACCCACCTTAAACTCGATGTCCTTGTGCTTCCTGTTATACTGGTCTACTGATCTCCGTTGTGCCTCTCTGATCTGCTCCTGGAGGTACTTGCAACGCTCCTTTCCATCCATGAGGTACTTGAAGCAACCTGGATCATTGACTCCTAGTCATTGAGGGATGTCAGGATGAGCTTTGGGGTTCCATCCATAGCATGCAAAGAATGGTGAGACACCAATGCTGTTGTGGACTGTGTTGTTGTATACAAAGGCCGCAGTGTCCAGCAGGTTGGCCCAGTCATTCTGCTCATAGTTGCAGTACATCCTGAGGTATTGCTCTATGACCTGATTGACTCTCTCTGTCTGACCATCAGTTTGAGGATGGTAAGCCGTGCTAAGTGAGTGCTTCACACCCATTTGCTCTGCAAATGCCTTCCATGCTCCTGATATGAACTGCCTGCCTCGGTCCGAGACCATGTGATCTGGGTATCTGAAGAGTCTAACCATGTGTCCATATAGCAACACTGCAGTCTGTTTGGCCGTGACTGTCTTATGGGTTGGAGCTAGTATGGCAAACTTGGTTAACCTGTCGACAATGACTAAGATAGAGTCATAGGTCTTGGAGTCATACTTCTTCGATGGTGGTAGTCCTTCGATGAAGTCGAGGGATATGGAGCCCCAGGGCCTGTCTGGGGTTGCTAGTGGCTGTAGCAAACCATATGGACGATGACGAGGAGCTTTGTACCTAGCACATACAGGACAACTTGCTACATAGTCTGCAATCCAAGCTGTCATGTTTGGCCACCAGTAATGTCGTTGAGCTGCCTTGATGGTAGCATCTCTTCCTACGTGTCCAGCAGTGATACCATCATGGCATTGGGTCATCACCATGAATCGCAGATGCTCTACAGAGAGAGACTGTCCATCTACCTCTTTGGCACTCCTCGAGTGTCGGTTGTTGGTCCTCCCTGGCATGATCACTTTGGGGATAACCAACCTTCCTCCACTGTACCATAGGTCGTCCTTGAGTTTGAAGGGCTTCTTCCTATGTATCTCCTGTAGCTCTTGGTCCAAGGGCTGGAAGGTCTTGACCAGGTCTTTGAGACCTTTTGATGTTATGGACTCCATCGAGAGCATAGGGGCCACTAGGGTCGAGTCATGGTCTGCTGTCTCCTTGAACACTCGAGGAGGCAGTAGTTGCCTCACATTGTGATCCTGCTCTTCACCAGCTGGTTGCATGTCTGTCCTTCTGGTGAGAGCATCAGGTTCACCACCTTTGTCTCCTGGTCGATACTGCAATATGAAGTCGAAGTCTGCTAGTAGTATGGCCCATCGAGCCTGTCGACCTGTGATGCGTCTCTGTGACTTGAAGTACTTGAGGGCTTCATGGTCAGTGAGGATGACCAGTTGGTTTGGTAGTCCAGCTAGCATGTGTCGCCACTGAGTAAGGCAGGCAACCACAGCTAGGAGCTCCTTGTCATGGATTTCATAGTTCTTCTCGGCAGAAGACATCTTCCTAGAGTAGAAGGCCACTGGATGCCATCGTCCTTCATGCTCCTGCTTGAGTACTCCTGCTATAGCAAAGTCACTTGCATCAGTCTCCAACCTTGTTGGAAGGTGGTAGTCGAAGTGCTGAAGCACTCCTGCTGATGTGAAGGCCTGGATGAGCTTGTGGAAGGCCTGTTGGGCTTCCTCTGGTAGCTCGAACTTCTTGAACCGTTCTATAGGCTTTACCAGTGCTGTCAAGGGCTTGGCTATGTGAGCAAAGTGGGCTATGAACCTTCGATAGAAGTTGGCAAAACCCAGGAACCTCTGGATGTCATGGATTGACTCCGGCATTGTCCACTCCTTGACAGTGTGCACCTTTTCTGGGTCCATCTCTATGCCCATTGGCTTGATGATGTACCCCAGGAACTCGACTGTCTTGGTGTGGAACTCACACTTCGACAGCTTAGCAAAGAGCCTGTTGCTCCTTAAGCGAGTGAGGACCTCGGTGACATGCTTCACATGTGCTTCTTCAGTGTCACTGAAGATCAGGAAGTCATCTAGGTATACTACCACATATATCCCAATGATGTCTTGGAAGATGTCATTGATGAATGACTGGAAGTGAGCCGGAGCATTGGCTAGGCCAAAGGGCATCACTAGGTACTCATAGAGTCCCAACTGAGTGCCAAAAGCTGTCTTCCATTCATCTCCTTTAGCAATCCGGATGAGGTTGTATGCTGCTCTAAGGTCTAGCTTGGTATAGATCCTTGCCTTCCGGAGTAAGAACAGCTGCTCCTCGATGAGGGGCAATGGTGCCCTGTTCTTGACAGTGATCTCGTTGAGACCTCTGTAGTCCACACAGAGTCTGAGACCTCCATCCTTCTTTGGTATGAAGAGCACTGGTGATTGTGCCAGGCTCTTCGATGGTCTTATGAACCCCTTCTCGAGGTTCTCATCCAAGTATCTCCTCAACTCGGACATCTCCTTGGGTCCCTTAAGGTATAGGGGCCCTTGAGGTGGCTTACCTCCTTCTATCAACTCGAGGTGGAGATCATGCTCGGTATGATGGGGCAGCTTGTCTGCTTCCACCTCATCAAACACATCTTGCAGGTGTTGGTATGGCTTTGGTATGTCTGCAGCTGTCACCACCTTGTCTACCTCCACCTCCATCTCGACTCCTTTGTCTGCACCTGTAGGTACAAAACCAAAGGCCGGGAGTGATGATGGTGACTCCTCCAACAGCATGAATCCTATGGGTCCATCTTCTAGAGCTGCTCGTAGTATGTGCTCTGCTGAGACAAACTCGTTACCATGAAGGGTTGGTCTCCTCATGGTCAGGTCCCCTGCTCTTGCTGCTTCAGGGGGTCTCCTTGGGGGTTGGTCCTGCTCCTGAGTCTTGAACTCCAGCTGGCCCATATCCCATTGTATGGTGGGTTTGAGCCTCTGTAGCTCAGTGAACCCCAGGATGAGGTCATAGTCTGCAGTGTCGGCCACTGAAGCTTCGACCACACCCAGATTGTGTGTACCAATAGATACCTGCATGCTCACAGAACTATTGATGGAGAGTTGGTGCCCGGTGACACCATGGATCGATCTTGTTTTTATGGGTTTTGTGGGTATTTGGTACTTACTAATGAAAGAATCTGAGACTATGGACAAACCAGCACCAGTATCAGCTAGTATCCGAGCAGGATGGTCTTGAACCATTCCAGAGAGCTCCAGTACTGCTTTGCCTCCACTGGTAGAGAAACATACTTGACAATCTTGATATATACAGAGTGATGGCGAGGAGGTTTGTAGAGCAATGCATGCCATCAGTGCATCACCCCACTGACGTTTCCCTCATCGTCATCATCATCATGCTCCTCCTCGTGATCGGGGTCCATGGGTTGCTGGTATGAGCTGAGGTCCATGGCCTCGGGGTCACCTGTCTCAGGGCTGCCTGTGTGGCCATCTCCTGAGTCGGTGGCCTCCTCAAAGGGGTCTGCTGTGGTGACCATAACCTTTGGTCCCACGGGTCGAGAGCTAAGAGGGTCTACCCTCCTGCTGGGGCAGTCTCTGGCCCAATGGCCAATACCCCTGCATACATGACAGGTGTTGATACCTGATGGAGCAGGGCTTCCTTGCTTTGAGGGTTGGGTGGGATGATGAGGAAGGGGTCGGTTTAGGTTTTGTATAGTTGCTTGTGTAGTTGCTTGTGATGGTGATCGAGCTGGATAAGGTTGAGTGGGTTGTCAGATGGGGATTGAACTTTGATTTGGCCGAGACCCAGTTCTTAGTGGAGGTGACATGGCATTTGGGAGTGAGTGTCTAGCAGAGGACTGCTGTAGTAGCATCCTCTGTCAATTGATCTCCTCGACCTCTTGATACCACTCCCATCTCTTCCCAGGTGGATTCCTCTCGAACTTCTCCTGTATGCTACGAGTGAGACTACCTCTGAAGAGATCAATCACTAGCTCATTGTCATCTAGGTTGACCTGTCCTTCCAAATCTCTGAACCGCTCTACATGACGGGTGGCGGCACCAGGAGCATCACTTGTGAGTCTGAGAGCCAACAGCTTGTTGTATGCCTCCATCCTAGCATTGCATGGGTTGAACTGCTCTGACAGTCGCTCTGTGAAGTAGTGCCAATCATTGAACAACCTTCCTTCTCTAGCTCTATCAATGCGGAGCTTGGAGGTCCACCACTCTCTTGCTGTCCCTTCCAGTTGAGCACCCATGTGATTGATCATCCTAGACTGCTCATACACCTGGTTGAACTTAAACCATGCTTCAGCTTCTAGAATGAAGATCTCCATGTCTCGGGGATTGAACTTTGGAAAGGGGGTGGCGATGGGCTTTGACCGGTTAAGCTCTGCCATGATGCTGGTGTCCTCCTTGTGGTCCAGGGGGTAAGGGTCCGTCCTAGTCCTGCTGTAGGGGTCCAGCTTAGTCTTGACATATCTTGGCCCAGTAGGTGAAGCATACTTCTCGTAGTTGATGTCCTCCTGCTCATCCAGGTTGAATGAGACTGATCGTCTTGGTCATGGTGCTGGAGTAGGAGTATGTGGGTCTCCTATCATAGACTCATCTCCTCCTCCTGCTTGGTCTTCTGAGTGAGAGAGGTCCATTGTCTCCTCCCTGCTCAGTTGAGCTCGTTGTAATCGTTCCTCTCGATGACCCTGTCTGGTAAGCACTATCTGTGCTTCCAATAGAGTGAGTAGTCTATCGAGCTTATTGTTGAGGTCTGGGTCTGTCATGGTGATCGTGAGGAGCTGCTTGAATGATCCACTCTAATGTCAGGGGTCTCGCGCCTGAAACCCAGGTCAGTCTGTCGAGATACTTGGTGACTATCAAACTGTGCGACAGCTATTGTCTCGGTATCGGTGACTATCAAGTTGCGCAGTGACAACAGGTGGTGTTCATTGTATATACTACCGTAGGTTTCGGCTGACCTCTGTGGACACTCCGTTCAGGGGTAGCTCGGCACGATCAATATCAATGTTATGATGACACCAAGGTCTGGTGTGAGTGTGGATGATGATGAGGTTGATGGTGTTGGTGATGAGATTGGTGATGTTGATGATAATGAGGTTGATGGTGTTGGTGATAAGGTTGGTGGCGTCAACACGAGTGTCCAGTGTGTTGACTTGATGCTTGAAGTGATCCCCAGACCGCAGTGGACTACTGCCTTCGGTTCTATCTTGATCCGGACCGCTAACCTGCTATGGGCGCCTTTGGACGTCAGGTAGTGGTGATACAACACACACACTATGATGAGGAGCAACCTTTGATGGATTGCTGCTATGCTGACTGAAACTAATATATACTTATGCTGAAGTGATAACTAGTTATGGTGAGTAGAGTGGATGAGGATCCACTCGACCTATGATGATGAGAAAGCATGGTTATATACCTCTTCTCAGCATCGCCAGCGATGCTGCTCCTGCTCTCTCTCCAGAGAGTACCTTCTTCATCGAGTACTGCTCAGGGGCCTCTCCTGCTTGGCACCCCTGTGCCTCTTGAGCTGTGTCGACTCCTTTGACACTGCTCCTCCTCCTCATGACCTGATGTCAACTCCTTCGACACTGCTCCTCCTCCTCATGACCTGATGTCGACTCCTTCGACACTGCTCCTCCTCCTCATGACCTGGTGTCGACACTGCTCCTCCTCCTTTGATCAGTGACAGTTCCTTTGGCTCTTGTCTCTCGAGCCCCTGAGTGGTAACCATCTGCATGCTCCTTGAGCTTGGTCCTCTTCGTGGCTGTGCCTGCTCCTTGAGCTTGGTCCTCCTCGTGGCTGTGCTTGGCCCTCCTTTGCATGTGAGTCTATAGGAGTCCATGGTCTCCATGGAGACTGCACTACGACCATGCTCTCTACTGATCTCGACTAGATTTTCGATACCTGTGCTCCTTCCATATGAACCCATGACCCTCCTGCTTCTTGAGCATCCAGGCCCATGACAAGTGCCTGCTAGTGGCCTCTGTATCAGTGTATCTTAATTTAACTGGCTCCCAATGTGGGGCTCGAACCCACGACATTCACCATGGCAGGAGAAGGAGATCACCAAGCTGGTGAGACAGCCAAGAAGACAAAAGGAGGAAGGAAAGGAAAGGTAGTCCAACAAGTACAGATTGACGATGAGGCCACTGATGGTAACAAAACTGAGTTCAATTAAGCAGAAGAAGGGTCAGACTCCGACGATGACAACGAATGGTACGACTACCACACCTTAGCCAAGATCGTGGAGGCAGTCCCCAAACTCACGTCGTGAAACTACTATAGCTGGAGCACCCTCATCAAGGCCACTCTCAGAGTTGTTCCCCATGCCATTCAGCACTTGGAAGGCACATATGATAACAACCATCCAAAATGGGACAGAAACTTTGATGACGCTTTAGCAGGTGTGCTATGTAGCACTTTAGACACCGAAGGAGAGCACAACATCCTCTACTTATTGCTTGACATTAGTAAAGCATATTTGACTTTCCACCAAACCTGGAAGAAAATCGAAAATGGCCTGACCAGTGAAGCTACTAGGATCTTGTGACAAATTGCACTCCTCACACAACTCAATGAAGTCAAGATGTTTAATGCCAATGCATGGAAGCTAGTCCAAGACATTAGAGTCATGCAAACAGAGACAAGCCTACTGGGAGCACCTTTCAGTGACGATGCCATATACACAGCACTCCAAAGGTGCACGATCTGGCACCCGGTCTACAAAGAAACGGTCGCCACTGTCCATCAAGTTAGTTTCGATGCACTCGCCACAGCATTAATGATGCACCAATCTGCAATCAAAAGCATCCCTGCCCAAAAGGTGGATCCATGACAGGCAAGTGCTCAGGCAGCTGGTAGCAATGAGCAGGACAGTGACACTGATGAGGATGCTGAAAGCTCAAAGGCTAAGACTGGACCAAGGAGGATTCACTGCTGGGTGTGCAGATGCTATGGACATGGCGCGAGAAAGTGCGATGCCACTGTCACCATCCCCGAGAACTCCCCCCTCACCCAGACTAAATAGGAAGTCTGGTGCTCACTCACTCCGAGTTGGCGAAGGCCCCCAAAATCAGACCAATCAATCCATTGGGTTCTAGATTCGGGAGCAACCTTCCACATGATTAATGACTACAGCATGTTGATCCATCCAAGAAAGTGCAGAAAGCATGTGTATACCGCCAGAAGTGAAGTCTTAGAAGTGACTGCTGTAGGGGACGTTAGCATATCAACAGAGTATGGAGAGATACTGCTCCAAAATGTTCTTTATGTTCACAGTCTCAATATTAATCTATTGTCAACCAACTCATTGATGGACGAAGGAGCACATGTGACCCTAGACCCTAAAGGGGGACAAATATATTTGGCAGATGGCACGATACTAAAAATAGTAAAGAATCACAAGAGTGGATTGCTGGAAATACAAGGTGATACATGGTGACCAAATGCGATGACTGCATCAACACTGCTGTTGGAAGGGGTGGATGAAGAATTTGGGCTAGCTGAATGGAAAACAAAAGTTTCCACAAAACAGCTCTGGCATGAGCAACTGGGACACCCAGGTCAAGATAAGTCCAGGGCAATCATCAACAAATTGAGAGGTGAACCTGTAGAAGCATTGGACCCAAACACAGCTCTGACATGTGAGCCATGTATACAATCCAAGAGTATGGTCGCCAGGATGGGGCAAGGTAGCGGCGAAAGAGCTGCAGGGCCCCTGGATCTCGTCCATATCGATCTAATCATTGATTCATCCCATGTGACAGAGTACACATGCATATTAGTACTGGTCGATGACTATAGCAAGTATGTGCACATACAGCCACTATCATGAAAAGGTCACACATTTGTGCAGCTCAAGAGAATCATTTTATTCCTAGAAATGCAAATGAATAGAACATTGAAAGCAATTCGGTCTGATCAAGGGACCGAATGGAGGAGCAACAAGGCACTGGAATGGACACTTGGGAAAGGGATAGAATGGCAGACCACCGTGGGATACAATAGCAGACAAAATGGACAAGTGGAACAAATGAACAGGAGTTTAGGTGAAAAGATGCGGACATTACTGATACAGAGAAACCTACCAAAGGTCTTTTGGCCATATGCAATCTGGGCAGCGGCTTTCAAGGTGAACCTAACTCCTAATGTTGATGGAGAATTCCCTTACCAGCTAATGTTCAGAAAGTTGCCAGAATGTTTCATACATCTCATGCATGTATTTGGATGTTTGGCTTGGGTAAATGTCCCAAAAGCCAAGAGACACAACAAGAAATTGGATCAGAGAGCAGTCCCAGCCATATTCATAGGATACAGCTTGGAGAGAAAGGGATGGCTGTTCTACAGCCCTGGTTACAGCCCAAACATCTTCTGGAGCAACTCAGCCAAGTTCATGGAAACTCAATGTTGGTCAGACCAAACAGAATGGAAGCCAGTGAACATTCAACCACCTCCAATTCTGAACAATGAGGAGGACCTAGCTAACTTGGGGTACATGGAGGAGGACCTCTTTAACAAGGATGATCAAGATCCCTTGAGTGAATACATGAGCATGGAGACAATCTTGGGGGAAGGGGAGCACAAGGAGCCGAGATATGAAGCACAAAATTCTTTTGGGCTAGTAATGACAGGGTTTAAGAAGGAGGAAAGGAATCTCAACCCAACCATTTGGGAGGCACTGGCTGGAGAGGACAAGAGGTTCTGGGAGGAAGCAATGTGCAAAGAGCTAAAAGGGCTAGAAGCAATGAATACATGGGAGACCACTGACTTACCATGTGATACAAACACAGTCAACACGCATTGGGTATTGAAAATTAAGATGGACACAAATCTGATACCCACAAAGTACAAGGCGAGACTAGTAGCACAAGGGTTCACGCAAAGGAAGGGGATAGATTATATGGAAATCTTTGCACCCGTGGCACCCATTCAGTCAATCAGGGGAGTACTAGCGATTGCTGCCATGCAGGACTGGGAGGTCGACTCAATCGATGTCAAGCAGGCTTACTTGAACTCCAGCCTACACCATGATGTCTACCTCAAGCCACCCATCGGAATGAAAGTGCTGCCAGGGAAGGTACTAAAGCTCATGAAAGGGCTCTACAGTCTGAAACAATCAGGCTGCGAGTGGAACATAGAGTTAGACACACAATTGCGAAAGATCGGCTTTCACTGCATGTCGAGCACCCCATGCCTGTACTCGAGAGGGACAGACGATTGACTCACAGTGATAACAGTGTATGTGGACAATATGCTCATTGCATCGCCTAGCTGGAAGGAAGTTGATCACACCAAAGCAGAGATCATGAGCAAGTGGGAGACAGAGGATAATGGACCAGTAAAGGAATTCTTAGGTATGAAAATCACATGAGACAGGGGCCAAGGCAAAATATCGCTCGACCTAATGGCGTACATTAAAAGCATGGTAAGTAAATGGTTGGAAAGGCCAAACAAAAGGTCATGGATACCGATGCAAAGCATTGCAAACACTGTTGGAGGAAGCAAATGTACTCCAGAGCAAGCTAAACGATATCAGGAGTTGGTGGGTCAATTGCTATGGGTGTCCAACACAGTATGGCCAGACATCTCATTCACAGTTGGAGTCCTAGCACAACATATGTCAGAACCAAATGATAGCGCATGGCAAGCGGGGATACATCTGCTGAAGTACCTGAACCAAATGAGCGAATATTGCCTGGAGCTTGGAGGAATGCATAGGAAGCATGTGAAACAGCCAGTGGTCATGTATACCGATGCAAATTGGGCTTTGGACCCTACCAATGGACGAAGGAGTATGTCTGGGGCAGTCACATATGTATATGGATGTCCAGTCAGTTGGAAATCGCATGTACAGAAGTGCATAGCATTGTCAGCAGTGGAGGCAGAACTAGTCGCTGCATTGGAGGCAGTGAGAGAAGCCCTTTTCTTCTTGTATTTACTCAGGGATTTAGGGATCACAGAAGTCGAACCAGTCTTGTACACTGACAGTCAAGGATGTATACAGGTCAGCAAGGATCTGGCCAAGCATTGGAAACTTAAACACATCAACACTAGGTATTACTTTGTTAGGGACCATGTGCAAGATGGCGACATATCGATTGAGTATGTTGAAACAGCCAGTAATGTGGCTGACATACTTACAAAGCCTCTCAAGGGATTCAACACAACAAGGATATCAAGGATGATAGGATTGGGCATGCCATTGTGGGGGGGAGTTGAAGATGCACCAGCATCACCAGCGCGCGACACAGTAAAAGGGAACACACAGGATTGGGGAATTGGAAAGGTATTGGGTGATGAGGAAGACAAACAGAACATGAAGCTAGTGGGAGCTAACACAGCCTATGCATGAGGATTAACACCATGGTATGCAAGGGGCATGTTGCTATGACAATGCCTATGAAAGCAGATATGTGGCATATGGACATGACTTGACAAAGTAAGTACAGACGGGTGCCCAGAGCATGTATATATAATACAAGTCATGTTGCTACCATACAACGAAAATTTAAGCCTTTTTATCTGAGACTACCCGATTGTGAGAGTGCCTGCTAGTGGCCTCTGTATCGGTGTATCTAAATTTAACTCATATCTTCCAACAACTGGCACTCTCTACCATGATGGCAAGGGATGTGATGACTTGCTTGCCTTAAGTGCCACTGGTGTACTCAAAGACTGGTCCATCCTTTGGTTCTTCAGGTGTACTGTAGGCCTTGTTGTTGATGACCCTACAGAAACAGCCTTGTAGCATGTTTGGGAGACAAGGGACGAGGTCCTCGATTGTCTCAAAAAAGTCCTTGTAAGCGGAGTAGTAGTGGTTCGACATAGTAGTGAATCTTCTTGTTGGTAGTGGATTGACTTGGGCTCATAACCTGATAAAAGATGACAGCTAGCGACGCTCAATGAGCGAAATCAGTCAAAGCACAGTACTGCTGCTATTGGGGCAGAAAAACTATACTCAATTGGCCTAGATGGAGCAATGTGGCAGACTGGAGCTCTCTGTTCGACGTATATATACAGTAACAAGGTGCTGCCGAAGGCGGGAGTATATCTTTCAAGATGAAGTGTGGCCTCGAGCGGGACCAAGCAACGTCCGAGGTCTTGCCGCATTGGCCGATGTTCTCACCAACACCTTGCTGGATCGTACCCTTCAGCAAAGCAGTGTGCGACAAGGCTGGTCACGGAAACAAAATCTTGTCCCAGGCGGTCGACATTGCCGATGATGCTTCCATCCACTGCCATCGCATCTGCCTTTCGATCGGGGCGTCTCCAATGAGAATTGATCCTGAGCTGAGAAGCCGATGACGGCAGGATTCTATAAGTCACTGCAAGGACATGGGACCCGGAAGACTGCCGGGACTGTTCGTCTGTTTCACTTGGGTATCGCTGATCCCTAGGCTCGGAGAGCGATCTCGGCGTCATCGTATCATCATCTCACCACTGGCGTGTAATTAGCTCAGTGCCCGAGACAGAGAGAAGAAGGCGCGACACAGTCTACTATTCACACAGTCGCTTTCATACTGCTGCACTTTGGGCTGACGACAAAGGAAAGGTTATCATTGCAAGCCGCTAATGGTGCCCTCAACGCCTTTCCTTACACGGCTGAAGATACCGGTGGCCAGATCTTTGGCACCACTTGCTGCCTCGCCCAGGTATTCCGGGTGGAGAAGATTGGCAGCCGCGCCGGCAACGGAGCCATCCTGCCTCGAGCCACCTGCTCCACCTCCGACCGCTAATTGCACGGGCCCAATGCTTAAATTCAGCGCCGGTCCACCGCTGCCCAGGTTGGCGGGGGGCTTTGCAAATCGCCCATCGAAGCGTGAAGCGGCATCTTGTATCATATCCAAGTATGTTTTGCTGTTGTGTATCGAGGTACCGCCGAGCAGAAATCTAGTCCCAGTGCCAACCATGCCACCGACAGGCGACTGTTGTGCTGCGACCTGTGCACCGCGTTGATGCTGAGCATTGAGGAGCGCGATCGAGCGAGCTTCTTCGTAGGTTGCACCACCAATGATGAACAAGATGACGTCTTGCGGTCTCTCTGCGGGATTTGATGGTGTACCAGTTTGGCTCGGAGATACGAAGGGATAGCTTGTGTCTCTTAACCTTCCGCGCATCAGGTTGTCCACCGTTTGGACCAGATGAGGGGTGTGCTGGGTGTATACATTTTCAACACCCTTGAGACCCTTGAGTGCGCTTCTGCCTCTGGAGAAGAAGTTCTCATTGGCGAACAGGTCATCCTGCCTTTGATCCGCTCCGGCGATGTTGAGTGTAACAAAAACTAGTGCGGCTCGACTTTCTGGAACGCCAGCTTGGAGCAGATCTTGCACCACCTTCTGGATCTGATTGCTAGGCAGCTTTTGATATCTCAATGCATAGAGGATAGCGACGCGGATCTTGGCGTCATGGGGAATCTTTGGTGATTCGATCTTGGCCTGAACAGCCTTGAGATCTGCAGCGTGACTTTCCACGCTGGCAAGACTCTGCTCCAACTCCGAGATCTCCAGCAGCGAGTCTTTCTCCACCCGACGACTAAGTTGGCCCAAAAGTGCAACGTGCTTGCTGACATTGCCGCCAAGTTTACGGAACTCTGGATACTCTTCAACGAAGCGTTTCATGTCGGCAACCGTATCGATGGTGGCATTCGAAGCGGTCCTGGACTGGTATTCTAGGACATACTTCTTGATCGAGGCGCCCAAGTCTCCGAAGTTGTCATAGAGGTTGGCGGAGAAGAAAGGATCCTGATCTCCGGACAGAACGATTTCCTGTAAAGAAGAGCAGGGATAGGTCGAGGCAGCGGCGTACCGCAAGGTCGTCAATCAGAAGCCGCTTCGCACCTTCGGCCTGCCCGTATCAATACTCACCTGGAGATCTGGACGTACACCATCGGCGTCAGCAAGACTAACACGCCCATTGCGGATACCGAGAAGCTCGTGAACCATTGCCTGATATGTCCATTGCGTCAGCAACGGTGTGACGGGGTCATTCCTGCGATCTAAGATTAGGAGCAAAGGGGCCGTTTCTGTTCTCCTGAAGTCGAAAAGACCCGCTTGGCTATTGTTGATTTGGTACTGTGTGGCGGGGAGCAAGAGCAGGGGAAGCATTGTAAATAAGTATCAATTAGTCTGACTTAATAGGTGTGGCAAGCCCCAAGACAGACAAGAGGTAGCACTTACTGAAAGCTCTTCTCCCAGCTTCTTTGCGAGCGAGCTCATCCTCTCGTATCGTATGATGGGGCGCTTCTTGAGGCTGAGCAAGAGAGCAAGGAGGCCTTTGATATGTTGGTCGAGACCTTGCTGATCCCATGCGGCGGGGCTGTCGGCCCAGATGCGTGATGGGGGGGTATCAATATTGAGTGAGAAAAGATCGGAATTGACTGGAAGGTAATCGGCAAAGAACTCTTGAATCTCCTTGACCACCTCGTGCTCGTCTGCTTCTGCGAGAAGTTCAATGTCCTGCTTCTGGAGGACGTTGGTGAAGTAGAGCCAGTAAGACTTATATTTTGGCTGGCGAAGCTCTCGAGTCAGAGCTGAGATCGATTGCGGTGTTGGACGAACTAGCGCGATGCAATTGAGATGGCGCATACGGTCGCGATTGGCATTGTCGACACGATCGGTGAGGTATACCTCATGGCTGAGTAGCGAAGACTGCGTGAAGGAAGTTGAGATGATGGGTGTGGTGTGCTGGTCGAGCAAAAGAACTTTGATACCTGTAACCTCGGTTATCATGCGTTGAATGTACGCCGACACGGCCTTGGTGACGTCCATAGCGGCGTCTAGCAGCGCGGTGTAGACCGACAGCGACAGCCTTGATGTGTCAAGGACGTCAGTGGACGATCCGCGGCGATTATGGGGAGACGGTCGAGAAGATGCTTGGTAGTGTATGTGTGGGTGAGAAGAAGGCAAGGTTGAGGCGGACGTGTGTATTTGTGTGGACGAGCAGCGCTGGTCCGTGCCATCGCCTAAATCCGAAATCCGAAATCCGAAAATCCGAAAATACGGAATACGGAATACGGAATACGGAATATGGAATGCGGAATGCGGAACCCGGGACTCGAAACTCGAAACCCGAAAAGTGCAACACAAGACACAAACATGTTGGTTGGTTGGTTGGTTGAATGCGTGCATACCACCATCTTGCGCAAGACCTCCTGTCGAGTGCCAAGGCCTGGACCACGATGCCATCAACTATCAGCAATGTGGTCCCCTACCATCCCAACGAGTACATCCAGACCGCGCTGACGGGCAACAAAGTGTCACGGAAGGCGACAATTCTGGGTTCACAGAACATCATCTTGGGCGGCAAATGCGTGATACAGCAGGGCACCATCATTCGTGGGGACCTCAAGAGGATAGCACCGCCATCGACTGCCTCAGCGACGACCGGAGTCCAAGCGCAGCAGGCACAATCAGTAACCATCATGATCGGGAGATACTGTCTGCTGGCGGAATCGAGCGTGGTCAGGCCACCATACAAAACATACAAAGGGTGAGTTTGGACGCTCTCGGCACATTCTTATCTGTTCAGCAAACATTGAAATACTCATATCCTGCCTTGTCCTGTCTGCAGGATTTTCTCCTACTATCCCATGAAGATAGGCGATCATGTTTCAGTTGGAGCTAACACGGTGCTCGAGGCAGCATCAGTAGGCGCACACGTCGAGATCGGCGCCAACTGTCTCGTCGGACGCTTCGTCATTATCAAAGACTGCGCACGCATCTTGGATGGCAGCGTAGTAGCGCCCAACACTGTTGTTCCCTCCTTCTCCATCTTCGGAGGTAGCCCAGCCAGACTGGTGGGCGAGCTGCCCGAGACTTTCTCTGAGAGCTGCGAAGCCAAGATGAAGGACTTCTATCAACGCTTCAGACCGGCGAACGAGCGTTGAGGATGATACTTGGCCAAGCGTGCATCCCTAATCCACTACGTCTACTTGTTGTCAAGGGCTAACAACAGCGTCCAAGTGTCATATCTGCTTCTAAGCTACTCAGAAATCCCAGAAAGGGAGGGCAACTCGGCTTCCTCAAGAAAGGTTTGTTTCCCTCCAACTCCGACCACTTGTACGTGCTTTCCGGCTTCAATGCTCCCCACATGCTCACTTTGCACCTTTTAACACCGAAAGGACCAAACACACGCACCTCTTTTCGTCGAACGAGATGGAGAGTAAGGAACTCAGTTAACAACACCTTCTCCCACCGCACCACCATATCTTGCGCAGCGCCAGCGAATCAATGCTCGCTTCGACTTGTTATGCCAGCACGCACCTTTCTGTCGAGAAACGCTGCGACTGCGCTTCTTGTCGACCTCGACATTGGCGACTAAAGCAGACGTAATGAAGATGCAAAGGTACAATCTGTTGATCGACTTGAACGGAACATGCCATATTGGAGATACTCCTACGCAGGGAGCTATTGAGGCGATATCGAAACAGGCTCGTCTGCAGCAGCGGTTTCCAGGCCGTGTCAACCTTGGCTTCTGCAGCAATACCAGCAAGGAATCGTCATCTTCGCTGCTCTCACGTTTGCGACGAGTGGGCTTGGGTGAGATGGTGTTTGGTGTAGCGGCTCTTTGCTTTGAAAAGATCCACGTTGAACCCTTTTCCCAGTCTCTTGGCTCGTCTTTCTCGCCGAGCTGGTTTATGCGAGTTGAGGACCTCACTGCAGCATTGGCTCCAGATTCATATACTCTAGCCTTCTGCCGTTGCAGTAAGAAGACTTGACATGCTGCGTATGAACAGCGTCAAGCCTTGATACCGCAACCGGCCACCACCATTTTGCCATGCCATGTTACATTTCGAATTTAACAGCGTACAATACACTTGAAAATTGCCTCCACCTCTGCCAGCCAAGGAACCATAGGCTTCCTTTCCCCCCCTTCTTCCCTGATCTGCTTCCCTGATCTGCTTCCCTCACCTCCTTCCCTCGCCTCCTTACAACCATCATCATCAAAAGTCGCCGCGACTGATAGCCGCAGTCTATACTTTTCGCACAATCTTCAATCCGCCCATCCGGTCACGCAGCCGCTGTTACTCATCGTTGTGTTGTACAACAGACACCACGGCTTCAAAACAAGAGAACCCATCTTTCTATCCGCTCATTATTGGCTTCTTGACTTTCTTGAACTACCAAACAAAAGCGGAATCACACTGCACTTGCCCGGTATCAAGCCGTATCCTTGGTCCCCACCGTGTATCCAGAGCCAGGATGTCGCCCAACTCGATAGCATCGGGTCCGACCTCATCACCGGCAGCATCAACCAAGAGAGATCGTTCCAATACTGTTCAAGATGCAGCAGCTCGTGGTCAAGCAGATCGCGGTCAAGCAGATCGTGGTCAAAAGCGAACCAGAGTCCGTCAAGCGTGCAACCGTTGTAAAGCACGCAAGATCAAATGTGGCGATCTGAGACCTTGCAAGAACTGCACCAGCCTCGGTCTCGTCTGCCGCGACTGGCGACCTGGAGAGGAGCCATACGAGCAAAACTCGCTTGCTCATCCCGCTGGACGATCTTCATCCGCACTCACCGAAAACCCGTCAGCTCCATGGCCTTCGACAGACTACCACTTTCCTCCACACTCTAACTCGGATCCACAGTTCCATCGTGCCAGCCGACATGCTGAGATGGATGCTAGAGCCGAAAGGTCGGGTTCCGCCATCCCTTGGCCCAATACCCCCTATGAACGATCACATCACACTGTAGCTTGGCCTCCCAAGCTTGATCCAAAACGTCACCGCTACCTTGCCTACCCATATGTGAGTCTCTTTTGATTCTACTGAATGTCGACTGGTTGCTCTAATACTGACCCTGTTGCCCTTGCTTCCCTTTCGAACCTGTAGGACTCAATCTACCGCAACGAGTTTGGCCACTTGAAGGCTCTCTCCTTGTCATCCGGTCTTGGCACGCTCTCTTATCTTCACGAATATCACAAACTGGCCAATGAGCAATTCCTCGATGCCCTCTGGCAGGTGCTCGAGGGCGAAAACCAAGAAGGTGCCAACATGCAAATGTTTGCTCTTGAAAACGAGTCGCTCTCTCCTCACTCTCATGGCAGTCACATGGGCTCTGGTCTTGGTGCGCCAACTGGTGCCTTTCCCGACTCTCTCGCAGCTCACTGGTCACTGGGCGGTGCTCCTTCTCTCAATGTTCCTTTCACCTTTGATGCAGCGGCTGGTCCCACACCCGAACGGTTCGCTTCCATGCAGATTCCCGCCAAACCTACCTTTTCCATCGCCAGCACCTCGTCCGCAGAGACCTCACCGGCCAACATTACTCCACAATCACAAGAGCCACGTCGGACTCGCTCAAAAAGCCACACTCTTTCCTCAGCCGCTAGTAGGAATGGCGAGCCTACATCCACCTCAGAGCAGAGCCAGCCAGCAAAGACCTATCTCGAAGCTGGGCCGCCGCCTGAAGACCTTTGGACTTTCATCAGCACCAAGATACCACAGCAACACCGACGCTCTCTCCTCCATACCTTCTTGTCCACCACCTACGTCCTCTGGCCAACCTTTATCCTCTCCGAGTTTCTTGTCACTCTCAAAGACGAACGTGAACGTCAGAATGCCACGTTTGTCTGTCTTGTCATCGCATGTTGTGCGGTCGCTGCTCGTCAGGAAGCAGGCAGCGTCAAAGGTGGACAGGCAGCAGAATGGGGTCGCAACTTTGGCTTCTTCGAGCTTTATCTCGACATTCGTAGGCTTGCTCCACGCAACACCGATTGGGCAAGCTTGAATCACATCCAGGCTCTCTTCTATCTTTCTCACTATTGCTTTGGCGCTTCTGGACCATTTGGCGTCACGAGGGCGCATTACCTGATCAACGGCTGCGTCTCGAAATGCTTCGACGTCGGACTTCATCGATCTGCAGAAACCTACACTGAGGCATTCACTGCTTCAGAGATCGAAGCCCGTCGTCGTACACTATGGGCTGTTTATTGCGGTGACAAGATCTCAGCTGCTTATGGACGACCTGTTATGCTGCGTCTCTCCGATATCGATGTGCCCGAGCTGGATGTCGACTCGGAGGAATACACGGAAAGGTTACCTGCTGCGACATCCTTTGACCGTGCATGCACGCTACGGCCATGGCATCGCGCTGCTGTTCGCCTCTTCTGCGTTCTGGAGCGTGTTATTGACAAGATCAATCTTCCCGCATGCAGTTCGTCGGCAGCTCTTGAGCGCGTTATGCGCAAAAAGCCAAAGCGACCTAGGCAATCGCAAAATCATGACGATAGTTGCATGGCTGACCACGAAGCTATTGGTTTTGATGAAGAGCTGGAGCGTAAGTATTATCAGCGTCCAGCTTTCACTTATGATGCTTGATGTAACTGACATTTTTTTTGTTTCTTCTTCATCGATCTCTTCGTTGTGCAAGTTGTCGATGATTTCCGATTCGCCGATACTCCCAAGCCAACATCGGCTCATGAAGATGACGCTATGTATCAAGCTCACGTAGAGCGTCTGCGGACAACAGCAGCTTTCATTAAGATCTTTATCTATCGTCATCTTTTTTGTATGGCAAACACCAATCTCTCTCGTCAACCACCGCGTATCGATTATCGCGATGAGATGGTCAAATGGTGTCGAGAACTTCTTCTTTCTCAACGCAAGATGATCCAACGCGGTGATTATACAGACTTTGGTTCTGTTATGTCTTATCAACTTAGTCAGACTGGTCGAGGTTTGATTCCTGCCATTTACATTACCTCTCGTTTGATCGATCCCTCGCAAGATTCAAAGTCGTCCGCTATTCTTAAAGAGGCACAGGAGTTACTTGTGCTTGCGTATGATTTGCTTAGACAGTTGTCTAACCGCTTTACAGCGTCTAACCGACAACTTCAGATTATGCAATCTGCTTTCCGTCGTCTAGATCTCAGTCTTAGGAAAAGACATCATGTCCGTCGTTCGTCAGGCGCGCATCAGGCTTCGTCCCATACCCGTGCTCACGGTAATGGAGAAAGAAATGACATTCAGGGTGTCACTGCACCTACATGTACGCATAAGGAGATCACTAGTGGTCTTGACCTTATCGCAGGTGTTGCTGGAGCAGAGTTGCTTGGCACAGAAGGTCTTGGAGAATCAACGGCGAGTAATGAAGAGGAGGACGACTTTGACGATCTTGATAGAGATAAGAAGCCTGGATGTAAGTTGACTTGTATCAACGTCCCTTGGGTTGCTTTGCTCGGTTGCGCATGCTGACTTTTACCTATGACAATTGCCATGGATTTTGTATCGACAGGGATCTCGGATTTGCCCATCAATCAACCGGCGGAGAAAACAGCTCCGCATCCGGTGAGCGCTTTTGTAGGATGGCCTCCTGCATCTGGTTCAGGGAATGCCTCCTCGTGAAGAGTGATCTGCCTCACAGGCATGCACACGCCAAATCCGTTTGGCACTTTGCACCATTCGTCCTCTGTGAAGCGTGATGTTGAGTCTGTGCGCGGCAGACTGTGTGAGCTGGAAGAAGGCCTCATGGCTGGAATGCGTGATACGATGAGATTGCAAGGAATGTAGAGCGATTGCAGCTTGAAGATGCTAAGAACTGCCTTCAGGCCTTGGCAGCAGCCACCCAGGCAGCAGAAACGAGGATAATAAGCATCCCTAAGCCACTCAGTGGCTGAATCGGCACGTGCAGGAAGACTAACTGATACAAGGATGCATAAACGATCTGCAAATACGTCAGCGATACAGCCCTTGCTGCCTTTTCTCGCTGTAGACCCATAGCCAGCAAGATCTGTGCAGCGAGACCGAAGATTCCGACGCACACAAGAAGTGCGATCCACTTTGGCTGAGTGGGGAGGAGGAAGTGTGTCCCTGTAAACCACATTAGGAAGCCGCTAACGATGGTCGAGTAGAGCGAGAAGTAAGCGACTGAATGGGTTGCTGATGCTCGATGACCGATAGCACGGATGGTGATGTACGCTCCCGCGCCTCCACAGACTCCTAGCAATGCAAGACTGATGTGGGGGGAAGAAGAAAGTGGATCGTGGAAGTCAGTATTTGGCATGCAGGAGAAAGACTGGGGGCGGGGGGAGGGCAAGGGTTATATGCTTACCCAACAGCAAAAAGACGCTGCTTCTCAGTGACGCCGTCAATGGCGACTAGGCCATCTGCGCCGTTAATCAGCGTCGTGTTGGCGCTGTTTCGTCTCAAGACATCAGTTGCAGTCAAGTTCTGCACGAGATGCTTGAGGACGGCGACGCCTGCTTGGAGGGTAGCATTGTGGCCATCAGTGTCGGTCACATTGAGGAGATCGACAGTGAGTGGATGGTCGAGGTCGGAATCAGCAGCCTTACGACCAAAGATGAAAGCCGGTCGTGCAATCAAGACGACACCTGATAGACTGATGATACCACCCAATGCCTCACGAAGGGTGAATGGCTCACCAAGTACGAGCAAGCCGAGCAAGCCAGTAGCGAGAGGAGCCAAGAAGGTGATGACAGTCGCATCGGCAAGCGATAGGAACTGAAGTGAGTAGTATAGACCGACTGCAAGACAACAAGCAAGAGTAGGATGAGGTGAGTAGAGTGCTCGAATCATGAGGTGCGGGATGAGCAAGTGACTTACAAAGACCAAAGAAGCCAACAAAGCCTCGCAAAGCCAAAAGCTTACGAACTTCCTTGGGCCCCAAAAATGGATTCTCGACACCAGAAACGAGCATGAAGCCGACACAACCAACCCAAGTGATGGACATCCTGATTAGGATGATTTCGAGCGCCGTGACGGGTGCACTCTCTTCTGGTGGAAGCATGTTAATCAGCTTATAGAAGAAGTTCATTGTCGAGAAGAACAACTGAGCCAGACCGAGGAGTAGGATACCCTCATTCCGCTGAATAAAGCCTCTCAACTTGGAAGCGTTGTTCTTCATGCGATAGTTCTTCGGACGTAGAAGCTTTGAAGGATCCTGTTGGGATGGGAAGGGAAGCTCGTTGATGCCATCGTGATCTTCGAACGAGCTACCGCGCTCAATGTCGCCAGAGGCAGAGATGGAATGATGACGGTCTTGAATTGGACTGCTGTCTGGAGTCCGATCGAGAAGGCGTGCTGTTTCGGGTGCATCTTGTTGATCGAATGATGGCCTTGTGGTGATCGAGACTTTACGTGATCTTGTTGCGGATGCTGGAAGCGCAGAGGCTTTGAATGCAGGTGAGAGGGAACGAGAAGGGATCGCATCTTCTGAAGGCCGACTTGATGTGGGTTGCTGAGCGGAGAGAAGAGGGCTTCTCTCGTTGCTCCGTTGCGAAGATATTGACGTTCTCTTCATTGTGTCTGGATGGGTGAAGGAGAAGGGAAAGTTGGGGTCAGGCAGTAAGTTGGCAATGCCAGGTCGTATCAGCAGAGCGCCGGGGCCTATCAACACGATCAATAATGCAGGATCGAGCAGGGACCTTTTCCCGCTACTTGCAGCGTCCTAACCAGCGAGAGCAATCTTTCTGAGTTCTTTTATGCTGCGGTCTGCTGCGGTCTGCGTAATGGAGGGTCGGATAGAGGGATGATGTTGATCGAACGAAGAAGCAAAAGGTAGGTCAAGCCGTGTTGGCCGAGTGAAAGGTTTGCAAGGGCTCGACTAACAAGATGGTCTCGGCAAATGATTGCCCAACTGTGCTCCAAGCTCTTCGATGTGGCGGTTGCCCACTTGACGGTTGTCGTCGTTTAGCACAAAGGAACAAGTGTCAAGCGGCACAAGATCGCACAAGCCTCTCTCCTACGGCTAAAGTGACGGTCCGGGCATGGCTGAATGAAGTAATGAAGAGTTGAGGGAGACACGTCGGCACTCCAACTGGATTCACAGGGTCCATGGAGTGTTACGGAGCCTGTGGAAGATAAGCGAGTCATCAATGAGACAAAGACACATATAGGTGGTAACACATGTGGGATGCATAAGCATTGTCACACTAACACGCAGGAAGTGACAATGCAGGAGCAACACAAGGAGCAGCTCATCACAGGCTAACACATGTGGAAGAGATTACCAAGCATATATAGATGACAATGTACATAGAAGCTAGTAGATAGAATTAACAACATAACAATGAAATTCCTCAACTGATTAAGAGTCTGAAGCTCGGCAGCTTCAAGGCACTTTGCCATCAAGATGCCACCCAGAGTAGACAGCATAGCCCTACTTGAATGCACCATGCAAGTGATCAGAGAGGTTCACACTGACTGGAATGAAGACCAAATCTTGGAGCATGCCTTTTCTATGATGAACCTCCAACCAAACACCAGCCAAGTCGAAAAGATTCCAAAGTCAGTACTCAGCATTGTATCACAGATCATCAAGCTCAACAAGAACAACTGGGCTATTTGGGAGCCCATGTTTATGGACTGTATATGGCCCATCAAGAATGCAAAGCAGATCCTTACCAGGGAAATATCTAGCAACCACATGGACTACAATGAAGAACTAAATAGTCACCTGTTAGGCCTCATCCTGTCATCATGCAACCACAGTCCTGAAAGCAGTATTCATACATACACCATTCAAGAACAAGGTGAAGAGGAACAACTCAGCTCTACACTGTACAAGAAGCTCAAAACAGCACTCATGATCAATGATGAAGTTAAACTCTCTGCCATTAATGACTGAGTGCATGAGATCAAGTTAGTCCACTGAAATGTCATCAACCTTGGAAAGGAACTAGATCGAATTTGGAATGATGCTGCAAGGCTGGGCAGTCACATGGATGAAAAGCTCAAGAAGTCCACCCTCTACTGCTGCATCAAGGACAACTGGCTATACACCCAAACTGTAGATTCCCTCAAGGCCACTCAACCTGGTTGCAACTATGAATATGCATACCATGCACTAGCCAAGAAGCACCAAGAAGCTGAGCTCTCAGGTCACATCCAAGCCACAGCCAGAGTCACAAGCAACAGAAGTTCAACAGGCCAAGCTGATGAGCATAGGCAGGTTCTCAACCAAGAGGGCTACATTAGGGGTAGGCACGACCCTGCAAACCCTAACGAACTGGCCAAGTGCTATAAGTGTAGGCAACCTGGGCACATTGCAATCAATTGCACCAGCAGTCAAGAGCAAACTCCTGCTCAGCAGGGATAGGGATTCAGGTGCACCCTTTTTGTAAGCAACACTGGCAACCATAACCAAAACAGTATGTGGATTCTCAACTCCAGAGCTACACATCACATGGTACATGATGAGGATAAGCTCATTGCTCCGATGCCAAAGCAAGGATCCATAGACACTGCAGGGCATGAACAGTTGCAAGTGCAGGCAATAGGAGATGCAACCTTGCAAGTTGGAGACATTAAAATACCCCTCACAGATGTACTTTATGTTCCCAACCTTAGCAAGAATCTATTGTCTGTTCCAGCATTAACTGAAGATGGTGCATGAGTGATATTTGAAGAATCTGGAGCTACAATACTCCAACATGATGGAAGCATGGTTAAGAGCAAGACCAACCAATGCCAGAAAAGATGGGAAGTTCACAGCAACTCCCTAGCAGCACAGCTCAATGACCCCCTTGAGGGCATTGATGATAACATGACACCAGCAAGGCCTGCAAGCCACACGATAAGCAAACTATGGCACAAATGATTTGGCCATCCCAGTAGAAATAAAACCCAGCAAATCCAAGCTCACTACCTAGGAAGAGAAACACAGCTTGAGCACAACTCAAAGGACTGCAATAGTTGCAGTCAGGCAAAGCAAACACATGCAAGAATGGCAAGCAGCAAGACAGAACGAGTGCAAGCACCATTAGAATTAATACACATTGACCTAATGACAGATCTACAAGGCCACCCCAACTATCATCATGTGCTAGTAGTTGTAGAGGATGCCTCATCATATGTATTCGTGAGACCACTCCTCAGCAAAGCAGAAGCATTCCCCACCTTGAAAGCATGGATCAAAAGGGCAGAGGTAATGATGGACCACATGCTAAAGTGCATCTGCAGTGACAATGGAATGGAATGGTCAAGCTTGGCAGCAGAGGAATGGAAGAAGAAGGCAGGGTTTAAATGGCAGAAAACCACCCCATACATCAGCATGCAAAATGGAAGAGCAGAGTGCACCATCAGATTGCTACAAGAAAAGATGTGAGCAATGCTCATCCAAAGATCAGTGCCAAAAGGTTTATGGCCCTATGCCATCATGGCTGCTGGACATGTACTTAATTTGACACCATCAGCAAATGCTAACAGAATTCTGTACAAAGACTTTCATTGTACAATGGCTCATGGCTTGGCAAAACAATTGCATGTCTTTGGCTGTCTCGCATGGGTTCACCTCCCAAAGAAAGATCATGCAGGCAAGCACAGTGTGAGAGCCATACCAGGAATTATGATCGGTTATGACGATGAGCACAAAGGATGGAAATTCCACACTCCAGAACACATGCTGTCTATCTGATGGAGTAACTCAGCTACATTTCATGAAGATAAAGGCTGGCATGATTGACCCAAAGAAAGGAGCCCACTGCAAATCGGATTTGAAAGTCTAGAGGCAGAGGGTACCAGATCAGAGACTGTCAACTATGAACCCATACTAGAGCCAGAGGAGATCAACATACAAGACCTGTCCTCACACATCTTCACTATGCAACCCATCAACACCGTTGAAGACAACCAATCCAAAATTGCCATTGAAGACATTATTGGGGAGGCCAATATGACCACCATGAACCTTACACCAACTTTGAGGGAAGCACTTGACAGTGATGAGGCACAGCAATGGCAAGAAGCCATACACAAGGAGTTAGATGGGCTCGAAGCCATGGGGACTTGGGAAATCATGGATGTACCACCAAACACTGAACTCGTTGACTCTAAGATTGTCCTCTGTCTCAAGCTGGATGCTGATGGGGTACCTGTCCAACATAAAGCAAGACTCGTCACACAAGGATTCACACAATGAGAGGGCATAGACTTTGAAGAAACTTTTGCACTGGTGGCACCACTCAGTGCAATAAGAGCCCTGTTGTCACTGGCAGTGGAGCAGGACTGGGAGGTCCATCAACTCGACATCATGATGGCCTACCTCAACTCCACACTCAAGCACATCATCTATATGAAACTGCCAGAAGGGGCAAAGGTACCAAAAGGAAAAGCTTATCAGGTAGTAAAAGGGCTATACAGACTCAAGCAATCAGGATGGGAGTGGAACATGGAGTTCAATAAGTTCCTGTGGTGCACAAACTTCCATAGACTCGATTGCACACCATGTATCTACACCAGAGGAAAGGAGGACAACTTTGCAATAGTGATTATCTATGTTGATGATACATTGATTATATCTCCAAAACTGACAACAGTCAAGCAAATTAAGAGGGAGATAGGCAAGAAGTGGAAAATGGAGGAGGGTGGCAACATATCCCATTTTCTCAGGATCAAGATCTCCAGAGACTGCAAGGCAAAGACTATGGACCTCATGCAAACCAGCTATGTCAAGCAGCTATTAAATGAGCATTTAGATAAATGCAGAAGAAAATCCAGCATACCACTCCAGGACATCCCAGTACCAGAGACGACAACAAGCATAGCCGAGCAGAAGGAATACCCACAAATCATTGGCAAACTCCTATGGCTTTCAAATGGAACATGTCCAGACATTAGCCAAGCCATGGGTGTCCTCGCACACTACATGACACAACCATCGAAGGAACATTACAATGCAGCACAGAGAGTGCTCCAATACTTGGACTGCACCCAGGATGTCCACTTGCAATATGGTAGCAACAAGCAACAAGATTTTCTGGTGGCACATAGCGATGCAAATTGGGCAAGCAATGCCATGGCACAATGTAAGAGCTTGTCAGGGTCAGCAGTTTTCATACACAGAAATCTGGTAGCATGGAAGTCAGTGCTACAGCACTGCACCACCTTATTGGCAGTAGAAGCAGAATTTGTGGCAGTGACCAAGGCTGCATGAGAAATTCTCTTCTTTGGGCACCTCTTCAAGGCCATCAGGGTTGACATTGGTATCCCCATAATTTTCTCAGATAACACAGGCACCATCCAGGTAAGCAAAGACCCTGCACAACATTGGAAGTTGAAGCACATTGACACCAAATACCATTTTATAAGAGACAATGTACAAGATGGAAAGGTCAAAATCAAGTACATTGGCACTGAAGACAACTTAGTGGACATCTTTACCAAACCAATAGGCAAGGAGGCATTGTGACATGCATGACAAGGGCTAGGATTGACACCACAGCAAAGTACAGCAGCTCAGCAGCCTACTGCCTTGCTGCTGAGGGAGACACATTGGCACTCCAACTGGATTCACAGGGTCTGCAGAGCATTACAGAGCCTGTGGAAGATAAGTGAGTCATTGATGAGACAAAGACACATATAGGTGGTAACACATGTGGGATGCATAAGCATTGTCACACTAACATGCAGGAAGTGACAATGCAGGAGTGACACAAGGAGCAGCTCATCACAGGCTAACACATGTGGAAGAGATTACCAAGCATATATAGATGACAATGTACATAGAAGCTAGTAGATAGAATTAACAACATAACAACGAAATTCCTCAACTTGAAGGATTAGCCGCTCTTCATTCCTGTTAGATCTCGTTTGAGCGAGAGGCGTGTGATTACAAATCCTCACCTAAATTCCAGTCAGCGTGTCTTGGAGCTGGGAGATGGTGTCTGTGCAGAGAGCGTTGGCTGATGCGCTGGAACCTCTGAAGTCTTGGGATCTCGTGTTTGCTTGAGCCTTGCGCACACCATTCACCTTTCGAACAAGCAATTGCGGCTCGACCGGTCACCGTTAGCCGTGCTGCACATCGATGGTACCCACGTATCATAGCCTCTAGTTGATCGAATAGCACACAATGGCCACCATCACTTGCCCCTCAGCGGGACTCTCGCTCTCTGCTGAGCGCCCAAAGAACATCGAAACGCAACACGAAGACATGGTGCATGACGCACAACTCGACTTCTACGGCAAGCGTCTTGCAACTTGCTCCTCGGACCGCACGGTCAAGGTGTTGGACATTGTCAACGGCACGCCTTCTACCAACGCAGAGACTCTTGAGGGACACCAGGGTCCAGTCTGGCAGGTCGCTTGGGCGCATCCCACGTTTGGCGACATCCTGGCTAGCTGCTCGTACGATGGCAAGGTGATTATCTGGAAGGATAACGGTGCAGGCTCGGGCAACAACACTGCTTCAGGACGGTACGGTTCTCAGTCAGCATACGGCGCTTCTGGATACACAGCGGGCGGATGGACAAAGATCAAGGAGCACACCCTTCACACGGCCTCTGTCAACTCGATCTCATGGGCTCCTCACGAGCTGGGTTCGATGCTGGCATGTGCTTCTTCCGATGGCAATCTTTCCGTTCTCACCTTCAACAATGACGGTACTTGGGCTGTGGACCTTGTAGCTGCACACCCTGTCGGATGCAACGCCGTCTCTTGGGCACCTGCTGTCGTGCCTGGCTCTCTGATTTCGGCAGAGTGTAGTGGTGCTAACGCATCCGGAGCGAGTGGGGAAGCAAAGCTGGTGAAACGATTTGCATCGGCTGGATGTGACAACACGGTCAAGATTTGGCAGTTTAGCGAAGAAGCCCACCGCTTTGTCGAAGCCGAGTCGCTGCAAGGACACTCGGATTGGGTTAGAGATGTGGCTTTCGCTCCCAATGTCGGCCTTCCGCGCAGCTACCTCGCCACCGCTTCGCAAGACCGTACTGTTTTGATCTGGACGCAGGACTCTGCCAATGGAGCATGGACAAAGACTGCATTGAACGCGAGACCTGCTTCCGGGGCTGCGGGGGATGGTAGTAACAAATTCCCCGATACTGTTTGGAGGGTAAGCTGGAGTGTCAGTGGTAACGTGCTCGCAGTGAGCTGCGGTGATGGCAAGATTACGTTGTGGAAGGAGAACCTTAAGGGCGCTTGGGAGTGTGTTAGCGAGATGGACTCCTAGCGCAGGGCTGACAACCGGCTTGCCAAGGCCTGTTCATTGGCTCGTCGTTGTAGTATCGTAGATCTGAGAGATTTGTTGTGCAAAACAAAGCATATCCCACTAATCGTCTCGGGAAGAATGTGTGCAAGCTCAACGCTCGGAACTCAGTCATTGGCAATGAGCTACTTTATGAGGATTGTGTATGTCGCAGCAAGCTTGCAATTCCTTCCAAGACGCGAGAGGAGTCCTGGGTGGGCAGTGGGTTAGTAACTTGGGCGATGTATGAAACATGAATTGGCCGCTCAAGGTTTCATATCAGTCATTCATCTCCAGATCGCACCGAAAGATCCTACAACTATGTCGAAGCTGAGCAGAGACCGGTGGGTGAAAGTATTAGCTGCCTGTATTGTAAGGTGTAGTGAGATATGAGATGCGATCATGCGACCAACTCGGAGTAACTTTCTCTACCAATCGCAGTGCCACCGAGGAGGTTGGGGAGATGAAAAGGGTTCGTGTGATATGCTTTTGTCATGACCGAAAGCGAAAAAAGGGTTTGGGGGGGAATGTAAGATTGGCGCAAGCTTACTATGGATGCTGGATTAGACGAGGCTGAGGAATGCGAAAGCTTGAATGTAAGGAAAGCGACTCAAGTGTCAGAAGATGATGCCGAGAACTCGCAACTGCGTCAAAGACTGGTATACCGGGAGGAAGGCGCTACGGACAGAGTTGCAAGCTCGCTCAAACGGGGCATCGACAAGATCTCAAGACTTTCATGCCGAGTCGCGCTCGCTGTCCTAAGCGTACTGAATGGTAGGGACAGGGCAATACACTAGCGACTCGGAGGATGTGACGATGGAGATGAGAAGAGGGTGCATGATATGATGAGAGACAAGGAGAGGGCAAGGGGAGATGAAGCTTGTTGTTATCGCTGTGCCGCTGCGTCTGCATTCTGGGGGGTGCCATGTGATGATGATTGTCGCTCATGTCTCGCTTGCACTGGCGTTAGGTCTGGGTTGGTGCGTAGATACTTAACAAAGTGCATTCCAGTTTATCACTGGTGAGCTGACAAGCAAGTGGAAGCTATGCAGCTGAACAATGCCTCCTTATACGGTTGCAACCCGAGGCAGAGGTGTCCATCTTTCCAACCGAAGGCGAGAGCATGAGGTCGAGGGATGGCCAACTGCGTCTGCATGGGTCTATGCTTGGCTAGGATGGAATTAATATGGATGCAAGTATGCGAGAGCCTACTGAGTTATAGCCCCTGAGCGTGAGTCTGAGCGTGAGTCTGAGCGTGAGTCTGAGCGTGACTGTATAGCAAGATACGAGAATCTTGGAGCCGCTCAAGGTGCTTGGTAGCGGGCAAGTTGGGTCTTTGGATCGTCGATGAGCAGTCTCTGACAGCGACGTTCTTGCAGCTTACCTATCCCTAACGCCGCTCATTGGACATAGCCGCCGACCAGATTAGCAGCCTATTAGCAGCCTGGGATGATGCAGGGGCGAGAATCTTCCGCAAAGAATGCCAAGGGGGGGGCGCTAGTCTAGGAGAAGCTCACATTGGCGTTTCATTGAAAGGTGCGCATGCTCTTGGAGACAGTCGAGCCTCGCCTCGTTTGCCCAGTCTAGTGACAAGGTTGTCCTTGGAGGGGAAAGCAGGGAGCGAACCATGAACTGGAAAGCTGTATGCAGCAGACGATCCTCAGGCCACCTGGATGCTGTCTAGCAGACTGATCATATGAAACTCGACTCTCTTTACCCACACCAACTCGGGGCCAAAAGAGATGTCTGCGATCTGACAGATTACGCTGAGTGTTTATAATCATTTTTGGATGGATTTTGTGATGGTGTTTTTCCCTTTTTTTTTGTCCCTTTTCCCCTTTTCCCCTTTTCCCCTTTTCCCCTTTTCCCCTTTTCTCTGATTCTCTACTGCTTTGTTGTTTTGCCAAGCGTGACAACCGATCCTCGAACAGTGCGGACAGAAGCCCGGGTGTGCATTTCCCTTTTTTCTTTTTTTTCTTTTTTCTTTTTTCTTTTTTCTTTTTCTTTTTTCCAAATGATTTTTGGATTTTTGTGGGTGTTGACATTATTATTATGATTATTGTTTATTATTGTTATTGGGAAAGAGGCGCGCGCTCTGTCGGCTGTGTGGATGTGATATTATTGAATTATTGCATCTCAGGAGAGGCTTGCAAGTTGAATTTTGTTTTTGCTGAGATAGACTGACAATGTACACTGGCAATCGACAACTCTCATCCTTGCTTGCTTTCTTGCTTTCTTGCCCGCCTCTCCTGCTGCCGGACTTCCGTAGTGACAGTCTGGATTAGTATTGGTCATGCTTTGTTCAACTGAGCCTTTTCGGAAGCGTTGGCGCTCTTTCTCTCTTTCTCCCTCTCTCTCTCTCTTTCTCTCTTTCTCTCGTCTCCATCATCCTCATCCTCCTCAGCCTCTCCATCTCTCCACCGATCCGCCTCCCGAGCTACATCTGACATCCCCGCTAGTTGGCATCGCATACAACCACCCGCACTCTCACTCTTCTCTACTCGACCCCCCCCCCCCCCCCGACTTGCCTTCAGCACGGCATTTCCCATTCGATTCACAGCCCTATTTTGCTGCTTTTCCAACCGAACTTTGCTGAATCACAAGTGCATCATCCCATACAAGCTTGGAGCTTATCTTGTTATCCCATTGGTCGAACGCCAGTGCACCTCGCATCGCAGCCACATCTCGATTCGCAACTGTCGATCGAGCTAACCCCCCAGATCCGCTCTCTCCCCCCTCCCTCCCTTTGATGTACTTTGAGATCCAGCTCTAGCTCAATCGCAAGCTTCCAGCTCAAAGGTCGCCGCTCATTTCCCATGCTCGCCATTGCTTCTATTGCATCCAAACCTTAACTTGTTCATCTCTCGACAAAGAACAACCTAACGTCATTCTCCAGTGAGTATTGCTTTCCCACCCCATCCTAGCCCTTTCAAAGGCCTCGACCAACCTCTCAAGGTTATCCTTTTCCGCGATCTGGTCAGCTGCTCCTTTCCTCCTCAGCACCGAGCTAACCCTTTGGCCGTCAATTCCGCCTCCTCCTCCCCGTCTCCACAGTCCTTGGCTATAGTAAACCCCCCGCCAGACAACAGTCAAAAAGCCCGCTCGGGCAGGGATGGAGGTCAGCTAAACCTCTCAACTCTCACACATTGGCTCTCCACAGCCAATCCCTCGAATCTGCAATGGCTGCAGCGACAGCTACCATCTTGGCTTCGCCTCCCGATTTCGCCAGTATGGAGCACCGTACCGCTGATCCGCATCGCCATACCAAAACGCTTCGTTCCCAAAGGTCCGCACCGTCGCCATCAACACCAGCATCCCCTTTCCGACTTTGTCCAGCCTCACATTCGCCATCCATCCCACATCGTCGCATCTACAACATCGATCACGAGTCTTCACCAAGCCCATCTCAATCAGTCGCTCCCGAGCCTCGATCTTCTTCTACCTCACTTACACCTTCTCTCTCTGCATCCAACCCTTCACCGACAAAGTCTCTTTTACCTTTGGCCCTACCATTGCCTCCAGGCTCACCAACACCTCCTCTCGCTCGCAACAAGTCCCCTCATCCTAGCAGCAGAGCAACCCGCAATCAGCATCTCACCAATCTTCAAGCCGCTTCCCTCTCCACGCCTGAGCTTCATCTCGCTTCAGATCCCATGCTTGATACACAAGAGCCATCCTTCTTACCCAAGCTCCTAAGAGCATCGCCCACTCACTCCCATCAGGCCATGTCCACTCCCCGCAGCCAAGGTCAGCCAACCGCCCATGCCCCATCCGACAGCGCCTCTCCCTACACAGCAGTAAAGCCAGGTCTAGCCTATGCAAGCTTCCGTGCTGCCATGGACGCCGTCGATTCCCACAACCACAGCTCGCCTTCCCTTGCCATCCCCGGCATCCCCGGCATCCCCGGCATCCCCCATATCCCTGGCATCCCAGCTGAGCTCCACTCACGGAAGCAGAGCACTGTTACCTTGCGAAACGCAGATTTCTCCACAACAGCATCTTGCACAACATCATCCTCCTGGACCAGACAGAACGTCAGCACAGATACTCTCAGTCCACCCAAGCAATCCAGCTCCCGACCTTCATCCGCCAAAGGCACGCCTCAATTCAAGTCCTCCGGAGCTACTTGGTTTCGACGCAATCGCAACCAAGGCAAGACGAGTGGAAATATGCATTTCAACCCTTCCGCCCATGACGACGGTGCCACCAGCACTCCCGTAGCAGACTCTTGCACACAGATCTCGATGCAGCCAAGCCAGACGAGCGCTGCGACAGCCGGCTCTGGCACAACATTCTTGTCTGAAACCAACCTCACCATGCTTTCGACTGCAACCGACGCATCCTTTGGCATGTCTGATCTCGCATCGCCTCAAACCGCACTCGACAGCATCCGTAAGGCCCGTTCCTTCATGATCAACCAGCTCGCTCGTCTCGCCGAGCCAGAGCGCAGCCTTGACGAGCAGCGCATCTCTGCGCTTGTCTCTCAGATGAAAATCCACGCTCACGACCCCAGCATCGAGGCTTCACGCTTCTGGCACAGCATTGCCGACGGTGTCCTTCTCTGCTTACTTGCCAACAGGCTTCGACCCGGTAGTGTCGATCGCATCGACCGCAGGCACCAGCAGTGCCTCAAGGCAGACAACATCTCGAGCTTTTTAAGAGCAGCACGAGACCATCTCGGTTTGCGATCCAAAGATCTCTTTCAGAGCTTCGATCTTACCGATGGCACTCTTGAAGGCTTGCTTCGTGTTGTGCACACGCTTCAAGCAGCCGACAAGATGATCAAGCGCACCTCCAAGGTGTCTGCCACACGAGCCAACCCTATCAAGATTGAGCCAAGAACCACCTCCATCACTCCTCCTTCCACACCCCGCGTCCAGGAGCGAAAGCTTCTCTCTGCCGGCAATGGCGATCTGGAACGCATCGACAACAGCTCCGAGCTCTCCCTGAACCAAGACACACCCAAGAGGACTATGCTCACCATTCAGCAGAACAGGCGTGAGGCCGAACATATCCTCATTGGCAGATCCCACTCGTCGCGCTTCGATTCTTCTTCCTCGGACTCGAAGCGTCCTTCCATCGAGCTTGGCTATCCAAAGCAAAAGCCTTCTTCAATCACCTTTGCCGACTCGGTCAAGCAGAAGAGCTACAACGGCGACGAAGAAGGTCGTATGCCCTACCGCGATCGCAAGCTCAGTGAGTCAGCCATCAGCTTGACTGGTGTCGCCGAGGAGCCAGAGGACGGTGTGGCAGCCAACGGTGACGTCTTGCCCACTGCCGACTCCTTCTCCAGCACTCCATCTGCCGCCATGGAACGAGGACAAGGTAGGAGGGGCAGCAGCGAATCGGACAAGTCTAGCAAGAATCACGCTCTCAGGCCCGTCATGCTCGCTCGCAGCACATCTCAGAAACGAATCAGTCAGGAGCTCGCGCTTGGACAGCTTCCAAGAGCGGTCATTGGCTCCACTGAGAACCTTGACGACTACCTCTTCACATCAGGCAGCCCTTCCCGACACGCTCCGACTCGACGACACAGTGCTCGACTCTACCCTGGTCCTTCTCTGCTCAACCCATCGCGCGAGTCACTGCTCAACCTCAGTGCTCCATCAACCGGCGAGTCGGATGTATCGCCATCCGCTCGCGTGCCCTTCCCTCGCGGAACGAACGACTCGCCAGGTGCTCGTAGGATGGCCCGTCACCTCTCTATCAACGCTGGCAGCCTAGACTCGTTCTCTCTGACATCCGGGCCCAGCTCATCGACTACAACCAACGGCAGCAGTGGCTCGCCCAAACTCAGTTCTCGACCTCAATTTAGGCACATGCGCTACTCTTCTGATCTGCATCTACCGCTGCTCAACCGTCCGACGTCGATCGGAGCACGCTCGCCGGACCCTTGCCTCGACGAGCGATCCTACATCTCGACCTCTCGCAGCCGCTTCGACTCGGAGATTGGATCCATCTACACCAACCCCCTTGGCAGTCTCACCACCGATGAGAATGGCTCTGCAGTCACGCGTGCAAGCCGCGATGCTACAGCTCCCAAACACAAGCTTGTCGTCACAGAAGCAGGCAAGAACATCATCACCTACCAGCTTGGCAACTGCATCGGACGTGGTCAGTTTGGATCCGTCTATCGCGCTTTGAACTTGAATTCCGGCCAGATGGTTGCCGTCAAGCGAATCAAGCTCGAAGGCCGCACTGATGACGAGGTCACCGAGCTCATGGGTGAAGTTGACCTTCTCAAGAGCCTCACACATCCAAGTGTCGTCAAGTACGAGGGTCTCGTCCGTGGTCCTGATGTGGTCTCCATCATCTTGGAGTACGTCGAGAATGGTTCGCTCTTGCACACTCTCAAAGCGTTTGGTAACTTCCCCGAAAAGCTCGTTGCCAGCTACGTTGTCAAGATCCTAGAGGGTCTCAATTACTTGCATGAGCAGAACGTAGTGCATTGCGACTTGAAAGCGGCCAACATCTTGACGACAAAGAACGGCAACGTCAAGCTTTCCGACTTTGGTGTCTCGCTCAACCTCAAAGCGGTCAAGAAGATGGGCAACAAGAATGATGCGATTGGCACTCCCAACTGGATGGCTCCTGAGGTCATTGAGCTCAAAGGTGTCACTACCGCTGCCGATATCTGGTCGCTTGGATGCACAATCATCGAGTTGATCACCGGAAAGCCTCCATACTACGATATGCTCGCCATGTCGGCCATGTTCAGGATTGTGGAGGATGACTGCCCGCCTATCCCGGAGAAATGCTCGGATGCCCTTCGCGATCTCTTGCTGCAATGTTTCAACAAGGATCCTACAAAGCGACCCAGCGCCGAGACACTCTTCGAGCACCAATGGATTCGACAGGTATGGACTGGACACAAAGAGTTGCGACCACAGGACAGCGTCCCCTTCCTGCGTAGAATCAGCGCCGATGTGCGCCGACTTGATCCACGCATCTTTGAGGAGAAGGAGGAAACCTCTGCAGCTCAGCCAGCCACGCAAAGATCCTCTTGTTCGCCTCCTCGTGCCATGCTGCAGCGTCCCGACTTTCAGGGACTCCGTGCTCACACTTTGCCAGCCGAGTCGTCTGCTGGAAGCGTCACTGACAAGGTCAATGGCATCTCACCCACCACTTCTCCGCCTAACCCCACATCTTCGCTTCCTAGCCTCGACACCACATCCACGCACGCCTCTTCGAAAGCGACAAACCAAACAGCCTCGCCGACACTAACCAGTCCAGCGCTTCTCTCGCCTATGGCTGATTCCTCTTGGCTTGATCTTGGCTTGATCGCCGATGAGCAAGCCAAACCACACGCTTTCGTCAAGAGCACCTTCAGCAAAGCTGTCGTTTGCAAGATCTGCCGCGAGCCTGTCAAGAAGCATGCTGTTCTTTGCGAAGAGTGTGGTCTTGTGTGCCATGCTAGGTGCGCAGTCCATGCTCCTTCGCCCTGCAACTTGCGTGCTCAGCTGCTCCTATTCCAGCAGCGAGCTTCTTTGGATCAGACGAGTCCCGTATTATCGGCAGCTCATCTTGCCTCGGTCTCGCCTCTGCATGGCAGCGGCGGCGCGACAAACGGCTCTGCTCCGATCAACTTGCGCTTCCCCTTTGGTATGAGGAGGCAGTCCAAGTCACCCACCGTCGACTCGCAGCCTCAGGTGGCTTTTGGTGCAGCGGCGTGTCCAGAGAATGAGGCTGGAATACCGCCTTGCCCTCGGACCAGCAACGGTGCTTTGGGAGGCAAGCCTGCCAAAGATCCCAACCTTGTTCGCAAGCGTCGTATTTCGTTGATCGCCGGTCGTCAAAGATCGCCTTCTCCCTCGCCTGAAAGCACGGAAGCTTTGCGAAGTCCCTACGGCAATGCCGCGCTGCATGGCGTTCGACGACATAGCTCGATGAGCTATGGCAGTATTAGTGGCAACAGTAGCATCTCAAGTGGTGGAGGCCACATTATCATGGGTCACTCTAGCTCTCGGGCTTCTTCGTCCCAGCAACAACTGACGCACCAGCAGCAGCAAGGATTTGCACAACTCGCATCAACACCAGTACTGCCCATGGAACAAGAGCAACTTCACCATCGTCCACCAATGGAACGATTCCGTCGACGTTTGAGTTCTGGTGTAGCACGTGGTACTCCTGATGTGATGGCGTCAGCTAAGAAGATGGGTAAAGCTGGCATCGCTACAGGACAGGTTACGCCAACACTTCAGACGACGATCGAACGCAAAAATTCTCGTAGAGTCTCTTCCAAGTCTGATTGCATTGTTATGTAGGCGCCAAGCGCAACTTGCTCTCGTCTCCTATTGCACATTCGAGATGCTTTGCTTTGCTTAGAACTTTGATATACCAACTCTAGCATCTATACTTTATATTGCTCCATCTCATCATACCTATCGTCTTGTCCTATACCTCGCTTTCAAGCAACGCTTTTTTTTTTTTTTTTTTTTTTTTTTTTTCCATTTTTTTTTTTTTTTTTTTTTTCTTCTCTGTTGAAGACGACGATTGCAAAATGGCAGAAAGTTTCTGCTGGGTTGAGACTTTGTTTGCTCATCTTGGTGCAATTTGTTCTTGTAGCTTTTGATATCATGCTACATTTTAAGTTTCTTGGATTTGGCTTGATGACACACAGGAGTTGGGTTAGCCATGATATGATGGGTCGTATCGGCCAAGTTTGTGGCGGTTTGAGAGAAGGTTGATGATTGGTAGGGTGATGGAAACTAGTAATACAAATGATTCGGTGTACAGTTATGTTGGAGGCGGATGGTCAAGTGAGTTGGGATGTGATGGTTGGGTGGTGCGGGAGGTTTCGGGGTTGCGGGATGGCGAGTGTGGTTGCGTTAGAAGGTGGATTGGCGGTTATCTTGTTCGGTTGCTTTGTGTTTGTTGTGTTGTTGTTGCTGTTGTTGAGTGGGGTTGTAGGGTGAGTTAGGTTGACTTGCAAACGGATCTTTGGTCTTCGCTTCTCTTGCACTATCTGCATTGCCCCTGGTTGCCGGCGTTGGGTTGTAGTTCGGCAATTCAAACCCGCCTCCTGCTCCTCCTGCTCCTCCTGCTCCTCCTCCTGTGTTTTCCTTGCAATGGCGATTAGCTCGTCTTGTACTAGCCCAATCCAACTGTTCCCTCTCCGTGCTCCTATCTCTTGGAAGTGGTTTTGCATCTTGCAACGACAACCCTGGTACCAACCTCTGCATATAACTTCCCCCTGCAATCACCTGCTCTCCCGCACAACTATGATCAACACAATCATCCTGCTCCTTAACCTCTTTCTCCTTCTTCCTCCTATACATCATACCTATTACCAACAGAAGAACCAAAAGAAAGAAGGCTCCGAGTACAATGCCTATGATCGTTGCAACCATTGTCTTCTGGGCCCCTGTTGTCTTACGTCTGCCTTTGTCTCTGGCCAAACAGCTAGTGTTGCCGAGCGCGTTGGGCAAGATGGCAGCTTGAGAAGAGGTGAGAGAGGTCGTAGAGGGAGATGTTTGATCGAGGATGGAGATTAGAGCGATTGAATTCGGAGGTAGGTCGACAGGGTTCCAGGTGACATGATCGACACCTTGGTCGATATGTTCATGGAAGACAAGTTTGTGGGTGGCAATGTCTCGGCCTTGGATGGTGTAGTTGCCAGTGGCGGATATGAGGATTTCAGCAGGTTCGCATGATGTTAGGCTTGGCAGAGTCACGTTAGCCCCGTGAACTAGCAGGAGGGGAAGAATGCTGAGTAGCAGCGTTAGATAGGCATGGTTTGATTTGATCTGCATTGTTAGTAAGTGTGAGATGGGGATCGTGTATGCGATATCAGCAGGAGTGATCGGTCTAGCAAGGCCGTGTGATGGTGAATTGGCTAAGGATGATGTCCAGTATAGATGAGAGTGCGCGAGCGTTTCCTATATCAGCTAAGCAGAGCAAGCCAGGTTCGCCTTTCGACTCAGCAAACAGGGACCACCGGCGCTTTGCTGCTACGACGGCGCAACTCTACTTGGCAGTATCCAGGCCAAGCTTCACTGGTGGGAGACGGGCGTTGAAGGTGGGTGGCAAATGAAATCAAACCTTTCCCTCTGTAAGTTGACGCTCCGAAACACACTCATACTCATACTCATACTCATACTCATACTCACACTCACACTCACACTCACACTCACACTCACACACACTTTACTCACGCTCCGAGAGGTTTGGATCGCATGTCAAGTCTCTCTTCTCTGCGCTGGACAAAAGGGGACAGAGAAAGCAGAGGGTTAGGGAAGGAGGAGGAGGAGGAGGAGGAGGAGGAGGAGGACCCGTGGGGTTGGAGCAACGTGGCAAGAAGCTCAGCGAATTCTTTTGGTATGAAACTTTAACGGCCGAGTCGTTGGGATCGGATCGGGAGAAAGAGTGATGCATTTCCCGATACCGACCCGATTAGACTCGTAAACTCCACATCATAACCAAGCTTGTGCTCATCTTGTCCTCCTCCCTCTCAACGACACACTAGCAAACTTGATCAGAGCTTCTTGGCAGCTACGAGCCCATGCCAGGCGCTCTGCCACTGCCCATCCTCCTACCATCTTCTGCACGCTCCCTCCGGCAGCTTCATCCGCTTTTACACCCACAGCCGAGCCATTTCTTTGCAACCATGTCCTCCTCCTCCTCCCCCTCCCCCTCCTCCCCCACCTCCCCTCACCCAGAAGCCGAGGAGCCAGGCTATCCAGATCGAACATTCACAACACAACACCTCCCCTGCGATCCCACCTGCACTCTCACATTCTCCGAAGCCGGTCCTTCCCGCTACACCCACGCCCCAGAACCATACACGAAAGCGATCCCACTGATCACCTCTCCTCTCACCCGTTCATCCCTTTCCACCGCAGCCGCACATCTTCGTTCCAACCAGCTCGTCTCGTTCCCCTCCGAAACAGTCTACGGTCTCGGTGCAAACGCTTTATCCCAATCCGCCGTTTCCAAAATCTACGCCGCTAAGAAAAGACCTGCGGATAACCCGCTGATCGTCCATGTTTCGGACCTATCTATGCTCGACACCCTTCTTCCCGCCACCTATCAACTCGGTGCAGCATACGAAGCGCTGGTCAAAGCCTTCTGGCCAGGAGCACTGACGCTTTTGTTTCCCGTGGATGTGGACAAGCCAGCGGTGCCGAGCGTGGTAACGTGCGGACATGCGAGTGTTGCCGTTCGAATGCCCTCCCATCCGATAGCCAGAGCGCTTATTGCAACCAGTCGCTTACCGATCGCGGGTCCGAGTGCGAATGCCTCTGGTAGACCGAGTCCCACTACGGCGGCACATGTTATGCGTGATCTTGGTGGTGCGCTTGATTCTCATCCCAACCAAGAGGCTGGTCGAGAGCACAAGGGGAGGTTGAAGTATATTTTAGACGGAGGACCGTGCCAAGTGGGTGTCGAGAGCACCGTCGTCGATGGCATCACAGCGGAGAATGAGTTAAGGGTCTTACGACCGGGTGGTGTGACAGTGGAGCAAATCGAACAGGTGTTGAAAGAAGCAGGATTGCAAGACATCCTGAAATTGTCCGTTTACGGCAAAGATATGCAAAGAAGTTCAGAACAAGAAAGTAAGCCAACAACACCAGGGATGAAGTATAAACATTACAGTCCTACTGCTCCAGTTGTCAAGCTTTTGTCAACTAAACTCTTCCCTAGTGCCATCGCTCGACCTTACCATTCTAATGCAACTTCATCGACTCAAGCGCTGAACTCGCTCATCAACCAATCCCCTAATTCAACACGTACAACGCCTCAAACTTTCGCCAAGGTCGTTCGGGAACAGATTGCCTCCCTCCTCACCTCTTCCAACGCTGGAACAGGAATGATCAATATCGGACTAATGACTACTCGGGACTCAGACCTCTCCCGACACATCTTTTCTTCCTTCACCGCTTCTCTCTCCGTACACGATAGTAGCGGAGAGAGTATTCATCGCCTTCTCCTCCCCCCACGCCTCCTGATTGGATGCGAAGGAGTCATGATACACCCCTTCGACCTCGGACCTTGCACCACAACAGAGGTGTACGCACAACGAATGTTCGATGGACTTCGAACCCTCGATGAAGGTCCATTACTCGGAGGAGTAGGGCGGTGCCATCTGATCTTTGTAGAGGCCCTAGACGATGCAGGAGTTGGGTTGGCAGTGATGAATAGACTCAACAAGGCTGCCAGTGCTACTGTTCTATTGGATTGCTAGTTCATCTCGACCGAATAGAGTGCTGTAATTGAAGATAACAATTAATATACGGCGTTATCGGGGTCACGATCAGACTCCCTTTACCACAGCCGTATGTTCTATGTAATGCTTAGTTTTCATGGTGTGAGACTGAATGACAAACACATATATATACTCCATTCACTGCTCTGGTCCTATTCGAGGCAGGATGTGTCTCTTCATTTGTACTCCTGTGTTGCTATGATACCGGGTGCCACTGTGCTGTCACCATGACAACAATTACGTACCTCATTGTACTTCTCGCTTACGTGAGCCTCCCGTGTCTCAATGTCTCGGCCGTAACATGTGCATCTTGCTTGAGATGCCGACGCATCTTCAACTGCTGTGTTACCTGTTCAGATGCACCATTTTTTTATTATTTTTTTTTGGCTGTTTGTGTTAGAGTGTTGCAGTGTGCAAAACGCGTTTCAAAAAAAAGAGGCTGCGCAACGAGTTAAAGCATGTCGTTTCTCAGCAAGAAGCATGCGACCTCTGAGAGTAGACATGCATCTATACCAAGCCCATATATAAACACCAACCTCACCCACTCTTGCTTGGCACATTACCCAGACTGACTGCCAAGCATCAGGATGCTGGCCAATAGATAGCTGGTGTCTTTCCTTCACTATATTTTCTCAATCATGTTTAAGCCTGATCAGCTCAGTATCATACATGCATATTCATCAACACAATCAACACTTGTGATCATTGACTTTGACAGACACTCTTCAACTGATTAAGAGTCTGACTGCTCTTGCCATACAATCATTGCATTTCGCCTTGCTCACAACACACTCTCAACTTGATTTGCCTTGAAAACTAAGACCACTGCACCATGCCTTTGCAATCCAACGACCCACACATTGCCAACAATGCCTTACTTCAGAATTCATCCAACAATCAAGCCGAAATGATTCATGTACTCCCCAAACATCACGGTGTCATAGGGTCTGCACAGAGGATTACACCTGTGCAAAAAGGTCTGGAATGAGACATAGGGTGCCTTATGCACACAAATTGTGAAATCAACAGCATTGCGGGTTTCCAGTTGATTTTGCCAAATGCACCACCAGAAGATCCTTTCAATGCATAACAGGTCAGACATTCACATGGAGGTAATGGGATAGTCATACAGATGGTTACCATCACTAGGGGGCAAGAGAGACATATTGGAGGAGATCACATGCAAAGAAGGGGACTGAGCTCAGAAGCACAAGGTTGCTTACCACACAAGGGGGGACATGCTCATGACCACATGAGGCTAACCACAGGGACAACCACATGGATGGGAAGCAGGACAATAAAGTTGATCACCCAATCAGGGGATTCACAAAATAGGGGTCTGGAGAATGGTCACAGCTTAGGCAGAAGGAGAGCTGTGTTAAGAAGACCAGCATATAGGCCATGGGGAAGAGGAACAGTGTCGACTCCTTCGACATACAGGTGAAGAAGAGAAAGGGGACAAGGAGCAGTGTCGAGAAGATCAACACACAGCTCAAGGAGAGGAGGAACAAGAGGATGAGGAGGATGGGAACACTCCTCAGAAGGAGCAGGAGCTGTGCCGCAGGCGACATCGTACAAATGCATAAATACTCTCACTTCTCCATAGCATATGAGTGGATCATCATCCACTCTACTCTATACTTTACTCACTCTTTACTTGACTCTTAGTTTCATATCATTGCAATAGCAGGGTGTCACAGGATCGGGAATCGGGTAACCAAACCGAACATAGTGAGCAGTAAAACCACTACACCAGCTAGACCCTTAGCTGGTGTACCTGATTCACACAACACTGAAGTATAAGCATTTTCACTCTCAAATGCTCCAGACTCGGAGAACGGAATTCCTATTCCGGTGACACAGGGCTTTGCAACAACATCTCAAATGTGTGTGTTGTATCACTGTCAGACATCAGTTGTAGGCAGTATCTTCAACACCTGCAGTCCAGCATCTCACTATAGGCAGTGTTGTTCAACACCTGCAGTCCAGTCAATCACTGAAGGTGGTGTATAACACCTGCAGTCCAGTACCTCCTCTCATCTGTAGGTGATAACCTTATTGTGGTCCAGATATCAATGAATACCATCAAGCAACAGCACTATGAACACTTGTGCTGTAACAGAAGGCTGTATCTTATAAGCATTCCCAATCTAAGTTCTACAGACATGCCACATAGCCTCTGAACAGAGTGTTCAAGGTGGTCAGTTGAAACTTACCAGAACTTGGTCATCTGGTTACTTTCACCAAACATACCAAAAAGAGCTCACTCAGTTGATCTCACCCATATCAACTGGAACCACCAAACCTGGTTTCAGGCGCATGACCGCTTACACGCTGCTGGCGGCGCTATGCGTCATCAGATATCTGAATCAGACTCAAGATGATGTGTTGAAGGGCATTTGTCAGAAGTTAATGATCACATGTGTCGAGTCGATTGCGATAGTGAGCATCTCTAAGTACATGACAATTGCTAGTGTATATATATGTCTTGGTGTCCTGTGTATCCATGTGCTTACACAAGAGCAATGAGGTTGAGGCCCCAGCATGGAGATTACAGAGATATGTGTCAGCTATCTACTGGTCAGTGCTCTAAAGCCCAACAGCTGGCATGGTGTCCATTGGCTGGTACTCTAAAGTCCAGCAGTTGGCCCGGGTGGTGTGTATATACCCAAGTAAGCAAAGTTGTTATTTGTGTGAAATTGGAGCTGGAGTCACATGCTTGGAGAAGCTGCATTCCCAGAGTAGAGGTCACATGCTTTCACTTGATGTATTGCAGATTGGCAGAGCAAACATGAATGAAAATGTCATCAAAGCCTACACAGGTGCAAATTGGGCTCCAGATCCCAACACAAATCAGAAAAGTACCTCAGGCTTGGTTGTTAAAGTCTTTGGTAGTATTTGTCAGCGGTCGCATGCCCAAAACCTGATATCTGTAATAGAACTGCATCTATTACAAATCCTGTCGAGATATGTGACAATGCTTGTGGTATTATGATTCTTGTCGAGATATGTTGTAGAGACATCTCTATTACTTTTCTCACTTGAAGATGCAGTAATGGTTTTGCTATTGCAGGTTCCGACTAACTGCTGTGGACACTCCATCCAGAGGTAGCTTGGCACAATCAATAACTTGAATGTATTGCATGACACCAAAGGTCTGGTGTGATTGGGATAGTTGATGTTGTTGACATGAGTGTCCAGTGTGTCAACTGAGAGCTTAAGGTGATCCCTGGACCACAGTGGATGACTACCTTTGGTTCTATGACATGAGCTGGACCACAGGTTGCTATGAACCACCTTCAGTGTTGATCATATCCAGACCACTGGTTCTATGAACTGCCTTCAGATGTCAGTGAGCAGTGATACAACACATGCACTACAATGGAAGCAATCTACTTGTGATTGCAACTATGCTGACTGAAAACTAATGTATACTTATGTTGCAGTGATAACTAGTTTATGGTGTAGAGTGGATGGGGATCCACTCACTTGCTATGAGGAGCATGGTTATATACCATCCCAGCAATGTCACCTGCGACACTGCTCCTGTCCTGTGAGGCCCCTTCGACTCCATGTCTCCTCCTCTTTCCCACTGCTTTTCCATCCACACTAGATTGCTGCTCATGTCATATCCCTTGACCTTTGTGGATGGATGGCCACTCACTGCTTCATCTCCATTGGGGGCCATCCCACTTCATCCAAGTGGTGACTCACCCCCCCCCCCTCCCCCACTCTCATTACTCCATGTCATTGGTGCCCACCTGCTGGCACCAACTTCAATGTCATGTAGGGCCCCTACCTCATCCAGTGGCAACCCCAGGTGTCCTCCCCTTCTAGCCTTTTATTGTACAAACACCCTTGCCATTGATCTCTGCAGGACATGTCATACAATCCAGTTTATTGCAGATTCCAGTGTGATTCATGATACCCTTATTGCTTGTACCAATCTAGATGAGATCTGCCTTAGAGCCACTTCTCCTACAGATTTCAGTGGGCTCTATTGCAAGTCCTATGATCTGCCCAATTCCTTGATTCCCATGCTCCCTTCATATGACTTGACAGATCTTCCTGATTCCTGCACATCCCGTCCCATGACAGTATTGTCAGCTGGAACTCACACATCCAGAAATGTGTCACCAGTTCAGAAGTCAAAGCTGAATATATTGCTGGTTTGGCAGCCACCAGAGAGGTGCTGTTTCACAGACACCTCCTCTGTGGTTTTGGTTTTGGAGATCATACACTGGTCATGTTTACCAATAACACAGGTTGTATTCAAGTGACAAATGATGTAGCCATGCATACCAAACTTAAACATATCAACACAAAATATCATCTCATCCAAGACCATGTACAAGAAGGGGATATCGAGATTAAGTATATTAAGACCATTGATAATATTGCTGATTTCCTTATGAAGCCAGTTTCCCAGAACCTCTTATCACACACTCAAAATAGACTGGGAATGGTCAATATCAGACCATACGATCACTCAGTTAGCAAAGGGGGGAGTTAAAGCATGTGGTTCCTTGGCAAGAAGCATGTGACCCCTCAGAGTACACATGCATCTATGCCAAGCCCACATTTAAACACCAACCTCACTCACTCAGGCTTGGCACATTACCCAGACTGACTGCCAAGCATCAGGATGCTGGCTAATAGATAGCTGGTGTCTTTCCTTCACTATAGTTTCTCAATCATGTTTCAGCCTGATCAGCTCAGTATCATACACACATATAGAGGGCATTGAGGCATATATAACTGCTTGATTCATCATGTACTTAGGAATGATTCATCATCGCAATCGACACTTGTGATCATTGACTTCGACGCACGCTCTTCAACAACAAACCAAAAAAGAAACCAAAGATCGGCACGGGCCAACTCCTTGCCGTCTCTTCCCCTCCCCCCTCCCCCTTCCCCCTCTCTCCCCTCTTCACTACAACCACCACGCACTCTCAAACCATCTTTTACGATCTTCTAGCAACAATGAAGCCCGTCATTCTGTACACCGCGGGCACGCCCAACGGCCAAAAATGCTCCAACTTCACCGAAGAACTCCGCTCGGCCTACCCTGACTTTCAAGTGGAATACGTTCCCATCAGCCTGGGCAAGAACGAACAGAAAGAAGCCTGGTTTCTCGAAATCAACCCCAACGGTCGAATCCCCGCATTAAAAGACCCCAATAGAGGCGGCCACTGCGTCTTCGAAAGCGCTGCGATCATCCTTTATCTCGAAAAATACTATGATCCAAAACATATCTTTAGTTGGACGGATCAAGGAGATGGCATTGATAAACGCTCTGAGGTGCTTAGTTGGATCTTCTTTGTCCATGGTGGAATTGGTTTGTATCAACTCTTATAGCAGGTGAGAAGAGAGATGGGATTGTCGCTGACGAAAACCATTTTTGCTTTTGGCGGGATTGAATAGGTCCGATGCAAGGTAAGCCTTCCTTCTTTGCACCCCTCTCCCCCTCGTCCCTTTGCTTTCTCAAAGGCTAACTCGGTTATGCTTTGCATCTTGGTCTGTGATGGTAGGTCAAGCAAACCACTTCGTCCGATATGCACCAGAGGACATACCATACGGCAAAACACGCTACGTTGACGAAACTAAACGGCTCTATTCCGTTCTCGATTCTCGGCTTCGTACCCACCCCTGGCTTGTCGGTGACAAGTACTCCATCGCCGATATCAACGCCTATCCTTGGTTACAGTACTACAAATGGGCTGGCTTGGAGGATGAAGATGTTCCCCAAAGCGTCAAAGATTATATCGATAGAAACTGGGAAAGAGCAGCGGTGAAGGAGGGGATGAAGGTTCCAGGTGGCAACTTGGAGTGGATCGAAAAAATGAGAAGCAAAGATTTCTTTGAGAAACATGCGGACGAGGCTGAGAAGGTAAGTCCATTACTCACCAGAGACTGTGGCTATCCAGAGGAATAGCATAGCTGACCAAAACTTGTGCTTTGTGTGCCAACGGCGAGTCAGAAAGCAGCTGAGGCCTCAAAGTGGATTCAAGATGCAATGAAGAAAGATCCCCAGTCGAAGGTTTAAACGCCCTTCCAACTTGTCACCATGACATGCTTCGTCCCAACATGACCGTCTATGCTCTACTGAAATACGAAACCCAACTGTGTCCCTTGACCAGCGTCGATCGGCCTACTTTCCTGTCGCACTTTCCTGTCGCACACTCAAGACGGCTCCTGTTGAGAAAAGGATGCAATGTAATGCTAAGCAGCATGAGATTTGGTGCGGTTGCTAGTGCTACAAAAGGGAAAGAAAAAAAAAAAAGAAAAGAAGAAAAAGCCTATACGACTTCGTAAACAGCCATCACAAGACAAGCCAAAGCGACGTACGGACTTAATCGTTCACCTGTTCCAGCGGAGGTTGCAATGGACCAAAAGGTCAGCTTTTCTTTCATTCACGTCGGAAACCAGAGAAGAGAGGCAAGGGGGAAGCTTACCGATGCGAGCTGATTTGAAAAACACTCCTAAGAACCCTTCTTTGTTCCGATCGATCAATGCTGGTGCAGTAGCTCGCACATATGTGCAGGTGCAAATGATAAGCAGGACTACGCGGAGGAGCGAGTGAAAGTTGAACAGCGCCGACTGCCGCAAGACAAGAAGCCAAGAGCACAATTTTCCATCATAAACAAGTACACAGCGTCAGTCAAGTAGCAGTAACACCAACGCAAGCAACAGTCTGCGACGAAGAGACCTACCATTCTGACCCTGTGTTATTGTGTTGAACTTCAGGCGACTGCACGTGCCGAAGGGTAATACAGCTAGCGATGACGGGTAGGAGCGGCTTCGAAGGCGTACCGAATGCGAAGATCGCCTGGTACCCTGCTCGTTGCTTCTGGCTGCAAGCCAGCTGTGGGAGGATGGGTAGCGAAGCGTCCGAGGAATGGCACGATGGCGGACTACGTGGAGATGATGATGGTGCGGTGGAAAACAGGCTTGTCCGTGCGATCTTGGACAGTCTGTGCACGGAGGCCAATTTCCGCGGGTGAAAGTGTGTGTGTATGTTGGAATGTAACATCCCGACAAAAATGCTGGCAGCACACGTGACATCACTTTCAGAAGTAATCGGATACAGAATCGTACGATCGGGCCGATCTTGCTATGCCATCGACCTCTTGTCGCATCATTCGACATTGCCTCGCTCCCCTTGATCAGAACTACCTTCCCTGCACACAAGCCTCAAACACGACAAACCTCGAACTCGTCAAAACACAGACCGTATCGCCTGCAAACAATGACATGTCAAGGCCCACCCCTCGGTCGAAGCGACTACTCACGATGGCGTCTACGAGTTTCCGACGGCGGTCGACATGTATGGCACTACCTCCGTGACGATGCTGAATGCAAAGCATGGCCGCAAAGCATTCAAGACAAGTACTGGCTCGGTCTTCCCACCGACCTTCCGCAACTGCCGAGAGCCAAAATACCGCTTGATGCAGCCAAAAACGGCCTCTCGTTCTACCGCAACCTCCAGTCTTCCGACGGTCACTGGGCAGGTGAATATGGAGGACCGATGTTCCTTCTCCCCGGTATCGTCATCGGGATGTATGTCACCAAGACTCCGATTCCGGAAGAATGGAGGATCGAAATCGCTCGCTATTTGTGGCACCGAGCGAATAAGGATGATGGTGGCTGGGGGATTCATATTGAAGCATCTTCAACCGTCTTCGGCACTGCTCTTAATTACACCCTGCTCCGTTTGATCCGGGTGAGTGCCGATCATCCTATGATGGTCAAGGCGAGGGGGACGTTGCATAAGTTGGGTGGTGCGACGGGCATTCCCTCTTGGGGGAAATTGTGGTTGGCCATCCTGAATTGTTATGAATGGGAGGGGATGAACCCTATTCCTCCCGAGCTTTGGTTGTTGCCCGATTGGCTTCCCATCCACCCCTGGAGATGGTGGATCCATACACGCATGGTTTACATCCCTATGGGCTATCTTTGGGGGAGGAGATTCAAAGCCGAGATGGACCCACTCATCGCTTCCCTCCGCGAGGAATTGTACGTTCAGCCGTATGAGTCGATCGACTGGCCATCTCAACGTGGCAACATTGCCCAAGTAGACACCTTCTACCCGCACACCAAAACTCTCAAAACCCTCATGGCTCTCGTCGGTGCCTACGACCACTGTCACATCCCCGCTCTCCGCAAAGCTGGCATCCAACGTGCATACGATCTTTTGGTGCTGGAAGACGAAAACACATCCTACCAGTGTCTCGGACCGGTCAACAAGATGCTCAACTACATCGCTCGTTGGGATGTTCAAGGCCATGATAGTCACGCAATGCGAATGCATCGTGAAAAGCTCAAGGATTTCATGTGGATCGGTGCAGAAGGAATGATGATGACAGGTACCAACGGCTCTCAGCTCTGGGATACTGCTTTCATCGCTCAAGCTATGGTCGATTCCGGTCTTGCTGCATCCCCGGAAAACAAACAGCTCACCCAAAAACTGCTCGATTGGCTGGACGACTGTCAAATCCGCTCCAACCCACAGCATCACAAAACATGCTACCGATTCGCCACCAAAGGCGCATGGCCATTCTCCACCAAAGAACAAGGATATGTAGTATCCGACTGCACCGGAGAAGGCCTCAAAGCAGTCATCATGCTGCAAGAAAACGTTGCTTACCTCGGCAAGCAAGTGTCTCGCGAACGCATGCACGACTCGATCGACCTCCTACTTACAATGCAAAACAGCGGTGGTGGATTTGCGAGTTACGAGAGGATCAATGGACCTGCGATGCTCGAGCTGATCAACCCAGCAGAGGTGTTTGGAGATATTATGATTGAATACGCCTATCCCGAATGCACTACTTCCGTCGTTACCGCCCTGCTCAAGTTCACCAAAATCGACGACTATAGGAAGCAAGATATCAAAAGCACCGTGCATAGCGCAGTCAAGTATATTCTAAAGGCGCAGAGAAAGGATGGAAGTTGGTTCGGAAGTTGGGCCATCTGTTTTACTTATGCGACCATGTTCGCGGTGGAAAGCCTGATGTTGGCTGGACATACGTATGAGAATAGCGATGCGATTAGGAAAGCCTGTGAATTTCTGGAGAGTAAACAGATGCTCGATGGCGGTTGGGGCGAGACTTACGAGGCAAGTTGTCCATCCTTCCTTGCTTTCTTGAGTCGATGGAAGCGGTGAGTGTAGAAAGCTGACATTGATTCTTCTTTTCATGTTGTGGTGGTGGGCAACAGTCCTGTGTGAAAGGAGTCTACACGCATGCGGCTAAATCGCAAGTTGTACAGACAGCTTGGGTTGTTATCACGTTGCTTCATGCCAAGTATCCGAAGAAGGATCGAATCAAGAAGGCCGTCAAGGTGATCATGGATCGCCAGCTTAGCGATGGATCTTGGGCCCAAGAACAGATCGAGGGCATTTTCAATAGGTATGTCGCCAACACCGATGCAGACCGATGCAGCATTACAACCGAGCCTTAACGTCTGCGCTCTGCCCCATTTCTCAATCTTGCTCGCTTCCGTCCCCCTTTGCGCAATACAGAAACTGTAAGTGTTCCCGCTCAGCAAGAAGAGCTGACCAAAGATTGGGATAGTCCGAGCTGACCCTTACCACACACTACACACTCTGTTTGATGTGGACGACAGGTGCGATCTCCTATCCGAACTACAAGTTCAGTTTCACCATCTGGGCGCTTGGGAAAGCTGCTCGCGAACTGGACTGGAACTGACCCGAGCTAGGCATCTAATGGAATTGTCTTTCTCTCGTCTCTTTCGACCAGTGTGCGAGTGAAGCTAGGTGGGATCCGGGGTTCAAGCAGGTCCGGCCTCTTGAGCCGCTTCTGAATTGTTTGGCTCTGGTAAGGAGCGAGCAGTGCCCTGCTTGTTCTGCGATGGAACGACAGGTTTGAGATGCGGGATACCCATCTTCGACTCCAGCTCGAACCATGGGTTTTCCATGAAAGAGGTCTGAAAGAAGCCGAGTTCCGCTGGTTGCGGTGCCAATGCCGGGTCTCGAGATGGGTCTGATAGTGGGGTGAATGGTGCTGAGCCGCCGCCTCGGTGACCGCCTCGGGTTCCTCGTCCACGACCACCACCAGGGCCGCCCCGATGTGGTCCATGTCCTCGAGCAGCCTGTGATCGTCGGCCTCGATTGGGTGGGGTGTAGGAGTTCATGATGGCTGAGCAACCAAAAAAAGCACTGCTGGGTTGCTGGCTTTTGATCGAAATGCCGATTCAACCGACGAGGTGGTGTTGGGTGGCAAGAAGATGATGGTTGGCAAGGTGATGGTTGGCAAGGTCAGTTGAATGGGTTGCGACACGTCACGTGCGACACATCACGTGCGACACATCACGTGCGACACATCACGTGCGACACATCACGTGCGACACAATTCCACACACACTGCTCTTGTGCATCGGTAAATTACTGATTTCTCAGCCTTGGCCCATTTCTCTTCTTGCTTGCTAACTTTCCTTCCCACTCACCACCACCACCCCTTCCTCACCGCATAGGAAAGCTGGACCATACAGCATGTCATCAGGCTCAAATCGCAAGGGCCTGTTGCCCACATCCCAAGACAACCCGAGCAACACCGCCTCCAATGTTGCCAATCCACCTCCTTCCGTCCAACGTCGCTCCTCCCAACCGCTTCCCGGTATTTCGGCCACTGCCTCCTCACTCCGCAGTCGTAGAGTCCGTTCCACCTCCGCTGACTCGACAGGCTCCATTCCAGAACTCAGCGGCATCGATGATGAAGCTCCTGGCGACTACGATCCTGGCATGCAGCCTTCCACTACCAGTCGCTCTGCTCGAAGCCATCTCCCCGCCAACTTGCTGAGAGCTGCTCTTGTGCCTGCTGGCTCATCCCAGAACCAGTCCAACAAGCCAGGATCCAACGCAAGCGCCCAAGCACCCAAAAGAATCGCCCCTGCTGCCCCACTCTCGCCCCCTCCTGCACCATCGAATCGTTTCAAGGGTACTCCTGCTCGTGCAACTCGCTACTCGCTTCCCGTACGGGCAGAGAAACCAGTCCGAACCACAAAGACATCTGGAAAACACGTCGTCTTGCCCTCCGAATCGCAGCTTGCACCTTTGCCTGGTGAGGAAGATGATGATGACGATGACGATGACGATGACGACGAGGAAGAGTCGGAGGAAGAAGAACAAGTGACGGATGATCAAACCGATGATGCAGATCAATCTGCTACTGTAGGAAAGACAGCTGTGTCTGGTCAAGATACCAAACCAACCTCGGATTCACAAGCTGTTCTGCTTGGGGGTCGCGGTGTTGGTCGAGCCCTGGAAGTCGTTGGTGCTACCAAGCCACCTGCCAAAGTGCCCGTCACTACTCCTCGACCCGGTCCTACCATCCCATCGAATCGACACACAGCACCTGCTCCAGTATCCGGCAAGCTCGTCACCCCAGCTGCTAAGGGGTCGCAACGACCTGCAGCGTCTTCCGCCCTTGCTCGTGCCGCTGTCTCTTCCGTCTCTGCTGCGCAGGCACGTCATGCACAAAAGGCGAAACCGAAAGCTGCCACTACTTTCCGTGGCGCTGCTACCCGTGCCCCGCCTCTTCGACCGCATAAGTCGGGACCTGTGTATCACACATTCGAACGCATGCCTCCGAGTGCTAGACTCATGACTCCACTCCCTCGCTTGACCGCATACAGTATCTCCACGTCCATCCATCTAGGTACGCTTCTGGGCTTCTTGCGTCGTGAGCACGGCGTCAAGCCCCGTCTCTACGACGAGTGTGCTTATGCAGTCTATACAAAGCCGCTCTTGCCTGGGTTCGGACGTGCAAATGTCAGGTCTGCTCCGGAACCACGCAGTGCTAGCCCCGGTGCCGAGTCAAGGCGCGAGAGGGAGTTGGAACAGCGAGAAGAGTTTGGTTACCTCGGAACGTATTTCGAGCATCGGCAGGAGGAGGAAGAGGACATTGATCAAGATGGTTATATCAAGGGTGGTGAGGGACGTGGTTCCCATAGCGAGAGTCGAAGGAGGGGTGGTGGAGAGACTTCGGCTTGGGAGAGTGAGGCCGAGAGGTGGACTCCCGGTGAAAGAAGAGCTAGTCGCCAAGAAGCAATGCTGGTTGATCGAGATCGAGATCAAGCTCAACGTATTCCAGAGGGTAGCGGTAGCGCTCATGCTCGAACGCAGTCGACGGATAGCAGCACTCTTCCTGTCAGCAGTAGTCTGGATGATGAGGATCAAGGTATGCTTGCTACTCCACTTGCTAGACCTGCTCGTGCTCCACGTAAGGCTTCCGATAGCGATACCGAAGCGGATGCGGGTACGGGTGGAGAACCAAGATCTTTCTTACTCGAACGTCGTCGTGCAAGTCAGAGCTCTGTTTCTGACGTTGAAGCTCTACCGCCTTACCGTCGTTCTGCATCCCGCACCGACATCGCAACTGATCAGAACGAGCTAGCTATCAACATCTCCGACTCAGCCGGTGCACGCGATATGATGCTCCAACAACGTGCCGAAGAACGAGGCGAAAGCAAACGCATGGCTCATTCCTATCCATCCAACGAACTCAGCATGAATTCCGATCTGGACGAAATCCCCGCCAACCCTTCTCCCTCCCCCCACGAAACTCAAAGTGCTTGCTTAACACAACCTTCGGCCCTTAACCCCCTCCAATCTCTGGACGAAACAACCGTGGCCGACCGCTTCCCCACCTCCAACGCCAACGCCAACGCCAACGCCGAACCCCCTTCCTCCTCTCGTAAGCCTGATGACTCGCAAAACGAGGCATCGCAACCGAAAGAGCGCCGAACGCGAAAGTTGCGTAGACGAAAACGTCGTTACGCAGGCCCCAACATGGCTTCTCACAATCACGACACTTCCGCCAACCTAGACACGGCGCGACCTATTCTCGAAGCGCTCCAATCCGCCGAACTCGTTATCCTTCCCTACGGAGTACTGGTAATGTACAACTTTTCGGCCGCCGAGGAGCGAAGGATCATTGAAGATGTTCTCTCCTCCGGATGTGCAAGAGAACGGATGGATGAAGGGGCAAGAGAGACGGAGGCTTTCCATTTCTGTTACGATCCCAACATCTCTGCTCCTAGGATTTTCAACGATTTCTTTACTTTCCGTGCCCCCAACCACCTCTTGAAGCTTTCTCTCGCTCACGCCATTGCCCAATCCACGAAACTTTCCGTGTTCGAAGAACGAATGCAAGCAACGCTAGAGCTCACAAGTCATATTCCAAAGCAAATGGCCAGCACTGGCGAGTTGAAGCTAAAGAGGAGAGAGGCACTACGCTTGACTGGAAGGTTGTTCAAGTTGAGGGTAGATGTCAACTTGACCAGTAACGTCTTGGATACTCCAGAGTTGTTCTGGTCCGAAGCAAGTTTGAAAGCGTTGTACGATGCGATTAGGGATTATTTGGAGATTGATGAGAGGGTTGAGAATTTGAATGAAAGGTTGGCCGTTGCCAATGATTTGTTGGAGATCATACATGAACATATTGCCAATACGGCCATGTCGAAGATGTAAGTGGTCCAACCCGCAGCAGCCTTACTCTACTCGACTTGGTCAGGATGGGATTGATTGCTGACGCTGATTCTTATTCTTTCTTTCTTTCTTTTTTTTTTTTTTGGTGATGGTAGTACATGGATTGTGATTATCCTGATTATCGTGGCATGTGCCGTAGCAGTGGGTGAGATTTCAGCAAGGTTCATTGTAGGAGCGAACAGAACCGCGGAGGAAGGGTTGAGGATCATCAGGGCTGCACAGCTGTTGGTTGCTCAGTCGCAGGGCGAGGCGCAGTCGTTAGGGATTGGGCAAGGCGGGTCTTATCTTGCCTTGCCTGAGTCGCTTTAGTCTCTCGCGATGTGGATTGTGCTAGCAAGCAGCGCTTTCTTTTCTATTCCAGCATGTGTGTATTCTTGATGCCCATCTGAGGATGTGTTGCTTGATAAACTCGCCTTCATCGATGATTTGTGATTTGGATATGGTGTCAGTCTATGGCCTGTCTCTTTCGCTGCATGGTCTGTGCGCGCAACTTCGGATCATCGGCAAGAATTAATTTTCAGTTTTACAGTCACGTCCAAAATTGCCCTGCATCTAATTAATTTGATATGGTCTTCTCAGGTCCCTTTCATGATGATGACCAGTACCCTTTGTTCTCTTTGACAACACCCACTTTGGGTGGTATGGTTGCAAAGCTTTGATAGCCTGCTATCAGAATACATGAGAAAAAAGGATGGTCCCACCAAAGAATATGCTGGAATTTAGGTTGCCACTTTTTGAAGCCCCTCCTCCTCCTCCTCAATTAATTCTGTACCTTGTGTAACTCATCACTTTGCACAGAATTGAGCTAACAGACCATGCTTGAAACTTTGTATGATTGTAGTATGATATAAATGAAGATGTTTCAGGGTGTTTTGATGAGCTTAGGACAACATCTGGCAATACTGCTGCCAACATGGCAAGGAGGGCAAAAAATTGATATGGGGAGGACTAAATACACCACTGCTCACCTATTACAGGTCAAAGAGCTGCTCCAAGCAGGTTTCTCAACAAGGGAGATAGCAACTAAACTGTCTATCAACAAATCCAGCATTGCTGAACTGGCAAAATGGGTACCAGAGAGTGAATATGTGAAAAGGACCCCTGGGAGGTCCTCCTCTCCTCACACCAACAGGCATTACTCACCAGAGGAATTAGCAAGAATTCTTATACTTCAGCTACTGAAGCTTCAGCCCACTGGCTATGGAACTATCAACTTCATTTGTCCAGACAAACCATTACACATGCACTGAAGCAAGCTGGACTTAAGTTTAGGGCAAAAGAAGAAAACCCTTGCTCACAGATAAACATAGAAAGGCAAGGAGGGTGTTTGCCAAGGAGTATAGACATTGGACTGTTGAACAATGGAAGAATGTCATCTGGAGTGATGAATGCAAGGTTCAACACATTGGAAAGGGCTTGGAAAAACAATACTGGTCCATGGATGTCAACTATGATATCTATATACCTACACTGCAGGGGGGTTGACCACAGCATCATGATTTGGGGGTGTATGACCTGGGCAGGCCTAGGTCTAATGGTCTATATAGATGACAAACTGAATTCAGAGTGTTACATTGAGTTGCTGGAGGAAGTGGTGCCTGGTAGCATCTTGAAGTGGAAGAATATACAGAGAATTCCACCAAGGGATAAATTGAACTTTCAGCAAGACAATGCCTGCCCTCACACTGCCAAAGTCACCAAGGAGTACCTGGAGGAGGTCAAACTCAATGTATTGCCCTGGCCTGCAATGTCTCCAGACCTGAATCCTATAGAACATGTGTGGCAGCAGCTGAAAAAGCAGCTATATCAGTAAAGATATATTATCAACAACAAAGCTCAACTCATTACAGCTATCAACAGGTTTTGGGCAATGTTTCCCAAGGAATCAGTCCAGGCACTCATAAAGTCGATGCCCAGTGTCATGGGCCTGGATGCGCAGGAAGCAGGAAGACCTGTCAAGTCATATGAAGGGAGTGCAGGAATTGAGAGATTGGGCAGATCATGGGAGCTGCAGTAGAGGTCACCAAGATCTGTAAAATAGAAGGCTCTATGACAGATCTGACCTAGATCAGCACAAGCAATAATGGTACCACAAGCCTCACCAGGATCTGTGGTAAACAAGGTTGTATTACATATTCTGCAGAGATTAGGGACAAGGAGGATTGCACAACAGATCCATTGGAGACAAGTGGCAAGGACTTTCGAGGGCACCACCAGATGAGGGAGGGGCCCTACATGATGATGAAGTTGGCACAAGAAGATGAGGGCTGAAGCCAAGAGGTAGATGAAAGAGGGGGTGGGGGAGTGTGCACTGTCAGTAAGATGAAGTGGGGTGACCCCTATTGACAATGAGGGGGAGCTGGCCCTCATAGCCACAGACACAAGAAGAGCAAGAGCTGCCAAGGATGAGACACAATGGCAGTGCCTCTGACACAGTGCTTGAGGAGGGAGTACACCCCTTGGTATAGCAGGAGCAGTGTTGCAGGCAACTCTGTGAGAGGTGTTGTTATAAGACATGCATTCTATTCATGGAAGTTGAGTGGATCCCCATCCACTCTACACCATACACAACTAGTTATCACTTCACATAAGTATACATTAGTTTTCAGTCAGCAAAAGTTGCAATCAAGTAGATTGCATCCATCATAGTGTGTGTGTTGTATCACCACTCACTGGCATCCAAATGTGGTTCATAGCAAACCAGCAGTCTGGATAACAATAGAACCAAAGGCAGTTGTCCACTGTGGTCCAGGGATCACCTCAAGCACTCAGTTGACACACTGGACACTTGTGTCAGTGCTACCAATTGTATCACTCACACCAGACCTTGGTGTAGTTGCAATACATTCATCATTATTGATCATGCCAAGCTACCTCTGGATGGAGTGTCCACACCAGTTAGTCAAAACCTGCAATAGCAAAACCACTACTACATCTTCAGATGAGAAAAGCAATAGAGAAGCCTCTACTACATATCTCAACAAGAATCATAATACACAAGACATTACCACATATCTCGACAGGATTCATAATAGATGTGTTCCTGTCACAGATATCAGGTTTTAGGCATGCAACCGCTGACACCCAGGAGGTTACAGGCTGTATGGGTTGCAAAAGGGGGCCATACAAAATACTAAAGTATAGTATATAGTAATTTAGGAGGAGCTTTACACTCAAAAAAAGTTGTGGCACTTTCACTGTGCACAAATGTGGTCCAATCACAACAAAACTTATATGAACTTGTAGCTCTCAATCTCAGCTTTCCAACAATATGCCACAAGCTACACTTCATTGAGGATACCTGCTCTTCAGAAGCCAAGTTGATGTGTGGTGATGAGCAATTAATTATCCTAAAAGATGCTGGGCAATTTTGGATGCGACTGTATTTAAAAAGGCGCTCCATACGACACACGATTGATATTAGTAAAGAAGTTTTCGGTCCCGATAACTGGTGATTAGGGAGAGTCCGAGTATGATGTCACTACTTCTTTAAGGCAGAAACATATATACTCGATTGACTAAAGGAATGTGGTGAGAGCCTAGTGCTCTCTGTCTTGTATATATACATCTGAGTGGCACTTCCCAAAGGTGGGAGTACCCCTAGCTAATGATCTACCATGACAACGGGTGGGGCTACGTTGCGCCCGATCTCTTGTCAGATCGGTCCTCCTGAATCTCTGATCAGATCGACCTGTCCCGATCCTTCCACCATCGGCTTGTGTCACCTCTCATTATCATGTTGGATCGGTACCTTTGTCAACGATGAGCTTCTAAATTTTTTACATTCCCAACTCAAGCTCAGCTGCACACCTCCTTCCACCACCAACGACCATCACCCACCAACCTGGCCACTTTGTTGCAATTCAAGATGGCCGACACAGCCACCGCTAGCGCAACGGCCAGCAGTAGTATCACCAACAGTCTCTCCTCCACCATCCCCGATTCGGAATGGAAGCACCCCGTCTACGGCCCAACTGAGAAATATACTCCTGGCATCGCCCCCATCAAACCTGAATACCTCCTACCCAAACCACCCTCCGCCGCTCTGCAGACAAAAGCTATTGACGATGATGCAGCGGAGAGATGCACGAATCCAGCCTCCAACTCGTCTTCTTCCAACACCAACATTGGCGCTGAGAGTGGGGGAGAAGCGGGGAAGAAGTTAAAAGGAGCAGCACGCAAACGAGCACGAAGAGAAGAAGCTGCCGCACTAGCCGCCTCCCAACCTTCTGGAAAGAAGAGCAAGGCAGGGGAGAAAGGTGGACAGAATAAAGCTCGTCAATTCGCCTCCTTCAAGGATGGTAAGCGCTACTGTCATGGGTTTCTTTCGAGAGGCGAGGAGGGATGTAAGTTCGCCAGGGAGGGCGGGGAGAAAGGGTGTAGGTTTAGCCATGATTTGGTAGGGTATCTCCAAGCGAAAGATAAGGATGTCTTTCTTCCGCCTGTACCACATGCAGAATTGGAAAAGTTATCAGAGGAGCAGAAACAGCAGTGGTTGAGAGAACAATACTCTTTAAGCCTCCTCCCATCGTCGGCGGGCGATGGAGTTCAAACCTTCGTCCGACCCAACACATCCCCCTCAACAGAGAAGGCGGAAGAAGTGGCAAAGGCTCAAGTGGATCCAGCACATCAGAGCCTGGACCTAACCACATCGTGTCCCATTTTTGCGGTCAAGGGATTTTGTACTATGGGTTGGAAGTGTCGTTTCCTTGGCTCCCATGTTAGAATTGTAGGAGCTTCGAGTTTGATTGATAAGGATGGGGGCAGTGGGTTTGCAGCAAGTGGATTGGAATTGGTCAGGGATGAACAGAGGCTTAAAGCTTGGAGAGAGCGACCGCGTGCGTTTACCCTTGCAAACAAGCATGCGGAGCATGATGCGGATCAAGAGGAGTTAAATTTTGGCACAGGCGCAGGGATGAAGTCTATGCGTGTTCGCAAATACCCTTTGCCCAAGACGAAGGCTGTGTTGAGGTATTTGGAGCAGGAAAGTAAGCAGTTGGCCAAGGTGGATCCTCAGGGATCGACTGCTGGGAAAGCGCCGGTTCCGATCGAGATTGTGGAAGAGGCTGTTGCTGCCCATAACAACCGCCCTTTTCCCGCTGCTCCTCCTGCTGCTGGTGATGTTGGTGGTGGGATGGGAGAGGGGGATATTGAAGAACTGGAGAACGCCATCTGCAACTCCACTTGCTCTGCTGTTGCTACTCGCGTAGCTGAAGCAGCCAACGCTTCGACCGGGATTGATATCGCGCGCATCCGCCCATCAGAAAAACGTCGTCTAAACTGGAAAGGGGAACTTTATCTCGCTCCCTTAACCACCACTGGAAACCTTCCTTTCCGCCGGATCTGCGCCTCGTTTGGCTCCGACATTCACTGTGGAGAAATGGGTCTCGCCGAATCTTTCCTCCACGGAAACGCTTCCGAGTGGTCTCTCGTTCGCCGCCACGCCTCGGAACGAATCTTTGGTACTCAATTATGCGGTGGCAAACCCGATCTACTCGTCCCCGTAGCCGAAGCGTTGAAGGCCGAGATCGGAGATGGGTTGGATTTTGTCGATATCAATTGCGGATGCCCCATCGACTTGGTTTACAACAAAGGGGCCGGTTCTGCTCTCCTGGATCATCCAAGCAAGCTTTCTAAGATCGTCAGAGGAATGAATGCAGTCCTCGGGGATACACCTCTCACGATCAAGTTAAGGACGGGAACAGGAGCAAAGCAGACAACCCACAAGATCTTCGCCAAGGTTCAAACCGAATGGGGTGCCTCTGCTGCCACTTTACACGGTAGGAGTAGGAAACAGAGATACAAGAACGATGCCGATTGGGGCTACATTGCCACTTGCGCCCGCACTCTGCGATCTTCCGTCCAACAATGGAACGAAGAAAGTCGGTATGCCGACGAACCAGAAATGGTGCCCATTCCCATCTATGGAAATGGAGACGTGTACAGCTGGCAAGACTACTACGAACGCCTATCCCGGACCGCAGTAGACGGCGAAATGATTGCGAGAGGCGCACTGATCAAGCCTTGGCTGTTGACGGAAATCAAGGAAAGGAGGGATTGGGATATTAGTTCCAGAGAGAGATTGGATGTGTTCAGGCAGTTTGCCGAGTATGGTCTGAGTCATTGGGGAAGTGATACACATGGAGTGAACACAACTAGGAGGTTTATGTGTGAGATGATGAGTTTCACCCATCGCTACGTTCCCACTGGCTTGTTGGAGTTTCTGCCCGCGAGGATGAATGACAGACCGCCGCTTTTCAAGGGGAGGGATGAGCTGGAGACCTTGTTAGCTAGTGCCAGAGGAAAGGATTGGGTCAAGTTGAGTGAGATGTTCCTGGGCAAGGCGACGGAAGGTTGGAGTTTCACTCCGAAACACAAAAGTAATGCCTATGGGGATGCGGAGGGGGCCGAGCAGCAGGGATAGGGAGAGGGTCGAGCGATTGATTTGTGTTGCGAATGATGATTGATTTGTATCCTGTTGCTACTGAAGTTGTATGTGGGAAGTGTGTGCTGTTTGATGTTGAAGAGCGTAGCGACGATGACGACGGGAGTCCAACTGAGAAAGGGCTGTTAGAGCGTGAGAGCGAAACATGCTTGATGGGTCCGATTTGGGCGATTCTAAAAGTCATTCTTCATCGTCCAAATTGGACGTTTTCAAAGCAACTCGGCCATTTCCTTGATGATTGCAATCAATGTTACTGCCACTGGAAGCTGCAGCCTCGTTCGGCTCATATTGACTCAGATACCACAGCCAGATGACACATATCTGATAGAAAGACAACAATTCCATTCTGGAACACCAAGGTAAATATATATAAAAGGAGCCAACCATTGAGATCAACTACATGTCCAGAGTATGACAACTGCTGGAAGACTCGGCTTGATCCCTTGCCACTTTTTTTCCCCACCTTGTACCTCTTGTCAACCTTGCTCTTCCTCTTCCTTGAAATCCAGGTCATCTTTGACCCTCTCCAGCTGTTCCCTTGCCTTTGCAGCATCCTTACTTCTCTTAGCCATTTTTTCCTCCATGTTCATGCTGGCATTCCACACATGACAATGCTCCATATTCTTTCCATTGTTCTCTACACACATTGCTTTGGCCACCTCCTCATCCAAGAACTCCTTGTACCCCTGCTTGTACTCCTTCCTTTTCTTACTCTGCAATGCTGGCAGAGCTTTTGTGGAATGCATCACTGACTTATATCCTTTCTTGGCTTTCATGCAAAGTGTATTGTAGTTCTGCTGGGCATAGCAGCCATTGAATTGAGGGTACAGGTGCTCAATCTCCACATCACTCATGGCTTTCATGCTCAGAGGAATGTATGGCAGTAATTGTGAAAGCTTGTACTTGTTGTTGGTGCTGACAGCCTTGATGACACTATTGTCACCAGCATGAAGGATCAGAAACTTGTGGTCATTGACAAGATGGGAAACAAAAGTAATCTTACTGGCTGAACCTTGGTTCTAATGGTGGTGACAACAACAGACAGGACAGATTATTGTTTTTTGTCCAAAGTCAAAAGGCAACCAAATGGAACTTTCGAACTTCTTTGTATTGTTGGCCTCAACAATGGTGGTTTACTGGTCTGGTCAATGATGCCTGTGATGTACAAGTATGTCTTAGCATCTGCATCTGGCCTTGTATACCAGTCTTGAACAATGCAAGAGGCAACAGGGCAGACAAAGAAGGTGGTTTGCTTCCATTGCTAAAAGCTGCAGGTGAACTGCATGCAGATGTTGTCAAAGTCCAAGTTGTGGGAGGACATGGCATCATAATGCTTTTGGAAGCATTTGGGGGAGCATGGTCAGTGTCATCAAGAGGGGAGTATTTGCTGCAGACAAAACAACAGAACTGTTTTTGTTTGTCTTTAAGAAAAATGTTGAAGATCTTGGAGACTTTGACAAGCTTTCTTGCCCAACTTCTTCTCCATCTGGTCCAAGTGAAATGTCTTGTTGCAGGAGGGGCAGAAGTGAGAGGCACTGTGCAGAAGCCACTGAAGCAAGCTGGCATCAGAACCATGTCTAACACTGCCATTGTTGAATGGATGAGGTTGCTGTGCAACAGATATGAATGACAGCATGTTTGCGCTTGTCAGTGCCAAGAGACCAACTAGAGCATCTTTGAAAGGGAGCTTGACACCACTGTTGATCAGGTGGAATGTGTCAATAATCCCATCTGTCACAGGGCCTGTGCAGAAAACCCTGGACAGGCATTGGATGCACAGAGTGCATGTAATGCGAAATTGGTCGAGTCCCAGGTTTCTGACCGATTTCAGCGAAAACAATCAGAATGAGCCCATTTGAAAGATATTGCAGGCTGCACTGCAAAAGGAGATCATCAATGCAACAAGAGTCATGCAACCACATAGAATTGAAGGGACACCTGCCACTTGGGATGAAGTGGGTGATACCCCTCTTCTACAATGAAGTCACAGGCAGGACTGGTGGACTTGGTAGAGGCAGAAGCTCACTTTCACACAAGGCCAGGAGAAGTAGGAGGAGCATGGGAAGTGTCAAGGAAATGCCCACGCCACTCATGAGGAGGAGAGGCAGTGTTGCAGGCAACACTGTCCATACATGTATATATATCTTCACTTTGTTGCAGTAGAAGAGTGGATCCTCATCCACTCTTTATTATCTGGCTATAGGTGCAACAATAACAGTCCTTTCAAGTATTGTCTTCAGCTGCAATCCAGTCCTGGCTAGTCAGGCATATGCAAGCATGCTACCTGCCCTCACAGACAGACCAAGACAGACACACATGGAAGCAGCCAAAACTCTAACATTATTTTTTGGCCATTTCTTCCTGATGAATTCCCCTGGGTTGAATTAGCGGCGGTCGCTAATTCTGTTACGCACGCATCGACGCCCCTCTCTCCCTCTCTTGCAATATTTCCAGTCAAATGCACCGACCACCACGACCACGACGATCACCAGACCAACATTAGATCTCGTCGACATCATCAATCATCGTCACACCATCATCTTCCCCCTCGATACCTTCACCACACCTCACACCCTCAGCTCGCTCTCTCACATCAACCTTGAGTACAGATAGGATAACTTCAAAGGAAAGGGTATCGGTGGTTACAAAGGTCGTCAGAGATGGTCTCAACTTTATACCTCGCCGGAGGATCCGGTTTGACCACCCTTTCCGCTGTGGGATTGTATATGCTTTTGACAGGTAAGTTCAATCGCCTTGCCCTCCCATGTTCGTTCTGATGTGCTGCTGTGCTAACACCTTTCCCCGCTCTCTTACTTTGTGCTCGCTCGCACAAACAGGCAAGGGTGAAGCATTCAACATAGGACAATTCCTGGAAGAAACCTCTCCTTACGCATGGGCAATGATCGGTATCGGACTTTGCATCGGTCTTTCTGTCATCGGTGCTGGGTGGGGAATCTTTATCACAGGTGCAAGCATTCTGGGTGCTGGTGTAAGAGCTCCTAGGATTACAACCAAGAATTTGGTTTCGTAAGTTGATCATCCCTTCCTCACGATCAGGTGCATTCTGGTGTGTTCTTTTCGGCTGACTTTGGGTTTTGCTTTCTACCGAACCCTCGCTGTCTCTTCCGGGCACGCTTCTTGTGGATCGTCTATCTGATACACCATCCCCGCTTACGCTCGCTCACCATCCCCGCTTACGCTCGCTCGAATACACTCGAATGCTCCTTGCAACCTCGCTCGCATTCAACCTCATCCGCTCGCATCCCGCATCCCGCATCCAAACTCGCTCGTTGCAACAGAATCATCTTCTGCGAAGTCGTAGCAATTTACGGCGTCATCATGGCCATCGTATTCTCCGCTAAAATCACAGGCAACTTGGAGGGGGGAACAGATGGGTTGTGGACACCCAACAACTATCTCACTGGACATGTGCTCTTTTGGGGTGGCTTGACGGTTGGAATGTGTAATTTGTGTTGTGGAGTCGCGGTGGGTATTACGGGTAGTAATGCTGCGGTGGCTGATGCAGCTGATCCACAGTTGTTTGTCAAGATCCTGATCGTAGAGGTTTTTAGTAGCATCTTGGGGCTGTTTGGGTTGATTGTCGGATTGATTATGACGGGGACTGCTGAAGAGTTCAAGTGAAATCACCTGGGGTCGATGGTGGTGGGGGACGGGAGAAGAGAAGGAGAGCAGGAGAAGGGAGAGCAAGGAGGCAAGGAGGCAAGGAGGCAAGGAGGCAAGGAGGCAAGGAGGAATTTGTTTGTACGGCTAACTTGTATCCAAATGCCATGTTGCGACGTATTACAGCTTGCACAAGCTTCTGCTTGACGCAGGCAAGAGACGAGAGACACTCTTGTTCCAGCATAGTGCGCAGCTGTGCGAGTGTCGTTGCGCTCAACACCTCTCAGATTCGAGATGCTGAAAGTGGTTCGTATTCCCCGTATTCCCGTTGATCAAGCTCAGATCTGTTGGACAACTCAGAAGCACCATCTTTCGCACACACTGCCAGAGAAGATTGTGAGATAAGGATGCAAAGTGTATGCATCCAAAGTACAAGTCCGCTGCAAGCGTTTGCTTATCCGTTGCTTGCTATCGCTGTCAGCATAGCTCATCCTCCGAAAGCCACCGCCTACGATTTCACCTAACAAAAGCCCATCTAAGACACCTTTCTGCGGCCCAACTCTCTCTCGGCTGTATGTTCAGTGACTGAGTTTAGCTTTCCCTCGGAAGCGTCTCCTGGTGATGGTTTTTTTACCGTTTTTGGTTTTGATTCGGGCCAAGAATCCATGTCTACGTTTCCGGATTCGTTGAGATGGTTGATATTCGGATCCGTAGGTTACTGTTCTTACTTGCTCCCCGACTGTTCCTACATTTTTGTTCGATGCGAGTGGGGAGAGGACTGAGCTTGTGCTTGTGCCTCCGAAGAGAGGTGATGTGAATTGTGGTCGACGGAGTAATGGGCAAGGTACGAGTTTTGGTGTAGATGTGCGAACAAGTGGTGTGGTGGGGGAAGAGGTTGATGCGATGGGTGTTGGGATAGCGGTAAGTGTAGGTGTGGCGATATGTGTGGTGGTGGTGCGGGTTGCTGCCCGTAAGAGGGGACGGAAAGGTGATAGACGAGGCATTGCTTGCTATGGCTTTTGAGGGGTGATCCTGTGCATTGGTTGATCATGGTAACGAGGAAGAAAGTGCAAAAGATATATGGAAACAATTCTTGCACACTTTTTGCACACTTTTTGCTCACGTGACTCGAGCTGAAATTTAACAGAATATATCTTCGTTTTTGGGGCTCCGTGAAATAAGTTAAAGTTTTCGTATGATTGATGATGATGGTGGGACAGAGGGAGAGAGAGAGAGCATGAAGAGAGAAGGAGTCTATATATACAAAAGAAGAGCGGCAGAGAGCCACATCGACTGTGGAGCATAACAAAGCATTTGTCTTGAGTAGGTTGTGACACATGTGGTCCATGCTCAGATGCTCAAGCCTTTTACTCAGCCATAAGCACTACCTTCACCATCTCTACACTTTGTGTAGCTTTTATATACTTTAACTCCCCCCCTCAACAGCATATGTACCCCGTCCATTATGCTGTTGTTTCAAGGTATATCCTCCATTCTTTAACATCATCACATAGCTCGGGGACTCTGTTTCATACGCCACTGCCAGTATTTGCAGGTGTAGCCCAGATCTTGCTTGCTGTATTGCCTGTCTCCCGATTGGCTTGGTGAGTACATCTGCCAAATTCCTTGTGGTGTCCATGTACTTGATTTGCACCCTTCCCTCTTGAACATTGTTATGGATGAAGTGATACTTGGTGTCGATGTGCTTAAGCTTCCAGTGCTGTGCTGGGTCTTTACTAACCTGTATGCATCCAGTGTTGTCTGAGTAGACTGTTGGGGTGCCTGTGGCAATGCCAATTGAGTGTAGCAGCTGCTTGAGGAAGAGCACCTCACATGTTGCTTCCATGGCTGCAATGAACTCTGCCTCGATGGCGGACAGTGATACACATTTTTGTGTTGCTGACTTCCAGGCTACTGGGTTCCCGTACACTAATGCCACTGACCCTGATGTACTCCTTCTCTGAATGGTGGCATCACTTGCCCAGTTCACATCACTATGCACAATCAGTGGCTCTTGTGACATATTTCCCCTATAAACTAATCCAACATCCTTTGTGCCTTCGAGGTAGTGTAAGACCTGTTGTGCTGCCTGATAATGCTCTTGAGATGGTTCATGCATGTGTCTAGCAAGGACACTCATGGTGAGGCTGAGGTCAGGCTGGGTGCTGTTGGCAACCCAGAGCAGCTTGCCAATGATCACCAGATACTCCTTCTGTTGTGCTGCACTTGTGACAAGGGTTCCCTCTGGTATGCTCTGCATTGGAACCATGGTTGGCTTGGTGTGTTTGTCCAGGTGCTTAGCCAGCACTTGGTCAATGTACCCTGACTGACCAATCATCATGGTGCACATCATACAGTTTCAACTGATTTTGATGCCGAGGAAGTGAGAGACCTTGCCACTATCTTCCATCTTCCATCTCTGACCAATCTGCTTCTTAACCTTTAGGACTGTTTCCAGCCGTGGTGCTATGACTAATGTATCATCAACATAGATGACCACAATGGCCATATCTTTGCCCTGTCCCTTGGTGTAGATGCAGGGAGCACACTCTACCTGGAAGAATCCTATGCATCGCAAAGACCTGTCGAACTCCTGGTTCCATTCTCACCCAGACTGCTTTAGGCCATACAGGCCCTTGACCACTTTGTATACCTGTCCGGGTGCTACTCCTGATCCCTCCAGTGGTTTCATATAGATTGCTTCTTTTAACCTGGAGTTTAAGTAGGCCATTGTGATATCCAGTGCATGCACCTCCCAGTCATTCTGTACTGCTAGTGCTAGGATAGCTCTGATTGCTCTGAGGGGTGCTACTGGAGAGAAGGTTTCCTGGTAGTCGATTCCCTCTCTCTGTGTGAAGCCCCTTGCCACCAGTCGCACCTTGTGCTTTATGGGCACACCATCAGCATCGAGCTTTAGCCAAAGCACGACCTTAGAGTCCACAAGTGGTACTCCTGGCGGGTGATTCACCACCTCCCAAGTCCCCATTGCCTCGAGTCCTTCCAGCTCTTTTCATATTGCCTCCTTCCAGAGCTGGGCGTCCTCACCATTCATTGCTTCCCCAAGTGTTGGGTCCAGGTTCAGTACTGCTGTGTTGGTGGCGCCTACTGTGCTGTCTACAGCTGGTAGGAGATCCTCCACTGCGGCTTCTGATCTGGTTTCCTCCTCCACTATGGCTGGTGTGACACCCTCCTCCTCGACCTCTGTGGTCACCATGGGCTGGACTGCCTCCTGTTGGCGATCACTCCATCCTTTGTCCTCATGGAATGTTGCTGAGTTGCTCCATTGAATTGATGCAGGCTGGTCTGGGTTGCAAAACTTCCATGCTTTGTGCTCATCATCATATCCAATCATGATGGCTGGCTTTGCTCTAGCCCCGTACTTGCCCTGCTGGTCCTTCCATTGAACATGGACCCATGCCAAGCATCCGAAGACTTGCAGCTGCTGGGCCAGCTTGTGTGCAGTGGTTCCATAAAAGGCCTCATGGGGGATGGTCTTGGTGGCCGATGGGGTGAGGTTCATCACATGTGCTGCTGCTGTGATTGCATATGGCTGCAACTCTCTGGGGCAAGCTTGACCAATGAGCATTGAGCACATCTTTTCTTGGACTGATCTGATCACTCTCTCTGCCCATCCATTCTGGACACTGATCCCTGGGACACTCTTTTGCCACTTGAAACCCTCTTGAGTTTGCCAGTCTTCAGCTCCCAAGCTGCACCACTCTCCTCCATTGTCGCTGCAGAGCATTTTGAGTTTCCTGTCTGTTGCTCATTCCATCCTGGTGATCCACCTTCTCAGCACCAGGAGTGCAGCACTCTTAGTGCAGAGTGGTTCCATGTAGATCAGGGAGGAGAAGTTGTCCACAGCAATTAGTGCATAGTGGTAGTTGGCATGGCCCTTAAGATCTGTCATCAAGTCTATGTGTACTAACTCTAGTGGCACCTCCGCTCTCTTTGACTCTGATTGGCTCATCTGCGCTCGGGTCTGTTTTCCTTGACTGCATGCATTGCAGTGCTTTGATTCATGCTCCATTCTCTCATCAGTGCTGAGGTAGTGTGCCTGGATTTGCCTTGTCTTATCTCATCCTGGGTGTCCAAACCTCTCATGCCAGAGGTAGCTATCTTTGTCTTCCTTTGAGTTGTTGTCTCGGTTTCCTGTGTTCTGGTTGTCCTCTGGGACATTGTTGATTGTCTCCTCCAGCTCCAAAGCCAGTGCTTGTCCTCGCATGTCAAAGCGGCCTTGTCTCCTGTTCTTCTTGAATTGCACTTGGGTACCATCATTCTGCTTTATGGTAGTCCCAAACTCATCAAAGATTACTTGTGCACCATTCTCGATCAAGCCTTGTATGGACAATAAATTAGAATTGAGCTTCGGCACATAGAGCACATCCAATAGCTGGATGGTAGCCTCACCAACCCAAAGGGAGGCATCTCCTATGGCTTTTACCTGAAGCTTTTCATCCCCTGCTGTACTGATCTGACTGTCCTTGCTCATTGAGGTGAGCAGCATTCTCTCATCATTTACCATATGATGAGTTGCACCTGAATCAACAATCCAGGTGTTGTATGCTGATTGCTCCCCCCTGTCGATCGCTAGGAAGGTGCACCCGAGTTCCTAGTGACTCACTTCCTGTGCCACATGAGCAGCAGGTTTGCTCGTGTTTGGTGCAGGGTGGTTGTTGGTGTTTGTGCAATTACAAGTGATATGATTGGGTCCCCCACATGCATAGCATCTTGGAGGAGCTGAGGGATTACATGGATTGCACCTGCCCCTGGGCCCCTGCTCCACCTGACCAGTACCCCCTTGCTCTGTGCTTGTAGCAACCCTGGCTGCTCCTCTGATATGACCTGAAATCTCACCATCCTGCTGTTTCTTGGCAAGTGCGTGGTAGGCTTCATCATACTTACAGTCTGGTTTGGCTGTCTTGAGCACATCAACAGAGTTGGCATAGAACCAATCTTGTGCCATGCAATGGTAGAGCATGGATTTCTTTAGGTCCTCATCAAGGTGCTTCCCAAGATGTGCAGCATCATTCCAAATGGAGTCAAGTTCCTTGCCTAGCCTGACAACATTGTGATTGTACAGATGTATGGTGTGGATGCAGTCCTGCAGGCCCACTTGCTTCACCACATCATTCAATGTTAGTGCCTTCCTAAGCTTAGCATAAAGCGTACTTCCAAGTTGGGCCTCCTCATCCACACCCCTGACAGTGTATGTGTCGATGCAGCTTTCCAGGCTGTGATCACAGCAAGCATGGATAAGACCTACCAGCGCCTTGTCCAGGTCCTCATCATATCCCTCACTTCCAGGTGCTATTTCGCTGTATAAGATTTCCTTTGCATTATGCACCCATTGCAGACAGTCGATAAAGGTGGGCTCCCAGGTGTGCCAGTTGTTATCACTAAGTTTCTTAATGTGTGCAATGGCACTTGAGACATCCTTGGGAATCTTTTCTGCCTCCCCTCTTGGAGCTTGATTGCTAATGCTGACGAGACCCATCACCTGTACAATTGCCTCCTCTGCTGTCAGCGCTGGGTTTGCCAACTGTAGTATCCTGACCACCTGCATAAGCCAACCCTCCTCCCGACCATTGCCCACAGTCACAGCCACTTGATCATCATCTCTCTCCTCCCTTCCTGTCTGTCCTGCTCATGTTGATGGTGGCATTATGCTTATTGTCAGACTATTGATGGTGAATGTCGTGGGTTCGAGCCCCATGTTGGGAGCCAGTTAAAGTTTTCGTATGATTGATGATGATGGTGGGACAGAGGGAGAGAGTGTGTGTGTGAAGAGAGAAGGAGTCTATATATACAAAAGAAGAGCGGCAGAGAGCTGCATCGACTGCAGAGCATAACAAAGCATTTGTCTTGAGTAGGTTGTGACACATGTGGTCTGTGCTCAGATGCTCAAGCCTTTTACTCGGCCGTAAGCACTACCTTCACCATCTCTACGCTTTGTGTAGCTTTTATATACTTTAACTAAATAGGCCGGTGATAAAGTGAGTTCTTCTTGGATTGCGTGACTCGGCCGTGTCCTAACCACCACCCACCACCTCCTTGCTTCCTTCTTTCTTTCTTCAGACCACCATCATCAACCAACACCTCCATTACCCTCCTCTCCACTCTTAGAAGGGGGAAAAAGAAAACAAACAAACCCCACAACATGTCCGACGCAAACCAAGCTGCCTCATCGGCAGAGCAAATCGCAAAAAACGCCCGCCTAGCATTCGAACAATCCTCCCAACTGCTCTCCACCTCCTCCTCCGCCGACTCCATTCGTTCTTCCGCTCTTCTCTCCATCCGTTCCGCTCTCGAACACAACAAATCTCGAATCGAGGATGCAAATTCTCTCGACATGGAAGCAGCTAACGCTTTGGTTGCTGCTGGAAAACTCTCCTCCTCGCTCGCCTCTCGTCTCGACCTATTCTCCAAACCCTCCAAATGGCAATCTCTCCTGGATGGAGTATGCGATGTAGCCTCACTCCCTTCTCCCCTTGACCACGTACAGCTTGCACGACGTCTAGCCGAACCAACGCGCACTCAATCTGCCATCGATCTCTACCGCATAACTTGCCCTATTGGCGTGTTGTTGTGTATATTTGAAGCAAGGCCGGAAGTGGTGGTTAACATTGCCTCTCTCGCGATCAAGAGTGGAAATGCAGCGATATTGAAAGGTGGCAAAGAAAGCAGAAACACAGCGGCGGTGTTGAGTGAGATCATCGCTGAGGCATTGAAGCAGGCTGGCTTGCCAAGGGGATTGGTGCAGAGTGTTGAGGGGAGAGAGTGTGTCGGAGAGTTGTTGAAGTTGGATGAATACATTGATTTAGTGATTCCGAGGGGTAGTGGAGAATTGGTTAGGCGCATTAAGAGGGATGCTAGGATGAGTGTTATGGGTCATGCGGACGGTCTTTGTATTGGGTATGTTCATGAGGATGCTGATCTGAAGCATACCATTGGAACTGTGGTGGATGCCAAGACGGATTATCCCGCTGCTTGTAACGCATTGGAGACACTATTGATCAACCAAGCTTTGGTCCAAGACTCTGCCTTCTGGCCTTCTCTTGCAGAAGCGCTACTCAACGCTGGAATCGAGTTGCGTTTGGACTCTGCAACTCTATCTGCTCTTAAAACTTGCTCGCCCGATCTCTTGACAAAGTACACAACCGAAGGGAAAGTGAAACACGCAACACCAGAAGACTTTACCACCGAATTCCTCGATCTCACCCTCGCCATAGCCACCACTGCCAACCTGGATTGCGCAATCTCGTACATCACAACTCACTCCTCAGGCCACACAGACTTGATCCTAACCTCTCCGACCCTAAGCCCCAACGCAGCAGCCGAGAAGTTTGTGAAAAGTATCAACTCAGCAAACGTTTTCGTCAACATTTCCACCCGCTTTGCCGATGGATTTAGATTCGGCTTGGGTACTGAGGTAGGTATTAGTACGGCTAAGACGCATGCTAGAGGTCCTGTGGGTTTGGATGGTCTGTGTATATACAAATATGTTGTCAAGTCGACTGTGGAGCATGGCGAATGTGGCGAGCGAAAGAAAGGCGCTCAGATAGCAGCAGAGTTTAATGGTCCAAGGAAATGGTGTCATAAGCATATGGAGGCTAAGTATCCCACTTTGTGATCCGAACCTCTTTGTTTCGTCAGTATCGCTTTACGAAATCCACCAATGCCAACGATCTGGTTCAAACGAGCTGGTTCAAACGAGCTGGTATGATTGTTCTGTGCTCTCTGTTCAACTGCACATCGATCCTTGCATACACTCAGTCGAACTGGATGCGATTCAGAACCTGAAACGACGACGGAATCTTTGTTACACAACATCAACAGACGAAAAAAAAAATCAATCAAATCTACATGTCTCGAGAAAACACCTTTGAATCCATCCCACCTCTCCAAAGATCTCGCCCTGCTACAAGAAAGCGTCGAGCTGAGCTTAGTCAACGTCCATCTCGCCAGGACCATCAGCCTTGTCATCCTCGGCGTTCTTGTGAGCCTCAGCCTCGGTGGACTTTTCGTCCTTCTTTTCGTCCTTGGCAGGTGTGGGAGCTGAAGTTGTATCGACGCGAGGCTTGACCTTGCTCATGCTGTTCGAAGTTCGTGTCGCGGACCAAGGGATTGGAAGGGAGTAGGAGAAAGGAAAGGTGGAGATGGGTGTCAGTTTTTCAGCTTTGGTTTTTAGGCAGAATCGTAGGGCTGAGGGCTATTCCTTCTCCGACGTTGACGATCGGGTCTACCACCAGCGCATTTGCGGGGAGAGAGAGAAGAGTTTGTGTTGCTTTGACTTCCCGAGGCAGATGGAGTTTCTGATCTGGGTCTTATGCGATCATTCGCCATCACCGCTGCGGGAATGGTAGGAATGTCGACTTCACCATCTTCTTCCTCGTCATCCTCGAAATCCTCCTCGGTGGACAGAGCCATTTGAGCCGACGGCCCAGGATCAGCGTCAAAATCGCTCAATTCGCTGGGCAAATCCAACGCTGAAGCAGGAGTAGACGAAACGTTGGTTAAACACAAGCCTTCACTACTGGGTTGCGTTTCCATTTCGCTTCCTCCACTAACTCCTACACCACCAGTAGCAATAGCAGTGGAAGTAGTGGCAGTAGTGGGGATGCTGGTACTCCTACTCCTCGTGTTGCTACTACTGGCCGCAGTATTGGTAGTCTTGGTCGTCGAGGAGGGAATAGGAATAGGGGGTCTAGGGGATACGTACATAGGATGGCAGAAGTAAATCACCTCATCCTTCTTCTTGAGCATATCACTGCTCAAAATCTTAGGATCGGCATTCTTAGGCAATTCGCTCTGCTTGTAAAGTCCATCATCCAACCATTTCGCCACGGTAGCACATTTTTCAATCACCTTCTGCTTGTCCTCCTGGGAAATGTGACTGTAAGCGTCATCACCACTCTGAGCCATCTCCATGTACTTGTTAATCGCCTCCCTCAGCGCGGAAGCTGCTTTGGGACGATCCTGGAATTCGCTGTATCGGAATTGAATCGGACCGCCGATCTTCTGCAAAGCATCGATTCTCTCGACGTAGGCAGACTTGTTGGCATCCTCACCTTCTTCCGAGTAGAGCCACTCCTCCTGTGCGTTAAGAGCAGCGAGATACTTGTCCTTTTCTTCAGGAGTAATGAAAAGCTTGTATCGATCGTCAAGCTTGGATCGCTGGTCGTAAATCATCTCCTCCAACGCGTTTTTGCGGTCTTCGGTGTCGATGACAAGCTTGTCGTTCGAGTAGAGCTGACCTTCGACCTCCTTCATCTCGGCAACGAGAGCGGCATCCTTGCCACCTGTGAAGCCGGAGACGATGGTGAGATCAGCCTTGCGCTGAAGCTTCTTGACCTTGCGGATCTCGGTCTTGAGAGCGGCAGCATCTTTGTTGTCACCGTCGGTCTCCATAGCAGCGGGGTCGGTAAGGGGAACCTCTTCCTCCTTCTCGACCTCCTCAACAGTGTAGGCGGACTCGAAGTTGAGAACACCGTGGAGATTGAGACGAGCCTTGACCTTGACGATAGAGTGGTCACCGTCAGCGTTAGGGGTAACACCTTTGATGGAGAACTTGCCGATCCAAGGGTTAATGCCCTGAGGGATCTGATCGGGAGCGGCGTAGTGTGCCTCGAGGTCAAAGTTGTCCTTGCGATAGAAGGTGAGGATCTTGGTGGAAGGGATGGGGTTGTTGGGCTGGAAGACAACAAGCTCCGTGTCCTCATCGGGGACATCGGCAGCCTTGTCCCAAGTGACCTTGATGGAGTAAGGAGTGGCATCGTGGATGGTAAAGTCACGGACCTTGAAGACGGGAGAGAGGACGGCACAGGAGAGGGTGCAACCACGAGCCACAGCCTCGTCCTGGTTCGAGGTGAAGGAAAGAGACTTGCCGAAGAAGTCAGCAATGCGCTCCTTGAGGGCGGGGACACGCGAAGAACCACCGACCATCTCGATCGAGTGGATCTGGTGCTTGGCCAAGCCAGACTGGGCAAGAGCAGCCTCGAGGGGAAGAGTGACACGCTCAAGGAGGGGAGCAATGAGCTGCTCAAACTCGTCACGCTTGAGCTGGGAGCTGGCGTCAATGTCCTCCATCAAGTTCTCGACGTTGAGAGGGGCAAGGGCGTTGGCGGAAAGGACCTTCTTCAAGCGCTCGCAACCAGCAGCGAGACGGAAGGTGGCCTTGGGGCTGGAGAGAACATCGATCTTGTACTTGCCCTTGAACTCGTTGGCAAAGTGGAGGAGCAAGGCACGGTCAAAGTCACGGCCGCCAAAGTTGCGGTCGGCAGCGGTGCCAAGAACGGTAAGTTGACCCTTGCTGAACGAGACAAGAGCGACTTGGTAGGAAGAGTGACCAATGTCGCAGAAGACGACGTTGCGCGGGTTGTCGGCGTCGGGCAAGTCGGTCTTGGTGATACCGTAACCGAGAGCAGTGGCGGTGGTGTCGTTGAGGAGACGGAGAGGGTTCAAGCCGGCAATCTCGGCGGCGTCGAGGTAGGCACGTCGCTGAGCATCAGTGAACCAGAGAGGAGTGGAGAGGACGACATCGCTGACACCGGCACCACCGAGTTCCTTGGAGGTAGTGTCACGGAGCTTGACGAGGTACATGGCCAGAAGCTGAGTAGCGGAGAAGACCTGCTCGTCGCCGGCAAGACGAACCTTGACACCGACCTCACCCTTGGCATCAACAAGTTCGGCATTGATGAAGTTCTTCTCGACCTTCTGAACCTCAGGGTCCTGGAAGGTGCGACCTACGAGACGCTTGAGGGAGCCGATGGTGTTTTTGAAGTTGGAAGTCTGAGCGGTGGCAGCAGCCTCACCAAGAGCTCTTGCCTTTTGACCGAAAGAGACGAGGGAAGGAGTGGCACGGTTGGAAACCTCGTTGGCGATCACATCGACACCACGAGCACGGGCAACGCCGATCTTGGACGAGGCATTGCCCACGTCGATACCGACGACGGACGACATGTTGTGCGGAAAGGATGAGTTGGTACAAGGACAAGCAAGACGACCTAGATGCGAAAAGAGAGACGACTGTGTTTAGTTGGACAGAAGCTCTAGAGTACCGAGATGAAAGGATGCGGAAAAGGAAGCCGACAGTGTGCGAGTTAATACGAGAGGTAGGGTATATTCTCGAGTCGAAGGGAATGATGGTGGTGAGAGTGATGGTGGTGAGAGTGATGGTGGTGAGAGTGATGGTGGTGAGAGTGATGGATGATGGTAGTGGCGAGTGTGCTCTGCTGTGGCTATGAATCTTCCTGAGAGGGCGAGAGTTACACACAGTTGGTACGTGCGAAAAAAAAAGAAAAAAAAAAGAAAAAAAGTTCTTCTCGCTTCTGCCAAAACCTTCTTGAAGATTCGCGATCCTCTAGTTGAAGTAGATAAAAGCTACACAAAGCGTAGAGACTGCGAAGGTAGTGCTTACGGCCGAGTAAAAGGCTTGAGCATCCGAGCACAGACCACATGTGTCACAACCTACTCAAGACAAATGCTTTGTTATGCTCCGCAGTCGATGCGGCTCTCTGCCACTCTTCTTTTGTATATATAGACTCCTTCTCTCTTCACACACACTCTCTCTCCCTCTGTCCCACCATCATCATCAATCATACGAAAACTTTAACTCCTCTTCCCAATCGAGCCTTTTCCACCCTGGCAAGTAGTGAAGAGCAGAGCCATAAGCACTTGTAAGCATAGCAAGCCTAGCCTCGTGGATTGGTAGCTTCTCTTCAAGGTTCGCCTCTTCAAGGTTCGCCTCTTCAAGGTTCGCCTCTTCAAGGTTCGCCTCTTCAAGGTTCGCCTCTTCAAGGTTCGCCTCTTCAAGGTTCGCCTCTTCAAGGTTCGCCTCTTCAAGATCCGCCTCTTGGTGATCGTCCTTGGAAATTTTCACGAAAAGGATGTAAGATCGGCACAAACTTGTCGGCCGATTGAGACAAGATCGAAAAATAGGATGTTAAATGTTAGGCTACGGACAGCCTAACAGCAACATTCTTTGCTAAGCTCCTGCCTCATGACCTCATCCTACACCAACAGCTGAGCTCTACTTGGACATGTCCGACCACCTGCTCCTGATCCCATATCAAGTTGCTTCATCTTGCTTTATCTCTTCATCATGCCGCTTTCGACTATATCATCCTTCTTCTCTAGCTGGCTCTTCCTTTGGGTCTGCTCTTCTCGCATTCTTCAACACCACCTAACGCAAAGCAACAATGACTCGCAACATCCTAATCGCCCTACTCCGGAATGACCTTCGGCTTCATGACCATCCCATCTTGCATCTTTGTTCCGACCCCACCCCCTCCAACGCACAGTTTCAACAACCCGTGACTCACGTTCTCCCCGTCTACGTCTTCGATCAACGCCATATTGAGCTATCCGGATTCCCCTCTCTCATCAAAGCTGATCGTGCCTCTGGAGGAAAAGGCTCGACCCAATTCGCCAAAACGCGCCAACTAGGCTTGTGGAGAACTGGAGTCCACCGAACCAAGTTGATCAACCAATCTCTCTTCGACCTCAAACAATCTCTCCGTTCCATCGGAAGCGATCTGTCGATCTTCGCTGGAACTCCGGAAGCTGTTGTGCCCGGGCTGATCAAGGGTATTCGAGACTCTGGGGATACGGTGGAAGCAGTGTATTTGGGTAGGGAGGTCAATACGGAAGAGGTGGATGTGCAGAAGCGACTGGATACGCTTCTGGGCCAACTGCAGTGTCCGATCAAGCTGTTTGAGGGCAAAAGTTTGATCCATTCCACAGATTTGCCCTTTCCTGTGGAACAGCTTCCGGATGTGTTTACGCATTTTAGGAAACAGGTTGAAAGGCCGGATATGTTTAGAGAGCCAGTGCAGGCTCCCAGTAAGCTGAAACCTTTTCCTAAGGACGTAAGCATCCCTGATTCCGCCGGGGTCTTTTCCCTCTCTACAAAGAAGGAGGAGGAGGTGGAAAAGCATCTACTCAAACCTCTAATCGAACAACCAGCGCTGGCTCATAACGAGTTGCTAAGTAAGGTATTCAACCAGTCTACGGGCCAAGTGAATGTTGCTCACTCTGCATTCCCCTACAAGGGTGGAGAAACAGAAGCATTGAAGCAACTCGACTACTATTTTGCAGGTGGAAAGCGTTCCCCTGGTGCATCGTACAAAGAAACTCGAAACCAGATGTTGGGTGCAGGCTACAGTACAAAATTCGCTGCCGCCCTCGCTCATGGCCTTCTCTCGCCCCGACTCATCGCTCAGAAAGCCAGCGAACTGGATCAAGCCACTGGCACAGCAAACGCAAAGGGAGGAGGTTATTGGATCATCTTCGAGTTGCTCTGGCGAGACTACTTTTATTTCGTCGGATGCAAGTTCGGTTGGCATCTCTTCACTCTCGGTGGTATTGAAGAGGTTCTATCTCCCGAGCGTGCTCGATCGAAAGCTTACGATTGGAAGCATTCCAACTCACTCAGTGACCAGAAAGACCCGTTTGTTAGGTGGGCAACAGCAAAAACAGGTGTGCCCATGATCGATGCCAACATGATCGAACTCGTTCAGACCGGGTTCATGAGCAATAGAGGAAGACAGAACGTAGCATCCTTTCTCACAAAGGATCTCGGCTGGAACTGGAGATACGGAGCGGAATTTTTCGAAACTTGGTTGGTCGATTACGATCCCAACTCCAACTGGGGCAATTGGCAGTATGTTGCAGGCGTTGGCAATGATCCAAGGAGTTCGAGACAGTTTAACCCGATCAAACAAGGCAAGGATTACGATAATAGGGGAGAGTATGTTGCTACTTGGATCACTCAGTTGAAGCTGGTGGGTGAGCAGTTTAGACATCATCCTTGGACGCAGACGGGAGGTGCAGAATTGCGAGATTACCCAAGTCAGCCCATGTTGGAGCAACAGATGTGGCATAAGCATTACTCCAACCTTGGTCGTGGAGGAGACCGAGGTCCCGGTAGAGGAGGTCGTGGTAATGGAGGTCGAGGTCGTGGTAGAGGAGGTCGTCGAGGCGGAGGAAACAGACATTAATCCTCAATACCTTCTCACTCATCACACAATGCACACCATAGACTAGACCAAGCCAACAATTGCAAAGCAATAGAAGCTTCGATTCGAATGATATTGGTAGACAAATCTCATGTCGGTCTGCCTACAGAGAGAGAAAGAGTAAGTATGCCTGTAGGTATTGTGTTGTGATCTTTCTGTGCGTCCATCTCGTACTTCTGATCGATCTTACGGTCGTGTGCTAGTAACTGCAGATCAGACAGGTTTCTCCTTCACCTCTTGCTCGTTGCTCGTTTGTATCTGCTCAAGCTTCACCAGGCCAAATCTGTCGACCACCAAGCCTACAATATCGCTCCATTCGACCATGGCACCCGTACCTAAATCTCCACAAGCCAGCTTCTTTTCGATCGGAGGCATGACTTCATACCCCAAAACCTGCCTCACTGTTGCAAGGTGCAGCGAAGTGAGCGGATGGAGGTACATAAGAGTGTTCATCGCTGGGAATAACACCACCGAAGGAGAGTGCGAAGTGGTAGGCTGGGGTAGCGCTCTCAGAAAGGATGTAACCAAATCATCACATATCCCAGCATTCAACTTGGCCAGCGTATTAGCACTGCACGGGGCTACCAGCACTATATCTGCCCATCTCCGTAGTTGGATATGTAGGATGGGATCTCCTATCTTTGTGAAGCTCGTCCATTCGTCGGTGTTGGTCCAGACCTTAGCCCTTGGTAGGTGTTCGCTTGGCGATGAGTTTTGACTTGCGGCAAGGTTTTCCGCAGCCAGATGACCCACACCGTACACCTCATCCGCTTGCGCTTGCGAGGAGTATTCTCGATTGAGCTCCTGTATTCGTTCCTTGTCGTAGAAATGCAGTGAGTTATCAGTAGCAACAACCATCACCCTCACTCCCCTATATCTCAGTAACTCTTCCACCATCAAAGGCACCTTGACACTCGCCACACTACCCGTGCTGACTAGGACCACATGTAATGGTCTATCCTCGCTCGGCGGTTTGCTGAGGGGTGGGTAAGGAGACCTTAGCGATGCCGGCAATTCCCTCTCCTCCTCCGCTCCTCGTCTTTCTTCTGTAGTGATTGCTACTGCAGGAGCGAGGAAAGTTGAGGATGCAGATCTGGGTGTACCGGTGATGCGGTTTAGTTGAGCAGCTAGGTAAGATGTTGTTCTACCCAACTGCGGTTTGGAGGGTGGTGGTGGGCCGGGCAGCTCACGAGATACGATGCGGGGCGAGGCGATGGATGGAGATGCACTACTGGTGGCGGTAGAGGTGGGAGCATCTGAGGGGTGACCGAGACCGATGCCGATGCCGAGCGAGGTAGATGAAGGTGAGGAGCCTAGACGGGATAGCATGGAGAGACTTGCTAGTCTGTCTCCAATACTAGGCTTTCCTTCGGTGGGCGTGCTGGCGATATCTTTTGTCTGTTCCCCAACATCCGTGTAATCAGTAGCTTTGACGTTGGGGAGGGAGCTATTGCTCCATGTCGTACTGCCCAGTGTCGGTCTACTGGTCTCTGTAGACTCTGTTGAAATCGCCGCAGTGTCACCACCATTGGCAGGCGGAGCGGGCGGTGGATAAGCACCCATCATCCTCCGCCCCCAAACTCCTACACCACTACCCATAACTCCAGCTGCCAATTCTCCTATCTCTTGCGCTACTCGTCCTCTCAATAACCCCCTTCCCCCTGTTCCTCCTCCCCCTGTTCCTCCTCTCCCTGTTCCTCCTCTCCCTGCCTCTTTAACCCCCTCGACACCTTGACTGCCCTTGCACTCCTTCTCGGCATCATCGACTTTCAATGGCCCACCAATAACCCCAGCGTCCAAACCTAAATGCTTGACATCCACCCCTTGCAAAAACACCACGGCAGCTTGCACATTCACCAAACAATAACTGCCTTCCCCCCTCATCAACGACTCTCGCCTGAACCTCTGGACGTATAACAAATTACTCGCCAACCTGGGCGGATTGGACCTGACTATACTGTAAATCAGAATCGGTAGGATGAGATCTGCGCTTGTCCCTTCTCCTCCTTCTTTTCCTCCTGCTGCTTGATTCTCGTCGCTAGTACCAACAAGGTGGATTTTGGGAAGTTTGCCTAGCCCCTCGACGAGAACTTTATGAGACTCAATCAAAACATCGAGTTTATCTCTGGGAGAACGGCGATGTTGAAGTTTTGCTAGCTCTGACCCACATGCTGAGACTAGAGCTTCTAGCTGATCCAGGAAAACCTTTTCTGCACCAGTTGAGGAGGGTTCGGGGAGATCTAATCCTAGATGTCTCATCGATAAACCGAGAAGGTTCAAGGCAGCAATACGCGAAGACAAGGTATGATCTTTAAAGTCATCTTTGGAAGTGGTTGGGTTGAAGATTCGATCGTATACCTCTTCGCATAATACTGCTTCGATTGTTTCTAGCTTTGCATGCATTTGCTTTGCCGCATCTTGTTCCTCTTCTTCTTCATGCTTAGTAGCTGAAGTGTGTATCTTATCTAGCTGATCTTGAACTGAAAGGAATAGATCCTGAAAAATCGAGGCCAAATCCTCAGCATCGACCAAGTACGCCGGGTTAGCAACATTGACCGGCGAGTTTACCCTCTGGCCTCCTCCGCCTTCAGACCTAACGGAATGGATGGGAGGCAAAAATGAACCAGCAAAGGCCGCTACCACTTGCCTCACATCCTCTTCTATTCCTTTGTGCGCAAGACGAGCTTTGATTCTCGCATCTAGAGTCTTTCTTATCCCACGCATCACTGAAGATCGCCGGACGAGATGGTCTACTACCCAGACTGAAATTGTTCTTCTTCCTTTCTCGTTTGCCTCTATACTTGATTGGCTTCGGGCGCTTTCTGAGATCTCAAGGCCCAGGGTGCAAGATGGTTCGGTATCCCAGTTCTCCTGAGGTGTAACAGCATTAGGCGAGAGTCTCTGAGCATCAACCATCTCCTCCCCCACAGTTCCAGCCTGAAGTTGTTGTCGTCTTCTCTCCCTCCCACTACCGCCAAAGATACTTGCGAATGACGCTGAAGCTCGAGATCCAGCTGCGTTGAACTTTGAATTTGATCTCGCCCTGCCACCTTGACTGTTGTGCTTACTTGCATTGATCGACAAAGGCAAAGGGAAAGCAGTGTTTCTCTCTCGCAACTTGAAACTGGGATACTTGACTCCCTCTACCTCGGTTAGATGCGGCAATGGTGAAAGCCGCTCGATCACTTGTTGCCTTATGGTTGCGTCTTTGAGGTTTGAATTTGGTTTGGTAAGAAAGCTCTGCATTACTAGCTCTACCTCTCCTTGTTCTGAAGTCGGTAAAAGAGTGCCTCGAAGACCAGAAAGTGTTAGCGCCGCAGATTCTTGTTTCGTCGAGAGAGCGAATAGTGTATGGTCATACGCAAAGCTCGCACTAATCTGATTCGAACTCGTAAATATACTCGGTGCATCCCGGGGCAGTAACAATGTCGCTTCACCATTCGCTAGCAACTCGGCAACAGAGGCCCATTCTCCATCAGTAGCTGCTTGAAGAGCTTCCAATATGAGCCAACCGGCAGACTTGTCGTTAAGCCCCAATCGGCGCGCTTCGTCTTGAATCTGTTGCAACTGCATTTTCGCTAAAGCTACAGCAGTGTCGTTGTGCGAACTATCGCGTGGTGGTGGAGCCGCGGCATCTGGGAGGGAGATGGTGGGGTATGAAGGTGAAGAGCGGGTTGAAGGTGAAGGTGAAGGTGCTGCTTGTGAGAGTTGTGATGAGTGAGATTGGAAGATGGAAGCTGCGTTCGGGCGGAGTGAGGTTCGTTGTCGTGGTGCATAGTTTAGGCTGTGGTAGGCTCGAGGGGGTGGTGCTGAGGTTGTAGGGGTGGAGGATTGGGTGGAGTCGTTAGTAGCCGAGGTAGAGGTTTCGGGGTTGAAATTGCGTCCGATGGTACTGCTTTGCCATTCTGCTCGGTCGGCGGCCTCGAGGCGGGTGATGGGGAAGCGTGGTGAGGTGCAACGAGAGGAGGATGAGGTGCTTGTGCCAGGTTGGGAGCTGCTTGTGCCTCCGCCGCGGGTAGACTCGCCGCTGTCGCTTGGTGTACGCTGCATCCTTCAAACTTGCCGCACCGTACACGACTGCTGATGTGGTAAGATGGAGGATTGGAAGGAGTGGTCCAAGTGAGGATGGTGATGATGATGAGCGTGTGGCAGCGTCTTAACTTTCCGCTGAGAAAAGGCACAACAACGAAAGCGTGTTGGTCGCACAAGGCCAATTCCAGTCTCTTTGCATTTCCCGCCCTTCTCGCACGGACATGAAGCTCACCAAGATCCTTCATACCTACACCTCTCAGACATGAATCGACACAAAAGGGTCTGGATTGTGAATGGGCATGGTATAAATAGATGAATAAGTTGGAGAGCTGCAACGCTTCCTGGCTAGGGACTGGGATGCGGGTATAGGTTGTTGTTTGCCATGTTTGTTTTCCTTCTGCCTTAAGGTACCGCGGTGAGACCTCTACCCAACCGCTCATCCATGCCAACCGCACCCACACTAGGTGGATAGCCAGTCTTGATCGCAAAAGTTGGACTCCTCCCCTTGCCACCACCCGCCACCTCCTCTTCCCTGCCCAACCAGTATTCATCCCTTATGGGCAACTGCAGAACATTCATCTTGGGCGTTATACAGACGAGTGTATTCGATGGAATCTCCATCCAATCTGCCTTTTCAAACGTCAAAGGTTCGCTTGCGACGACAATGATCTTCTCTCTCTTGTCCATCTTTACCATCCTATACGTTCCCGGACTGTGTTCGTAAAAGCTCGTCCCGGAGGAGAAGTAGAGCGACGCAGCTTGGTCGTGTTTACTGGAAACGTAGCGGGTGCAAATGATGCATTCGCCGTCCGTGGCACAGAAGTTCATAAGTGAAGGCTCGGTTATTCCTGCCTCGCGGGCCCAAGTGTTGAAGTCGGAGATGGTGGATAGCATTGCATCTCGCAGCTCTTGATATGAGAAGGGCTCGGTCTGGAGCGGGTTGGAAAGGTGAGAGAGGAAGACGGCGAATGCGAATTCCGAGTCAGTGTGTCCTTGTGGGAAGAGGAATAGAGGTTCGGGTAGGGAGGCAAGCACCTTCCTCTTGATCTTGGAGAAGTCGGAGATCTGGCCATTATGCATCCACATCAACCTGCCGTATCGCCAGGGATGACAGTTGGTCTCGGATAGCGCACCAGCGGTGGAGGCTCGAACATGAGCAAACACTAGCGGCGATTTGATCTTGTCAGCGAGCCGTTGGAGGTTTTGATTGTTCCAAGCGGGAGTGACGGAAGTGAAGATGCAAGGGGCAGTGCCGAGTTCGGGGTCGGGGAAAGGGTCGTACCATCCAACACCGAAGCCGTCGCCGTTGACTGCCCGGGTGGCGTCGAGACGAAGACGAGAATCAAAGGCTTGGTTGATGATCGAATGGGCAGGACGGGTTACGAGGTGGCAAAGTTGGATCGGGTCCGCGCCTTTGAATACTGTATACGGCATGGCGAGCAGAGCGAGCAGAGCGAGCAGAGCGTTGCGAGAAGAGTGAACGAGGAGAGTAAGTGAAGAGGAGGAATGGTCAGCTTCAAACCCATACAAAGCTGCGTTGAGGTGTGAGAGGCTTACCGAGTAAACGACACATTACTTCCCAACCTCGTGTCTAGCAGTGTACTTGCTTTCCCGGTGACGAGCGTGAGCGGGAATGTTGTGAGATAGAAGATGGTGTGCGAGAGTCAAGAGGAACAGACTAAAAACGACTCGGGTTGCATGTCATTTGCCTATCTTATCGCGCCATAAATATTCCTTATCGTCTCATAAATATTCCAGTTGAAGATGCATCGGCATCTCAAGCAAGATGCACGTGTCACGGCCGAGACACTGAGGTACAGGAGGCTTACTTAAGCGAGAAGCACAATGAGGTACATGATTGTTGTCATGGTGACAGCACAGTGGCACTCAGTATCATAGCAACACAGGAGTATGAATGAAGTGACATGTCCTGTCTCAGATAGGACCAGAGCAGCAAATGGAGTATATATATGTGTTTGTCATTTAGGTTCACACTATGAAAACTAAGCATTACATAGAACATATGGCTGTGGTAAAGGGAGTCTGATCATGACCCCAATAATGCTGTGTATTAATTGTTATCTTCAATTGATTAAGAGTCTGAAGAAGCTATCACTGAGCTAACCAAAACTCATTGACAACAATGGTAGAAGACACCGAAATGAGGATCAAAGGAAGCAGAAAAGGCAAGAACACCCAGGTTTGGGTCAACAATGATGCCACGAATGAGAACAAGCCAGAGGCCATTGACAATGAAGCTGACAAAGACACCAATTCCAACTCCAACTTCAATGATGGTGACAAGCGATATAACTTTCACACCCTAGCAAAGCTCCTCAAACCTGTGCCAAAGCTCATGTCATGCAGCTATTATAGCTGGAGCGCTCACATGAAATCTTTCCTCCAATCTGTGCCCCATGCAATGAAACATCTTGAGGGAACATATGACAAGAAGCACCCAAAATGGAGCTGCTCCCTTGATGATGCTTTAATCAATGCCCTGTGTGGAACAATTGACACTACCAGAGAATACAATGTAAATTACCTTGTTCTAGATGTAATCAAGGAGTACCTTACTTTCAATCAAGTATGGAGAAAGATCGAAAATGGTCTCATGAATGAAGCCACCAAGATGTCTCACAGACTTGTGCTCATCTCACAGCTCAATGATATAAAAATGTTTCACTCAGATGCCAGAAAGCTAATTCAAGAGATCTGGTCCATACAGACTGAAAGTAGCCTCCTTGGCAAACCATTTGCTGATGATACATTGTTCTTGGCTCTGCAGAAATGCACGATCCAGCATCTGGTGTATAAGGAGATGGTTGCCACCATCCATCAAATTGATTTCAACACCCTTGCCACCACACTAAGCATCTGGCAGACTGCTGTCGAGAGTGTCCCCATGCAAAAGATCGACCCCTGACAAGCCAGTGCTAGAACCACCAGCAATGACAATCAAAATGAATGGGCCAGAGAGACTGAAGCTGAAGCTGACAACAGCCACACAAGCTTGAGGAATGCAGGCAGACCATGCCAAATCCGATGCTGGATCTGCAAGTGACCCAGACATGGTATTAGTCAATGCAACACCTCGGTCACCATTCCCAAAGACTCCCCCTTTGCTAAACCTAAATAGGAAGCATGGTGCTCCCTCACCCTCCCATTGAAATGGCAAGACCCCCCAAACACAAAAGAAACAGCTCATTGGATCTTGGACTCGAGGGTGAGTTATCATATGGTGAACGACTATAGCATGCTCATCCATCCGAGAACTTGCCGAAAGTGGATAATTACTGCTGGAAGCGAGTGTCATGGGCCTGAATGCTCAAGAAGCAGGAGGGTCACTGGTTCATATGGAAGGAGCACAGGAATCGAAGATCTAGTCGATACCATTAGAGAGCGTGGTTGTAGTGCAGTCTCCATGAAGACCATGGACTCCTACAGACTCACATGCAAAGGAGGACCGAGCCCATATGTGAGGAGGGCCAGGCACAGCCACGAAGAGGACCAAGCTCAAGGAGCATGCAGATGGTTACCACTCAGGGGCTTGAGAGACAAGAGTCAAAGGAACTGTCACTGGTCAAAGGAGAAGGAGCAGTGTATAGGGAACCGGCAAGCAGGTCCTGAGGAGGAGGAGCAGTGTCGAAGGAGTTGACACCAGGTCCTGAGGAGGAGGAGCAGTGTTGAAGGAGTCGACACCACTCAGGAGGCACAGGGGTGCCAAATGTCAGGGGTCTCGCGCCTGAAACCCAGGTCGGTCTGTCGAGATACTCAGTGACTATCAAACTGTGCGACAGCTATTGTCTTGGTATCTGTCTTGACGAGCTAGTCATTCAACGACTATCAAGTTGTGCAGTGACAGCAGGTGGCATTCATTGTATATACTATCATAGGTTTCAGCTGACCTCTGTGGACACTCCATTCAGGGGTAGCTTGGCACGATCAATATCAATGCATAGGTTATGATGACACCAAGGTCTGGTGTGAGTGTTGATGATGATGAGGTTGATGGTGTTGGTGATAGGGTCAGTGAGGGTTGATGGTAATGAGGTTGATGGTGTTGGTGATAAGGTTGGTGGCATCAACACAAGTGTCCAGTGTGTTGACTTGATGCTTGAAGTGATCCCCAGACTGCAGTGGACTACTGCCTTCGGTTCTATCTTGATCTGGACTGCTAACCTGCTATGGGGCGCCTTCGGATGTCAGGTAGTGGTGATACAACACACACACTACGATGAGGAGCAACCTTGATAGATTGCTGCTATACTGACTGAAACTAATATATACTTATGCTGAAGTGATAACTAGTTATGATGATGTGTAGAGTGGATGAGGGTCCACTCGACTGTCAGGGGTCTCGCGCCTGAAACCCAGGTCGGTCCGTCGAGATACTCGGTGACTATCAAACTGTGCGACAGCTATTGTCTCAGTATCGGTCTCGATGAGCTAGTTGCTTGGCGACTATCAAGTTGCGCGATGGGTGGTGTTCGGGTATATACTATCATAGGTTTTGGCTGACCTCTGTGGACACTCCATTCAGGGGTAGCTCGGCACGATCAATATCAATGCTTCGATTATGATGACACCAAGGTCTGGTGTGAGTGTTGATGATGATGAGGTTGATGATGTTGGTGATAAGGTTGGTGGGTGTTGATGATAATGAGGTTGATGGTGTTGGTGATAAGGTTGGGCATCAACACAAGTGTCCAGTGTGTTGACTTGATGCTTGAAGTGATCCCCGGACTGCAGTGGACTACTGCCTTCGGTTCTATCTTGATCTGGACTGCTAACCTGCTATGGGCACCTTCGGACATCAGGTAGTGGTGATACAACACACACACTACGATGAGGAGCAACCTTGATAGATTGCTGCTATGCTGACTGAAACTAATATATACTTATGCTGAAGTGATAACTAGTTATATGGTGAGTAGAGTGGATGAGGATCCACTCGACCTTTGATGATGAGAAAGCATGGTTATATACCTCTTCACAGCATCGCCAGCGACGCTGCTCCTGCTCTCTCTCTCCAGAGAGTACCTTCTTCATCGAGTACTGTTCAGGGGGCCTCTCCTGCTTGCTTGGTACCCCTGTGCCTCTTGAGCTGTGTCGACTCCTTCGACACTGCTCCTCCTCCTTGCTATCCTGCTTGCTTGGCACCCTTGTGCCTCCTGAGTGGTGTCGACTCCTTCAACACTGCTCCTCCTCCTCAGGACCTGGTGTCAACTCCTTCGACACTGCTCCTCCTCCTCAGGACCTGCTTGCCAGTTCCCTATACACTGCTCCTTCTCCTTTGACCAGTGACAGTTCCTTTGACTCTTGTCTCTCGAGCCCCTGAGTGGTAACCATCTGCATGCTCCTTGAGCTTGGTCCTCTTCGTGGCTGTGCCTGCTCCTTGAGCTTGGTCCTCCTTGTGGCTGTGCCTGCTCCTTGAGCTTGGTCCTCCTTGTGGCTGTGCCTGCTCCTTGAGCTTGGTCCTCCTTGTGGCTGTGCCTGGCCCTCCTCGCATATGGCTCAGTGCTCCTATGTGAGTCCGTAGGAGTCCATGGTCTCCATGGAGACTGCACTATGACCATGCTCTCTACTGGTATCGACTAGATCTCCAATACCTGTGCTCCTTCCATATGAACCAGTGACCCTCCTGCTTCCTGAGCATTCAGGCCCATGACACACGAGTGATATTGGACACAACCGGCAGTCAAATTTTTCTAACAAATGGCATGACACTTAAGATTGCAAAGAATTGCGAGTGAGGACTTTTGGAGTTCCAAGGTGACACATGGCAAGAAAGTGTGATGGCCACATCAACACCATTGTTTGAAGGTGTTGATGAGGAGTTCGAGCATATTAAGAATGAGCCAAAAGTTTCAAAGCAACAACTATGGCATGAGAATCTTGGACACCCAGGAAGAGATAAAGCTAAGGTGATCATGAGCAAGTTAAAAGATAAGCATACCATGGAATTGCATCCAAACACTGCTCTGACATGTGAGCAGTGCATACAATCCAAGAGCACAAGTGCTTGGATGGGGCAAGGTAGCAGCAAAAGAGCCATAGGGCCCCTGGATCTTATCCACATTGATCTAATAATAGGTTTGTCCCATGTGACAGAGTACACATGCATGTTAGTGCTGGTCGACAATCATAGCAAGTATGTGTATGCACAGCCATTGACATGAAAGAGTCATGTGTTTATGCAACTCAAAAGGATTGTTTCATTCCTGGAGACACAGACAGATCGGAAGCTAAAAGTGATCCAATCTGATCAAGGAATTGAATGGAGAAGCAATGATGCATTAGAATGGTCGCTAGAAAAGGGCATAGAGTGGCAAACCACTGTAGGGTACAACAGCAAACAAAATGGATGGGTAGAGAGAATGAACAGGACCCTTGGAGAGAAGACAAGGATGTTGCTAATGCAGAGGAGACTACCAAAGAAGTTCTGGCTGTATGTGATCAGAGCTGTGGCAATCAAAATAAACCTCACTCCAAGCATTGATAATGAGTTCCCTTACCAAGCCATGTTTGGCAAGTTGCCAGAGCAAGCTTTTAAGACTCCTATGAGTGTTTGGTTGTCTGGCATGGGTAAACATACCCAAAGTCAAATGGGACAACAAGAAACTGGACCAGCAAGCCATCACATCCATTTTCTTGGGATACAGTCTAGAGAGAAAGGACTGGCTATTCTACAGTCTGGACTATAATCTGAACATGTTCTGGAGCAATTCAGCAAAATTCATGGAATCAAAGTGCTGGTCAGACAGAATGGAGTGGTGACCAGTCAACACAAAGGCACCTCCAGCAATGATGACAGAAGAGAATTTTGAAGATCTAGGATATAACAAAGAAAATATATTCGACGAAACAGATGAAGGGTCACTACAAGAATACATGGATATGGAGACAGATTTGGAAGAAAGGTTAAGTGGAGGAACAGCAGAGGTGATGGAACAAGGATCAATTGCTGAAACTCAGATTGACAGTGAATCTTTTGGACTTGTAGCAATGTGTCAGGGGTCTCGCGCCTGAAACCCAGGTCGGTCTGTCGAGATACTCGGTGACTATCAAACTGTGCGACAGCTATTGTCTCGAGATACTCGGTGACTATCAAGTTGTGCAGTGACAGCAGGTGGCGTTTGTTGTATATACTATCGTAGGTTTCGGCTGACCTCTGTGGACACTCCGTTCAGGGGTAGCTCGGCACGATCAATATCAATGTTATGATGACACCAAGGTCTGGTGTGAGTGTTGATGATGATGAGGTTGATGGTGTTGGTGATGAGATTGGTGATGTCGATGATAATGAGGTTGATGGTGTTGGTGATGAGATTGGTGATGTCGATGATAATGAGGTTGATGGTGTTGGTGATAAGGTTGGTGGCGTCAACACGAGTGTCCAGTGTGTTGACTTGATGCTTGAAGTGATCCCCGGACCGCAGTGGACTACTGCCTTCGGTTCTATCTATATCCGGACCGCTAACCTGCTATGGGCACCTTCGGACGTCAGGTAGTGGTGATACAACACACACACTACGATGAGGAGCAACCTTGATAGATTGCTGCTATGCTGACTGAAACTAATGTATACTTATGCTGAAGTGATAACTAGTTATGGTGAGTAGAGTGGATGGGGATCCACTCGACCTATGATGATGAGAAAGCATGGTTATATACCTCTTCACAGCATTGCCAGCGATGCTGCTCCTGCTCTCTCTCCAGAGAGTACCTTCTTCATCGAGTACTGCTCAGGGGCCTCTCCTGCTTGGCACCCCTGTGCCTCTTGAGTGGTGTCGACTCCTTCGACACTGCTCCTCCTCCTCATGACCTGTGTCGACTCCTTTGACACTGCTCCTCCTCCTCATGACCTGTGTCGACTTCCTGTCTCTCGAGCCCCTGAGTGGTAACCATCTGAGCTTGGTCCTC